CCCGTTTAACAAAGTCTTACCTGCATATGTTTTTTTCTAAATAAAAGTTAGGCCTGTTGAGCCAAAAAAATTTAAAAAGTCAAAAATCACAGGTGCGAATCATCGGTGCTCAAAGAGAAAAGGAAGAAAAAGAAATATCCCCTGTGAACACAGGAGAGGTCATTTGTATATTGATCAGAGCGCGGTTTGAGGCAGGGATGACATGAAAAACAGGGGTGACGTCACTGAAGGGAGGAAAGGTAAATGGAGACAAAGAAAAGCTTTGATAGCTGGCAGCACTGTACAAACAGCCACACGGAGCAGAGCCGGGGTCTGAGGTGACACACAAAGAGGCGGAACAATCATCCCAGGCAGACTCCAAGGGGGGATATGTGTTAGTAGTGTGTGTACATGAGTGGTAGGCTGCAGTGGGGGGTGTGGGGGTGTGTGTGGGGTGGGCAGGGGGGGGGGGGGTGCTGCCGCAGATACAGACACCGGAGAAGGACATTCAATCTGGATTCCTACTGAGTCGGGATGGGGTCTGTCCTTATCGTGCGCTATCGTCCCGGCGGCATTAGCTCCCTTCCCCCCTCACCCCACCGCCTTCCATCACCGGAAGCAAGCAGCCAGGGACGATTTTGGCTCTGCAACCTGAACTCTCCGGGAGTAACGCAAAATAAACCAGCTGCAGCCCTGAGCGGTTTGCAGAGGGCAGGAGAGGGGAGGGACAGGCTGCACGTACAGCACAGGCAAGACAAACCAAACTCTGTGTTGCAGGATGGAAAGAAGAAGGAGAAAAGAAAAGAAAAAAGAAGACAAATGCCAGCTCCCGCACAGCAGCTGAGTGATTGGATCCGTCAGTAAACAAGGCCGTCAGGTAGAGCAAGGACAAAACAAAGGCTCCTAAGACTTTCACTGATAACAGGTTAAAAGATTGCTGATAGCGCTCACCAATAAGGAAGGAGGTGCTGGCCATCAAAACACACAAGATACAGGCTAAGTTTAGAGGTGTTTATCTGAATAAACAGCTTCAGGTGCCTTCAATTCACCGAGCTAACCTCCTCTGAATCCCAGGAAAACTGAACGACTGTTTTCCACCCAGTGCCACAAGCACAACAAAACAGTGAGAAGGGAGGTGAGAAGTAACACATTCTGGGCCTGAAATTGGAGCCGCTGCCCCCAGTGCCGCCTGTTTTGTGCCATTTCTGGGCTCTAATCTGCAGCAAACATGTCTTTTTCAGGCGGCACTCGGGACGGCGCCCCCTTTCTGTTGCAAGTTGAAAAAACAACAGTTAAGGAGAAAAACAACTTTGATTGGCAGTCCGGTTCAACCAAAAAAAAAAGAGGAAAGAAAAAAAGAGCACAATGAGAATCCAGGACTCCAGAAAACAGCAAAAAACGAATCAACCCCCCGTCTGCTCCGACAGGTTGGACGCCTCTACACTGCCGTGTTATTACACTTTAAGACCGAGCTTACACGGCACGGCATTACTTCACAGCAGACTGACACACTTTTCTCCCAAATCCCGGGATGATGTCATCTTCACCTGCAGCTTCCTCCACACACCGCCGTTACCGCGCGAGCCCCATTTCAGGGAGCCCCAAAGTCCCATTTCAACGCAAATAAGAATAAGATACTCAAACGAGCCCTGGTGAAACAACAAAGGGGGATGGAGGGGGGTGGCGGGGGGGGGGCAGTAATCACACTTTTGGTGCAGTAACATCGACGTGAACGTTCACGTCCGGAGCCCCGAGCCGTTTCTCCGGGTAACGGCCGTTTTTCGTTAGCCCTCACACGGCAACGGCCGCGGGGCTGACGTGACCCCGTAACGGCTGGAGATGGAGACCACGGTCCGCGTCCGGATGGAGAGCCCAGGTACCGGCTCCAGACAGGGGCATTGCGCTACGAAAAAAAGCCTATTCTCTCGCGTCACTTTCGATTCACGTCCAAAATGTGTTTTTTTTTTTTTTTTTTTCGTCGACCGTTGTCTGAATGAACAAGTTTCGTTAGAAGTTTGTTTCGGCTCCTTCTCGGTTGCTAACGCTAGCTAACTCATCCAGGGACGTTACTCCCCCCACTCTTTCCAAAAGTTTACCAACTAAAAATATTGTAAAGCCAGGTTATTCACAATTAATCTTCATTTATGGCTTTTACAACTGGCCAGGTTAAGTTTAAAGTGATAGCAAAACCCCCTGTAAGCGCCGGTTAAAGGAGAAGTTTTTTATTTGATAGACATCAAATGAATGAACGGTTCTCGCTACTCGGTTAGCAGCTAGCCTCAATTTGCTCCAACTTGTCTTGACCAAATTTTCTACGCCGAGGGGTCATGTCACGATTATTACCTACCTGTTTCTGGACTCGCTGGTACTGCGATCTTAAGGGGTACTCCATTTTATTCGTACAGATGATCATTTTCCACAAAAGTGCGCTGTTTCATGAATGCGTCTGGAGTCTTTTCTCGGGGTGCTTTGCTAACAAAGGCAGCGCGTCTCGCCGGTGGCCGCGGTCGGCTTCTCTGAGCCCGTAGACTGGACTGAGAGGAAAGAAAAGCTTCCCGGAGCAAAGCTGACAGCTCCAGTAACAGCGGGCCCAATCAGAGCGCGGGGGGCGGAGCCGGCCGCCCGAGGGGCGGGTCCAAATGCTAATGAACATCTGCAAACAACAGCGCGGAGGGAAGAAAGCAGGCCAAGGCTGAGGGAGACAGGCACACAACTTTCTAGCCGCCCTCAGGACTTTTCGTTAGCTGGGAAGGACGGTCTGTAGAGGGCACGGGCACGGGCACGCGCTGCCTAGTTCCTCCAGCTTTGACTTCTCTTTTCCATCCACAGAGATATGTCTGAGGGCTCAGTGTTAGGGACCTGTGTTACTTATTATCTTTCGTCTTAAAACTATATCCAGGAAACAGTTTTCAAAGACCAAATTCATGTCTAAGTAGACAAAGAAAAAGGGTCAAATGGCCGGATAAATGACAAAATGACACCAACCGATTATATGGAGTTGCAAAGTGTGTGTTTTTGTGTTTGAAGCCTCTTTGAGTATACAAAAAAAGCTATATAAGTTAGATGTATGAACATAATTTATTCATCTATCCATTATCCATACCTAGTATGGTCATAGGGGACTGGAGCCTATATCAGCTGACATTGTGGGGGAGGCAGTGTACACTCTGGACAGGACATCACAGGGCCACACACAGACAAACAACCACACACACTCAAATCCTTCTTCTTCTTATCATTATAAGGACGATTAATAGACACACACAATAAGCTCACACAAGCTCGTGGGGAATAATCAAATAAGACATGAAATGTCCCATATGGGACATCTGAAAAAAAAAAAAAATTAAAGAGAAAATAATTCATATGTGCTACAAACTGAGGAAGGGAATGTCCATCACAAACAAACTTGAAGAAACAAACCACAAAAAAACCTTGTGACGATGAGCACACAAAACAGTGAAAAAAAAGGCCTCAAAGTGATGCAAATCTATCATATGCCAACACGGTTACCTACAGTTATAAGCAGTTTATTACCGCCTATGTTCATTCCTGTTCCACCAGATAAGTCAGAAACGTTGAATCTCTTTCTTGAGTGTTTTCATTTTCCAACTACAGCATGATGTGCCATGCGATGAGTCAGTGAAGCTCATTTTCTGGCTTGCTCCTTTAAAGTGGTCAACACAGATATTACAGCATCTCTAGTCTGACTTCTCTGGCTGGTTCTTGTTTCTATGTGTCCTTCTGTGTTGATCAGAGTGGCAAAGGTTTGGATCATTGAAAGTATTGAAGTGTTGGACAGAAGACAGAGTGTTAGTAATCAGAATGAAAACCCCCAAAGAAGACAGAGTACTGTTGCAATATTCATATGGGAGGCAGATTGTTGTTTAAGACGGACATGTTCAGAGTCTGGCTGGAGCAAAAACATTGGATTCAACATTTCCCATGATGCACCGACAGCATCCTTAAAGGCCAGTGTCTTTTAAACTCTGACTGCCCCTCCGCTTTCAACAAAGGCCTTTTTGTACGACTATTTTTAGTCTGACAGCACAGTCAGTGGTCAAACTAATCCTTCTTCAGAGAAACACATGAAATCGTTGCACAGCTGGTTCCACTGGCTCCGTGCTGTGCTTCGCGACCAGCAAACTGACCACCGTGTGTAGGAGGAGTTCACCTACAACGTACAATGACATTTTAGACAATTGTGTCCTTTAAACTTTGCAGAAATAGTTTGGGAAAGGCCCTTTCCTGCCCCATGAAACAATATACAAAGCTATGTCCAGAAAGACTTGGGTTACTCAGTTTAGAGCATTTGGAATAAATTGCCGGGCTCCCAAAAGAACCGAGAGCCAAAATGCAGCCAACATTTCCATCGTAGCAAAGAGAGATAAGGCCATACTTTAAAAGATTCTCGCTGAAAACCTCCCAAGGTGAGTCGACATCTTTGAGAGGTGCATGTTTATACCCAGGAATGTGGAATTTACTGTTCAGCAAGTGGTGACTTTTGCCATATCCCGCTGGGAACACTGAACTGGATTATACTGGAAAAACTCAAACAGTAAAACATGGAGCCTGGAGGAGCCTGGTAAACAGACATGGATAAATCCCATATAACAGACTGATAAAGCATCTAGAAGAATTCAATCCAAGTCACGCAGCACTCGAGGAGACGGCGGAACCTCGTTAAACATGCTCTCTCACAGTGGTTTCCTGCCTCGCTTGTGTTTGTGTCCAGACAAACTGCACAAACAAGCTTCCACTAGTGTCCTCCTGGTCATGCGACACCCACAGCCGACCACTACCTGAAGCAGCCCTCTGCTCTAACCCAGTTTGTCCCGATTGTCCCCTTGTGGAGATGAATGGGACATTTGTTTCTCTACCAGGAATCTTGATACGGAATGGGTTCTAATCCGATTGTTTTCATTGTACTGGACTCACAACCTTCATATCAATTAGCTGTGCTGACTTCTCCACTTGTGGTAATTAGAAACAAGCCGTTCTTACAAAGAAGTGGTTGTTCGCTCTCTAATTTAATGGGAAAGAATCGAATTGTCTTCTTAAGAAATTATTTCAAGAAAAACTAAATGGAGGAATGAGGTTAGGAGAAAAAAAAGCCAAATTCTTACCATTTGCAAACATGCAAACACTTATTGCACACTTTTCTACCGACAGTAAGTACAGTTCCATCATTTATCTATCATCTTTTATGCAAGAATATATTCCATACATCGAACTGTGAATTAAGTATTTTCAAAAGGTATACAAAAATGTTATATTGGTATATATTTATTTTTTTGTATTTACTAGGTAGTAACTAGGTTGTAACTGCTGTAACAAGTGAATCTCCCAACTGTGTGATTGACAAAGGATTTTATATTCTATTCTTATTAAGATTTCATGAACTTATAGAAATATTTTTCATGTATGGGCGCATCTACAGGTAGAACATGACAGTCAGACATGAAGGCACTGCGACCTTTAGAGAGCTAATCGCTTTAGTAGCATGTCCCTCTTTATTAGATTTGCATGCAGAGGGCACAAACATCATGTGAATCACATTGTGTTTCGGGCCGAGGCCGCTGAATCAGACTGTGGCCTAAAATATCCCCCTTGTAAACAGATTCTTATGTAGCACAGTCAACAACTGAATTACCCGAAAGCTTCTGGACGTACTGAATTGATACAGAGGAAAAGCGTTGGACCAGGTGTGTGGTTTTTCAGGGAAACGTACTGTGAAATCCAGAAGTAAAGGGCTTCATTAGATGTTATTTTCTGTCCTTCGTTAATTCTATTAGGTCCAATTTGTGAGTGTTTCAGTCCCGTGCCTGGAATAAATTCTCTTCGTTTTAGGTGCTGTAGCCTTTATCACGGCTGAAGCGCCCATAGCTTGTGTTGAGCTGATGAAACTGGATGGCTCATCTGATTCGGCCACACTTAAAAAAGTGGAGCCATCTTGTTTCATTAGTTGTGTTCCTCAGAAGCTGCCAGTTTAGGTTAGGCAGCTACGACGCTGTCGATTGAAGAGGAAGTGAAAAAGGCTGCCATTCTAAATGCTGCAGGGAATCCCTGATTCCAGCGAAATACCTTCAGAGGAGAGCAGCCGGGACTTTCTGTCTACAGCACAACAGCCCTCTGACTCATGTCTTGTCACAAAACATATTTAAAACATATTTAAATTGGGACGAGACCAAATTTTTAACAAATTGTTTCTTTTCCTGATAGAATAAAGAACTGGTTGGAGATTGATGCCGGTTGCTGATAAATGTTTTAGCAGCTGAAGTCTACTTAGCAGATTTGAGAAAAATGCTTCCTGTTGTGACTCAGAACTCCTCAGTAAACACTCTTCAGGGTTACTGTAACAAACCAGCACGCGCTGCTTTTCACCCATAATTTCCTGTTAAACGACGCGTCTTCCAGTGAACAAACTGTAACTGAAAAAAAGCTGAGGGCTGTGCTTGGTTTTGAAGGACATGATAATCAACCTTCAAGGTTACGATTTTAAACCACTGTTGTTTGATCCAGAATATGCCTTTCATGTCTCTCAAAATCCACACAATTTGCACTAAATATATTTATGGTGACACTTTTAAACTGTTTTTTAAAAAGCCTATGGAAGAGATTTTCAAAAATCTTTTTTTCTATAAAAAAAGATCTCAACCTAAGTTAATTTAATCACAATTCAGTGAACCAGAAGATTAAATTTTAGTAAGGCGTATGTTATTACAATTTACAAAAATATAAAACATTGTAAACCGTCTACTGTACAATCAGATCGTCCTCAAAACGACAGCGTGAAACTTATTACACCTTTGCGTGACGGATCACTTGTTTTATGCACATTTATTTAACCCCGAGGGCCTTGTCCAGAAAGCTGGCAAAGTTCTTTGGCTGTCCGGGTGGGAGCGGCTGCAGGGCAGAGAGGTCCATGCTCCTCAGCGTGTCCGTCAGGGTGCTGAAACAGCCACAGAGGGAAACAGGAACTTTAGCTCCGCCGGCTGACGTCACGCGGGGCGGCTGAAACAAACGCTGGACCGACCTGCAGGTGCAGTACAGCAGGTGGTGGTCCTGGTGCAGCTGCCTGGCCAGATCCAGCTGGTGGTTGTCCATCAGCCTGTCATTCACCACCACCAGCAAAGGCTTACCGGCACCCAGAGCCTCCAGGCAGCTTCCTGCTCCTGAAAATGAAAAGAAAGAAACGCTTATTCATGGCAGGAACTGAAAACTGAGATTAGAGAAAATAAAACTAATCAAATCTGACAGTAACATTCAAATGTTTTGATCCTCTATTTACTGCACTCTTTAATAGGATGTTTGCATAACAGCAGTTAGAAAAGCTTCCAACTGTGCCTTTAAAAACACACGGTTCAGAAGGAATTAGGACAGCTGAACCAATGCTGTTAAAAGGTCTCAGCACTTGAGCAGCAACTACAGCGTGAAAAAGGTTTCCGCCCGCCGAGGGATTTCATCTGTTTCGCCATGTCCTGTTTGACATGACGTGGGAGCGTTAAGAGGACACCCGTCAGACCACGACTCGACAAAGCGCAGCACACTAACACATCCAGGGAACCATCGAGCTAAAGGCGCCAGCTGCTGTGCTTCAGGTGTTTTCTCCTGAGAGAACGGCTGGTCTAAAAGGCAGGTGAAGATGGCTGGATTCACAGCGGCTCCGCTCCTTTAACTGAAGGGCGTCTCCGGCTGCGTTCGGACGGATTAACATCAAGCCCCGTCCTTTTCCCTGACTTCATTAAACACAGCCATCCTTATTGTAAATGATGAATAACATCTGCGTCAACATGTCAGCTGGGAAAATGGTGTACAGGTTTACCAAAACAACAAAGAAACTAAAGACTCTAAATCAATTTACTGCTGAAGATCTTAATGATGACTCAAAGGAAATGATCATTGCTAATGCTGCTCAGATACAAGATATTCTGTTGCTTTTGTTTGACAAGATCACAATCTGAGCACTTGGAAGTTTTACAGAAATGGAAACAAATGTTATTGGCAGCTCTGAGTTGTTCAGAGGCCTTGGTTTCAGCTCCGCTGGAGAACAGCTTATTGAGCTCCAGCCAAATCGGTTATGTGTGAACACATCTTTCTCCTGTTACATGCTTTTCCCTCTCCAATGCCCTCTTGTTACATCTGTCAGCTGCAATAATCATCAGCTGGCTGCTGGCTCACCAGTCCTTCACCTGCTTATGCTTTAAACTCCCTAAACCTGCTCTGGACTGTGCACATATTCACTATAGACATAAATGTCTCCCCTGTTAAAAATCAAAGGCTTTCTGCCTGTGTAAATACGGTGTATTCTGCACCGGCAGCGCTGACCAGTTCACAGGAGAGCGGAAAATGACTGAAGAGAATGTAGATGTTTCTCAACGGCAGCAGCAGATTCCATCATCATACGCAAATTTTGTGTCTACTTTGTAAGTCGCTTTGGATAAAAGCGTCTGCTAAATGCATAAACATAAAAGAGGAAGTCCAGAATAGGAAATGCACAACAATGCCTTTTGGTAAGCTTTTGACCACAAAAAAGAATTGTGTTTCGCCTCCTAATTCCTGTATGAGTGGTCTGGGCTCATTAGAAAACAAAGGAAAAACACAGTGAATTTAAAAAGGAGGAATAAACACTCTAACCTGTTCTAACTCTTACCTGCGTGGCTGATGACGAGGTCAGCCTGCCTCATGTCCTCTGCAATGGAGTCTTTGAATCGGAAAGCCTCCAGTCTGAGCTGGGGACAGGCGTCAGCGGCTGGAAGAAGAGAACCCCTTCCAACCTGAAGAACCAGACGCTGGTACCCACGAGCCTTTAACTCCTGCAACGAGAGGCGAAAACTTGTGAGTTTGGTCGGTTTTCCATAGTGTAATGTTTAACAAGCTATCGGAAACGTCAAATGCAGCTCTAGATGAGCATCCCGGGGGATCCTGTGAGATGATTTCCATATGAATTATCATTCGGAAGCAGAAACCTAGAAATCCTCATTTCTAATTTAATGCATTGAAGTGAATAATCCTTTGGGTGGTGTTGCGTTATAAGTTTGTATAACAGTATTATGGGACGAAACATGAACGTTTCAAGTTCTTTAATGGTATCTGGGTAGAGAATGAAAAAAATGTTTGGTACACCAGTGCATTCAATATGACTTCTAGTTTGAATTCATAAGCTTTTACAGTTAAAACTAGCAGACATGGTACACGGTCCGTTTTCTTGGCAATGTGAATACTTTGGATACTCTGAGTGCCCTCAGGCTGGAACCCGTGAACTTTAACAAATCAAAGAGCTTCCTCCTCCCACTGGACTCCGTGCCAGGACTTTGGTGCAGCTGCCTTCTGTTAGTGCTTCTTTGTGAGGCTCAGACATCCATTTTGGTCCTCAGGAGCTTTAGAAACATGCTCATCTGAGCTGAAACCAGGTGACCGACGGCAGTAGTTTTTTGGTCGATTTACCGTCTCAGAGCAGTGGTGAGCTGTTCCATCGGTTTTGTTGCACCTCACTGAATGTGGGCATAAAGCACACGGCTCGGGTCTCACAGACACAAAATAAACAGCTTCCACCATAACTGAGAGATGGTGGTCAGAAGCTGGAATTTGGCTCAGGGGTAATTTACTTTTTCCCCCATTCACGCTCTATTCTCCAAATAATTATGGTACAATTAATCTTGACTTAATCCCTCTAAAGATCTGACACTAATCCTTTAGCTCTCACAGTACCAGTCCTTATCTTAAAGTAAACCCCCTCTCACAGTCTGCTCTGACAATGACACAATTGTCGCCTACTTTCATCTCAGTCTTTTTGGGGGGGAAAAAAGAGTTCACAAATCATCAACTGTAGTTGTTCACTGTCAATTTTTTTTTTCTTATGGACAAACACCTAAATTAAAGCAGGTCTACCTCTTCATTTCGAATAGGATGTGGGGCCATACAGAGGAGTAAAAACATTTATTACATTATGAGAGATTTAATTTATAACAGTAAACATCATGATGAATTAAAAAAACAGCAGCAACAGGAAAATAAATAAGTTAAATAAAACTTGTAAGTTGATAAGTTAGTTAATAAGTTAATAGGTTAAAGTAAACTTGCAGTTCCCTGGTTATAACAAGTATTTCAAAAGTTAAAAATCAATCCACTGCTGTTAGAAGAGCAGAGGCCAGACTATGGACAAGTTACTATGAAACTCAAGGTTATCCATGACTTTCAAATACAGGAGTTGTACATAACTTACAGGCAGTGTTTTTCTTTTTATATCAAGATTTTGTGTTCAGATGATAAATCTATATGTACCCAGTTATTTTAACTAAACACTATTCTGATAATTTATGTCAGAGCCCAGCAGATGTGTATATACTCACCTGTTTATTGTGCTTTTATCGGAAACTAACACTCCTGTGTTCAGCTGTCATATGACAGCATGGTCCCGTATTTACCAAAGTCACACGTCAGTCTGGGAAACGATGTGTAAAGAGGTCTTTACTCACCTGCGCAGCCTCGCAGGACGTAACGCTTTCAATCAGCTCGTCAAAGCTGGTGGTCCCCACGGTCACGAACACGGTCTTCATGTCTGCCCACGGAGGGCCGCCGCTTTCTCCCGGCGTAGTTCGGCGTCTCCGGTCTCTTACTGACGCCTCATCCTCAGCCTCTTCCCCGCTGCCCGGCACAGACCAGACGGAGGCTTCCGCAAATGACGTCACAGTGGGAACCCGGAAACGGGTCGCAGGGACCCGGAAGCGGGTCACGGCGCCCCCTGCAGGCCCGGAGGAGCTCCCTGTGCAGGGTGACGTAGCTGAGCAGCGCTGGGGAGATGCAGCAGACTCATCCACAGATATGGAGTCACACCGACATACACAGAAATGGTGGAAACAGGCGTAAGCGTTTGAATAATTCAGTACGAGTGTTGCGGAGTTTATTGACTGTACAAGTAATGTTGCAAAACAACAGGATTGCACAGATACTGTCAACTAATGAACAGGGATCACTCTAGTACACTAACATGTGTGCTAATACGATAACAATTAACCTAAGCGACTTCCAAATATACAAAATAGTTCATCAAAAAAGCCATTTACAATAAACAGTTTGCAAGAAAACAAGACAATGGGGGTTGGCCGGGGTTGAGAGAAGAAGGAAGTGTATTGCAAGGGATTAGTTTTACAAAAGAAGGTAAAAGCAAAGTTTTTAAGAGCATCTCAGAAAGCAATCTGAACATCTGATTCAGATTATTTGGATGGCTGGAGTCAATACATTAGGTGTTAAAGGTCATGATAGATTAGTTTATGGGCCCTTGTTATAGTTTGGTTAAGGTGTTCTATCTGTCATAGCTTTCTATTCATTCTTAGTTGGCATTTTAAGGTGATAGCTTGCTAACCCAGTGGGGATGTAATGAGGATAAAGACTATCTGTGGCCCAGGAGCCAGAAAAAGCCAACAGCGTATGCCATGCCATGACTCTCAGCTGTCCAGCACAACTCCGTCAAAGAGAATGCGGTGAATTTTCTAGGTCATCATACCACTCCTGACTTTTCGCATCCTGATACAGTCATTCATTTTGACACCTGAGACAAAGGCCGTGCCTGCTGTGAAAGAGGAAAAACTGGTGCTGACTGCCTGCCCTTATTTTGAACCCGGCTCCCTTGTGACAGTGAATAAGTGCCTTGTCTCCTTCAAAGCGCCGCGGTCCTTTTTCGCTTCGTGCAGAGAAACTCTCCAGAAACAAACGGCACGGGGGAGTGGGCAGAAAGACTTCCTGAACACCAGGCCTGCAGCCGCTCTGCAGAGAAAACCAGGGCGACACACAGGAGTGTGTTCAGAGTGTGATTTTAACGTTTTCAGTTGTGCAAAGCTACACCCACGGGTTTCCTCCAGACGTCTCCTCCGACACCTTTATCCTGTTGCCAATAAATGGTCTTCCTGTAAATGTAGGCCAAACGTTCCTCTCTTGGGGTTTTCTTATTGTTTACTTTGACAACACAAACCTTTAACACTGTCGCACACAGAGCCTCCGCAGCAGAGACCTTTGTCTTTAACTGTCTCTCTGCTTTTTGTGGTTGTTTTTTTTCCCCTTTTTTCTGGCCTTCTCCCCAGCGCTGCTTCATCACTGTTGCCCTCCTGTGGTATGATGAAGATGCTGCCATAAATTAGACAAAGGGCCTCACATGCTGGCTGCAGCCTGGAGGGGCAGACCTGCCATCAAGGGGCAGTTCAGCCCATGATGCACAGCTCAATTCAAATTACGGTCAAGCTCAGGAAATGTGCAGATTGTGGCTCATAATACAGACTTATCTTGTTGGAAACGGTGAGCTAACATGTCACAGCTTCCCACCTTTCTGTGGTGTTTTGTGATGATCAAGCATGCAGTTTGGCCGTTTTTAACTCCTGCTCATCATCCTTGTTTTTTATGTGACTGACCACTATTTCTAACTATCACTTCTTAGAAAGTATAGAAAAACATAATCATATCAAATGATATCTGAATAAAGAACAAAATAAACAAAAAAAGACTTATTAATCAACCGATAAGTCGTTTGATAGCAGCAGTCAGTGCTGATTCCTGCCATGTGCAGGTGGACCGATGTCAGCCCCTCAGCGGCAGCTTCACCCGGTAGCTGCAGACCAAAGGGAGGAGGAGCCTTTGTCTTCATGACAATCTAAGAAACATGTTCTGACATGCTTTTAATGGGCTATTTAAGTCATCTGCTTAATGGAATAGAAATAACTGTGAATGACAGCAGCTTTATGACCGCACTGGTACACAACTCTCTGTATTTACAGACATGCTGAGTGCCTCCTCCCACCTGAGTGTGCAGGAACATCAAGTGTTTGTTTGCATGGCTTCAGTTTAGGAGGATTTTAGTCGCACATCGTGATGGAGTCCACATCTGTCAGCGCTCCACAAATTCCTCATTGTGCAAAGCTGTGAGGAGACACAAAGGCCATCTCACAGTTCTGACTCGTCTCAACTTTGTGCCGCATATTTTTGGACAAAGTGAGGACTGTAGATTTAGTCCCATCACCCACACTGAAGCGTGGCTACAAAGAGGCCTATGTGGAGCCCGTCCCGATCGTCAGCACTTAGCTTTATGAAAATGGTTAGTTAAAATGTAAAAATATCCCACCATTCTGTTCACATTTTACCAAATATAAGAGTCAAGAACCCAAAGCACCAGCACCACAGCTGGTGGAAGCTTTCCCTACTGGAAAACCAAGATCGAGTTGTCCCAGATTTTGAGACAAATCGTGTATTACTATCCCAATGAGTTCCTTTGGTGACTGGGAAACAAACAAGATTAAATTCTCCTTTTGGAATTAGATACTGTGGAACTTTAAATGATAAGAGGGAGCTTTCATCCTAGCCAAAGTTAATAATTTCATCCATGTCCCACCACAAAAACAGACAATCCAGCATGTTTATTTTTAAATGATTACAGCCATTTATCTTCAAAGGAGGAAAAAAAGTGACAGCAGGGTGCAACAGAAATTTTAAGGCTTTGTTAAAATCTCAGCTTAAAAGAGAAAAAGAGAAACACCATTTATCCTGAAAACTCACAAAAAGCAAAGGCTAGTACAAAACTATAAGTTTAAAACTGGCTACCCATGTCGTTATCTCTTTAATAAATACGTACTGTAATAAAATGAAAAATACAAAGTTAAATCTGATTAACTGTGCCAGACATTTTATCAAACCACATCGCAGCGGGAGTTATTTGACAACAAGAAATAAGCATCTCCTGAAACACAAATATGGAGTGTTAGCTTACTTTGGTCGTTCCAAAATCTACACACTCTTTAGTAAAACTGAGAATGGAAGACCTGCGTCCATGTGAGCCATGCCTTTAAGAAACCATGACAAAATTCAAGCTAAAAACAAAACTAATAAAGGCTCATCTTCATTGCTTCAAGTTGCTCTGGTTGTTCAAACATTTTCACTTTGGAGCTTGCGTGTTTCCAGATGAGTTCAGCTGCTTCCTGTTACTAAAGTCAGTTTAAAAAATAATGAAAAATCTTCATGGAAATTTTTCTGGCTTAATCCCATGTCACACACCCTGTTTAACTGTCCCCAAAAAAAAAAAAAGAAATAACATAAAAAGCACATACTGAAGTTTGTGCCAGAGAACTTCTAAGGAGAAAGTTTTCAGAATGAGGTGAAGAGCTGCACACCAACGTAAGTATGCATGCTTAAAAGTCAAAATCTTTAATATAATGAAATACTTTTATCAAATTCCGTATGAGCCATAATACATGTAATAATATAGAATATGATAACGATTAAAGCTCTTAAAAAAAGAAGAAAAAAAAAAAAAGCTGCAACCTCACAAAACAATCCTGTGTAGTATTTCAGGGATACTTCCATCTAGAAGAAGGAAAACAATGAGAGATTCACAGAGGGCTGCTCTTAAACGTCAGTCTTTCTGACCGCATCCTGGGTCGTCGTGAAGGCCGGCGAGGTTGCAGCGGGAGCGTCCTCCAACAGTCAGTATATCAAAAATAGGGCCGGCGCCGCGCCGCCAGAGGCTCTGTGTCAGGCAGAAGCCCCCGCGAGCAGAGCCGTCACCCGGGGTGGGAGGTGTGTGTCAGACAGGTTCAGCGTCAGGGAGTCCCCAGGTTCATTCAAAAGGTTTGTGGAGATCCAGACATATGTAATTGCTCTTCAAAAGCACAGAGGGGGAAAAAAAGAAACAAAAAAAAGGTGTAATGCAAAGGGTTTTTATAGACATGCAGAAAACACTGAATGCTCGTCTATGTTAATTTGAATTCTATTTTTGTGCCTAATTTCTTTGTGGGGATGTGACACTTGGTTCTTGCTGCGGCTCAGCTGGCGCAGCCGTGTGCCTCACGGCCCTGTCCTCTGCTCTGCCCCCTCTGCCCTGAGCCGCTCACACTGTTGCTGTCTCTGCTCCGAATACTTTCTGTGATCCTGTGATAACAGGCCCAACCAACGGTCTGCGGCACCACCCACTCCGTTTCACACTTTCAGCCGAGCCTCCCCGGTGCCCCATACTGTACAGAACCCCCCCCCCCACAGGGTGCCCCTACCTGGTTCTCACTGCACCACGCAGGCCGTGCAGCACTGCTCCTGCTTCTCGGGCAGCGTGGAGTAATTCATCTGTCGCACGATCTCGGCAAAAAGCTCGTCCACCATGGTCTTGCTCTTGGCAGAGGTCTCGATGAAAGGGCATCCCCACTCCTGAGCCAGAGCTCTTCCATCCGAGCCGTTGACCTCACGCTCGGACTCCAGGTCGACTTTGTTGCCGACCAGGATCAATGGCACCTTCTCAAAGCGCTTCACTCGCACTATTTGGTCTCGCATTGGTCTGATGTCCTGAAACATGGTTAGAGAGTTGAGCATGAAAATTTCATTCTTCTTGAGCTGGCTCTCTGTAAGGGTCTAATTAGGTCTAAAAAGGTTTCACAAACCTTTACAGCTGTACTACAAAGCACTACAAAACAAATATGGCCCCAAAAGGTTGAATACAATCAGTACTGCACCCTCTTTAAACTTCACTCACTCTAAAGATTGCTTTCTGTCGTTTTTTGCTGAGGGATCTGGTAAACTCAGTTATTCAACATTTAAAGTTGTAGTAACACAGAGGTAAATGTATGGCAGCATCACACTCTCCCGCCCGTGTTCATGCTGAAGCGGTTCTGCTTCGGTAAACTTGCCACAGCCCAAAGGTGCACAACACATTTCTATTTAGTAAAATGACATGACGACATGACATAATGTAAACAGAAAAAACAACGAGCCAAAGAGAAACCACATTACAAAAAAAGCTCTTTTGTGTACTAACCTGAGGTGAAAATGGCTTAAGAATGATATTTTATGTCTTTATAAAGTTTTAGCAGTATTGTTTGTCATGTGGCATTTTGAGTTTTGTTCCTGAAGACCTCGCAGGTCAAGAAACAGAGACAACTGACTGAGTTTTGTGGTGCATGGAGCTTCTGACAGATGCTGTGTGCCCAACGCCTGAATTAATGGATGGGCTGTTGGAGCCTATAACCGACTATAAGCCAAACAGAGGTTGATCTGACTGTGTGCTGTGTCCATGCGTGAGGTACCCCCCCCAGCTACCTGAAATGACTGCTGGTTAACCAGGCTGTAGACCAGGATGAAGCCCTGTCCGTTCTTAATGTAGAGGTCCCTCATGGAGGCGAACTGCTCCGTCCCCGCCGTGTCCAGGATCTCCAGCACGGAGGGAGACGAGTCCACCTCGATCTCCTTTCGATAGAAATCCTCGATGGTCGGGTCGTACTTCTCGATGAAGGTGCCGGTGACAAACTGCACGGTGAGCGCGGACTTCCCGACGCCGCCGCTGCCCAGCACGACAACTTTGTATTCTTTCATTGGGGCGGTGGAGGCTGGCTAGTTTAGCAGCTAACGACGTAGCTTCGCTGCTATACTCGCTCCATAAACATTTATCGGGGCTTAAAAAGAGCTAGCGAGCAATCTGGAACAGGTTGCCAAAATACAGTAACCCGAGCTTATTCACACTGATTCGAGTTTCACGCGCATACTTTTATAACACTGTCTGACTTGTTGGCGAGTAGACAGACGTTGATGTCCGTTAACTCCGCCGTTAGCTGGCGTTACAGCTAGCTCGCGACTGGCTATATTCCAGCTTTGCCATCTTCGAGCTTCAAGCCTTCACACCCACTCTGAAGCACCACAAGTGGCCTCGGACTCACCGGAAAAACTCCCCGTTGGCCCCCACACTGCATGCCCACCGACCCATAAACGCACCACACCGCCGGTGTCGCCGCGCCGCTGGTGACCGTTAGTCCGGGTCCAGGCCTGGTTCTGGTTCCGGCCCGGCCCGGCGCCTCGGCAGCCGAGCTTGCTATCGACGCAAACTTACTAATGTAAGCCTGCGATCCATTGGTCACCGTTTCGTGGTACCCCGGTCAACGTTTAATTAAGTGCAGGGCAGGTCTGAAGGCAGAAAGGAAATCTTTTTCCACCAACTGATTTCCTGAAGCTAGCAGCCCACTTCCGCTAATGAGGGGTAGACTTCCGGTGGGACTGTTTTCAGACTAAAAGCCTCACAGGAAGTCTTTGTAGAGACTCTGTCTACACTACATAGAGGGTAACTTGATAGTTTGGTCTGTTGACTAATTTCTTCAGATTGATTGGACCACTTCAGTAACTGTGGCCAAAAAAAGTCTAAAACAATACATGCAGTTTCCTCAGAGGTCTAAAATCTCTCACGTTGTTCTGCTCAATGCTCAGTGTGCGCTCAAAGCCACTGATAGAATGAGACAATTTCATATTTGGTATTGCTGTTCAGTAGAAAATTCTCTTCTAGAAAAAATGGTCTTGTGTATCATGTGTACACCAAAGGAGGGCAGTGACATTGTGTGGAAATGTCAATGTTCTGCAGGGCTCAGGGGTCCCACAATGGAGGAGTATTTTTTTTAAGGAGGAAGGCATCAGCCAAAAGCAAATAACTTGTTTCCATTCTTTTGATCAGACTTTATGTCTAATAAACCTTACTTACTTCTTTTACTGTTTTGATATGTGCTGTTTCAGCACTCTTTTTCATCCAGCTCCCTGGTTCCCACAGGAATTGTTTTGGAAAGCATGATCATCTTTGTGGGAGAGGTCTGCTCAGCTGGGGTACATCTCTCACTAAATTGCTTTTGTCACTATTAGTACTACTTATTAGTATATCAACAACTAGCTCTGACTTTGTAGTGCATTAAAATGCTCTATGTTCTCCCAGTTGAGCTAAGATACTTCTTGAACACACTGCACATTAAGGAAGGTAAAGAACAAATTTGGGGGCATGCATTTTAGATTCATGCAATCTATTCTTGGGTGCATCCACAAAACATTTACCGTACATCCTATGGCCAGGAGAAGGACCTTTGGTCCTCTATGACTCCTCTGCTGACTTTACAACACCTTGTGTGGATGCATCTCTGCTTTAGAAGCATATAGATTGTAAAGTCTCCTTAATCTTAATCACTTATTTATGATGTGTACATCTGTCCCAGTGCAGAATATGAGGACTTTTTTCAAACAACCATTGACTTCTGTTACCCCAGAAAGTACTTTAAGACAAAAAAAAAATATCTTAAAAAACAACTAATATTCATACATATATATATTTATAGAGGAATACAATTATAAAAATTGTCCAAAAAGCAAACTCCAAAACACACGACTGGAGGTTCACAATATTGTGTTTTATTGAAGGTAAAACAAAAATGGCAAAACCCGTCATAGGCACAATAACTTACTCTTAATAGCGGTACACTGCAAAATAAATTGGCATGTAGCACATCAGCACACATAGGCACCACGAGCAGAAAACAGGGTGAAACAATAGGTGACTAAGAAACAGCAGTCTGTCAGAGAGTGTCAGAGTTTATCTTATGGCTTAGTCCTGAACAGTCTTAGGCCCTCTTTGTTTTCAGCAGGCTGCCATTCAGTCTGTGATTTCTGTGTCCACTTTGGAGAGAAGTGTAATGACGCATGGAAAAAAAAAAAGGTTAAAATGGGGCAAAATATTACTCACATTTCGCTTAGTCCTGTTTATATTTTTTAATGAAATGTTGAAAACAAGTGTATTTGGCAACACAAAAGGCACAATTAAAGCTCAAAACAACCTAGATGACTCAGGGATGTCAAATTATTCACCCGTACAAAGGAAAGCCACAGGATTTTGAGACTTTTCCGATCGCTGGGATGCAAGTGGTGTGGAGAGATGCTGAGTCGTTGTTAAGTGGCTTTGGGGAGTTTGGCTGAGCATTGATCAAAGCCCCGTCTCCCTCTACAGACACCTACAAAACAATACTCAGCAGTCAGAGGGCGTTGAACCGAGTCAACAGGATGAATCACTTAATCCACCTCCAGACCAAGTGCCATGGAAACAAAATCGCTGGCTTTAAAAGCAGTTGGAAAGCAAAACAAGTCCAATTTTTTTCTGGAACAGAGCTGTGTGACGCTGAAAAAACAGGGTTGGTTGCAGGCTTTATCCAAAATGCGGATGAAAACTGGGTCTCATCGTAGTTTTGGATAAACAAAGAAAAACCCCCTGCTGTAAGTGACAGAAGCAATTTCAAAATCCCGTGAACACATTAAACATCACGTCTCCTCTTTTCTTTTCTGTCCAGCCTGTGGATGGAGTCACTGTGTGCTTCATTTTGGTGCTTTACTGAGACGAGGAGAGTCTGCATGTTGTGTGTTCATCAAACGCGTTTACAGACAGGCTTAGTGCTGTTATCACTAATTTATTGCAGGATAACTCTTTCCTCTGATTCTCCATGTTTGATGTCAGTGTCATATGTCACTGAACCAAAAAATCTTTGTAAAGCAAACTACTGATAGTTCACAGCGACACAACATCATGCTTGGCAAAGAGCAGGGCCCCAACAAACACAAACCAAAAAGACAGATACCTAAAAGAAATATTATCACACTGTAATTCAGCAACAGACATATCACTGACAATACATCGATTTTTTTTAATCATCTTTTTTTCTGTATTTATTTAAAAATAAATTCAGATTATTTGAACATATTTATGTACATAAGTGCAAACAAGGTGAGCATCACACATTCGTACACATCTCCGTCAGGGTCGAAGTCACCCAGCACAGCTGAGCAGGACGAGGCCTTTGGACCACCTTCTCGGGTCAGTCTGAGACAGAACTGGCCAAAGAGAACCCAGCAGAGCCATCAGAGAGGACCAGTTTGACCTTTCAGAGAAAGCTCTTTAGCTGGTCCAAAAGCCTCTTTACTCTCCTTGACAGGTAAGTGTCTGCTTTTAAAGTCCTTTCTTATTTCTCAAAAAACACAATATACAAAGAAATGAAAACATCTCAAACATTTAAATCGACAAAACCCCCAAAACAGATCAAAACAAACAAACGAACCAAAAAATACCCCAAAAGAATAACACTAAACCTCTCATAAGAACCTTTGGATATCACAAGCATTTAAGTTTTTCCATATAAAATATTGAATCATGTTGCAATTATAAGACAAACTAATTAAACATTCCCTTTTTGAGTAAGTCAGTGTTGTGTGTTCATTAAATTTATGAGAAAAAATTTATATTAGGATAATAGAAAGGTAGCCATGTTGTCATTTTGTCGCCAAAGCAACAAAAACTATTACCACGACCAATGACGTCATCATTGTGCACAAATCATTTTCAGATTATTTTCTTTTTCCTGTTGGTCTAGAGTCTAGACAAACTATTAACTATACCTATTAATATTTTCATGCCATATGTTTTTTTTTGTTGATGTAAAAAAAAAAAAAGATTAAATGACTGTTATTACATTTAATTTTTAACACTATCACGTCTTTATACAGTTATCAAGAAATAAGGCCCTTTGTTTATTTGTACTGAGGACTCCGTGATCCGTCCACATGCTGAAGAATCGGATTACAGCCAGTGTTTTCTATATTCTCATTTTAGGAGTATGGATCATCTGGAGAATAAAATAAAAAAAGTAACATAATATACAAGAGAATGGGGGGGTGATTTTTTTCTCATTTCCATTCTTCAAACTAACATTTTATCATCCTTGACATCTAAACGCACTATAAAATCTAAACGCACAAGAAAAATCTAGACAGTTTAAGTAATCAAAACATGGACAGAGGTCAATGAAGGCAAACAGATGTTGAGGAGCGGCTGGATGACGCTCCTTTTTCACAGTCGTCATATTTAAACAATCTGAATTGTCTGGGCGTTCGGGGGAAAACGAGGCTGCTCTGTTGAATATGGCAGGATATGGTAAGTGTGTACGGTTAGATCCACTAAGCTCGCTCACACACATTGACTTTGTTTTTGAGGGTTAAATGATTGAATCATGTCTGGACAAAACGTATGGAGCCTGAACCAGATGGTGATAATATCAGCTACAATAGCTGGCTAAAATAAATCCATTAGCTTCTGAGAGTGACCTATGAAACGTGTTTTATTCCCACTTTATCTATTTGAGATGGGCTTGCACCTTTTGCACTTAAACCGATGAACGGATAAGAAAGGCCAAATCCGGCCCCTGCCTTTGTGTCCTCTCTGTATTTGAAATCATCAAATGTCTAAAAAGTATGAATTACACTGCTGGTTGCCTGGCAACCTTGTTCAGAGAATTCCAGGTTGGAGCCGTTGTTTCCCCAGAAGCAGTTAGCGAGCTACGCACTGCAGACAAAGGAGGCGGTTTTTCACAGTTTGTGCGTTAACTGAGTGAGAGCAGATGCAACGTGTTGATTGCACATCTGGGTGTTGCTGTTAGGATTTAGTTTAGGATAGCTCCAGGCTTTTGTCTGCCGGCTCTACCGGCCCCAGTTCATTTGCTGCTGGTTCTCACTTCATATTCAACAAACAAATATAGAATATTTTACATAAAGGGGGAAAAAAATATGTTTCCTCTGTCTTTAAGTGTTACATTTAAGGTTGGGGTGCCTTAGAGGGGGAAACAATTAAACTGGATATGAATCAATAACAATTCCACGCTTTGCTGGGTGGTCAGTCTGCAAGGCTCTGTTCACAAGCCTCGCAAAGAGTTAACAAAGGGGAGAAGTATCCCATCCACATCATTACATCAAACAGATATTTAACCCAAAAAGACAAACAGACTCTCTTATATTCTGTCCACTGATTTTACATCTTGTTTCTAGTGCATTTTAGCCACTTTGGGTATAGATAATTCACCAGGAAATGCACAGATTTTTCATTTCTTTTTCTGCCAGCAGACTTTGTTCTGCAAATCTGAGCATTCAGATTCACACTGAATCTGAGTCTGTACTGACGTAGGCCAAAAGCCTTTAGCTTTTACTGCTAAATTTGACTGCGGCCTACTGCTCATGCAGTGAAAAACTCTGGTTTAATGCGCAGCAGGTTCAACGACGCCAATGGGTTAGAAGCTGGAGGTCACAGACTGGGCCTGTTTCTGTTGTGGAGGTGTAAATTATCATCAAATTTAACCCTAACCCAAAGTTAGTACTGTCAAAATTATCCTCAAACCTTTATCTGAAAGCAGAGTTGGGAAAAAAAGAGTTTGATGGCTCAAATCGACCGATAAACATAAAACTAAAGATATGAACTTTAAACTACATTCACAGAACCCTGTTGTTAGATACACCTTTTTAATCCTATAATATTCTGAGACGAAACAGTGTGATGTACCAAAGAGTACCTCTCTGATCTAACTTTGAGAGTGAAAAATATTTCTAAAAGTAATCACACCATTGACATTTAATATAAATCTATATGACAATACACATATTTCTATACGTCTTAACACAGTATCAGTGTGGTACCTCTGAAATAGTCTATATAGAGTGAAACATTACATTTCAGCATGCCTGTCTGTCAGCCGGGCATGTGTACAGTTTTTGCATTAGATACATTCACAACACATTATTTCGAACAAATAATGTTTCGTGGGAAATTCTGGAATATCTGCAGCATTTACAAACAACCAAATCCAAGATTCGTTTTGTCTCTCCGCAGTGCGTATGAACACAACTCTTTAGTTTTTATCATACATGAACAATAAGACAGCACAGCTGTCTCAGAGGAAACTGGTTATGTTTTCTGCCTTTAATAGTGCTCTAAATAAAACAGGTATCTCTGAACACTGGTCAGCTCGGTGTATTGACAGTAGCGGTTCGAGGAGACTTGAAAGAGGCACATTTGAATTTGGACACACGTGATTTTAGCCCAGTTTCAAAACTTCAATTTCTCACACATGCAAAACAATCAGCTGGAATCGGCTGTCAAGCAAAAGTCCAACTGGTTTGTACGTTTTCTCTTCCAAACGTGTGATCTATTTGAGTATTTCTTCTCTTCACTGCAAATTGATTGTGGTTATAAAAACTGTGGCTTCTGTATCAAGAGTCTGACGGCTGTCGACAAAACTCATGCAGCAGTAGAAAAACCATGACATGTTTTAATGTCAAACAGGACATTTTCAAGTTGTAAAATTTCTCCCTGAAGAGGCACAAAACAAAAACCCTCTGCTGCTTTTTCACTCAAAAAGCCACAAGCTAATCACGCAAACAAATTTCCTTTTCAAAACCATCTCTGCGGTTGACTTACACATTATTTGGAGGGATTATCTATGTATTGCAACAAACGGGCAGCTCCTTGCATATTCAGCAGACTTTAGGCACAACATTAGGAAACCGTTCCAGCTCCCATTTTGTGCAGTGACTGACATCAGGTGTAAAAACGATAACAGTTGTTATCCTGCAATTGACCTGTGAATAATTACTTTATCATATGATTTTAGATGTCGAGGAGACAGAAAATGACCAAAAAGGGGGTGTGGAAATCAAGTAATGTATGCAGGAAACAGCATAAACAAACCCTTCTTTCTTTAGTATTCATACACAATTACCCAAAGCCAGACTATTAAAGGTCTGACATCAGGACAGAAGAAAGCAGAAATGAATCAGATTAATATTTAAGCAGTCTGGTCTCATTCTCATGAGAGCTACAGAGACTAATGAAAAACAAATGACACCACCTGCTTTAAGGCAGCTTGTTCTTCAATCTTTGTTTTAAATTCAGAAATTAACAACCACCATCCTTTAAAAAACAACTCTTCAATCAGCCCCATTAACACAGGTGATTATATCCGAACTCCAAGTAACTGTAAAGTGTAGTTTTTCAGAATGATGCAGTTAATGATACATATCATTTGCTGCAATAACTCACATCCTAAATATAAAACAGGGATAAAAACTGATTAAAATCCTACTACATTCATGAAACACAATGAATCTTGGAAACCAGAGGCTAGCAGAGTGAAGGTTTGTAGACAATGTTGCCTTTAATCTTTATTATTAAAGGCAACATTAATCTTTATTATTATTTATTAGTCTTTTAATGTGTGTAGTAGCTGTGAGGGACTCAAATTAAACTGGGAAACAAAGTCTCCTCCGCAGCCGAGCAGAAAACTCAAAGGCACAAACAAATGAACAGCAACTTCTTATGGGCATTTTTCTTCAGGCTAGATGAGACCATGAGAACAACTGAAGGGTATACAGCACATGGTACAACAGAATAGCTTCATTTGAAGTCATCCTGAAACAATAAATGAGCTCATGAAACACTTTTCAGCACACGTCACGTTAGAAGGACAGCAGCAGGTCCGTCTGCTGCTCGAATACTCTGAACTATTCTGACTTTGGAACAGTCAAATGTGTTGAGTCACCTTGTGAAATGGCTGCCGCCCATAAAGGGTATTTGTTTTGAATGTGTGCGTGTGTGTGTGTATGGCTGTCAGAATGAGGGAGCTCATATTGCTCATCAAGTCGGTGCGCGTCAGGATGCTGCTGCAGCCGTCCTGATGCAGCCAAAGCAACGCGTCCAGCCTCGTATTGCATTAACCTTTGCAGCTTTCTCTGCTTCAAAACATCATCGCCATCGAGAAGTTTCACATTATCTCTCAGTCAGTGTGCACTGGAGGTGAGGCACATGTTTGCTGCAGGGCCGCAGGTTTCGGGGGCTTTAACTAGGGTTTCGGGAAAGGCTTACTGAGTTTAGCGCCACTGGAGCCGCCACCAGCAGCTTGGGGACGGGGCAGAAATGAGTTTCCATGGGAATGCACTGGAGCTCCACGGGATCGGAGGTTAGGAGCTCTGATGGGTCTACTGAAACAGAGAGAAAGGAGAGGAGGAGGTGACTTTTGGTGATGATGTGCTGCCCGATAATCATGACCACAGCAAATGATCCAGCTGGAACAGCAGATATTTTCTTCTCAAATGATGAGTGTTCAGGGGGGAGGAAAAAGGCACAGCTTTACTTTAGAAGCTGAGAGGATAAATAAGCCAAAAGATATCTCTTTGGAATCACTGCACTTAATTTAAGCGTAAATCAATAAGACCCTACACTGACTGAAAGAACAGTTGAAAAGCTGCATCTATCTGAGCAGAGTTTGTTCAACAGAGGAGACGGGTTTACAACAACAGGGAAGACTGAAGCAGGAGGGACGGATCAGCACCAAATGTAGACGTCTAAATGAAAACGGCCTCCTGTTTGAATCATTTTCATGAAGTAAACGAAGACAGGTGAAATGTGAACACTACAAGCAGGCGGCAGTGAACTGGCTCTACAGAGCTAAAACCAAAGAACAGAAATGAAAGAGCAAACCTGATTCGAGGTGGTAGATTCAGCGAAAGGAACATTGGTGACTGGGGTCGAGGCCGACGAAACAGTGGAGGTGGTGGCACCGTGCATCATGGGAACTTTAATTCAGGCGTGTCGGACGACAGACAGAGGACGAGGATGTGGGCGGGGAGGAGGGGGGAGGACAGGAATGATATGGTTACCATGGCAAAATGTGTAGAATTAAAAAGTCATGGCACAAGTCAAGTGATTTTGCCAGGATGAATTTGAACAGGTATCAGGACACATGCAAGCAAACAAAAAAAAGAATAGCACATAATTAATAAGCTAACCAGATAGAAAAATAACAAAAGGCATCATTCACAAGCAAATGATAACTGAACAAACAAGCCAATACGAAGTCATACAATCTAATCAGACTGGAGGATCTGATAATTGTATTCAATGAGCTGAGTATGGAAGGACCAAATGATTTGTAAGGAAGACAGCTTTTTTTTTTATCACCTCACAGCTTCAATTAAACAGGAGGATTTGGACTAAAGGACGGGTGTAGATGCTGACTGCATGCTGAGATGGCAGCTGCGTTCGTCCCTGTATGACCGCTGCATCTGTGCGTACACACGGCCAAAGCTCTGCTTTTATTCACACACATTCCTGAGCAGAAGTTGGCCGATTCCCTATGATGTGTGGGAATGTTGTCACATGCTCGTTATTTACACATGTATGCGTCAGCATGAGGGCCCAGGAGCCCTGTTTCAAGCTGTTACTGATGGACTTAGTTCGCCGTGTTGGACATGAAAACACTTTGTTTTTTCACACATTTAAGAAAACAACCAACGCATAGTTAAGTGCAGCATTACCTCTACTGAGTGTGTGTCATCTCATCTGTTCCAAGCTCAACATCAGACAATCTGAGCAAACACCACTGCTCATTTTGCAGTTCGGTGGGGTTACAGGGGACCTGAGCTGCGCTCCTTTGACATTTCCAGCGCCAGATCTGGGTGTTTAAGTCAGTCATCTGACAAGTGAAGCTCTGCAGTGCAGCAGAGCTACAGGGGCCCAGCCATTGGGGGGTTTGGGGGGGCTGGTGTGAGTAGGGCCTGTGCTCCTCATCAGTTCCTAACTGAGCTGAGCACACATAAAGGACATTCACACATGAACAAACAGCTGGCACACTCAGACTAAGTTTGCACTATGTAAACGCCTTACTCAAACATGACTTAAAAGTTATTTGTAGACCACCACTTTATTGTTGTGGTGTGTCTCTGGTGACATGGACATCCTGTGATTGTCTGTCCACTGAGGTGAGCAGCTGCTCTTTGAAGCAGAGGTGAGACATTTGGTCAGTCTCTTTGTCTGTGCCCTGAAAACGACAAGTGACCTATGCCTTTGCTTTTAATGCTCGGTTACAAATGTACAAATGAACTGATGAGGAAACAAAGCCTCACATCTCACCTTAAGACAAAATGATGATTCAGGAGAAAAAAACATTATTTGTTAGAAAGCAAAACAGCAAAGACATCCAAATAATTCCTTAAGGCAGAGCTGGTCTTGTGTTTGTTTTTTCCAGCTTTTCTTTCCTTTACCATATTAATCAGTACAACTGAAGTAGAAAAAGAAAAACGAGAATGTCTGAAATCTAAGTATTTTATACTGTTAAAATAACTTAAACCCATAATAAAACTAATCACATGTCATCAACAAAGCAATGATAATAAATGGATCGGAGCTCAAATAGTGATTGATCATAAGAGCAATATTGCCGGTTTGAGCTCGAGTTCACTGAATATGAAATACATCCTGTCTTACATATTCACTCAACTCTTTCAGAAAGGACACACGCACACACATGAAAATAAATTTAAGTTGGTCTTGTCGTTTAAATCAAACCGATCTGCTACATGAAAACAAGTTTGTGATATTGTCCTCCATTTGAATGATCACCCTATGAAAACATGGTAAAGTTAATGATATGTCACGCTGCATCAAGTCAGCACAGTGCAACATGGGCCCTAAAGGCACACAGGTAAACACACAAAGAGCAAAAATGAAAGAAAACAAAAAAAGGGTGGGGTGAAGAATAAGACGGTGCGAGTGTGGTCAGCAGGCCAGGGCAAGTCTGCAGGCCCGGGTTAGTGCAGGCAGCACGAGCAACGCAGACACCACCACACAAAGGCCGCGGCCAAAAACCTGCTTTCAGCTTTCCCAGACCACAAAGCTCTCTTTGGCATGTGATCGCACAGTGATCGAGGCCTTTGTCGATCTCGATTGCTGAACGTGGGCTTTTAAAGCCCAGTTCAAAATATTTTTTACAGAAATCTTGCACGATTTTCTGGTTCATAGGATCATTACAAAACAAAAACACATTGGAATCAAAAGTGTTCTGATGTTAAATAACAGCTTTTGAAAAATAAACCTCTGGAAGAAGCTGGTCTGGGACATTTATTGTGGCTGAAATGGCCACAGCGATTTAGAGCAGTGTTTCCTGTGCGGCTTGCCTTTTATCTTGCTTTCTTTGATTTCACTGGCCTCAGCCAATTTCTTTTATGGACCGCCACTTTCAGCCAAAATCAAAGGAAGTGCAAGATCCAAGGGGAAAAGAACCTCTAAAGCATCTTTCCACCAGTGGCCCCACATACTGACATTCTCATGCATCCTATTAAACTTGTTTAAGGCCATAAAAACTCCCCCTTTACGTTGGGCAAGATTGAATCCAATGAAAGCAAAACAAGACACAGTTTGAAGAAGAAAAGTGCACATTGATAAGAGGATGTAAAAGCAAGCAGCCTCAAAAGAAGCAATTAACAGAAGCAGCATGGTGTGACTCCAAAGTGTCTGACAGTAACCTAACACATTAAACTCCTCTGGATCAGGTTTCCATGGTCATAAATTTGTAGTATCTTCAGTAGGCAAACACAGGCCATGCTTCTGTATGCACAGACTCACCAGTGGGGATGAAGGCTGGTTGCTGGAGCTGCATGTTAGCCAAGGCTTGCTGGTAGTGGAACATGCTGGGGTTAAAGACTGTGGCAGCAGCTCCATTGCTCTTCTCCATTATCGGCCTCTTTGGTAGCGGCTGTATGGCCCCTGGAGGCAGAGCCTGACCGTGAAGCAAATCAGAGAAAAGGAAAACAGAGGCCGTCATATTTAGGGAACACTTTCACTGCAACAAAAAGTAATTCTGGTGCCACCTTGGACAAAAAACAAAATAGTCTCTACGAGTTTCCTTTCAAATTTGAACAGAGCAGATGAAGTTTTATCTTTTGGGACCACAAGAGGGCAATGCAGTCTCAAAATGATCTGGAGTAAGGTAGGACAGTCCAGAGGTCGGGCCAAGAGCAAAACCAGATTGTCATGATATCATTTTCGAAAAGGGACTAGCTCAAGAGAACAGCAGGAGTTCATTTTTAAAAAATCTACTATGTATCAGTATATCAATTTATGATGCAATACAAGGCTGACACATACATATATTTAAAATATAAAAAAAGCGTTACAAAGCGAGTTGCCAGTCATCAGAAAACAGAAATCAGTGATATAACAGTGGCTGAGAGAAACTGATGACTAAAAACCTTCCCTGGATCAGTTAACGATTAACATGCACATGTTTCAGTGGTAGCAAATGCATAATAAAATAGAATATCCCTATGTTCATCCCATGGCAGATGTTTATTTTGGGTAGAAAGATCGTCGCGTTCCCAGCACAAGAACCTATCACGGCGCGAACAAGGACTCACCAAGGGTGCGGACGCCGTGTTTTGACTGGCTTGGTGCTGCGAAGCCTTGATCCTGGCCTGCAGGTGAGCCGGCGGGTGGAAGTACTTGCACTTGTCTCGGCTGCAGCGACCTTTGATGTAGTCCATGCAGACAATGACGGAGTTCTCGCTGCAGTCCACCATGCCGGCCTCCATGGGGTGGGCGTAGCGGCAGTCGCTCTCGCCCCGCGTGCAGTTACCTCGCTGGAATTCTCGACAAACCTGGGGGGGGGGGGGGGCCCCGGGGGAGATTCAAGATTCAGATCTGATCGTACTTGCGCTAAACATAGAAGCACGACGGCAGGCTGCATACCTCCAGCTTGTCTGTGCGAGCGTGTTTTTGTGTGGAGGTGCCATTGCCGATGGTTGCCAAGCCGGTGGGACTCCCTGGAACAAGCAGGGGTGTGCTGGGCAGCAGTTCAGGCATCAGACCCATAGCTGGGCCCATGTGGCTCAGATATGGACTGAACGCCATGCTGGGACTAGTAGCCAGAGAGTGTGTCACAGGAAATGTTGTCTGAGAGGAAAACAGACCCCCAGAGAACAAATCAGTGCAGCAACTTTTGCAGCAATGAGAACAAATGCCGTTATCTACAGCACTGCTCTTCCGTTAGGCATTAAAATAATACTTGAACTTGGATAATAAGATTCTGCATGTCATTGGATGTCTGGCTAATTCATTTTTATCAAAGTGAATAAAACTTGGATTCCCCTGTGAGAGCTCTTCTTCATTCCCTTTAATCTTTTCTTAAAAAAGGACAGCGCAGAAATAAATTAAAAAAAACTGCATACATAGCATGTGGGACTTAAAACAAAACTAAAAAATAAGACTGCATTTTCTTTAATAAAAAAATTACTCCCTCCTTTCTCCCAGTTGATGCACAGTGCACGTAGACAGTTTAGGGCTGCTCACAATTGGCTGCAGCTGCGCTCCAGGCAGCATGAACTGCATCTGTTGAGCCAACATGGCTGCCGCGGCTTTCTGCTGGATCAGGTTGTTTCTGCCGTTGATCTCCAGCTGGGTTTTCAGGTGCGGAGGTGGGTGGAGGTACTTGCAGTTCTCTCGTGTGCAGCGCCCCTGAGCAGGAGACAGGACAAAGGAGGGTGAGAGCAGACAAAGATAGGGCACGTACCAGGGGACAAAAATATTGTCATTGGGAAACTAAATCAACAAAACGTGTGTTTTGGTTTCTGAACGATGGTAATTCATACACATTTGGCTGAGGACGCCTCCATAGAACAAGAGTGATTTGTTTTACTTTATAAAATACATTTATATTTAAGTCAAAGAACCATGTCTTTTAAACAGCTTTTTAAAATGTGCTCTAGTGTGTAATGGCAGACTTGATTTAAAACCCCTTAATGAATAATTTTTAAATAAATGACATAGCATTTCATACAGATTACCTCTGGCAAGGTTTAGTGAGCAACAGAAGGGCCAAAGAAAGTGTCTTTACGATGGGTTTCTGGTAATAAGGATACCATTAAAAACTGCTCCTGTGCCAAGTTGTCTATTATGTGTAGACACAACACTGGTCCATCACCGGAGTTACAGACTTTTTCACTGCCTAAACGACTCATAGGTCAGTGTTTAGTGGCTAAATAAAATCAAAAAGTATTTTCCTATGTAAAAGGTCAGCAACTAATTCTGAAAAAAGAAGTTTATTGAAAAAAGGGAAGAATGTGAGAGGTAGTTGTTTCTATTACTAAGAACAGAGGAGGAGTGCTCTTTTATGTGGTGAAATGATTTAACACGTATGAGCTGCCCAAAAGGACACGGGAAATGTCAGCTAAACTTGAAACAGAAAAAGCTAATCAGCTGCTCCTGTCAGCGAATATGTTTTCGATCTTTCTACGCTACCTATAGCCGCATTGTGCACAAAGCATTTCTATTCACATTTAATTTTTGACCCCATGAGAATTTCGAAAGACATTTTTGAGCCATTCATCAAAAAAACAATTAATTTCCCACAAACTGCAATGACAAAGGCCTCCTTCCTATTCTCTCCTGGACTGTGGTCAGGTGATGATGGCGCTGTAGGAACACTGCAGGTCAATGCACAAATGACCAAAACTGCAGTGTTCATTAAACCCCTGGGCTGTAGGCAGCTATCTGCCCCTGCAGATGAGCCGTTAACCGACCAGGCTTCTTCCACAGAGCGCCAGCAACATGCTCTGTCATCAAACCACACCCACGCTCACAAAAGAGCCAGCCTCACGGAGGTCCTCGGCATGCTGCGGAACAGACGAAGCTCTAAAGCAAGGAGGAACGATAAAGTCATGACAAACTGAAGCGGTGTTGCAGAAAGACGAATAAAAAAAAAAAGGGCTTTAACAGCAGGACACCGGTGTATGACCGGAGGACCGGATTGAGTCAGCGTCTAATCACACCAGCTCACACAATGCACAAAAGGCACATGCAGGAGAGCATGCAGCTGCCTCCAAATGGTCGAGGTGGCACACAGGCAAACACAAACACTCCCAGCTACACTGGAGATGTGAGCCAGCTTTGCGTCAGCAGGCTGTGTGTTTAGGGATGAGTTTGTACCGAGGACTGAGTCCCATGAGCCCAGCCCTCCAAGTCTCACTCACAGGGAAAGAGAAGCACCCATTTAATGAGTCTAATGGTGCACTAAATGCATTTTGTGCCTCAAGAAAAAAACAACCACATATTTCTATGGGCGCCCTGATAGAATGACTGTGAATACCTATAAGTGAAAAAACGCTTTATAAAATCTAGAAGACCTGGAGTAGAGATGAAGGCCGATGAAAAGCTGCGCTGAGCAGAGGTCAGGAATATCTTTTTTGGTAGCCATAGCAACATACTACGCAACACAGAAAAGCCCTGGTTCATACATGAGGGAGAGCAGGGACATTAATAAAGATCAGAGCAGAGCAGTTTTAGGGTTGTATCCAATCTCATACTGACTAAACCTGATGTTTTAATCAGCTGAAGGCTCAGTCTGACATTTCTCCATGTTTCAATACATCTAAAAAATATGAAGGAGTCCTTTCCATCATTCTCTGGTCCACGTTGACAACACGCACATGCACAGATTCCATCCTATCAAATGTGTACTTTCTCATTTTCAGAGACATAAATCCAATGGATTAATTGACCGAATGGATTTTTCTGTGATCAAAGTATCGATTCATAAATATAATGATGTCATAGAAAGGTGACATTGGCGTGGACTCTAATGCATGATGATGGGCAGATGTGATGTCCACACAAATCATATGAGATGATAGCAGCACTCCAGTTAACAAGGTAAAAGAGCTAAGTGGTGAGCTCCTCCTCCCTCCCCTGCAGCAGGTTCAAACCCAGCAGACAGAGCTAATGGAAGAGCAATGGGGAATGACAGCGGTCGACTTGGACTGGCCTGGAGATGCCAGATATGGGAGGGACGGCGAGGAGGAAAGCCATTAGCAGATAAATCCATAAAATGGACAAAGAGGGAGGGGTGGGCAGAGAGGAGTAGGAAAAGGTGGCGTTGAACAGCAGCTCTGTTGGGGACAGAGTGCTTTTTCTCTGTGGAGCAGAAAGCAACTTTGAGTTTAATCCCCAAAAACGCTGAGGTGCGGGGGGACAATGAAGGAAGGAATCATTTGTTCACGGAGCTGACATTAAATCCACTGATGAAGAAACTGCTTTGACCTTCAATTGACACCAACCTTGAGTCTTTTTTAAACTAACAACATGACCCCAAGGCTTCAAACAGCCAAATTGGCCTTTAATGGCCCCCTGCTGCCTCTGGTGAAAAGCTGCTCTCCTCAATGCGACTGGTACGGAAAAAAAGCTGTTGCTCTATGCTAAAAACAGCCATGTCACTCAGGAAGATCAAACTATCCAATGGGTATGCACTCCTGTGCTGTTGCTAGGCCCCGTCTCTCAGTCTCTCCTCACCATCTCCCCCCTGCTCTGTAGGACATAACACAGAAAAATGGCGGAATAATAAATTCTAACTCAATAAACATGGAGATAGCAGCTGCACTCAGACAGAAAGCCCCTTGTCTTGGACTAGCTTCTTGCCTGTAGGAAAGCTTTGGAGCAAAACCTCCCACAAGAACACACACAAACACACACACACATGTACACAAAAAAAAATCAAAGAACTGGCCGGTTCTAATTTTTGCATCATTGGCCACTAAAAGCCTTAAAATGACTTCTCAGACTGCTTTTCATTGTGAGTGCGGTGCATATGACGCGGCTCTGTGGTGGAGGACAGAGGATGTCAGGAGAGCAGCTTAGTGATGTAAAGGCCACAAAACCATCATCAGGAGTGATGGAGGAGCAGCTTGGTGAGGAATTACTCCAGGGAAAATATATATCCCAATAACCTGGAAACATTCTATAAAAATGTAATTTTGCCCACGTTAAAATGTTCTGGGATGTTAGCATGTAACATCAAAATCCTTAATGCTGTTCCTAATCAATCAGAGATGTCAAACTATGGGAGAAGACAGGAAAACTGAGGCTTGGCTTAAGAAGCAGTAGCTGATGCTCGTTGTGTAACAACTAAAAAAGATAAAATCCCTTCTCTCCATTGTCATTACACTAGTGACAAGCAAGAGCAAAAAGGCAATTTCCCTTTGGACTGATTAACCACATTATTCGCAAACTTTTCCCTCAGTTTAATCTGATTCCACTGAATAAAGAAAAAAAAAATTGAAGGTTCGATCTCTTTCTCATCTGATCTCTTATATTAAAGCGGTCATGAGCTGAAGGAAAACAAACACATCTTTAACATGACATGACATCATATAGCTGGGGACAACATGTACCGAATAACCCTGGAAAACATTATCTAAATTGTTTTCAGCTGGTATTTTAGAGACTTTAAGAATCATTCAAACAGATATATGACTAATGTGTGCAGGCATTGAGCTGGCTGGTTATAATTGGGAAATTGAGTTAAAGTGCTCTCCAGTCAGTTCTGAAAAAAATCTACGAAACAACCAACAACTGACTTGGACTGCAAAGTCTCTGACAGGATATAAAGTGAACCAACTTTATCTAAAACACTATGAATGACATTTGACAGGGCCTTCTGTTTACCTTCAGGTGAGGTTAAGCAGCGTAAGCACTGCGTGATATCCCAGTCTGTGTGCGTCTCAGTTAAAGCACGGCAAATCTTAAACATCTAAGGCTACTCAGTGCCTGAAGACAAAACCCAATCCAACCCAATGACCACAACTAAGCTAAAAAGCTGTGATAAGGATGGAGTGAGGAGTGTAATGTCTGCTGCATTGTTACCTTGAGTGAATCAAAGCAGGCGATGACTCGGCCATTCTCCACGTGACAGCTTCGGGAGGGATGTGCAAACTTGCACTCGACGTCCGACCGTGAGCAGGTGCCTCTCTGAAATTCCCGACACACCTCCAAGGTCAGCCATTTGGTGTCCCGTCCCATGGTCATGCTGACTGCCATCTGAGATGCTCACAAGGACTGAGCAGATATGGGGCCCGAGGCTCGGAAAAACGGATGACTAACGGTGATTCAAGAAAAAAATCCCCAGCAGAGCACAGAGGAAACAGAAGCCAAACTTTCCTGGTCATAAACAGGCAGCCAGTCCTGTCGGTTGGTCGATTCTGGGGGATGTTTGTTAGCTCTTCTTGGGAAAAGTGGCAGCTGAAGTCCACTGGGTGAGATAGGGGAGGTTAACTTTGGGCAGAGGCCAGCTCTGGAAAAACGGGAACCTACTCTGAGGATATCACCATGGTCTGCCCACATATGTCTGTGCACTTTTATGAAAAGGCAGACAACACCACAAGTCTGGCTTAAATTCACGTCAACATGTTCAAGGCTGGGCAATCACTGTAGCTCCTCTGGAGTTGGAATTAGGCAGACAGACAGAAACCTTTTTCAAAAAAAGCAAAAAGAATGCAGAAGAAAGCAGAGCCTAACAGCACAATGTCCTTGTAACAATGAGAAAAGTCTGCAGCTCAGTTCAGGGTATGTTGGGACCGCAGCTCAGCAACGTGGTGCGGGTGGCTGTGGCTGCTTGGGTAAAATATAACCTCCATTCAAGGCCAGACACGCACGGAGCCCTGCCTCGCTGTACTCCCACAGACCGGTCGGACGAAACCTTGCGGTAGGCACTTTGGGGTTCCACTTCCTGGTCTTACTTCGGTCTCTTTCTCATCCCTCCTACAGCGCTCCCTATTCCAGTGCTGTCATCCTTCTCAGTGACCTCTCCGCTGCATGTCCTTGCCCGCTGTCGTGCTGTGGGTTGTAAAAACAGAAAAGCGTTAACAAAGCGGCAGCCTGTTGACTGGAAAAATATCCCAGTGCAGCCACAACCTCGTGTGCAGCTTCCTATAACGGAGAGTGATGCGGATCACAAGGCAAGAGGGTGGAAGCAAAAGAGCCAAAGAGAGGAAAGCGAGGGCAAACAAATAGGAGAGCAAGAGTATACAGGAGAGAGGGAGGCAGCAGTGAACAGGAAAGGGCAAGCTATGTCTTGATTAAGTGATACAGACGAGGGAGAGGGAGAGGGTGGAGGGGGTTGCAGGCAGGACAGAGACGTCACTTCAACTCTGCGGAGCAGATAGTCATGGACCAACTTGAAATTAATCATGCCGCAATAAACTGCGAAAAGCGGTGTCCTTGAGGTGGCACTGGGTGCTGTGTGTGTGGCTCACACAGACGCTTCCCAGACAGTAATTGATGTGGAAGGAAGAGGTAGGAAAAGGAGGCACGGGGCAGACACAGTAGGGGCAGTTCTGTGCAACTGCAGCTGCTGTGCTCAATGTGAAGCCGAAGCCAACCAGACGGAGGTTTACAACCAGGCGGGCACACCCCTGACCAATGGCAGAGCATGTTAAAAGGCAGCTCCTCCCTCCAACAGAGCCCGTCCTTGTTCCTTCTGCTCTTCTTTTTTTTTTTTTTTTGGTACAACACGCAGTAATGGCTGGGCCGCATGCGAACATTAAAGCTGAGCGACGGCTCTGAACTGCCTCCAAACGGCTCCGGCTCCAGGACAGAGCCGTGTGCTGTTCAAACACACCCGCAGTATGATGCAAGGATGATGCAGGCAGCCTGCTGCTCCGCTCACTCTCAAGGAGCAGTGACGTGTCCGCACACTCAGTGAATACAAATAATAATCAATGAGGTGGCACGCACACACACACAGACAGAAAAGGAAACTTTTTATTTTCCTATATTAGAAATCACACAGAAAAAAGGGCCGACCCTTCAGAACAGAAACCTGCACGTTAATGCACAAAATGAATAAACAACAGGCAACGTGCAGGATGGAACGAGTGCAACGCGACAGGAGGAGGAGAGGGCGTTGGAGCAGATAATATCAGACCCTACGTCTGATGGCGGCAGACACAGACGGAGGAAGCGGGGGGGGGGGGGGGAGAGACTGTGTGTGTGTGTGTGATGGCATACAGAAACACAGTCCATAAGGAGAACTCTGCACCAGAGAGGGAGAAGGAAGTTTAAGAGATGTGGGAACTAAACGCATCCCAAAATAGGGAACAAAGACACATTCGAGCCAAATCAAAGAGTCTGGAACAAGGGAGGAGCGGCTACAACAACTGCTTTGCTGGCTTTCTCGTTATGCTTGCCTGTACTTCCTCCTCCTCCCGGCCTACCTACAGATCAATACCAACTTTTCTCAGGGGGGCGACGAGAGAAGCGCTCTCCTGCAGCTCTGCCTGTCCTGCATTGGGATCCACGTCAGTGTCAGGAGCGCTTGCTTACGCACACCCTGACGTAATCTGCAGCCCACATCATCGAAACGCTCCTCAGCAACGCTCCCAACTCCCTCTTCCTCTCTCTCACCACACACCAGTCACCAAATGGCACACAGCTGCCATTACAACCACCCTTGAAAAGATACAAAGCCATGCCGGCTTTCCACTGATTCCTCTCGATACAAACAGGCATGCAAGCTGACACTTCTCCTTCGGGTTATGGCAGCCTCACTTTAATGTCTCTTTATGGGTGCTAACAGAAAACAGGGGCAGTTAAAAATAGAGAAACAAGGCCTTGGAATAATGTTTAAGTAGGTTAAGTGTGCAATGCCCACTCGGGGGTTGTGTTTGTTACAACATGTTCATTAATAGCGAGAACAATCTACGACGGCTGTTAGATGGTAGACCTGACATTTCATAGACCTGGAAGAACGTTTTATTAATTAGATTAACACAAGTAAACTGTCCCACAATAACACAATGTACGAACATGGAAAGGGATGGACGAGTTTTCACTGCTTGCAACAGCAAATAAAGCTAACAGAATCAATGTGTTTTGGGAGGCTTCATTTGCACAGCCGTGTTTCAAACAAATAGCAAATATCATCCACCATGATTGTTGTGAGTTTTTAGCCTACTCAACAAACAAAACTTACCGACTTTCAATGAAAATCAACATAAACTTCTCTTGATGGACAGTAAATGAAGACGCTAGTGCCATTTAAACCTAATATACTGGAAAACACATGGCATTTAATCCCAAATTTCAACGAGCCAACACATAATGCAACACAACTTCTGGTCCTAGAAAAGTCCTCCAAGCCAGTCTTACTCAGTCTTCGTGGTTTCTAGTACGCAACATGCCAACAGAAGTTCAAATCTGAGATGTGGCACTTTCATAGCAGAGAAAGCAGAGAGGATTTCATACTAAATGCCTCTGCAATTCAGAGTGGTTTGAGTTATCTAGGCAAAAAATAACCATGTAATGAGTCATTCATTGTTCATCTCAAGATGCATGAACCAAGAGATATCCTAAAATAAAAGCTTGTCTATAAAACCAAAGAGTAAAACCATTTTTGGCATGACATGACTATTTTATTTTGCTACATAAAAAGCCAAATCTTAAGCATTGTGTATCTCAAAATGACTGAATAAATGAATGAATAATCCTTTCTGTCATTACGTTCCTCATCGCCTGTGTTATTAATCATGAATGACCGGGGCCTGACCTTCAGCAGGCGCCATGAACGTTTGTGGTGAATGAAAACCGAGCACCCCACCCGTAGCCGTCACTTTGCGGCTGCCTCGTCCTCCAGGTGTCCACTCTGAGGCGAGGGGCTCCGGCAGCGGGCAGCGACGGGTCAGCGTATGGGAGGCGCGCGGCGCGGCGAGGCGCGGGGGAGGACGCGCGAGGGCAGCTGCCGCTGACTCAGGCGCACTGCGTCCCTCATCAAAGACGGTGCACCAAAGGGCTCCCCACAGCGTAACCTTCAGCCGAGCTGTGACGTGGGCTCCACGGCGGGCTGCGGGCTGCCAGCCACCTCCACAGACAGCGCTGCGCCACAAGCCGCTCAGCCAGGCATTAGGCAAAAGCCCCAGAAATATCCCTGCCCATTTTTCTCTGCTCTCACCTTTTCTTTCACACGGAACGTTAAGTTTCCTTTCTGCCGCTAAAACGTCCTCAACATTTTTTTATTCTTCAACATGAAGAAAACAGTGTCAAATTCATAAATTGATCTAGAAATTTGAAAGCTTTTCAAACTTGAGAAAGGACGGGTTTTCTGCTGGGGAGTGTATGTGTACTCGGCCCTGGCGTTTGCATGAATACTGAAGGATGTCACCTATGAGACGTTGTCCTAAAGACGCTAAATCAACTCAACCTGCAGCTGAAAGACTTGCATAAACCCAACAATGCAATACACTAAAATGAAGCCTTACAGTACAAAATCCCCAAACCCTACAAGGACTACAAGCGGCATAGACAACGGATGGATGGTATGTGCAAAATTCCAACACAGGGTTGCAAAACTAATGAGTTCAGTTTCTAGCCGGGCGGGGGAAATCCAGAGGATTTTTTTCTATTTGTACACGGAAGAACACACAAGCCCAGATCTGCGTGCTGCTCTGGTTTCACATGAGAAACTGAGTTTCCTGTGGGAGTTTTTCTTTTTCTTTTTTTTTGTTTAAATCTGGAGTTGCTCCATTGCCAATCCTTCGGCAATGGAGCAACTCCGATGGTCCTCTGTTTTCCAGAGGGGCAGGTAGTTGTGTAACAAATACTGACGGTGCGAAAACAAAACTGCAAGCGATGCAGGCCCCCGACAGCACAGCTGTTTCAGGAGCAGAGGCTCGGATGAGCCACAACGGGCCGGCACTAATGACCAGGTGACTGATTTAAAAGCACAAGGTGAACAATCTATAAATCACAATGAAAGCTTAAGCCAGCAGCCGGGAGGGAGGGAGCTAAGTAATTAGGTTAAGTATCAGTAATCTGTTCAGCTCATTAAAGCACCACATCTCACAGAGAGGCACCCACACAACTGAACTATCCCGGCAAACAGGAAAACGGCCTACGGCGGAAAAATGACAGGAACGCAGCAGCGTTACCACGTCTGAGAAGAAAGTAACCACAATGTAACAACACTGCAGACGTCTGGTGTGGCCGTGATGGGGCTGGAACCTTCACACCCCTGTGGTGATCAAATTAAAGTTAACTGGGTGGAAAGTCAGATGTCACCAGCCGATAAGCAGCTAATAAGGTTACAAGTTTGATTCGTTTAATGCTGCTAGTGCCGGCGAGGGCTGTCATTTGTTCCGAGCAAGATGCTGAGCCATCGATGTCCCCCGTGAGATGGGAAATCAAAACGGGTTGCGTACGTGTGTTTGTCAGTTCATCTGTGTTTATATTAGCTAAAGAGAAACTAGCCAGACTGGTACAAAGTCCACAGGCTGGAGGGAGAATGAACTTGTCTTGACTGGCTAAACTGTGCCAAGATGACGGCAATCCGTTGGAACAGCATATGTGGGCGGGTGGTGGCAACACACAGTGATATGGTGGCCTGGGCGTCTGGCCCTGCATAGGACAAACAAGGACAGGGCTTCACCACCTCATGCACAGGCAACTTGCATGAAAACAAAAAGCAACCGTGCAGACATCCAGGCAGATAACCAGCCAGCAGCCAGCAGGTGTTCTCCTCGTCACTGTAATAGACCAAAGGTCAATATCTTCTTTGAGAAGAGTGGTTCGGAAAAAAGTCGTCTCACGTTGACTGTTTGACCTTCACACTCCGGAGAAACAACAACAAAAACAATGGTCAGACTAAAGCACACCCGTTTCGAGCAGGCGGGAGACGGTGACAGGGGCGTGCAGCATCGTTTGGACCCGGAGGAAAACAGCGGGGCCCGCCAGAAGACCTCCGAGTGCCTGCCTAACGACCGTGTCACCGCTGGTTTGCCAATAACGGCGCACTTACCGCCCATGTTGGACGGCGGAGCCAGCTCAACGCAACAGGCATTTGAACAGAAGCGACTTCAAATAAAACTATGGCGGGTAAAAAAAAAAAAAAAACGAGCAGCCCAAAGGTGTCAGACCATATTAACGGTGACTACCTGCACCGGACGAGCTCAGCCTCTCACCTGTTCTCTGCCCACGCGGATGAAATGAAACGTCTTCCTCCTCAAATTAACGTCGACCCGAGCGCGTGCTTGCTCGTTATCTTCCGCGAGAGCAGCCTGGAAGTGAGGAGGGAAGAGAAAAAAAACAAAAAAAACAAAAGGCGCTGGGGCAGAAGAAAACGAAGCAGGTAAAAACGTGTTGCAGGTTGGGGAGGGGGGTGGGGGGGGCAGACAGAAGCGGGGTCTAGCTGGGAGGGCGGCAGACGAAAATGTAGCTGCAACTACATTTGCTCGGAAGCAAAACAGACTGCGCTCAAAGCTGATAACAGATTTGGAGAAAAAAAATGTAGAGGGAGGGAGGGAGGGAGGGCGATATGAAGAGGGAGGAGTTGGACGACGGGCACGGCGCTGGGTAACAAATCAGGGAAATCAAGAGTCACGACTAAAGCACAATAGACATTAGTTCAAGTCAAAGGACAGGCAAAATCCAAGCATTATATCCGGCTCGATTTACGAAGAAAATAAATTCGAACTGATTTTTAAAAGTGACGATTGGCTTAACCAAAGGCTAACATATATGGGGGGAAAAAATGGCTATTTATTGACCTTGCGAGTGATTTAAACCGTGGACATTGTGACAATTACTCATTTTTAAACATAAACATAGCAGTTAAGCCAATGACCTTTAAAGGTGACCGTTAAAAGTTTACATTTGGCCTCAACGGTGATTTAAACGGCTTTTTTACAAGGCAAAAATAGCCAAAAAATAATTTAAATAGACAATTATCGCTCCTTAACAACCTCAGAGTTCGACATCTTGAACGTACAAATACGTCCAAGGATCGTACAATAGTAGAAGTTCCCTTGGAATCCACTTTATCAAAACTATATAACATGGATATGCAAAATCTATGCACACACAATCCTCACATTTTATAAGTCGTTTATATTGACTTTATCTATTACCAAAAGATTTAGGTGAAACTCGCTGGTGCCTTACAAAGCTTTCTCCAACACTTTTTAAAACTATACCTTAATATATTTTCATGCTTTTAATATGTATTGCTAAAAAAATGCTGCATTATTCACCTGCTTCTGTCAGTGTAAAATCAACAAAAAAAAAAGTTTTTCAAAGATAGTCTTTTTTTCAAAACAAGCCTAATGATCTTTTTACGATTTGGGGCGTTTTTACCATAAATAGGGTTCTTGTGCATCTACCACAGCAAATCCCTTCATTAATTTGTCAGAGGATTAGACTGAACAAAAGCCAAAAATCCCACCCAACCAAATTTAAGAATAAGCTGTGATGTCAACTATCTCCCTTGCTAATGCTGTCCAGGAAGTTTCCATTTCACTCTAGGGTTTTCAGCACTCTCTGCTGGTGATCCAGAGGCCTGCAGCACTCACTGCTCATTACCTGGTAAAAAATGAATATACAATGAGGAAAAAAACAGGAGCCTCATAACATTGAATCAATTGTAAAAGTATTTTAATATAAAAAGACTCACATTTAATCGTTATACAACATTAGCTACAAACGCTACAAACTGAGGTATCTATTACAACTCAAATCTTCTATTTTTGTCACTCAGAAGACACTTTAAAAGAAACATGAGTACGTTTAAAATGTACTCAATTCAGACTAAACAAAATTTGGCAAACTTAAAGAACATTATTCACAGAGTAGTGTTTTTTTAAAAAGATAAGCATATTACACCTTTGGGCGTATAATGGAAACAAATCCTTTAATGGGAGTGCACACGCTTTTAATATCCAAAAGAAGAATCTGGAAGGCTAAAAAAAGTTATAAGACTTGTTTTTCAAGTAAATGTATCCATTAACTCCTGAGACCCTGCGCCCTCATTTGAGGACATTGCATTTTTGCCTCTCTGTACCTTTTTTTTTTTTTTTACTTCGACCTACTGGCCTCATAGTACACACTATCGGACACTAATGTTTGATATCTATAATTAAATGGTTGTACACGTTTTCAACCTATCGTGTCCTTATTTTGTAATTAAAACTTTGTAATTAAGCAATTATGACCTGCAAAACCATGTTGGAAAGAAAACCTTGAAATACATGAATACATATTTTAAATACAAAGATAATTATCCTTATATGAGGGGACACTACCTGTTATTGAAATTATCAGGTCCTACTGATCCCATACTTGGAGAAAGCAAGAAATGTACACCGACTAAAAGCTTGGGTCTCGGGATGTTAAGAACATCATTTGTTGTATTGAGGTACCATCAGTATCAATAAATTAAAGTTTTGTTTAGAACAGCTCATGGTGGAGAAAAAAATGATAGAAAGGCATTTACTCAAAATAACATGGATTAATTAGAAAAAGTGGGGCAGAACTTGGCACAAATCGTAATGGAACGCCCTTCTGCTACCACTGCTCCACATTGTCTGTGTAGTCCTCCACAGTGCTGTTCTCATCCAGATCCCACCAGTCTGGGAGGAGCACTTCAGACTCCACCCTGTTCTCCGCCGCCTTCTTCCGCTGCTCCTCGGCGACGGCGACGAGGCTTTTGGTCAGACCCGTGGGCTTCGGCTGCCTGCCCTGCTTAGCAGTCAGCCTTTCACGGAGCCGCCTCCTCTCCTGGTGGCGCCTCTCCCTGGCCTGCCGGCGCTCCTGCTGCCTCGCCGCTTGGAAACGCTGCAGGAAGAGGTCGCGGGCGTACTCGTACAGCTCCACATCCCAGCGGTTGAGCTGGCGGATTCTGTGCTGCGTCTCCGGGGGCACCTCCACGCTGGACGCACGCGTACCATTCAGCTGTGTGAAGGGCGCGATGAACTCAAGGCTGAAGGTTTGCTCAAAGAGGTACTGGGTCTTCCGCTGGTACTCGGTCAGGCCAAAGAAGGCCATGCCCCGAAGGTTGCGCTTGGCGCTCTCCAGAAGCACGGCCCAGCGCTCCTCCTCGCTCATGACAGAGACGTTGTAGCAGCCCACCAGGCTGAGGTCGGCCAACATGCGGGTCTGGCGGTTACTAGCCAAGTTGAAGGGGCAGTCCATGAACTCCTGCAGCGAGCAACCCGACCAGTCATCCCCCGAGTAGCAGCTCGGCAGCTCCGACAGCGTCGGCGAGCGTCCGTCGCACACGTGTAAGGAGGCCTTCCACGTAGCACCACGCTGGACATGGCGCCACTCGCTCAAGTAGCGTGACACCGGATCCCTCAAGATTGTTATATAATAATAGTTTCTGCAAAACAAAGAGGAGCCATCAAAATATATTACTGGAACTAAAAGACCTACATAATGGCATTACACAGTTACAGCGAAAGAGCAAGATGCCCAATTAAATTAGAGAGAAACGCACTAGGAATCAACAATTAAAGGACTTTAAAAAATCTACTGAAAATACGGAATGTGATTAGTGAAAAAACCTTTCAGTAATTCATCTTTTAAAGTAGCCTGCTGCTAATCCCTGTTCTGCAGTGCACAGCACAGCTTAATCCCCCGTGTGGATCCATACGGGTTTCTATGGCCACTAACCTGGGCTGATTCTTGGGGGCCTCACGTGAGTCCATGCGAGAGGGGACACAGCTGGTGAGCTCGGTCCAGTCCGCATGCAGGCCGCAGCTCCAGCCGGTGGAGAACCGGGAGAAGAGCCAGGTCTCCTTCTTTCCGGGGCGAAAACAGGTGCACTTCTTCTGACCAGCGTGACACTCGCAGGGCTTCTCCAGCTGAATATTTCGTACCAAATGTCGACCGAACGTCGTGCCCCCGGTCTTCTGAATGTGGAGAAAAACGATCACGTCGTCCCCCTTGATGTTGAAGTCCACGACGCGGTTTAGATCTGCTCTGGTGAAATTGAAACGGGGGACGAAGCGGGCGAGGGCGCCGTCCTCCGCGATGTACGGATCCTTTTGTGGCCCGTCCGGCATTTCGCTACCGCCGACCCGACCACCGACAGCCCTGCCGGAGCCGAACCAGGACCCCAGCTGGTGAAGCATCTGGCACTCGGAGCCGCTGGGGCACACGTACTGGACCATGATGACACCAAAGAGCAACACCATGAGCAGGATGACCAGGAGCCGCTGGTGGCTGCTGTTGGACTTCTCATCCATGTTCTCGGCCCGGGCAGCAAAACATCACTCAGGCGGTCCGGACCCCTGCCTCGGCCCCGGAGAGTGCTGCGAGAGAAGCTGCCAAACGGAGCGAAAACAATAACAATGCGGCTATTAGCCGAACAATGCTAGCTGAGCCGAGAGTCGTGTGGGAGTCCAAAAACCAGGAGATAAATAAAGTTTTACAGTTGCCTTTGGTTTGAGCACAGACAGGCGCGCCGGGTTAATCTCAAACGGCGGAGTGGTTCAATCTTAAGCATCGTTCTTGAGAGAGATAATCCTATTTACAGAGGTAATGCTCATCTTCCGCGGCCATCGATTCTTGACCTTTCTTCCCATCAGCCACCGCGCGCAGTGAGGGAGTGAAAACCATAGAGATATATACGTAGACGCCGCGTTGAGCCTGTTAGTCCGTTGCAGCGATACGTCAACGAGTCCGCCATCTTGGATGTGGCAGAAAGCCCCATAAACTAATAAAAGAAAACGGACTGAACTCCATAAAGCGCCTTTCTACATAGTGCTTTAAATTAATGCACCTTATTCACCCATTCACACACACACTAATATATCTGGGAAATAAATAGGCACAAAAAAACGTACGTAACTTTTAAAGTGATGATTATACACTTTTACTCCTGATGTTTAGGATATAAAGAAGCACCAAACCGGCGTCTGTATTTTTAATACTGAGTGTTTTCAGCTACTAAAGCCTGTAACTCTATTGCTGTAATATAAATACTGAAATATTTAAATTTAATATGTAATCTGTGTCCATAATAACCAGATCCTGAAAAGTAGATGTGGTTTCCTGGATAAAGAGCACAAACATTTACATTTAACTGATTTTGATTAATTACAGTAACAGGTAAGGGGCTACCGGGCTACTGGGCTACCGGGGACGGAGGTGGGGCACGGTATGGGGCTACCGAGCCGGGGTCGGGGTCGGGGTCCGGTAGGGGGCTACCGGTAGGGGATGCCGAGTGCCAACATACGTAATAATCTGAGCAAAATTATTCTTCAAGACGGCAACGAAGTTGAGGTACGATGCAGCCCTCAATGCGGCGTCTATGTATATATGTCTATGGTGAAAACTACATCAGCAGGGTCATCGCCAATCCAGCAGCACGGAGAAGTAGCCTACCCTCTCCAGAAGCTGGAGTATTACACAATACCAGGGCGGGGCTGCTCCAGGGTGGTATTGATCTACTAGATCAATATTGCTGAAATAGCTCAGATGGGAGAGCGTCAAACTGAAGATCTGAAGGTCCCTGGGTCAATCCCGGGTGTTGGCACATATCTTGATTGTTTTATAAATTACTTTGATGAAGGACTATTTATTCGTATGTGTAAAATAAACTGGAAAGTCCAATAACTTTATGGTTACGATAACACACTATATCCACTTCTACCTCCAGTTAATGACACTTATAAAATATATCTTATCACCAAAACACCAAGACAACTTGAAGCCCAACACTACAATAATGATGGATACCCTCCATATTTTAATGATAAAGGAATTTGGAGGATACAACCACCCCATTCCGATTAAACTAAAACACTAGTTCATAGAAACTGAAGAGAAGAAGAGGATGAAAGACCCAATTATTCTCCCAGTCATCTTCCCTGGGTTCTCTTTCTCTGTGGTGTAAACAACATTACCTATCCTCACAAGGCTTTTTGTGAAGATCGAGGCTTTTTCTGGCCTCAGGGGTCTGATTCAAACTTGACCCTGATCCTTGTTGTATTACTTTCAACATGTTTCAACACATGTTTTCAGGGTGTGACATTATTTTGTGCGACACTCAGGTAAAACACAGGTGACAGATTAAACACTAATGAAGCTTTGTTTGAAATATTACTGTAAACAGTAATATTTTCGTAAAAGTAAAATGTATAAGTTTTGAATTTTGTTTTGGTTTTTTAAAGGAAAGAACACAATGAGTTACATGTATTATATGATAATCAGGGAATGTATAAGGATCTGTATTATGTGCAGTTCTCCTTATATAATACAGATCAGCTAAGTTGTTTTCAGCTATCTGCAGGAGCTGTTGGCCTTTTCCTCCCGCCTTGAATAGCAGCCTCATGACATTCATCATATTCAGTGTAACAGACATCGTGTTCCGTCAGTTATGTGGTAATTTACTCTGGAAAAGTTGTCTTACAGGAGGTATGTTGTCAAATGCTCACTGACCAGAAACTGACTCTTAGCCTGTTAGTTTCCTGACAGCTTGTTCTTATTACATCACATCATAACAAAACTCTTCTAGCGAGACAACAAAACACCTTAGAGAAGTGCCTGTGTGTGCAAATCAATACTCACTACCTCACGCTTTCTTTTTTAAATGAATCTTACTCTGTGAAGTAAAATGTAAAAAATTAAACAAAACAACAACAAAAAACACCATTTCTAAACTATTTTTATTTGAGGTTAGGTTCTCACTCTACATGTTTCATGACTTGTAATCATGCTGATAACTGGATCTTTCCCATTGATTCCTGTTGTGTTCTAATCTTTTGTTGTAATTCCTAGAAAAAATAATTAACTAGTCTTTACTCTAAAAAAAAGTGCCCACTTTAGAATACACACTAGCATTTAGCCTCTTTCCCTCAAGAAAGAGGGTGTAATGTAATCAAAGAGGGGGCAAAAATTGTGGTGTCTTTGACCCCTTATATGTTCACCCCTGTGTCTTGAAAAGAGATCTTGAAATGTGCAAAAGTGTATAAAATGCAAAACTGAAGGTAAAAAAAATCCCACAGGCCCATAAACCTTCATTTGAACAAGCAATAACGATAAGAACTAAAACCTAATAGCTTACATACTGTGTAATGCAATGACACAATATAATAGCTTGTTATAATAATGTTTAAGGACAAAACGATCCAGCTTACAGCTTACCTGCTTATTCTTTTAATATTTTGACTTTTTTTTCTCGTAATTGCATTACTTTTTTCTCGTTATATTCTGACTCTACTCTCATCATTTTAATCATATTTCGACTTTATTGCGGGAATTCTTACTTTTTTCTCGTAACATTTTTACTTTTTTCTTACAATATTTCGACTTTATTGTTTATTTAATTCATGTATTTGGGCACCGCTCCGCCGGACGGGCAGCGGTGGGGGCCCTTAATGGCTCCGCCCCCTCTCTGTCATTACGTGCGTTCCGTGCGGAACGTTCGGAATGTAGGTCAGCGGCTCTGCCTCCGCCCCGCCCCGCCCTACTTCTTTAAATACCCACCCTCGCCGGATCCGCTGCATGGGAAACACATGGGGATGTGCTGATACCAGGATTTATCTCATAACGACGTAAGAGCCAGTGTTGCTTATTTGCCATCATTCCTCCATCATGGAGCTGGACCGGCGGCTGCTGCTTGCCCACTGCGCGGCTCACGCCCTGTCGGTCGTGGCCGGCTTACTGGTGGTCGTCCCGATGGCCCTCAACGGCTCAGCCTTTAAAGGCCGTTGCGCCCTCTTCTCCTCCGGCTACTGGCGGACCGAAGAGCGGGCCGAGCTGACGGAGCCGCCGCAGGAGCTGTCCCGCCTGGTGGTGCAGCAGTGGGGCCCGCTGGCAGCCTGTCAGTTCGTGACGTTTGTGGGGATTTTCACGGTGCTGTACGGGGCCGCGCAGGGCTGGAGGTGCCTCTTCTATCTGCACGGAAGACATGACGAGTGAGTCCTCCACGATAACACACACACACGCACACACACACACTGCTTGTTATTTAGCTGGCAGCCAGGATGATAACTGATAATTACAGAGCTCAAGGCAGTATTAGCTGACTTAAGGCTGAGATAGTTAAGATTATTGACTTTTGACTGCACAAGTATGAGCTTCTAAAACCCCCTCAATGGACCCCTTTAAACGCCTGTAGAGTATAGCGTGCAAACATGTTAAACACTTTAAAGGGAATGTCTCTGTCTAGTGGGTAGAATTTAACGCAAAACAGATGTATCACCAAAGTTGTCATTTTCTAAACTAATACGTTGATACGTGCCCAGAATCCGCCACATAAACATGTGGCCTGAGCAGGCTGTTCCTGGTCAATTCACTGTCCTCTGTGTGTGTGTCTCCACCCAGCACCCTGTTTTCATCTTTCCTCACGGTCCTGCTGAGTGTGTGCGTGCTCTTCCTGTCTGGAGGGGCCAGCGTCATCCTGTCTCTGGGGTTCAGCTCCTGGTGCGACACGGTGACCGACGCCAACACGCGACCCTACAGGTGAGTCATCTCGGGCTGCCTGCCGTCGTTTGACGTGGACATAACGTCAGACGATTACTCCAGAGCATATTTATGAGTGCGTCTGGGGATCCTTTCTCATCCCTCTCGCTGTATTTCTAGCTGTGCAGAGTCCCAGTCTGTCCCACTTTACCTGGACGTGAACACCTCCTCTTTCTTCACAGAGCTGAGCTTGGCACAGGTAGGATCTCAAACCCCTCCGACGACCAGCATTTGTAACCAGACATCTTTCTCTCAGTGAGGCCCTCTCATGAGCTCAGATCTAATACAGGAACATCAGAGAAGAATAGAGTAGTCATCGAGCTTTTAGTTGAAAGCATGTGATTGGTTGTTGTGGACATTACAGAGAATTTAGACCCGTTGGGCTCCGACATGTGACACACTAGAACTGGATTCTGGTGCCAACGCTCTCGCTTCTCATTTACTTTGTATAGTTGAACCTTTCGGGTGCCATGGCAGCCTCTGCACCAATCAAATATCACAGCTCCAAATGCCACGCCCACCTGTGGACGGTCCAAATCCGGCTTATGTGTCAAACATCTGCAGTGCAGATAAGCAGTGGTGCGCGTAAAGCATCTGACAGGCAGAGGTGTTATTAAAAGTGTCTGACTGCATCTTTAAAGCGTTCTCAATTTACACCCAAATATAAGTTAAAACAGGACCCAGCTTCAACCATTTCTTTCCTGTATGTCCTTCCTGTAATAGAGCGGCTCTTTAGGTAAAATAACGGCATAATTTACGTTTGAAATAAAAAACAAACAAACACTGGGATGCCAACTTAGGTGTGCAACTCTGCGGAGACAGACATTCTGTTTCACAGTGTAAATGTCAGCTCATAACTTTGAGTGAATTGTTTTTGTTTAACTAAATGATTCTCAGACAGTAAGACGGTGTTGTATTTTTCCTGTTGTCACAAACGTGGGACCTGGAGCCTCAGCTCTCACTTTGTGTCCTCAGGCGTCTCTGTGGGGTGTGACGGCCCTGTGGCTGGCGCAGTCGATCCTGGCCTTCCTGCGGCTCTACCACTCCCACAGCCAGCACATGGGCGGACCCTGGCTGCACCGGGACAAAGAGTTTCTGCTCGGACAGAGTCCCACCGAGAGCATCTCCTCCTCGTCTCCCCGTCCCCCAGCAACTCCCACCATCTTCATCTGACCGAACAAAAGTCCCCACGCTTAACTCCACTTTGACATTCAAAACCTCAATTTTCTCACCCATGACTTCTGATGGTGTCAGTCTGCATGTGGTCCTTTTTACAGAACTTCTTTATGAGAGCCCGAACAACAAATGGTATTTATTATCTGTCCGCCAAAGATGCTGGAAGCAGAGCAGTCATCCTTTCAGGAAATTCTGATTTTAGATACGCTCAGTATCCTAACGTTTGAATCTGAATATGAGAGGGATTAAGCTCACCTCTATCATAGACCAAAAGGGATTTTATAGCATATATCTGAATTAATCAGATTATCTGTAGATGTCGCCAATGATCTGGTAACTAAATGGTACTTAGTTATGTTTGTTTTGCCAGTTTACAACTTTATTTTTAACATGCTTTATTCATTCATGCTACCCATGACAGTGAAAGCTACCAGGTGGTTTCTTTTCATTTTACTGCAGCCTGCTGTGAACATATTTAAGATGCATGTTTGTTTACATTTCTCCTGGAATCCTGCATTTTGCACAGTCCTTTTCCTCATCAGTGAGAAAGTGGATATTTAGTTTTTTCTGAGTATTAAATTCAGATGAACGCTGACATATATTTCTTGTGAAGTGTGAGCCGGCGAGCTGGATGTTCTGTTGGACACGAGGGGGAAAAAAAACACCACCAGCCTTCTCTGGCCTTGTGACGATTTCCATTATGATGCTGTTTGTGTGGACACAGCCGCTTTCATGATGTCAGTGTAGCGGTCAGAGCCAGCCCGATTGATCAGCGTTGAGTTCAATTGGCAGCTGTTTGTTGGGTGATATGTGAGTTCTAACACTAAGAGATTTCTATGGAGGAAACAATTAAAAATGTCTCCTTTATTTCTGCTGTTGCCATTGACCAAAGCGGCTGTAATGACACACATACTGCGGAGCAGGAAATCTGAAGGAAGCAGAGAAGAGACGGTTGTGCCAGCTTGAACTAATTATGACGTTTTAAATTATTTTGTACTGTTTTACGTGTTTGTGTTTATTCACTTATGTTTTTGTATTTTTCTTGTTTTCAAATAAACCACTTCCATAAAACCTGAAATTTGTTCTAACTCAAAGGAACCCCACATACATGTTCTTCTAAACCTGATCAAGTTTCAAGGTGAGTATTTTCACCTCATTAAAAAGAATAATTTTTTAAAGCGCATGACCCAGTGTTCAGTTTTCTACCACAGAAAAGCAGGCCGTGGCGTTTTCGAGGTCTAATTTTCTACGATGCATGTACTTTGAGATAAAACTTTTTCAACTTCCTGAATAACAAATCTTGCTTGGGGTCAAATTTAAAAACATTTACACTAAAGGTGCAGTGACATTCCCTGACGATAGATGGCAGTAAAGAATCATGTTCCATATAGAATAAAGAAGAAGAAATAAAGAGCCAATCACAAACCAGGGCACCAGATTAAATATTTTTCGAGTCAGGTAGTCGCATTTTGAGTTTGTACGGTCTTACATTTTATTTTAAAAGGAGACATTCATCATAAGACAACCAGTTTCCCGTGGCCGCTGTAAGAATGAAGCTAACGGACATCAAAAAGTTAAAAGTGGCCGAGCTGCGGATCAGACTCACAGAACTGGGGCTGGACAGCAGAGGACTAAAGGCTCAGCTGGTGGACAGGCTGTGGTCCATATCACAGCCAGGGCAGCAGGAGGAAGAGGCCAAACTAAACAACGACAGCTCGCCGGTGTTGTGCGAAAAAGTGAATGTTTGCGAGAATCTGATTAAGCTCGCGGGAGCGCGCACCGCAGCCCGCTGAGCGATACCGTAAACCTGCTTTTCTCTGGATTAAACGGTCAGGACATGCAGATACACACAGTTGCATTATAATATAGGCCTAATTAAATTATAATATAGGCCTAATTAAAGATTCGAAAGCTTAACGTTTGTCACATAACGGCAGTTACGTGACAGACATGTTTCTATACTCGGTCTGATGACTTTGTGTAGCCCTGACATTGGAGACTACACTACAATAAATATGATTTACTGGAGGGTTTTCAATAAAGATATGATAACTTTTGCAACGATCCTCGTGACTCTGCATTGTTTTTTATCTGATCTGGCCGTATATAGCACGAGTTTCCCATGTTTCTATTTGTTTTGCAGTTTTCAATCGGTTTTCACCTGTCAAAAATTGATTGAAAGCACAGTATAGTCACTCAAAGGTTATTTCTACCTAAATATGACTAGATTTCCTTCAGGAGATGCATGATTTAAAGATCTGAGCTCACAAAACAGCTTGGAACTCTTTTAAAGGACCATTACAACACAAAATAGCCATTTTGACTTGCAAAAAATGTATTAAAGCCCAAATACTGTTATTCAAAGGTCATATCTGCCCAAATATGTCTTGATTTCATTCAGAAGCATCCTATTTAAAATAGAACAAGTCATTTTTAGGCAAAAATCACCTTCCTCATTTGGCCTTTAATCAATTTCTAGCAGGGTGTTTTGACCTCAGCCGACTTGCTAGAAACTGATTAAAGCCCAAATACTGTCATTCAAAGGGGATATCTTCCCAAATATGACTTGATTTCATTCAAAAGCATCTTATTTTAAATAGATCAAGTCGTTTTTAGGCAAAAATCACCTTTCTTCAACCACATTTGGCCTTTAATCAATTTCTAGCAGGGCGTTTTGACCAGCCGACTTTTTCAACTTCCTGAATAACAAATCTTGCTTGGGGTCAAATTTAAAAACATTTACACTAAAGGTGCAGTGACATTCCCTGACGATAGATGGCAGTAAAGAATCATGTTCCATATAGAATAAAGAAGAAGAAATAAAGAGCCAATCACAAACCAGGGCACCAGATTAAATATTTTTCGAGTCAGGTAGTCGCATTTTGAGTTTGTACGGACTTACATTTTATTTTAAAAGGAGACATTCATCATAAGACAACCAGTTTCCCGTGGCCGCCGTAAGAATGAAGCTAACGGACATCAAAAAGTTAAAAGTGGCCGAGCTGCGGATCAGACTCACAGAACTGGGGCTGGACAGCAGAGGACTAAAGGCTCAGCTGGTGGACAGGCTGTGGTCCATATCACAGCCAGGGCAGCAGGAGGAAGAGGCCAAACTAAACAACGACAGCTCGCCGGAACCGCCGGAGCCAGCGGACATCCCTGCTCCGTCCTCGTCGCCGCCGACAGAAGCTGGTGTTACTGCGCCGCATAAAGTAGACCGTGGCAGAGGGTGCACGGACGCGGGCACGCAGACGGAGCCGGACCCCGGTCAGCCTGCTCCACAGCCGGAACCCGAGTGTGTTCCTGGGCGTGAGGCGGCATGTCAAGCCGGGACAGGAGGGCCTGGAGAGGACAGAAGTGCTGATCTGTCAGAGGACACGAGGAGAGGAAGGGCTTTCTACGAGTTCAAAGAGGAGATCAAATACAAAAGGTGAAATAGTTATAGGGGAGACATGACACGCGCACACAAAAGGACCCTACACAACTGCATGCACAGCACCAGTGTGGGCATGAGTTATTCCTAAAGGTGGCATTAAAGGAGTGTATGAGGTTAGATATGGACCACAGCGTTTGTCCCTTTTGAAAGAAAATTGGAAAAAACATACTTAGCATTTATTTTTTTATTTTTAACACAGTTTTGTTTTGTTTACCAATATCAAAACAATACTTTCAATTCAGTTTTTTTCTTACAGGGACACATATTATGACCCTGAATTAACTCCAGAGGATGCACTTTCAAAATTCTGCATTTCAGACTCTTTTTATGAGTAATAATAATTTTTATCTACAATAACATGACATGTTTCATTTATTGAGGGCAGTTTCCAGAAAGCTGCTGCATATTTACCTCACAGAGGTAAAATGTGAAATTGCACAAAAGTGAGGCTTAAGTGGTTGTCATCGCAAAAATAAGGGAATAATGTTTATTAATCAACGCTGGCCAGTTTTGGACTCAAAGAGAAAAAAAAAGACTTGTGTGCATCTCTTTTGTGATCCAGAGCCAAATCACCAGGTCCTCCACAGGAGAGTTGTGAGGCAGAGGATCATGACGAAGATAAAGTCAGATTAGATCCATGTAAGTTTGTAATGTATTTCTGTTTGGGGTTTTATCTGGGAAAAAAAAAAAATTATGTCCCCACCCTGCTATTGGTTATTCCACAGATGGCTGCCACCTCCACTTTCAGGTGGGTCCAGATGGATCCTGCGGGCAGCCTCGGTTCTGGGATCGGTTCCCTCTGCTGTGGGCGGGCTGTCGGCTCACTCATGGGGTGCTGCAGGGCAGGGTGGGCTTTGAGGTCAGACTGGAGAGGAAGTTGCTGAGTGAACAACCAGAAGACCAGGAGGTCAGGCAGCTGTACGGTTTGAGAGTCGGCTGGTCTGTGGCCGATGCCTCTCTGCTGCTGGGTGAGGATGATCATATCGACATTTGTAAACGATATCCTTGATAAACATCTTTTTAATGGAGGCATGTTGGGTTTCCTACCAGGTGAGGATGAACTGTCTTTTGCTTATGATGGATGTGGTAAAAAGGTCTCGGGTGGAGCTGAAGATGTCTTTGGGGAGCCTTTCTCTGAGGGGGACATCATCGGCTGTTACGCTGTGAGCTGCCCTTTTTTTCTCCTTGCTGTATTCTTGAGTGGACTTTACTCTGATGTCCATGCTGTGTGCTCCATGTTTGCAGTCCTTCTCTCCAGACGGGGAAGCTGAGCTCTCTTTCCATAAGAACGGCCGTTCCATGGGTGCAGCCTTTTCCCTGAGGTCCTCTGTGCTGCTGGGTCGTGCTCTGTTCCCTCACGTCCTCTGCAGGAGCTGTTCGGTCCGGCTGATTCTGGACCCAAATGCCCCCCCGTGGCACCCCAGCCCCCCTGGGTTCACGCCACTGGCAGCTGTCCCTGCTGGACAGACTGTTCGCTCCCCGTCAGGTCCTACCCCCAGAGCACAGAGGGAGGTGAGATGTTGAGGTGAACGCCATTAATGCCAGCAGTCCGCGAACTATAAGATCTGACTGGAAAAGTCTCTTAAAATTGAGATAAATCAGTCTGAGGGCAAAGCTGTGGACTCGCTGATGATTATGACCAGAGCCACGCCTCAGAAAGTGCCGTTCTTAAACATTTCATCGGTCTGTTCCTCCAGGTAGTAATGATGGTGGGTCTTCCTGGTTCTGGAAAGACGCTCTGGGCTCGTACTCACATGAAACAGCACTCGGAGAGACGGTACAGCCTGCTGGGAACTGAGGAGCTGCTGGCATGTATGATTGTTAGTCAAAGCTTCAGGTTCTCTCAAGTTACACATTCACTGTCAAATATGATGATCCCCCTGTGCCCAGCTGGTCTGAAAGGTGTGTGTGTGTCTGTGTGTGTGTAGAGTGGTGGTCAGAGGGACCACCAGCTCCAGCAGGCCTCTCAGTGTCTGACCGATCTGATAAAAATAGCTGCCCAGACTCCAGGGAACTACATCCTTGATCAGGTAACTTAGTCCAGACATAAAATCTGAGGTTATTAGATCTGAGGTTTATTTGAACCGGTTAGTTTAACTCGTGTCTGTTTGCAGTGTAACGTGCTCTTCTCCGCCCGCCGTCACAAACTGCAGCTGTTTGCGGGCTTCAGGCGCCGGGTGGTGGTGGTCTTCCCCTCGGCAGATGAGTGGAAAAGGCGACTATCGCAGCACCGGAAGAACGACGAGGAGCACGTCCCAGAGACCGCCCTGCTCAAACTCCAAGGTCTCACAGGCTCAGAGTTTTTAGAAGACGTTTGTGTCTCGCTGAATGATCAGATGAAGCATCGGGAACACTGAAAATGTAGACAAGCTGCTCTACTTTAACCGTCAGTGCTCTCAGGGTTATGGCTGATGAATGCGTGTAATACACAGCGTTGTGTGCCAGGATAGATGGTACCTTTAAAAAGCCTAAAAAAAAGTACATTGAATTTTGCTTTCATAAAAAGTCTTACATCTTTCCCTTTGACAGGTCTATTTTCGTTATTAGCTTCATATTCTGCTGTTACTTGCAGCTAGTAGGAGCTGTTATATTGTTTTGAGAAAAGCCTCAAACTACATAAGCTGATTATGGTTAATATATTCCATTAAATCATTAGTACTTGTCATAGAAGGACAGCTGAGGTGGGCTCCCCCCCCCGAACTGGAATAAGTGGGTTTAGAAAATGAATGGATTTTGTGTGTATCCATCCATTTGAATTCTCTTTACTTTTTCAAAAATACCAAAAGCTTGTTTCCCTCCAACTCCAAACGTTATTTGGACTTTGAGAAGACACAAAGCGGCATCCTGAAAGGTGGGAGCTCAGGGAACTCCCACCTGCTGCTAATAGTCGGTCAGTCCCCGGAACAGCTGACAGAGCGTGGCTCCTGCTGCCAGCTCCATCGACAGATTTAGACTCATTAGAGCAGCTCTTTGTTCCGAGTGGAGGTGTTTTGGGGATGTACTACAAACAGAAAAGAGAGATTATGTCTATGTACCCGGTTGTAGGAGTTTCTTTGGGACAGAGATTTCTAGGCACGCTGAATCTGGTTTTTGTTTCTTCTGTCCAGTCAGCTGCAGCCTGCCGGAACCTCAGTCCGACCTGCTGGAGGAGTTGCTGTTTGTCGAGCTGCCAGCGGAACGGGCCGAAGCTCTGCTGGAGGAGTACAAAGAAGCAGCTCGCAGACTGCTCCCCCCCGTCCCCAAACCAGAGAAGAAGAAACCCAGACCGTACAGGAAAAGACCCCACCCTCACGGCCCTCCGCTCTCACATCGCGTCCCGTGGACGGGGCTTCGCGGTCAGCAAGAGAAACGATGGATGCGATTTCCGTTGCCCGTTTTTAAAAGTGCTTGCTAACACGGGTGTGTCGTTGCAGGATGGAACATGCACACGTGGAACCATCAGCAGAGCTGAAGTCCAGCTCCGTCCGGACGGCAGCATTACTCATCAGTTAACCAGGAGACTGAACTCTGGCCACACCAGCACGGCGCGGAAACCCGCTTCAGCCAACAGAAGATCACCACTCACCGTCTTTTAATGATTTTATTTTTATTCAAAATATTTTTTAACTTCTCATTGGACAGTATTCAAAGTATGGAAAACAAACAGAGTCTAATCACTGTTTGTCAGCGAGCTCTTCTAGGGACTAACTCGGCTCTGCTCTTATGGATTCTCGTGGGTCAGTTGGCTGCCGGCGCTGCGTCCGGCTTCACCATCTGATAAAGCAGCACGGCTCCTTTGGCTGAAGGACACAGCTCCGACCACAGAGGGCTGCTTCTGTTCAGCAGCAGGGCCTCCTGCGACAGAAGAATTCAGCACATTAGATGCTTCAAACGATGGATTGCATACAACTTTATAACTTTTCTCTTAAAGCCCAAAGCAGGATGCTCACTGCACTGAGGACGTGCACACCTCAGAACAAGGGTGCACTCTACTGACCGTTCTGCTGAGGAACACCACGTCCGTGGACTCGTTGGCTTCTGCTCCTCCTTTCCAGTAAAGCTTTCTAACGTCATCGGAGGTCAGGGAGCAACTGAGGGCACACAGATTTAAATAGTCTTTACTGAAACCAGATGTTATTACTGCTTCTGAGCTGCTCGACACAGAGGTTAGTGGCCATTTTACTGGCCACCCCAGAACCTTAGCCTTAAATAAAAATGACTGACAATTCAATCTAACTCATCTATAACAGGTTGATGCTGAATCTTGCCCATTTTTTTCCCTTTTTTTGCTCGTTCTTTTTGGGAAGCATTCAGGAAATGAACGTGAATGAACGTCCACCATTGGACTGAGCTACAGCTTCTCTGTCTTATTCTCTGCATACCCAAACAAGAGAACATAAAGTTTGTGAGTTTTTATAAAAAGTAAAGTGTGCTATTCTGGTTTTGTGAGTTTGGTCTTTGCAGGATTCCGGTCCAACTAGCAGTTCAATGCATTTGTAAACACACTATCTGCCTGAGGTTGAAATTGGACTTCAGTTAGTTTCTGGGATTAATAAAACATCCAAGGACTTGTATACCTGACAAAGAACTCGGCACTTGGTCTCCCTGCACTCGTGTGGTTCAGGGCGACGCCCATCAGGACCGGTTCTCCAAGGGCGCTCATGGGCACATTCACCTGGTGATGAGATAAGTTTCACCTAAAAATGTTTGTCAAATCTCTACAATCCAATTAGCACTACAGCTTGTTATTTCAATTTAGACTGTGCCACAAGTCACTTTGCCTTTAAACAACTCTCAACATCAGAATATTCTGGAGAACAGGATAATCCCTGAGCTGCACAGGGAGCAAAAGGAGAAGCTATGAGTAACTGTGAGTACTTTTTTACATCAATATTTGAGGCATTAAAAGAAAAAGACATATTGCTAAAGTGTAAATTTTGCCATTGTAAATACCACAGTGTCATGCAAAACTGGCTAGTAGGAGGTAGAAATCTGTGACCTTACAGACAACCCAATCTTCATTTCCCACGAAACGCCATTAAAGAGCCACACAAAGTAACGAGCTGCAGAGCCCTGGGACCTGTCCGGTAAAGCAGAGGGTGGATGGATGAGGAGGCGCCCACCTCGTCCCTGATCTCAGCGCACACGGAGCAGAACAGCTCCGACACCACGGCGTCCGGCCTCTGATGCATCATGACCACAGAGATCTGATCCTCCTTCACCGACTGACCCAGACTCTCACACACCACCTGTGGAGAGCAGCGACGGCGCCAATGAAAGGCGGGTTCTTCTGGAGGCTCTCGATTGGTTTACGTCACCTTGGGCTCCGGGTGGCCGCCGGGAATGTCCAGGAGCCCCCCAGCCTCGGCCACCTTCTGGCTCCTCCTGATGAAGACCACCTGAGCGTCTTGCGTGCACAGCACGGCGCCCACCCCCAGAGGCTGAGCGAGGAGCGCCAGGCCGTCGCCGAACTCCGCCTCCCCGCGCTGACGGAGCTCTGCCACCCCACGCGACCAGTTGGTTCCGAGGTAGTCCTTGTAGCAAGTGAGGCCCAGTCTCAGGGTGAGAAGCCTCCCGGGGTGTGAGAGGCGTTCAGCAGCAGGGCTCTTAAAGTCTCTGCAGTCACAGGCGGACGAAGCATGCAACAACACACTGGCTTCATGGTCTGTGACACACTCCGCGTTTCCCGTACAAACTACGCAGCCATTGCTGATGTAGGAACCTTTCTGAGCTGTGCAATCCTCCAGTTTTTGCTCATCCTGGTCCTCTGCGCTCTCCAGAGAGGGAACACAGGAGGGACAGGAGCGATGTGAAGGTTTTGGAGAGGCTAAGCAGAAGGAATGCAGTCTGAATTTGGCCCCATTGAAAAGCCAGGGCTCCTTGGAAAGCCGCTCGGTCCAAACCTCATCGATTTGACGCTCCAGAGCCGGATCTGTCCGCCTGTTGTAGCTGACAGGAAGCAATATAACACTTTTGAGGTTTGAGATATATATATATATATGTATATATATAATGTTCCAAGGCAACTTCAGACATAGACAGTTTCAGAACAAAAGAGGACCTGAATACCTTTCAGAAAGCTCCACCTGTACTTGAGACTTCAGCAACCCTCTCCAGTGTGCACAATGCAGCAGCAAAGACACCTCAGGGTCCATCACTGCCCTCTTGGATTATCATCAGAGCTGTCACTTTGTCATTTGATCCTCATTTAGGGCTTTAAGCTGTAAACATCACATTTAAAAAGAGGGGAAGTGAAAGTTGAAGGTGCCATAAAAGGTTAAGTAAATTGTGAGTCATTTGTAAAGGTCAGTCAGAGTATGTCCTATCACATTTCCATCCACTTATTACACTCCAACAGAAAGGCGAACACAGAGACAACAGCAGGTTGTTAAAATCTTGGTTAAATGAAAGTATCACTCTTTCGACAGCAAACAGCTGTTTCATCTAAGATCAACGCTCATTACATTTGTGACGTTCCTCAAAGGCAGGCATAACTTCCTGTTGCTCGTCAGCCTGAAAACCTACATTTTCACACGTGGCACATTTTAAAGAATGTATCTTTTCTAAAAATAAAAAAATACTATCAAAATCTTGCTTATCATCAGACAAGATTAGTAAATTCTGCTAAGTAAACTGGGATTAAACTAAATAAAAACACCTCTCACGGGACTTTTTCATCTCTAGTACTGATGGCATTATTGCATTATTTTGTACTTGCATTCATGTTATAGTTTTTGGACTGTATGGAAATAAACAGCTGATAAATTATGGATCGACAACTTCAAATGAAGGTGTGAAGCTCTAAGGAAAGAATAACGCATGTAATGTCCAGATAGAATTAAAATGGTATAACTGTACCACTTGGTTTTGTAGTCTGAACAACATTATATTTAAGTACCGAATCTGAAACTTGTATATTTGGACTTTTCTTACCTTTTCTCAGAACAAATACCTGTAAAACTGCACAGGGCAGTTGCTTCTTTCCTGGTTCTTTCCTGGAGTGTCAGAGTGAAAATGAGCTCGCTATCGCCACCTAGGGATCGAGTGGAGAACTGCAGCAACAGTGATGCTCCGAAGTAGTGTAAAAACAAATAAACACCCCTGTAATTGCATATCATAGCCCAAAATCCTTGTTAAATGCTTGAGTAAATCAATTTATTTTTTATTTTATCACGGTCTTAATATTGACCAGATACTGGTAGAGGGGCGTTTTGTTCTGTTTTGCATCAAGACACCGAAAATAATCTATAGCTTCCGGTAATATTTTCATAGAATTATCATGGTGTATATAGGTATGAAAGAAATATGATTTTGCCATTTAACTTTGCCCTGAATTAAACAAGTACAATACATTAGGATTTTGTGTGGGTTTAAAGTTTACGTTTTTCTTGTTGGAGAAAATCAAACGAAGATCAATTAATCAAAAAACGACTTTGCTTGTTTTTAACATATTTAAGCACTCTTTATCATGACTTGGTTCTCTTGGGCTCTGGGTGGCCGCCTCCTGGCTCCTCCTGAGGAACACCACCTCTCTCGTGTTTTTTTATTTATCCTTGTATAAATCATTACGAATAGTTTGTATGGTCTCTGTGTTTTTAAATCTATTTTAAATGAAGGATTAATTCTATTTCCGGTCTAGGTGTCGCCAGCTCGATGTGTTGTGCAGTTCCAGCGTTACGAAACTGAGTTCCCTCGGTATGTCACCTTTTCTCTCTTAAGTTTTGGGTTTATGGGGAGGATGCATTATGAGGCATGGTCATATTTTATATTTACACTTGACTGGGTGCCAGGAGCTGAATGAAAGAGTTCCTTGAAGTTAACTGGTGCATGGAAATGTTGTTAACACCCGGCTAGCTTTAGCTCGTCCGGTCAGGTAGCAGAACATACTGTTCCACCTGGAAACTCACCAAGTCTGTCCGCTTTTTGCCTAGTATATTGACATGTTATAAAACCATTAAGAAGCATCTGTGCACTACCCGTTTGTGCACTACTTACAACAAGTTAGGTGGCACTACTTTTAAGATAAAGCTAAGTTTCCTTACAGTGGACCAGCCCATAGCTAAAATTCAATTACACGGTGAAACTCTGAATGACAGATGTTTAGATGTTTTTTTTTTGTTAACCACACTTAACCAGACTTTGTTAAACAATTGTAATATTGAGTGTTGGTTTTTGACTGTGCTCACGTGTCTTGTGTTGTGGTTCTTAGTCACGTGTGGGCAGACAAGCGGACAGCTGCTGACTAAGACATTTTCAATGGGAACGCAGTGAAAGGTGAGAAAAGCCACAGCTGGATGCTTCCCAATACTCTGTCGGGCAGCAAACGAGATTTACTCTACAGCATGTTCAAACGGGATCAGAACTTTCAGGGACATGCTTTCTAAATTATCGCAAAGTGTTATTTAATGATACTTTCAAACCAGAATATATTTAAGTATCTATTATCAATGTACTTCTGTCATATTTTATTGATAAAACAGAAGCACATAAGAAGTTATCTACCACTCATCTGTGATATTATTTGCAGTTGTGTTAAAAAAACAAAAGGATGTGATCACGCTGTCTTGCCTTTATTCTTAAATGATTCCATGACTGGCTTTGGTGTCATTCTAATGTGTTTTTATCAGTTTTTTTTATATCTCTGTCATGGGATGTTTCTGCTCTTCATGTGCAGTATAGCAAATAAGTGCTGTTTTTAAGACTGGAAAAACAGAGTTTCTGAAATGTTTCCCCCCTTTCTGCATTGGCTGTGTTGCTCCTCGGTCAGCTGGGTGTTCTCTGTTTTTCACCGGCTGGAAACACATGATGTAGTCTCTTATATCGTGATTATCAAATATTTAAGTCCAGTCTCATAGAAACCAAACTGTATGCCGTCCCATTCTGCCGAGGACACTGGTCAAGAGTTCTTGTGCAGGTGATAGACTGTCCAGGTGCTTAATTTGTGCTTTTCCAAGTTCCTACTTTTGCATTCTGCCATGAATAGTTCATTGGTTCTCTTCAAAGATAGGTTTTTGACTGATTTGTGAATGGATTTCCCTGCCTACATTTCAAAACATCTCAGATTTGATTATATTCCCCCTCTGGGCAACTTCAACATGTGAACAAACTGAAAGATTTGTGTTTGTCCTACTCCTCAGATGTGTCTGTAAAGATGAATTTTCATCTACTAGCTGATGTTATCCTGTTTTTCCTGGTAGGTCAGTCTGAGAAGTACTCATCATGCAGTTGGAGGCTCAGCTGCGTTTGTGTCAGAGTTGCCTCTGGAGCTGTAAGGGTGGACTACGGATGCTGTCCCAGAGCTATGTGCACAGGTAGAGTTTTAATGTACATTTGCGTTTCTTTGTCTTTACAGTTTGGTCTTAACTACTGAAAACAACTGTGTGATTTTGCTTGTGTACTCTGTATTCGTACAGGTCTGAATGCCTGCTTGGTTTTGAGTTGTTTGCTTTATCACCACAGAAAACCGGTGAACTACTACGACCTACTGGGAGTCAAATCAGATGCATCAACCGAGGAAATAAAAAATGCATTTTTTGATAAATCCAAGAAGGTAGATTGTTTTCTTCTGATGAAAAAGTTGAAGTTTGTATGTATGTTCGATTAAAACACAAAGCCACAAGAGGGCAGCGTCTCGCTGGTAAACCTGTACTTGCTGACTGTTCCCACACTGGGCTCCCTGGCTGTTTGTTTTCATGTTGTGGCTACCAGAGCGATTTAGGATGGAGATGTGTATTTATATGGTGGTTCTGGTATAATTTGGGGATAAGACATCTAATTCTTTTGGGAGTAAAGAAAATAAAGCTGGCTTGTAAGTTCAAACCAAGCATGCATGACTACGTATGTGTCCCCTCCGTGGGTTTCCTCTCTTACTCTACCGCCTCGTCCGCAGCTTCACCCTGACAGCGACCCCTCCAACCCAGAGCTGCACAGCCAGTTTGTGAAGCTGAACGAAGCCTACCGAGTGCTGAGCAAAGAGCTGAGCAGGAAGGAGTACGACTTCAAAATCCAGCACCCCTACAGCGGGGGGGGAGTCTTCAGATCTACCTCAACTCAAGCCGCTTACAGAAGGTGAGGACGGCGGCCCAGCCAAAGGCTTGTGCCCTCCCTCGTCCTTCTTCATTTATCACTTCCTGTGGAAAACACACCTTGCTGATGCTCTTTACAATGTGTCCCAACATTGGTGCAGGCGGTAGCGGGCACTGGACATGACAGCCATTTTCCCCTCTTGTGTCACTTTCCCCCCTCAGCTCGGACACCCAGGAGGGCTTTCGCTACTGGGGACAGTTTCACCAGTCTCAGTCTCCAGAGATGACCGCAGAGCAGAGACAGGAGAGGAAGAAGAGGAACTTCCGGCTGGTGGCCTACTGCGTCATCGCCATGATGCTCAGCATCGGAGCCCACATGGTCTTCTTCAAGTAAAAGAAAACAAACATTTCCCACACAATACTTTTTGCATTTTTTTTTGTTCAAGTGTGTCAGCAAAAAAGGTGGAAACCTCTCCACAAAAGAGGTCCGATGGTGGTGAACTAATCCTGAAGCGGGATTGTTTCTTGCCAGTTCTGAGCTCACCGGGAGGTTTTTGGTGCTGCCCATTCACACCCAGATGGCACCCAGAGGGATTTCTGCAGACAATGCAGACTTCTGAGTCATGTGACTTGGCACAACTTCACCACTGGCCTCGGATTTGTTTCCACACAATGACTCTGTGCCACTTCTCTTTGTCAAAACTCACCTCTTTGTGATTTTTGCAGCTGTTTCAACAGCTGTCCAAACTCAAAGAGACCGAGCGCCTGCTGACAGCCGAGATTTAAGCTCCAACAGATATATCCTCTAATTGGAAGCGTGTCTCCAACTCTTTCAGGAAACTGGAAGAAGTTCACAATAACTTCATGGATGAGAAAGATCGAGTCATCACGGAGATCTACAATGACGCCAAAGAGAGAGCCAGGTGAGCCGGCACCCCCCCCCTTACACCACATAATGTTTATTCTTCTCTTTGACACGTATTGGGGAGTTGGTTCAGGCTTGGTAAAGCGTGTTGCTGGGACTGACAGCAGCTCTCCTGCGGTTTCACAGGGTCAACGGTTTTAAGAAACAGACCGAAATCCTGCGGCAGAAGCACGCCGAGTTCCAGGAGAGGTACAAAACACGCAACGGTGGAGACGACAAGTAGCCTCTGCGGCTGTCTCTGAGATAATGGGAGTTTCCAGCAGACGGAGGACGTGGAAGACGTTCTTTAAGGACTTGTAGTTTTATTTTGTTCTGTTTCCGACTTTCCCGCCCGTGTTTGACCTCAGATGTGATTCTGACACAGACCACGGGCGCTAAGCGGGGGAGTGTCATCCGGCCATACAGGTGTTGCCGACAGACCACGCTGAGCTGTAAATCACTGGGCTGGTCTGGGGAACTATTTATGGTCGATACTTTATTTGAAGTGTCTCGAGTGTCTGCAGGGTCCAGGTGCAGCTTGCGCACATACTGTTTGTACAACGGAGCCACAGTGAGCACTCTAAAATAGGAACTCAGTTCTTTTCATGCGTCCGGCCTCAGTTCTGTGGCGTACGGCGGGCAGAGCCAGCAGCCTTTTAGTAGAAGATGAGAGCTGATTACAATGAGAGAACACCAGTACGTTCTAAAAGAAGGTGACCGGTGTCCTTGAGGGCCCCCGATCAGGTCTGACGAGCATCAGGCTGTTCGGGGAGAAGAGGCGTGAAAAAGGAAGTATCTGCTGAAGTACCCTGTTTGCACATTTCTTTCATTTTGGACTCAGCAGGAAGTCTGCTTCTTAATGCACAATTTTCTGTTTGTGTAAACAGAAACCACAAATTCCCAATATTATGACTTGAGAAAGTGCCACTGGTTAAATTATTGATGGCCAATCTGTTATTAGAATAATAGGAATGTAAAAATATGAAAAGTAATGCAAAGAAGCAACACCGAAACGCGTGTTAATGATGGTTTTCTGAATGTCCAGAGCCAACATTTACCATTTTGCCTGTCTGTTTTTAGGTTTTTGAGGTTTTAGTGTTGTTTATCTGTCATTGAATGCCTTATGTATTCCCTCGAGGGACGCAAGAGTGGAACGATTAAAAGATCAACTTTTTCTCATCGGTCTTCACTTCCTGTTTGCTCTGTCTGTAAGCTCCAGGCGGCTTCCTATTTTACCGTTTTGCTCTCGTCCTCCTGAAGTGAAACTCATTTCCCCTGCTCAGCAGAGATAACAGGAGGCTCAGACCTCCAGCGGCACACAGCAGCCTTTTAATGAGCAACTGCGCTCAGCTTTCCGTTTGGTTGTTATTAGATAATTATTTATCTGCTCTGCGTCAGAATCCAGAGCCGTTTTCCATCCCGTCTTTGGCGAAAGAAGCCAACAAACCTCTGTAACGAAATATCTGTAAACGACAGAGTTGAAACCTGTGCGAACAGATCAGCCAGTGGTAATGATGCATCTGCATAACTTCCAACTACTTGTGACCCAGAAGGGAGGCTTGTTCTGGAGCGCTCAAAATGGGGCTGTGACCTGTGTTTGAAGAGGAGATAGGACCGTTTTCCTCGACTGCCTTCGTTCCACCGGCGGCCCCTGCCCCGAGACATCAGCGGGAGATAACGTACTGTGTCCCCGCATCGCTCACAGACACCCTCGCCCTCATGTGGCGTGTGAGTGCCCTGTCATAACCCAAACACGCCATAATGACTGAGATTGTGGTGTCGGCGTGCCTCCACACACACACACACACACACACACACACAAGCAGACACACACACGCAGACACACACACACATAATAATGAAAGAAGTGGCTGGTGGAGAGAAAGAAGCAGCTATGAATACAGTTTTAATTGTCTTTTATGTTTAGCATAATGAGATGTGGGGATAGCTGTCAATCAAATGCTGGAATAAAGCCCCGACATGCACATCCTCTGTTTTTTGTTCCACTGACAATAAAACACCACATTGAAAAGGCAAATATTTGGCTTCAGTCTGACAAACAGATGCGATCCTTCGGTAGGAAAAGGGCCAAATCCTTCACCAGCAGTGCTGTTACTGGAAGGAGAAAATAGCTGTAAGAGAATAGTTTAACTCAAAATCTGAACCACTGATGGGGAAAAGTATTCCGGATGCTGTAGCTAGGTCATAGAGAGTAATTAATGCAAATACATCAGCTCATCTGCTGAAATTAACATTTTCCTGTTAGATAGCTTCACCATAAACAACATGCTGTCAATTTGTCATGAATCGTATTTTATTTTAAGTGTGTAATAACTGGACTGTTTGTTGACATTTTTCTTTTTCTCATCAGATATTTAGATAAAAAAGATTTGAAGGATTGTGGTGCCAAAATTCTGTCTAAAACGCCCCATTTTGAAAATCATCAAACAAGCAGAGCAGTAAAGATTCTTTTATTTGGTCTAAAGTTTATATTTATAGAAATTTAAAATTTTATTGAAGCATGACAGAGTGAGCATGTTTAACATCTTTATTATAGCTTACTAATATCTTTTCAGGAAGCATTCTGAGAAATTAGGGGCCCGTAAAATTAAGATTAGTTTTGCAACCTAGGATGAAGGTTGAAAAGGTTTCACAAACTTAAACCACTGTAATCTGCAAAAAACAGTCATATAAAGAGAAGGAGAAAACACATCTAAATGAGGATGAATGCCCTTGTTGATTGACACACATATAGCATCCAAAGCACGTGGGAAAAGGAGAAGATTCTCATCCCAGCGTAGCTCCATCTTCTATGCACAGTTTTCCATAAATGAAAGATCTCAAAACAGAAAGAAAATGTGTTGTGGGCCATGGAGAAAAATATTAATTAGAAAATTATCCAAACAATCGTCAGTTTTCCTTTCTTTTTTTTCATATTCAAATAACAAGATCTAACAAAGAAACACTCAACATGTGCTGGTCTTCCATGTCTGCCCCTCAGGGGGACCCAGACCCATCTTAAAAGAAGAGAATACTCAGGAGGCACGACCTCCTAGTCCTCAGAGGACAGCACGACCCACTTGCATTGGGGGCCCCTGGAGGCCCCTGACCCTCCCCACCCCCACCCCCACCACCCCCCCTCTCCATGGGACCAATAGAGACGCTGCACCTGTATCCAGTGCGCCTGTCCCGTTCGGCGAAAGTTGGCAGCGCAATAGTTCCGCTGCATGCGTCTCAAGGGCGAAAGGAAAGGAGGAAACCGATCACAATAACAAATGAAGACTACCTTTTCCTCCAGACTCTGTGTGTCTGTGTGTGGCTGAGAGCGGGCTTCCCCTCTGCGGCCGCTGCACGGTCGTGTCAGCGGAGGACCGATTTCGGGGTTTTATTTATAAGGAGGCTTCCAAAAAAAAAAAAACCTGGGAAGATGCGCCTGGAGGGGAAACGTCACATTTTCAGTTGGAGCGACAGTGTGGTGAGAGCGTGACCGAGCCGAGGAGCGGAATCTGAGGCGCCTCCCGCCCGGACAATGCGCCAGAGCCGCGGATCCCCGCCGGAGCAGCGTCCACAGGACGGGCTGATGACGGGATGTGGGCTTTGTCGTTCTCTATTTCTCAGACGCACGCGACTATTTGATCGCGCCACGTTTCAGCGGGAATTTGTATGATCGTTCTGTCACGCCACGCCGGCTGGACACCCCCCCCCCCCCCCACCCTCACAACCCCTCCACCCCACCTCTAAAAAAACCGGCATCACTGGATCAGGACCGAGGCTGCCCATAATAATAACATTTTTTTACTTATACAAGTTTCTGGGGGAACTAAAAGGAAGGGTGCCAGTGTTATACATGAAATATAACCTACAGGCATCTTCTCTCAGTTTTTTTCTAACTTAATGTGGGCAACCTTTATTCTCAGACAGCTGAGTTCAGTTGTTTTGTTTTTCTAACTGGCTTTCGGTTATGTTTAAATACTAATTCAGGCTCAAATGCATTCAAGCGAAGTTAACAGACCAACATCCATAATGCCTCCTTGGGAGCCCTTTCAAGGGAGGGAGACTGGAGAATGAAAGCTGGATATTCGCGTCTTTAATCGGACACAGCGGCGAAGGAAGGAGGACAAGCCACCTTCGGGATTTTTTTGGATTGCTCCAAAAAATACTTTTTTCCGTGTCCCTTGGAGTCCTGCACAATGGGGATTATGCTTCAAGTTATTCTAGGAATGTTTCAATTCCTGCTGCTCACCAGAATACCGACGTCCCATTCCAAGGTATGTATGTCTGAACGGTTTGACCCCAGAAGGGTGAAGTTTGAGGCGTCATTTAGGCCCCGTTTTACAGGTCTTCCATCTGTGGGCTCTCTTGAGCGTGTATTCCTAGTTACCCCAGAGGTCAATGACACCTGTCACCTCATGCCCTGCAAGACAAAACACAATAAACCTTTAGGGTCTGAGGCAGTTCATCTAAAGCTCTGTCATTATCAGCCAGAGCTATAAAGCTTTATCACCTCTTCCATGTGGTATTTTGCTCTAAATCTGACAGCACATAAGTGGATTTTCTAAGCATTTGCACAGGAACTGGCCATCTATATGAGCGGTTGATATGTTGCCAGGTTGTTGCAAATCCTCCACAGCCTTTGCTTTGTCTCTTTTGTTAGAGCGTCATTCATAAAATGTTCTCTCAGACTCTGTATCCATCAGGGGATGGAAGGTATGGGGGAAGGTGTGGGTCACGTAGAACAGACACCGATAAATCAACACAGACTTTAAGTGAGTGGTCCGGTGCTGCTGGATGTGTGCTTTATCTCTGTGCTTTTAATTGGAGGTAGGTGAAAAGATGCCTCTGTTTGGTGTTGCCTAAAGACTGGGAACACAGTGAGCAGCCAAGTCTCCCTGGCTTGGTCTAAAAGTAACAAATCGGCCTGCCAATTACCTCTAAAGCTCACTTATTAACATACTGAGCTGTGTAAAAACGGGTGCTTGGTTTTAGAGCTATGCTGATTATTCAGCTGACGTTTACTGTGCCGCAACCCCGAGACTGTCATCAAAGATTGAACGGCTTGTAGGGAACAGTATACACAAATAACCTTATTTTACAAGAGCGAGGGGGACCATTGGTAATTTGATTTATTGACGGTGGTGCAAAGGAGTTTCAAGAAGGAGTTATCTGGAGCTGTCTTTGTTTAATAAATGACCCAAGACCAAATATCAGTCAGTTGGCTGTTAGATTAACCGCCTCGTGATATCAGCAGCTCAAAACTACTTTGCATTCAGATGTTTTTTATCATCAATAAGTTTTCCTAGCTTGATTTATCACTATTGATTGCGCTGATATGGCAATCTGTGTGATTTATGTGCTCGCTTCCACACACACGCATGCAGAGACCTGCGGGCTCTGTTTTCTTATTTACGTCTGGGGACTTCTATCAGGAACAGGCAGTGCTCGGAGGCGGTGTGAGACTCGGTGCTGCTCTTTACTGTATCTTTCAGTCATTTATCATCCCAGACGCTACACGGCACACAGGAGCGTGCACCAGAAAGCCTTTTCACCTTCACACCTCCATTACACGAGACTCCGCTTTCACGCAGCGGGATTCGTTGACAGCTTATTTGAAAAAGGGGTCACCTTCTTGTCTCGTGGCGATGAGGTTCAGTGTAACAGAGCTGATGTTGAGCTCCAGGGAGACGTCTCTCTCTCTCTTCACGCATGCACACACACACACTACCCCATCTGTATATTGAGCTCAGGGAGTGGCTGGAAGTTCGATGGGTTTGACTGTTGACAGATAGCGCTGCCAGTGCAGATGGCTCTGGGCTGGCACTCAGGAGAGTGTGTGTCTGTGTGTGTGCGTGCCAGATACGGCTGCCAAAAGGAGCTAATCTTAGACTTTCTTCACAGACTGATACAGAGAAGACACACTAGTTTCGCATCAAACCAGACACAAAATGGCTCCAGTCCTGGATGAACTCAGTGGTGTTGATTCAATGTGGGCCAAACCTGTTTGTGTGTGTGTGAAAGGGGGTGGAGCAGTTAAAAGCGGGGGGGGGGGGGGGGGGGGGGGAAAAGAAAGGGGGGGGGGGGGGGGGGCAACTGGACAAAGTCTACATTCCCTAACAAGTGGCCTTGGTCTTCGTGCACATGTACACTCAAAGTCAGAGCTTTATAATCCCATTCGTCTTTCTGTGTGCTTTTTATTAGAGGGTCTACTAAAGTTCCTTGTGTCGAAATTATTAATATGGCATCACAATGAAATCATCTCCAAAAAGACTGACACAGTGATAAAATGTTTAAAAAACAACAACCAAATGCTGTGTACTTTGAACATCTTATAGCTACGTAGGTAGATCTGAAATCCATGATCTGTGAACAGCTTTTGATTTCCCTTCCATCCACTGATGGAAGGGAAATCTCCCATGAAGAAACGCTGAAGCATCTTGAAATTCCATCTGAAGAAAACGGGACCTCTGTTGGTCAAAAGAAAAACTGCATTTGGAGTGTAAAAACGATTCCATTAAGGTAACTTTTTCTTCGTAAGGAGAGCAGATTGTAGACTTTTCTATGGTTTCTTTTCAATCCAAACCAAATGATGTCATCTGGTGAACACATAAAAAAATTCCATAATTTACAAAGCGCGAAAGCGACCAGTCAAAAGACTGCATAAAGAGTGTATTTTAGTCCCAACCATCATTGTGTTCTTACTCTAAATGAAATAAGATGGGTAAACTGTTGGCCAACATGTTGCTGAAATCAGTGCGAAGCCTGTTAGCAGTAAAAATAAAATGTAGCCACACTGCCGAAGATGAATCCACTTGCTGTGCCCTGTGCTGCCGAACCTTTTTTTAAAAATGACATTCATTGGATAAATATGACCCCATAAAAGGATTAATCACCATTTCAGTATTCTAACTCGTTTGGTTAGTTTTCCAAACTCAAATGGACAGGCACTCCCTAAGTGCTATGAAATTATTCTCATGAACTGTTCAATAATAAAATTTATATTTGTAAAAAAGTTATTATTTACACGAAATAATGTGTTGAAAGCAACTATTTCAGGTCATTTATTGTGGTCAAAAACCAAATAGCTCAATGATTTAAAAAGGTGGTAATCTTACATCGATTTTTTGTAAAATGGAAAGGAGTGAAAATTAGGATTTCTGTCCTTGAAATGGACTATTAAGTGTATGAAGGTTGAAATTCAGTTTGAGAGACTGTGAGAAATCCACCACCACATGACTGGATCTGAAAGTAGGAATCAAAGTACAACAAACATTTCACTATGTGTTGACTATTGAGTAACACAACTGTGCTCAAAATATCTACATTTAAACCGATCGGTGCCTCGAATGTAGCAGGCAAAAGACTCCAGCCTCTCCCTCCAGCGATCCCAACGGGGCTGGAGATACGGTTGCAATCTGATCATGCAAGCAGGCAATTTTTCACTTTCAGTGGGCCAGCCGACCACATCCATTCAGGACGTGTGTTTGATTTGAAGCCAGAAATGGAGCTTCGTGTCTAATGTAGCCGTCACACCTGCTCTCACCCTCTTTCAAGTTCATCTGAATATCAAAGTTCAGAGGTTTTGTTTTCTTTCTGTTATCTACCAGCAGGCTTTATGGAGCCCGTCCTGTTCTGATCCCAGGTGTCAAATATGGTGGTGTTCATTAACGGGAAATACTTTGATCTATTGGTCTGTTTCAGCAGTTGGTGGGTTTTACAACAGCGACAAATAGGAGGCGGCAGATAATAAAACGAGCCTCACTGCAGCTATATGATGGTTTACTTCAGTTCTAACTCATGACTGAAGGATTAACCGCCAATAAATGACCAACCTTTGCTTTAAATCTGATATCAAAACTGGACAAAACTGTATTTCTTCTGCTTTTCTTCATCGATCTGAATGCTCTCTGTCAGGCTAAATGTTTTCTGGAGACCCTCTGCCATGCAGGCTTTTTATATGAATTTTCACAATTCTCGTTGACTTTTTATCCAGCTTGCTCACTGGCGGCCAGCGGATTCCCCCAAATCCAGGGAAGGTCGAGAAGGTAGGCTCCAGAAGCTTCTGCTAAGTCCCCCCCCACCACCACCACCACCACTGGGAGCTGAAAGAGTCCAGCTGAAGCCCACCCTTTGTGCTTTGGTCCACCAGTGCGGCGGTGGCTGGAGGTGTACTCCCGCAGCGGCTGCCAGCCCCGGGACACGCTGGTGGAGGTCTGGCGGGAGTTGCCGGGGGAGACCCACCACCTCTTCATCCCGTCGTGTGTGTCGGTGCGGCGCTGCGGCGGCTGCTGTCCTGACGAGGCCTTGGAGTGTGTGCCCCTGCTCACACACACAATCACCATGGAGGTACACACACACACACACATACAGATAATCCCCCCTGTGCTGTGGTGAATGATAAATGTGGAGTGTGTTCTTCTGCTCGGTGTGCAGCTGATGAGAACGTCCTTCATGAAGCACGAGCTCATTGAGCTGCCCTTCGTAGAGCACAGCCAGTGCGAGTGCAGGTATGAGAAACACACCCCGGGTGTACTGAGACATGTGCCTACTTTCCACTGACCTCATTGATCTTTTGTCCGCATGCAGGTTAAAAGAAGGATTCCAGTCCACACCTACCACAAGGTAAACCGCACATCTTCTTTTATTCGTCCTTTAACCTTCCAGCTGTGGTTTGGATGTCGGAAAGACCTTCTTTTCCACTGTTTTCTAATGATATTTGCAACCCCTGCATCCAATCTCATACACAAACTCCACACTGAGGACAAGCCTATAAGTTGGCGGGTGATAAGGTGAACTGAAAAACAGGTTCTTATCGTGACTATGGGACATAGTAGCAGTAGCTCACAGTCACAGGTGAACAAACTGTATTGTATATGTCCAGCTTATTCAAGCGATGCTTTAAAGTGTAAAGGCAGGACCATCCTTTTTAATACATGAAACAAAGTTTTGATAAATTTTTTCATGTGCGTCCTTTTGTCATGACTAAGTAGAGAGTTATATCTTTCAGTTGTGTCACATCATCTGTGGGTACAGGGAAAAAGTGCACGCTGACCTTTACTAAACCCATCATATGTCTTGAGATTATACTTCACAGGAAACGTTTAGATTCAGAGTCTTCCAGCTGCCAACTGGAAAAACCTTTTAATACATCCGGCAGAACACATGAACACATAATGCTGCAAGGTGGAAGGGCTCCAGGCAGGTTGTGGTTATATATTATTGGTCTGTGAGAGCTGACTGATCAGGATAACTCGCTATTATGCAATTTCTCTTTTATGGTTTACTTATCTAAAGGTCAGCAGGACTTTAGAGCTTCATAGTTGTGTTCAGTGGACAAAATCGGCACACAATATGTTATGTTTTATCAAAATCTTTGGTCTGCAGGCAAAGAGACAGGTACTAAAAGTAAGGAGGCCGTCAAGTCCTGCTTGTAGAAAATCAGACGCTGAGTGCTGTGGAAGAACCATTTCTGTTGGATCCTGGTGTTTGTTTGTGTGTCTCATTCTCGCAGGTCCAGGCAGGCAATCACATAATTGCATCTTTAATGTTTATGTCCCCTGCTTCCTGTTAGGATACGGACATAGATAAATAATTCCAATGTATGTGTGTGCCTGTAAATAATAAATCTAATTAGTTTGTACCTTCAGTCAAAGGTCATGCTTCTCTTGGATTGCATGTGTTTTTTTTTATTTTTACATGTTTTTCTTCCATGTGTCAAAACTCTTTCATATTTCAAATGATGTTTTCAGATGAGCTGTGTGTGACTGTGTGTTACTGAGGGGAGTTAGCATCTGTGTGACTCTCTCCCAGCCTCCCCTGGGACGGCCCGCATCCTGTTGTCACCATAGTGATGATATTATCTCCTCTACCATGTGCTCTCTCACAGACTGACGGAGCACAGACAGGCATTCATAATGCTAAATTGGAGCTCCAGAAACAACAACAGCCGCAGCTGTTAATAATGTCACGGTAAAGCTGGTGAAAAACGGCCTCCATGGATGGCCTTGGTTTAACACAGGCCACGGATTAATAAATGGAGGCCTGATACGGCTGATGAGGACACCAGCGCATACTTAGGTGAAACAGTCAGTGCTGTAGAAGGGCTGCTCAAAAGGAATCAGATGATATAAAAGTAGCTTTCTCTGGATAACACTTTCTGAATCATTACAAACAATTTTCAAGCTGACAGTGTGTCCTGCCAATGGATAAAAAACTGTCTAAGCTGAATTTAGCCATTTTGATTACTTGAAAATGGTTCAGTAGGTCACACTGAGCCCCTTCATGCCCTGTGCTAATTTAAAAAACCTAAAGAGTAATGAATGAGAGAAGCAGTCACATAAACACGCTGTAATGAAGTAAAAAAAGGCACAATTTCACCCACTGAAATGAGTCATATTTGAAATTTAGATTCAAAAGAAAGAAAATAAGAAAAATCCCAAAAGAGTAACATAAGTATTCAGTGATCATAATTGAATCTCAGAATTTGTCAATATAAAATGATAAATCCTATTTTATTCAGTTTAAAACTTTTTTTGTAATTTCTGACACAAAGTTATCCAGTTTATCCACCCCAGATCAGCAGGCTTTCAATAACAATTACCAACATGAATAAAATGCGATTAATGGACATAAAACCCATAACTTTGCAGATTTAGTTAAAGTCAATCCAAGGATGCATTCAACACTTGGTGGGAACTGGATTAAATGTTCGGTTTTGTAACAGATGTCAGAACTGGTGACAATATGTTGCACATGAACTCCTGACCATGTGTGGCAACATTTGTCTGTTGGATATTCTCAGGCCCATTCTGAAGCCAGCGAGAAAAGGCAAGAAAAAGGAGGGGTCGAAGTCCAGACCGAGGAAAACTGGAGGCACCAGAGCTGCGTAAATCGAATTTTCCCCACCCTTTTTTTTTTTTTTTTTTACTTAGAAGACTTGTGTTGATGTTTGTACTAAAGTTAGTCAGTATTTTTCAGTTACTCTCAGGCTCAATGTGACTGTTTGGATTAGAGAAAACTGGGTTATCTGGTCTTCACTATTACTGAAGGACAATTTGTTTTACAGCCACAGCAACAGTCAAGGTCTCACCCACACACACACACCCACCCACACACACACACACATTCACACACGCATATGCCATAATCCGTCGTTAAACTTCTTAGTCCCGGTAATTAACACAGCATTTAGTCAGAAGTTAAATAAAATAGGCTGTCTGTCATAAAGAGTTTAACTGAGTGTTTTACATTTTTTACAAGAGCTTTGAAAATGTACTCTGTTGTACCATAAACTTCACGAATCTTGCACAGAAAAGGATAAAAGAGTAAGCACTCTTTCCTCTCTTTTCATTCACTTCCCCTGCACTTTGCTGTCAGTCATTTCCGGCCCCTGGGGGCCAGAGGTGGCTACGATTGGGTGTGATGTCCCTCAGCACCCATCCATCACCCAAAAAAAGGCTTTATTCAGAGTCTGGCAGGGGTGAAATCTGTGTAATTTGCTCCCAAATGCCACCTCCTCTGTGCATGCCAGCGGCAGGCGTGGTCACGGGGACGGGAACAAAGATGGCCCCTCTACGCCTCATTAAGTTACTTCATTAAAGCCGCCAGCCTCACGGCAAGACTGGAGCAGAACTAGCTCTGGTTAATGGACCAACTGATGCAAGCAACTTTCTCAGACTTGGACTCAGAGAGCGAAAGTGCAGGACGGCTAGAGGTGGAACTGAAGGCCTTAAAGGCAACAACGCAAGCATAGCCATGGTAACAGACAGAGAGACAGACGGACAGAATGAGCGGCGAGCTTGTCAGCAGCTTCAGAAACATTATCCCACATTAGTCACACATCTCCCACACACTGCATTGTGTGGGTCTGTGTCAGACTGGCAGCACCAATGTACGACAAACCCTGATTTTTAGCCACTTCATTCAATGGCTCCATGTAAAATATCTCAACTGCTGGACAAAAGTAATGTCATTTGTGCTGTTTTTTGGCTGGTGGAGTTGGAAATGCGTGGTTTCCAACATAGATTGAAAAGAAAAAGGTGCGATGAATGTATTGTTGATGAGTCATGCAGGCTTTGTGATAAATAAAATACTAAGACGACCCCATATTAGTTTACCATAAACAAAACTTTGGTGACCACATCCAGCCAGTTGATCACATTCAAGCTCAGCTGTATTACACATCCAGGGCTAAATAACAAATATCTGTCTTTACATGCTCTTTTTTCCAGTGGGTTTAAAAATTCATAGTGATTATCTAATATTAGTTCCTGTGCCTTTTTGCTAGTTTGACCAAATTTTGCGCTTTAAAACAGCGGTGCCCATAATTCTGACTGACACTGAGCTGTGTTATTAAGCTGAATGCATTGCTGTGTAGCACTGAGCTGTTCCACCGGCTGTCTTCGTAATCAGCGCCCACTTCTAATCTGCATCTGACCACGCCGTTTTTTTTGCACCTCTTTCTCCACACAGAACCCAGAGCCCCTCTCCACCTACCACGTCCTCCCCTCTCCCGTCGTCACCTCCCCCCTCCTCCCCGTCTCCCTCGCCCTCCCCGACGCCGCGCTGCCGCCCCTGCAGAGGGAGGAAGTGGGCTCTGGATGCAGCGTCATGTCAGTGCAGATGCACCGTGAGAGAACAGAGCTGCAGCAGGAGAGGCCTGACGCTCAACCCTCGGCGCTGCAAGTCAGTGCACACAACAGAAAAGGAAAAAACGTTTTACCCCACCTCACTTGCATTAGAGGCATTTTGAGCGCGTCTGATAATAAATCTGGATTCACCGAACTGGAGACATAAAAACAGAAACTGAGAGTGATGACGGATGCAGGGCTTTAAATTAATAAGTTGAGATCTAATTTTAGAAAAATGCAGTCAGTGAACCCCCTTCAGCTCGACTGTGTTTCCCACAGTTGTCCTCTAATCTGTCCTCTAATACGTTGCTTCCAAATGTATTAACGAGAGGATGAATAATCTTAGTAAGCACGCTGTGGGTGGAGGGTTTGTGTAGCCGCTTCTTACTTTATTTTACACTTTGCTGTTGCTCACTTCAGGCAGTTTTACTTCCCCCTTTGTTCAGTTTTCCATGATTTTTTTCAGCCCTTCCTTACCTTTGAACCTGGTTTCTTGCTTTATTAGATTCTGGCTGTAGAATTGAGCATTTGGATTTTTTTCGACTTTGCCCTTTCACATACTCTCTGTCTCTGGTTACTTCGCTGACTGCCAGCTTGTGTTTGACCCTTGCTCTGATCATTAAAGTTGGATTTTGGACTTTAACCAGGTTGTGGTCCTTCAATCTACAAATAAGCTTCTAATGTGAGTATGTTTGATCTGGAAAATGAAGGGCGGGAGCATCAGAGGGGAACACGTATGTGCTCAGTTTCTGACCAGACTGACCAGACGCAGTTGAGGAACCATTCATGAGAATCAGTCTTATATCTGTCGAGAAAGATTTCATGCTAAAACTTCCTCTTCTTGTTGTTCTTTGTTCCAGATGTGAAGCCCTGAGAACTTGATGTGTCCGCCCACTTTCTTTATATCCCGCCAAAGCCCTCTCAATCACCCGCTCTCAGTGTCGGTGCCATGGACAAAACAGACGCTTCGACATATCTCACGCCGAAGGAGACATTAGTAGCAGCACACAAGAACCTTTTTTTTTTGTAAAATCATTGCGGCCTCAATGTGCTCCAGATCTACATGTGTGCAAAGCAAACGTCTCTCCACCTCGTTGCTTGTACATGCGTGTACATTGATATGACATCACACAAGTTTTAGAAGCTCGGCAACTCTGAGGGACTTTGGGAACGACATTTGCAAGAGAACATATTGCGCTGTGGTTTTAGAATCCAACAACTTCCTTTCGCCTGGGAAATTGCTGCACGGGTGATGTGTGGAAACGAGAACCGTCGTACCCTGTGAGGACAGAGTGGATGACCAGGACAGGCCGTGCACACGTATACCACGTGCTGACGCTTCAGGGGGAGATGGGAGCGTTTGCTCGGGGCGGAGACAGATTCCAGGTGGAAGCCTTGAGAAGGTGATTTGAGAAAACAGCGCCTGATCAGATCACCGGTGGCCATGTGAACTCAGACACGCCAGAAGGATGCAGACATACTGGTGGACTGGCTTCTCAGTGTTTGTGGACCTATAGTTGAGCTGAATGCCGGGACGGAGCGCATCTGTGTGGTCTCCTCGCTGAAAGACGCAGATGGGTTATCCCTGCACCCGTTCCCTCTCATTCAATGCGTATGACCACAGGCTGGCTCTCCAAGCCGCTTTTCCGGCATTTGTTTAATTTGAGCCTTTTGTGTCCGTCTCTCCTCAGCCTCTCAATTGAAAGGAGCCGCTTTGCTTCTCTTTGCCTCTCTTTTGGGCAGTGAGGAGAATGACAATAATGAGGCCTGGCGGCTCTCCACCGCTTCACACACAAACATTCACATGTATAATACCAGAAACACCTTCAGCACTATATATACAGACACTCACTCTGCTACAGCACCACACCATGCACACACACACACACACACACACACAGACATGCAATGTGAAGTTAACGCAGGTAGCCATAAGCTTTTGTGCCAAGATGTCAGTTGTTTATTTGCAATTGAAATATTTCTGCATTGAGAATAGTCTAACATGCCACTGTTTTATAAGTAGTTGCAATTCTGCTGTAGGGATGATGGAAAAGTTATTGCAGAGTATATTGCAGAATTTTCTCTTTGTTTTGTTGGTGTTCATCTTTAATCCGTCTGCATAACGAGTCACGCTGGGTGGCCTGCTAAACCGATACCCAAATGTATTGAATTTAAACAGAGGCGGCTCACACAAGCCACAAATAGGAGACCCTATACCTTACAATGTGTAATTCAAACAATCAGTGGGGTGGTGTTGTGTGCAGCACACAGAGTCCAAGCAAACAGCCGTCCCCAGTGCAGTGAAAGGAAAACATGGCTATTGTTGATGCACGTTAGAGCCCGGATGAGGAGAGTATTATTCATTTGGAACATAACTTGTTTATATTCTGACCGAATCTCACGGTTCTACTCGGTCTCCCTGTGTCGCTTTATGATGGCTTGGCTGCTAGTTGGGAACAGCGATTTGAACTCTGACTGCTTCTGTAAGGTTTAGTTTCTGAGCAGCTTGTCAGTCAGTGTGAGGAGCTAAAGCGAGAGCTCAGAAGACCTGAAGTGGCAGGTCAGGGAGTTTAAACCCACTTTTTATACCTATTCAGAGCACGTCTGCTGTGCCAAATTTGACTGAGAACATTTTACCCGTGATGTCCTAGGGTTAGGATTAGGGTAAGAATATGAGAAGCAATAGCTTGAAAACGCCATGATTCATGTCTGTACTCCCCCCCACGATCTATACGACCCTGCTGAAGAATATTCACCAAGAAACAGCGTGCAGCCCAGACTGAATTATTTATGCGTCAGCTTTGAAGCAACATAGCTTTGTTTCTTTGGCTGCTGTGATAAGCTTTGTATTTATACTTTTCTGAGATGAGATATTATTTTTTCCATGCTCCTTTTTTACTGTTTATTGCTGTCAATCAATACTTCAATCACTACCTCTATATCAAAACATACTAATGACCAAGTATTATAAAGTTATTGTTACTTTCTCAGTGAAAGATCAGAAGATAACATGTTTGGCAATAAGTCTCTTATGTAGAGACTGATTATCACTGGTTTAAAGGAAGTTTTCTAAAGGGAAAGCCTTCTTCATGACAGGAGAGCTGCACTGGTCCTCTGAATACAGACCGGACACTGTGAGACGATGGGGGAAATGCAAGGGTTTCTCATGGGTTTTGTTACGGCCTCAAACTACTGCTGACCCATCTTGGATATCAAAGAAGAGATTGGGGCAATTCACTTTTGAGTCAGTTCTATTATTAGCTAAAAATAAGCTGAAACTGTCAGCTTTGCACAAGGACAGGAAACAGAGAAGGAGCAGCTGAAGTGGTTCTGTCAGATAAACCCAAATCCACAGAGGGGGACACTTCATTTGCTGTTTTATAGACAGATTTTCAAAATGCACTTTAACCCTTGAGATTGTTTGGCTGTTTCTTCTGAATTTCCACCTGAAAAATCCCTGAATAATTGTCTGCAGCAGCTCAAGAATTGGTCTACGAGGCCAAACTGATTAACCCTGGGCTCTATAGAGAGCCCAGAGACTCTTGGGCCAGTTGTGAATACCTTCTTGTCTGCATCACCAGGTCAGAGTGAGATTTTTACTTCTGCTTAATGAGCATAAATAACAGGCTCATTACAATGAGTCGGTAATGCTAGAATCCATCCTAAAAGCAACTCTACCTAGTTTGGTGTGGCAGAAAAGGAGCGCAACAATGCTGCATGCATTCTTTTGCCTTCTTAGCACCCGGCTGCTTCACCCCTGTTGTTGTAGTTATAGTGAAGGATCCAAAGGCAGGCTCACAGCCAGGAGGGAGAAGGATGTGAAATAGATAAGCTTTTATTCAACAACGAGAAAAGTCCAGCAACACCGAAATCCAAAAGTTCAAAGCAGAGCGCGGGCAAAGTTAACATTTATGAGGACCACACAATGGCGATCTTGTAAAATAACAAAGCAAAGTGGTCCACATATACTGGGGAGTATGGATAAGCAGTTGTTTGCGGACGGACAAAAGGGTCATTAGTAAAACCAAATAGCTGGATAAGATAAAAAGATATATATACTTAAACAAGGGAGACCTGAGGAATTTAAACCAGCCTGCTGATAGCCACAGTCTTTTGTGAAAGTTCCACTTTTAAACAAGCCTCATAAAATGGCACGTCGAGTTTTTTTAAAACAGATGGTGCTGGTGTTCGGACCTCCAAAGTGGAAGGGGTTAAAGGTCCTGTTAGGCAGATTATGTTACTTTAGGACAGAGCCAGACGAGCTGTTAAGCCCTGTTTCCAGTTCTTCTACTAAACCAAGCCACCCAGCTGATGTAGCTGAACTGCACCGTTACCTGTGGTATCAGTCCTTCCATCTAACTCTAAATAAGAGGCTAAAAAAGTGTTCTTTTATTTAAAATGTTTCTGTAGGTTTGTTTTTAATTTACTCACTTGTGTGTGTTGCTCTTCATGCAGAAATTATCGGTGTGGCTATTTCATGATAGGGAATTCATTAATTTTGTCAATAAGCGAACAAATGCTTTGGAGAAGCCACGACTTCCCGAACATCAGTACAGATTGCACCTGTGTTTGAGATTGCAGAGCACATTTAGCAGATTAAAAAATGGTATTGAAATAAATTATAAATGTGTTGAGGGCAGAAGTGACACCCACTTTCGATTTTGCAGACATCCGTTAAGTGTAACATTCCACCTAGACGACTCGTCATCGGGTTGAAACTTTCGTGACCAAATTTTCTTATTTCCAAACTTCCAATGATTATGAACAATAAAAGTAGGAACAGCTAGCTCTAATGAAATGTACAGTCTCTCCAGATATACAGCGTGGAACTGTCAATAACCTTATCAAGTGTTCTAGTCCTGTGTGAGCATCAAACATCAGTGTGCATTGTATCAGCACAGCCTACACTGTACTGTTAAGATAGCCCTGTTCCAGCCTCCAGTGTCTTAGGCGCCTATAGATACCCAATACTGAACTATATAACATCTTATAATCTGTATCCATCCAGTGTAAGACGTAGCGCATACTCTAGAAATGTATTTGTAACTTCATTTTGCTATTCCTTGCAATGAATCTCCTATCTGTGGATTCATTACGCTACTGTAGACAATGTAGAGTGAGATTACTCTTTTTTTTGTTTTGTTTTTTGCTGCTACACCATTTGTGCCCTTTTATGATTTCTTTGTAGGGAACAATGCAGGTTTGTGTTGTATTAGCTCATAGCAGCTTATAAAGCCAGTTAATCTATTCAGTGTCGATGTCTGACTGTACTCTGCATTGTCAAATATATTCAAAATGATACCAGAATACAACAGTGATGTTACAGATGTTATTAAAGGAAATGTCTTATTTTTCATATAAACCTCTGTTTTTTTTCCTGGACATCTGATGTTCTTCTGCTCTGAAGTCCTATCCTCTATTCCCTCTGTGCCTTTTGTTTAACCTCTCATTTGATGGTAATGAAAGGTAAACAGGCTTTTTTCATTACATTGCCACCCTGGGAGTTGGGCACTGAGAAAAACTACGTATGTGATGTGACATGGTGTTGTGAGACATAATATTGTTCCATCTCCTCCTTTCATTTGTACTGCTGAGTCAGAGGTACAAAGGTGTGCAACCCCACACTGTTTCTCTGGAAAATAACTCGTCATTTACTCAGGCACTCATGGGGGACTCATGTTTACCTGTACTTCAGATTCATGATGCTTTGCTGCAGGGGCTTAAATGTGCAAATGTGGCAACAATGTCCAACACAACTTCTAGGAGTTTGTGTGAGTTGATTCAAGGGTGTGGAAGCACTGTCTGCTGCGGTACCAGCTGATAATGATCATGAATATTTCTGGTTTCTGTTTACATTTTCAAATTCATATTGCAGGGCAGACCAAAGACAGGCGGGGGGGGGATCATATAAGAAGTAACATAAGTACACTGATTCACGAGCTGTATCTTTGAAATATTTAATATAACACAGTGAAAAAATAGTCCAGAGAGAGAAAATGAAAGGAGAGGGATAGAAAGGACAAAATAAGAAAGACCGTGCAAGAGAGGATGAGGATCTAAGTGCTGCTGCCAACCTCTCTGTCGAAGGGCATAATGCCAGCACTAAATTTAGCAGCAAGATTAGGCAGACAGAGAAAGCAAAAAGGGACAGAGTGAGTCATATATCGTCACACGTAAAAGATTCATTCCACAGTATGTTTTTATTGCTCTGTGCACCTCAGAAATCCTCAAGAATTGTTCGGGAAAAGCAACCCAACATGCCTCTATCAATATCCTTGTGATTTCATGTACTAGTTTGCCCTCCTTTACATGTGCACGTGTCTGCCCCCCTCTACATCCCAGCTCCCCTCATTTTTTGGCTTTGTCTCCCTCAGTCTCTGCACTTGTATCAGGACTTCCTGTATTTTTCCACCTTGCTTTCTCCACATTCAGACTCATTGTTTGTCTAATAACTCCAACCATGGTTTCCTCCCTGCTTATACAGTATGTAGCAGCAGCTGTGTTGAAGCAGGTACTGGACGCTATCTGGCCCGCAACTCTGTGTTGTTAGATGCTATCAGTGGTACTGTGTGCACAAGAGAAAAAACAGATAAAAAACACTGGGAGAGAAAGAGTGAGATTCAGTTCAATGGGAGCGGCATAATGAAGATACAAGTATGTTTACAGGAAAGTGTTTTTCTAAAAGTCTCCTGTGAATACAAATAACTTTTTATTTTATTTTCCAGAGCAAACAACTCATATTATCGTCAGCTAAAACACGAATCCACAGACCTTGTTGGCTGCAGGAGGATGACAACCTTGATAAAAGATTTACTGCTCTTATTACTAGATGGGAAACAACATCCATAAAGTCAGAAGATTGATTTTGTCAGATGATAATAGCCTTGATGAAGAAATTTGTGCTAAATTCAGTGTTTAACTAAAGAAAGCACAGAGTGATATAAGGCTAACAAATGTTGTCCCAACAACCAAAAACTATTGCTAATAGGAATTCTAATTGCTTAAAAATCAACAAAGTCAACGCAAATTCATCCTCTGAGGTGCTGATGTGGGTAAACATCAAATATAATTTGACAGTATGAATAGAAGAGACACTTTGTGTGGATTAAAGTGAGGTATAAAAGGTGATGGGGAGCGTAGGTGAAGTGGATGAAGAGTGGTGCAGGGCTCCGGGGGGGTGGAGGAGAGCTGGGTTTTTCTGCGGTTGGGGTATGGCAGTGAGGACATAGTTGTGGTGAAGGCATGCTTGATCCTGCCAGGAGGAGGATGCGGGTGCCAGCAGGAGTGAGAAGACATCAGAGATCCTGCCTGATCTTATCTTCCTCTTCCCATACCGTACCTGCAGGTCGACTCTCCAGAGGCAGCAGCCAATCATGTTTTCTGTCTCCTTATCTGGAGCCTTTATGCTCAAAGTAACTTAAGAGCTCACTTTTCCTTCCAGGACAAAATGTCCATGTGGCACACTATAGATAACACACAGATCTATGTTAGCGGGTACTTTTTAAAGTAAATTGTTGATGCTGTAGGTTTAAATAATTCAACACAAATTGAAAAATAGACTGAATCCATATGTAGACTTCATCATTAAATGGTCAAATCTTTTCTCAAAACCCTGCTGTACACAAACATACCTGATAACAGCGGGCAGAAGACTACACAACAATTATTTTGACCTATCGCATCATAATAAAATATGAATATTAAAAAATTATTTCTTTTTTTTTCACATTTTGTTAAAGGGCTAAATGAAGACTTCAAACAAACAAAAATTCTCTCTATTTTTTCTTGGATCAGGCTTTCAAGGGTTAACGTCAGATGGGTTTGGCTCCAGTACCCCAGACACTAATAAAAACAAGAGCATAGATATGGGTGTTTATTAAACATGTACATATCCATATGTATTTTTTTTTTTTTTACCATATCAAAATAAGTTGTTTGGGGGACCTGCTGTGGGGTTGTTTATGATGCAGAAGGTTTGCTGACATTAGGTTGACATTTTTTTCAGAATAACCTTCAACACTAGGCATATCAATGTTAGGATCTGAACATGTGATGCTAATCCTGTTGCTTCCCTTGTTGAGGATGACTTTATTTTCACAAAATATTTTACACTAAGATACAAGGGAAATTAACGTTGTTGTCATTGTATCTCTTTCCTCGGTATAATGTCAAATGAGATCCTTTCTGTCTCCTCCCTCTGTGAGTGGGGACGTGTCGCCCTCTGCTGGTGACCGGCCGACCTGCAGGGATTTTCCTCCTCTGTAAAGTAGACGTGGCAGTGACGCCAATTCCGGAAATGACCCGGATCGGAACTTTAACTCTAGGGTTGATTAGTTCTTACCAGAAACATCGACGGCTCCTGAAAATGGTGTGAAGTCGATTCAAGTAAGCCGGAACAACACTATTCTGTCTTTTAAGTAACCACGAACACGTTAAGGTGTGTTTTGGTTAAAATAAGTCGTTTTAAGATGGACGGAAGCGTGTAAAAAGCCTGTTAGCATTCCTTAGCGAGCGTTAGCCTGTGGTTAGCCGGTCAGGCCGTGATCAGCTGTGTGTCGTGATGGGCGGCCTTTTCCAGACTCCAGATAATCATTCTTACCTAATGATATTTATCTTCTGTGGGGGTTTTAAAATGGCTATTGACTGGTTGTCACTATTTGCTACCGTGTTGTATGAGTTTAGTTAGCATCTTCCTCGATTTGTTGGTGCTAACGGTTTCGTGTCTTATTAAATTGGCCTAATTAGCCGTTAATATATGAATTTGTCAACATCATAGGCTGAAATGTGGTTTTCTCCGTCACCGCAGAAATGTGTGAACATATGTCCATGAAAGATACCCAACCTCGGCTGTGATTTCGTCCGCACATCTGGGGGTGGCCGTTACATTTACTGACCGGACAGACCTCTGGAGAGTCTGGTTGTTCTCTGGCTACAGCGACCAAACGGCGGCAGGATGACGTGCCGCGACCGGACCCTCGAGTTCCAGTCAGCCTGTAAATCCCTCCAGGGCAGGCAGGTATGTAAACACCCGTCACCAAAACGCAGCCTAAATAACATATTACACACCCAAAACCTCCCAATATTGGCTATGAATTTCACCTGTTGTCATTTCTAAGCCTGTTACTTTTGGTTTTGCTTTCTTGTTTATTATTCTCTGTCTTGTGTTGGCTCCAGTTTAGCCTTATCTTATTAAAGTGGACTATAATCAACATTCAGAAAGGTTATTGTGAGATATGAGTCTATGAAGTGGGACTGTATGCTTAGTTTGACAAAAGGCTCACTGCGTACACAGTGAACTGATATTTTATAACTAAGAAAAGAAGGCACAGCACAACAACTTTGTTTTCCAATTTTCTGAACTGACATAGTGTTTAGCTGATAAACAACAATATGGTAAACCGTTTTTGTGTTTATAAGGGGGGAACTATACATCATGAATTCAAATAGAGTTAGATCTTTCTTTTTTTTTGTCTTTCTTTTCAAAATTTGCCTTCTCATGCTCATGTCTATGTCTCTCCTATGCCGTGTCAGAATGGAGTCCAGCCCAGCAAACCAGCCCTCAGTGCTCTCCGGCAACGCAGTGATTTCACAGTTATGGCCAAGTAAGATATCCACAGCCTGTTTTTGCAGCCCATAAATGTTTTTTACTAGTTGGGCTGTAAGACCAGAGACTGAAAGAACTCGCTTCACATTTAACTCGTAATGAGAAATCCACCAAGCCAATTATGTGAATGTTTGTTTTAAGACCAACTCATATTCTTTCTGTTTGTGTGCTTGTAGGAGAATCGGAAAAGACTTGAGCAATACGTTTGCTAAGCTGGAAAAGCTCACCATTTGTAGGTGTTTTTTTATTGTTACATCTGCAGCATTGCAAATGTTTCTCTGCTACATCGTCCAAATAGCTGATGTTTGCCTGCTGATGCTTTGTTTTTTTAGTGGCAAAAAGAAAATCTTTATTTGACGACAAGGCAGTGGAGATCGAGGAGCTAACATACATCATTAAACAAGTGAGTTGACTATGTGGCAGCTCTTGGATTGTGCTGGTCTTTTAAAAATGGATTTAGATATTTATCGTGGCTATTTTTTATCTGCGTCCCGGTTTGCAGGACATCAACAGTCTTAACAAACAGATTGCACAGCTGCAGGACTTGGTGAGGTCCCGCGGAGCTCCAGGTGGCCGACACATCCAAACCCACTCTAACACCATCGTGGTGTCACTACAGGTAATGTTGTTAACCTGACAGTGACTGTAACCGCCCTGCTTTTGTGTTCATCTTTTGCCTTTTTGGTAAACCGACTTTGAACATTAAAAAAAAGTCCTCACACCTAACAGTTTACATTTTTACACTTCAAAATGGAACAAAGCAACATTTATTCATTTTTATTTTTGTTGTTCACAGTCCAAACTGGCGTCAATGTCCAACGACTTCAAATCAGTCTTGGAGGTCAGAACTGAGGTGAGAAGTGTTTTCTATGGTCCAACTTTTAGAGATTTGTCTTTTGAAAGGTGAAAGTTTGGATTATGGTTCTGGTCTCGTCGTTAACTGTCTGTCGTCTCCTTTGCAGAACCTAAAGCAGCAGCGCAGCAGGAGAGAGCAGTTTTCCCAGCCTCCTGTGTCATCTTCTTCTCCAATGGCTAATAACTTCAGTAAGTCTGTCTGCTTCCTGCCTCCCAACTTCCCCCCCGTGGTCGTTCACAATGTTCCACAACAGGCAAAGCCACAATGGTTGTGTCGCTTCATTGTGGCGTGTTCACTCTACACCGAAATTCTTTGATGGACTGGTTCTGTCTCAATGGTTCCTCTTGTGGCGTCACGTGGTTTAAGCAGAAAAGCAGCTGTAATTGGTTGAAATCCTAATCTAAACGCTATATATCCTGCAGCCCAGAAGAAGGTGAGAGGTGGCTGTTTCCCACACACAGGGATGTGGGCATGTTTCTTAAGTATATATTCCCATCTTAAAATCTCAGGACGTTTCCTGGTCTTCATAAAGAACATTGCTGTTTGTTTTTAAGAGTGATAGAGTGAACACACCTTTACTGTTTCTTTGTTCTGTCTTGGAGGTAATGTTTCACATCCTGGCTTAGTTCATCCCGTTGCTGAAATAGTCGAGTTTAAAAAACCCTTTTATAGGGAGTCCAGGTACCTGTTCTTCATACATGTGCTGTGCCACAAATGTTTTTTTTAGAACATTCATATCAGCAATTTCTTCTAAAATTACAGACAGTGCTCTATGGGAGCACATTTTGGAGCACAGAGGAGACGTATGATGAATAAATGGAAAAACGTTTATAAGTGACCTCATTGTTTCTATTGTTATCTTTGTGTTGAAGCACAGGTGGGGTAGTGTCTCTCAGCGATGATGGTATAAATAGTCAGTCTTGTCTGCTCACAGTGTTGATTCAATTTCCCCGCTAATTGCCAAATAATTGTCCCAATATTCTTAAATTGCCTCTTGATTTACGTGAAATGATTCCATGTGCGTATGAATACAATTTGCCACAGTATATTGTCTTTCAGTGCGCGGAATCTGAATTGACAGCTTTAATTTTTGTATTTACACAGCGCATGTTGCTTCAAATCTTCCTTAAAGTAGCACAGGTTGTGGAGACATCTTCACTGCCTGTGTAGACCAGCTGTTGTAGTAGGGAACTGCTCCAATTCCTTGTGAATGACTATTACTGTATTTGGTCCTCTGTAATGCAAAAATGAAAAAATATTTTAGGGAGCCGCAAAAAAGGGGCCCAGGAGCCGCATGCAGCTCGCGAGCCGCGCAATGACTACCAGGGCTATACAACCACAAATTTAAAAGGTACTTCCCTGGAACGTTTGACTCTCAGTGGGGTTAACTAGCTATTGTGAATGCCCGCTGTAGTTTCTGCTTTTCCCCTCTACCATTCAGACTTTCTGTCTGAGCTTGTTGAAAATGAGCGCGCTGTACTTTTTGTCTCCCATCAGAGAGCTCGGTGCTGATGCAGGATGAGTCCCGGAGCATGGGGGCGGTGGCCATTGATATGGATTCCCAGAGCAACCCTTTGCAACTCCAGCTCATTGATGAGCAGGTACACTCCTCAAGCTTATCACAGTCAGACAGACGAGATATCCAAAGCAGAAAATATGCAGCTCAAGTTGTCTTCCCTTGTGAAGAGTATTTGAATTTTTGTGTCATTCAGGATTCCTATATCCAGAGCCGTGCAGACACAATGCAGAACATTGAGAGCACCATCGTGGAGCTGGGCTCCATATTCCAACAGCTGGCCCACATGGTCAAAGAGCAAGAGGAGACCATCCAGAGGTGAGATGGGAAAAGGAACAAGACGAGCTGCATTATTAAAGGCTTGTTGACGAGTCGGAGAACTCAGCAGTGAAAGCCACGTTACACACACACACTTTCTCACTCTGATAACAACCTCCAACATATTCGATGGCCATTATCAGAAGAAACATTATCCGGCTACTTATGAAAGATACAGAAAAAACAGACACATGGTGCTTAAGTAGTCCATAGATTCTTGAAGAAGTCAGATGAAATATGGTGACTCTCCTGTTCCCCCATCACAGGATCGACGCCAACGTGGAGGACACCCAGCTGAACGTGGAAGGCGCTCATACAGAGATCCTCAAATACTTCCAGTCTGTCTCCTCCAACCGGTGGCTGATGATCAAGATCTTTCTTGTCCTCATTGTCTTTTTCATCGTCTTTGTCGTCTTCTTCGCTTAAAGCAAAGAACAACAGAAGACAAGAGGAAAAAGGCAAATTAATAGGGTGATTTAAGCTAATGTTGGACAGGGATAAGCATCCATCAACATATTTGGAGGACAGACTTCTCTATGATGATTTAATGGAAGCCTGGGATCCTTTCAAAGAAATGCAGACTTGACACTTATTCCCAAGCAAAAGACTTGATTTGACAGTTTGGGAAACAATGAAGAGCTTGAACTATGCCCAAATAAAACAAATGAGCGGTTTAAAATACACGCTTTGGATAGAAAGGCAGCAGAAAGCTGCTCTTTATTGTACTTTGACCAACTATTCCTAAACATTTAATCCAAATGGCTATAATTTAATGGTTTGATTCTGCAAACTGTCTTATTTTTTTCCTTTTTGCTCACTCCCTTTTATCTTATTTTTTTTTCTGTTATCTCTCAGCCAAATGAAAGATCTGAGCCCGTTCACAAATTATTTTGCGCATGACTTTATCTTCTTTTTACTGGAAAAGCAAGACAGTCTTGCTTGTCAGCAATCCCTAAGATTCATTCATGATGTGAAACCTTTTTTTTTTCTTTCCCCTACCCACTTGAATTTAATTTTTGCTTTGAAAGTTTATTTGCCAAATGGGTACTGTTATTGAGCTGTGACATGATATAAAGACGTTCAAGACAGCAGCCGCAGCCAGCTGACCCGAGGAATGAAGTGAAATTCTAAGTGTAAAGTTATGTAATGGCTCACTTTTAAATTAAGCTATCTTATTGGCAACCATCAGGCAGGTTTAATGGTTAAAAAGGTTTAATCCTCACTCATGCTGTGCTGCAGAGAGGATCAGTGCTTATGAAGGGGTAACTGGTTGTGAATGCCCATTAATGAAGAGACTTGATCAGCCAGAAACCCTGGAAGTGTCTGGTAGGATGCCTGTTGTGGTTGTTCCCCCTCCTCACATATTGTACAGGATGCAATGTAAATGATAACGGCTTTTTAAAAGGAAAAAAAAGTTCCTATTTTTCCCTGTTTTTTAGCCAAATATTTTGACTTCAGTGTATAAAGTGCAAATAGCTAAGATAACGTATTGAAAAGAGAGCGCACATTAATAAATGAAAATGGGATGCTGGCACTCGTGTCTTAAGGATTTTCTTGGGATAAGAGGATTAGCCAGTGATATAATTAGCTGGGTTATGACAAAGCCATACAGGAGTTTAGTTTCTCTGTACATAAAGCCGTTTAAATCAAATAAATACATCCATTATTTGGTTGAAAGATGGTGAGAAAGTCCCACCTCATTGAGATGCCTTTGGCAAATTATGGCTGGATAGTAGAGTGCTCTTCTCACCAATTACAGTTCAGAGAGGCTCTCAGGCTCTAAGTGGTGTTTTTTTTTTTTTGCAGGAATTATGGGAAAATGTTCAACATTTCATTCTGTAAGCTCGTCATTTTTGGGGACTGATTTCCCCACCAGTCACCAATTAATTATCCACCATTTTAATGCCTGAATAGCACATCTTTTCCCCTTAAAAAGCAGCAACAATAAAAAAAAAAAATCTTGTTTTTTTGGTATTTCACGAGTTTCCACATTCTCTCTCAGTGGACTATTTAAACGGATTTCCTCATAGCTGAGAGAAGGAATCGTGGTCTTCTTCAAAACTTTGGGGAAAAAAGGCTACTCTACCCAGAATATCCTGCTAATGCGAGCAATTGATTTCTGAGAACATTATGGTCTTGTGTGATATACTACACGACCACCTTTCCATTGCAAAAGCTTGCTGTTGATCCAGTTTAGGAGCTCTCAAGATGGCGGCTCTGTTAAGGAGATAGGCCCCTTCGCCCGTCGCTTGCTGGGTTATTCAGATATGTTTTCCTTTTTGTTTCAGAAATAAAGGGGTTTCTTGTTACTTTTGACTCACCATTTTGCCACTTTCACTCTCACTGGATTGATGATCTGAGGCGGCATGTTTATATTTACTTTTGATTTATGAACATGAACTCAATTTAGACTTTCCGATTTTGTTTGTAAAATCATTTTCCCACAAACAAGCTGGCTGAATAATGTGCAGCCAAATTGAAGAGTCACGTTTAGACGCAACTGCTCTCATATTGAAACACAAAAGAGACATCTTTGTGAAAAAGCCGTGTTTTAATCACACAGAAAATAGCAGAACTTTGTGTGCTTATTTGCCATGATACATACATGAAAGATGATTCCGGACATGATTGTACTGATTCAAGCGTGAGCTGATAGGAGAGCACCTGCCAGCTGTGCTGCTGTTTTGCTGAGGAAAGCGAGGAGCGGCCTGGGCGGCTCCTGTCTCTCCCACTGCTCAAGACAGGTGCCCTGCCTGTTGCACAACACTTTTTCAAAGGGACTCTCCATGAGATGTGTTCGTGATTCATCTTATTTTCAGTCACCCGAAGTATAAAAAAAGGTCGTGCACAAGGCACAACATGGACCGTTTCTGCTGGTGGGTTTACCACTTTGCCTCAACTTTATGTATTAGAGCATCAACTGGGTGAAATATTGAATTAGTTTGGGTATCAATTTTCCTCAAAGCATCGGGTTTAAACCGTTGACACTTCATCCAGCAGCCCGATAATCAGGTCAAATTATAAATTTGTCCAGTACTTTGGTGAATCAACCTGAGAAACTACTTTGAACTAATTTGTGTGCAATTCTAATTATCAAATGATAGCAGTGGATTTCTGACATCTGAGACGGTGATGTTGCCCATAAGTGTCTCAACCTTGCCATGGAGGCTTGTTAGCCACAGCATGGTTAAAGACTGTTTGGTATTTAACCACTGGCACAACAAAATACCTCAAACATCTTAAACGCAGGATAATGCTTTGGGTTTCACTAAACTTTGTCAGCATGTAGACAGTTAAATAGGGATGTGTGTAAGTGCTTTCTCTTGTAGTAGTTTGTCATCATTAGAAAAGCCCGATACTTGGAAAACCAATTTTTTTTAATGCATTCTGTCCCATCTCATTAATAGCCACTTTTCTTCCTTGTTTGTTTATTTGTGGTCACCCCCTTGCATCTAGGCTCATTCCCCTCCCTCTCTCCTTTAAGTGACTCCATCTCTTCCCCTTGCACCTCCTCCCCCCCCCCCCCCCCCCCCCCCCCCCCCCCCCCCCCGTGCTTCACCTCTCCCCTGACTCCTCTTGTCTCATGCCTGGGCGCTCTGCTCGTACGGGGTGATTTCTGGCATGCTCCTGCTCCTGCCCTTCCTGGCCCTGGCCTTTATGGCTTCCTCTTCCCCTTCTCCATCATCCTCCTCGTCCGACCAATCCACTTCCTGCTGCAGATTCCCTCTGGAGCCTCTCATGCCGGTGCCCTTGAACATTTGACCCGAGCGGAATTTTGTGCGGAAAGTAACAAAGGAGAGGCTCTTGCTGCGTTGCTGCTTCTCCAGAACGGGGTTCGGCGTCCCAATGTCATCGTTTCCGTTCACCTCGTCCACGCAGTCGCGCAGGATGGTGCGGAACAACCGAGGGACCTCGTGAACCTCGGGTTCCATCTGTGACACCACCCTCCTGAACCTGCGGCGGGAGGAGGGAAAACGATCTGAGTGGATGCACATCTGGGACAGTCGGGCTAAGACCAAACAGATGTAGACAGTAACGGAAGCAGACAGAGGCAGACAGAAGTTTGCTGTAAAGGTCATCGCGTCAGAAAGGGATTCTAGTGACTGACTTTTTAAGGCCTACATCCTCACGCTTGTGTTTACTTGTATGATTCGCCTGATCAAAAGTGCAAACTACCACAATGTCTGCAGTGATGAAACACACAAAGTACCTGGAAAACTTCTTATTTATTTAAACATTTTGTGGGAATCATTTGAATAATTGTGAAGCCTGGTGGTGTTTTGTAGGACTAAAATGCTTTAATTAGTTGAATGGATCAATATATTGTTACTCCCCTGACTCTGTTGCCTCCCCAGATCCCTACTGTGTCTTTCTACCTCTTCATGTAGCCGTGCTTATCGCCGCCGCCTCACTAGTTCTCAGATTGTATCTTTCGACTGCCCTTTCCAGTTCTCTACATCAGCGCTCCTTGTGTCCCGTGGCCTTTCTCACCTGACGATCACCGGCCCGCATTGGGCAGGAGGGATCTTGGCACAGAGGTCCTGCAGCTCCAGAAGGTCATTGGGAGTGAGCTGGTAGGGCTGTGCCGTGGGTGTGGTGGCCAGCCAGCTGTAGTCGGCTGCGGAGGAGGAGCTCCGGCGGCGGCGCCGTCCCTCCGTCGCCCTCTCCAAACGTATGCGCTCAGTGCGCTTCACCATGGCCCCGAGCTCCAGCATCAGGGTATTGGTTACCAGCTCCTCAGTGGAGCGTTGACCGGGCACTTTGGGCTCAAGGGAGAAAACTGCGGACCAAGGAAACATCTGGAAAAAGATGGAGGGGGTCAATGAGCAGAAGATGCTAAAGAAAAACCTCCATTGGCCGATGTGGTATTATCGAAATCTTAAAATCTTTTAAACTTATTTAGGGTTGTTGCGTAAACAAAAAAAAGTTCAAACTTGATAACGGTTATAACCATTGTTTTACATTTTTCATGAAATTATTTACACATTTAAACATCATCTGAAATACTGCAAATAGCAGTTTAATTTAAGCATTACACGTAACAGGTGCAATATTGTTCATGCACATTCAGACTGTGTACAGAGCCAAATAAAGTCAAATAGATATTACAGATAGATTTTTTGTAACCTTACCTTCACAAAAGGGGATTGACAAAGCTGTGGTGTACTCCTCAGAATAGTCAGATAAAGACTCTGTTAGCAGCAAGGTGGAAAACAGGCCTCCATAGACAGAGTGGATGAATGAGAATCCAGCTGGTGGCACACAGCCTGACTGCCTGGCTACCTTTGACGGTCCCTGGCAAACAGCATGTGTACTTCTGGGTGGTGTGCGTGAAATGAATGTGTGAGTTTAGGATTGAGAATAAGTGTCGTCCTGTATTAATAAAGAATGAGTGATGAGATGAGCTTACCTCGTGACATGAGGCCTGGGCGAGCTCTGTGCGTCAGTGTGGCTGATAGAATTCAGTTTACATAACAGCAGGGGGGCTGACAGCCCGTTGAGATGGTCTGATCCAAATCCATCACATTTTTACCTTTTTTTTTGTTTCGCATGCAATTTTTCGTCCTTTTAAATCATGTGGAATGCTTCATATTTCACACTCAAGCAGACTTTGACAAAAGTATTTTAATCCCCTTTCGCAAAGTTTGACAAAGCAATTTTTGGTAAGCAATCTCTCACACACACACTTTCAGGTTTCACATTTCTAGTCATAACTCTCATTCCAGCCAGCACAAACCTGAAATAAAACTCACAAAAGTCCAGTTAAGTGTCTAGTGAAAGGGCAGAAAATAATCCTTCAACCACACCTTGAATTTCCAGACTGTTATTGTCCGGCATTGTGCTGAGATGACATAACCACTCACATCATCTGTTTTTTGTCACACATACACAGACTCAGGTGTCTGTCCCACCGGCTAACTGACGGCGCGGTGTGTGCAGCTACTGCAGGCTAGTTTCTGGGTTTCCACACCACTCAGCACTGAGCCAACAAATCCCAGATTACAGTCAAATCCATAGCCTACCTGGAAGAATGACTTGTTGTTATGACTCTTATAATCTAATTATAGTTGCCTGCAAGTTGCGGGTGCTACCACTAGAAGATAAATATTTGTTAGTACTGCTATTTATCTCTTTGATTATTAGAGTCTGTACAGCATGCTAAAGATTTGTCTCCGTGACACCAATCAAACACACTCTCTTAGCGGCAGAGGCAATAAGCATGGAAAAATTGACAATCTTTTACTCGTGAAGCTCTTTTTGTAGCCAAATACATTAACTCATGTCTCGTATCATATTTTCTTAAATCAAAATACAAAATAACTGAAGCTGTTTGTTTGATAAATTGCTTTTTTTGTCAAGACACTTTATTGTTAGACCCATTCTGCAATATTATTGAGAAAAATCTAAGAAATTCCTATTGAGTGAGCACTTTTTGTAAAGAAAAATCGCTGGAAGACAGATTAGAGTAATCTGTCTTCTGCCTAAAGGGACTAAGAGAGATTTCAGAAAAAAAAATCTAATGTGGCCATGTATAAGATCATTAGTTTGTTGATGCTGAAATTGGAGACACAACTACGGTGGCCTTTCTATGTGACGCTGTTCCCGATGGAAAGATATTAACTCTGACGTTGACCGCAATAAACTCACCAGTATAAGAAACCTGAGATGAGAGTTTTGCGTATATAGTATGCAAACATAAGGATTTCCATATTTGTCTTTGTGCGATTAAGAGACTTAAAAGCATTTAATAAAATTCCTTTTCTTATATACATTTCTCATTACGTTTGCATTTGTCTGTTGCCTTTACTTTTTATGTGATATTCAGGGTGTTTCTATTTAACACTTGAGACAAAGGTCATAATTACGCAAAGTTTTCCAGTATGGACTCACAAGCCAGCCTACTTCTTTCCTGCTTGCATTATAGAGCTGTAATCTGCATTGATCCGTTACACAAACCGTATGTTTTGCCACAGGCCATGCAAAGTGGAGATGGTGAACCTAAATGCAGGACTAACGTGTAAAGAATTTAAAGTCTTTTTTTTTCCTTCTCAAAATGAACAAAAAGCATTGCCACGGATGAAGCACATGAAGTTTTGCTGAAAGCGAACAAGAAAGAGCTGAGCTGGAAGACAAGTGACACTGACCTGCAATGAGAACGATGAGGAGGCTTTGCCCCAGAACAAGGAAAACCTGGAAAATGTGTGGTGAGATAAAAAATAAATATTGTGTGAGGGAAGCAAACCATCCATCTGTTATTTTTTTGTGCCCGCCGAATCCTGTTCCGAGCCACAGGGGAGCCGCAGCTCAGCTCAGCCCTGCCGACCGGGGGGGTTAGCAACTCTGTGACAAAGGAAAGAGCAGTTTTACCACAGGTTTAAAGGTCTTTGTCATCAAGAAACTACTGGTGTGTATGTCAGGTCTGAGTAGTGCTCAGCATCACCAAATTCACTTAGTTTTTTTATTCTTAAAAATTTGGACTGTAAAATTTCAGTACAATCCAGGTTTTGTTAATCCAATCATAAAAGGAAATGAATGTGAAACAAAGTAAAAACAAAATCAAATAAAAATCAAATGTTGAAGCAGATTTATTTTAAAATATTATGCTCAAATCAAATGAGATATTATTTTTGTTAAAAAAAGTCAGAGTAGAAACATAGGTCATCCTGTACAAGGCCTCCTATCATACAAACACTGAGCATTTTTCGAGCTAAACACGGTATCTGTATTTTTGACAGGAACTTTTTCTCACTTGTATGATAAGAAATTCAGTAGCTTAAAGACTAATTATTCAATTTTCTGGCAACTGATAGTAGTAGTAGTAATAGTAGTTTGAAAATGCACAATATTTAAATGTTTGAAAAGTCTGGACACAAGGCAGGTTATATTAGCAAAAGGACTCTCCCCATACCCAAGCTGTATATTACATGTTCCATCTGTAATAAACAAAACTTCACCTAAAAGAGCACAAATATTCAGCGTTAGTTTTTCTAGCATTGTGTGCTGTCCCTGCTAAACTGCTTAATAATGTGTACCTTGCCATGGTTGATACAAAACCAAAATTGGAAACAGAGCGCCTATATTTTTCACAGAATTGTACAGAATGCATATTGAGCCTCTTTGGCTCATGATACTCTATTTACCATACTACAGGCCTTTTGATAGTTGATTTAGCAGTTCCACCTGCTGTTCCTTTATTTGGGGTAAACTTGACCCAATAAAATAATACCCAATTTAAATCATTCAAGACATTATTTAAAATAGAATTAGCACTGGCGGTATTGATATTTTATACAGCATCCTAAACTGTAAACAGATACTTCTTGAGTTACACCCAATATTTGAATTAAATTTACATATTACAAAGATCGAATTAATTAACTAATTAATGAAAGAATTACTAACTAGCGTAAAGTAACTTTTAAATAAATTCACAAGTCTCGTAATTGGCCGCATAGCGTCGCTAGAGGTCATCGGAGGGTCACATCCCCACGAGGACTTTCCCAAAACATTTGCCTGCTACGTCACCAACCCCCGCCCGCCTCGTGCCAAAGCGACTCGGAGTTCTGTTGCCTTGTCAGTGGCACGAGACTCGCGGCACCCGGTTTCAGATGCCAAACCTGCTGAAGTTTGCCCTGAGCTTCGTCCTGTTCAAAACGGACTTTCTCTCGCTGGGCAGTGACGACCTGCACGCCGGTGCCACGTTCAAAAAGCGCCTCGAAGCGCTGTCACGGCTGTGAGCTCGCGCCCTTTGTGACTCCCTGAAGTGAATGGTGAGTAGCTTCTCCGTGTAGTTAGCTTGTAGCATCACTGCTAGTTTAACTGTCGGTCACTGACCGCTCGAGGACCAAACACCCACTCCAAGTGAAAAGTGAGTCCCGACTCGTCGCAGGAAAAGTCGGGGCTCCATCTCAGACGCTGTCCAAGAAGATGGTAAAGCTGACATCTACATTTCTGTTGTTTGAAGATGACGGTGGTCTCTTTTTTTGTTGGACCTCGTGATCACACTCTCGCTTATCAGAGGCCAGTGTCGAGCGGTTGGATGTCCGAATACTGAAAATGAGGAAATAATTACGTTTCTTATCTTATCCTCTTTAATGAAGGAAAGGGGTTGTTGAAACATGAACTAAATTAGTAAGTACAAACATCTGGATGGTGTGCAAATAGCTCATTAATTTTTAATTGGTGTCTGGACGTTAGTCTTCCTCTAACTGTCCTTAAGTCGACATTATTCACAAACTCCATTTATGTCTGCATTTGAACTTTATTACACTTTTGATATGTTTGTTTCTTTATGTATTGCACAGAAAATCGGTTCAAAAGTAGAGAAGTGTGTATCTGACATGCACCTGACAATTATTATGTAATGGACTGTTCATCAATATTATTATTAGCATTATTTGGCCCCACTGCAACTTCTATGAAAATAATGGAATTATAATAATTGGAATTGGTTTAATTCAGTAAAGTAGAAACAGCCCAAATATACTTACTGAGTTGAACAAGTATTTGAACAGATCTAATGGTAAGCAACAAAGAAATCCAACACTGGGCTTTGTGCTGTGTAGTCATATCACAAGTATATTCTTTGGCTTTGTCTTCATTACTAAGTGGATTTACTCAGATAAGAGGAGCCATAAATTAATTAAGTTCAGTTGTTACGTAGCAGAATTCAGTCAGACAAGTTGCAAAAACCTATGAGGTCCAGGCTTCTCAAATGACTTTAAGCTGTTACTTAGAGTACATCAACTGTAAAATTAAACTATTTTTTGTTTTGACATCTAAATCATGAAAAGTTAACACAGCAAATATTCAGTTACTTTATCACTAATGAAACTCAGCCCTGAACACAAAATGGTGAGTTAACTTGCATCTTTCTGTCATTGAGGCACGACCAGACCTGTGTTCTTGGTCAAATTTCAAACATGCTCAGGCTTCCCTGAAGCAGTCTTATTTCATTTGCTTTTAAAGCTCTTTGGGGGTGATTTCTGGATTCAAAAAGTTACCTTGAGCTCAGGGTGACGGGGTTATTTGGCATTCATAAGAAAATGAGTCTTAAAATAAGAAAGTGGTGCATACAATTCAGAGTGTGATCGTGCTGTCAAAGATAATCAACTTCAAAACATATGAAAGTAAAAATGATTCAATCAGATGTCTCTCTGGCTGAATGTATTATGTTGCTATGGGTCTGATGCCTCAGGGAGACTCTGGTTGTCACAGCTGGGCAGCTCTGACTCAGTGTTTTTCAACACAAACTTCCTGGGATGTTCCCGCAGATCCAGGAACACAAAAATCCTCTCAAACTTCAGCTGTTTCATGCTCACTGAAAACCCTTGCCTAATGGTAAAGTTTTACAGCCAAACAACATCAACATCCTGTTTTTGTTAGTTTTTTATACTTTGTTTAGATGAGACTTAACCATGTGCATGGACATAGACACCTTTGTTAAAAAGTGAAAGAACTGGAATGAAGAAAAGCCTGCTTGAAATTGACAACCTAGCCAAAACTGAGTTTGGACATGCATGGCAGCCTCAAGGCTATCGGCGCCTTAACTGCAGTCACAACGTTTCCGTCATAGCACACATGTGCAGTCGTCATTTGCCTGTTTCTTTTCAGAAACCAGTCTGACTAAATTAAGGCAAGTTTATTACAGAGACTTTATGTTGATGTGTTTTCTCACCATATCAGGCCCAAACAGACAGAGATGAGCTGGGCTGAGGAGGACTGGACAGTGGGACTGCCTGGACGGGTCCTTCAGAAGGTGAAGGAGCTCCAAATCCACAAGGAGCGGCTGTCCAGAGAGAACAAGCAGAAGCAGCTTCAGCTGGACAACATCCATACCAGCCTTGAAAAACAGACTGGGAAGGTATACAACGGGATGTTTATTAATAATTCTTACATCAGTAGAAACATACATTTTCGTCATAGGAATGATTGATTGATAATTTCAGAGTTTACATGAATGTCTGCTTAAAAGTTGTACAGTATATATGTATAGGGTGCCCTGAGTACCAAATCTCAGTTTTATTTTATTGTTGATGTTTTGCATCAAGTACTGAAACAATGTTGTTAAGACTCAGCATTTTATGTTGAGTTTTCTAAATAAGCACTGATGTTGAAACTGTTCCACATTTGTCTTAAGAAATCCAATAACATGCATCCTTTCTCGTCCTCTTTCTCCTCACGTCTCCTGCCAAGTATGAGGAGGTCCGTGGGGAGCTGCAGGCTGTTCAGAGAGAGCTTCAGAGTGTCCGGGAAGAGGCCAAGGCGGCCGTGACCAGCAGGGAGCGGCTGAACCAGGACCTCCACACCAGGCAGGCCCAAATATGCTCTTTGGAGGGCCAGTTAGATTCTGCTCGTACCTTGAACAACAAGCTCACCCAGGAAGTCAAAAGGTCTGCAGAAGCTGACATTTAAAACCAATGAATTTCTTTCTCTTTCTTCTTTCCTTGATATTCTAGATTTGACATTGTTTACCTTTTTGTGTTCTGATGAAACAAGAGTAAGTTGTAAGAGTCACATGTAAATGTCATATAGATTTAAATTGATTAAAACTCTGTTTCCCTGGCGTCGTCAAACAAGTCCTCTGCTTGTCCTTTGTCCGTCTCTGGCAGGCTGGAGGCTGAGCTGGAGAAGCTGCAGAACAGCAGCAGGTCGGCTGACACCACTCTGTTTTCCACACCCTGCTGGAGTTCAACATCACCCTGGGAGCCCAGTGGTACACAGTTTTATGTTTAAGACTACTTAGCTTTTTTCTCAGAATACCCCCTCCCCCCCTTTCTCATATATGCGCTGTATAATCTCAACGGAAGTGGGGAAAAAACATCTGATTCCCAGATGAGCATAGAAGTTGTAAATAAATTCCTTCAGTATTAAAGTTTTCCCAGACCCATTGCTCTCTGGGGGACTGTCGAGTTTTTCTTCCCACTCTTGTTTGAAAACCACAGTTGCTCGTATTCAACTTTGCACAAAGGTTTTAGGCAAAAAGTTCAGCCCAAATGTTTTGTTTTTGCCCTACAGGGAGCCGACAGGAAGAAAGGTCTGGCCATCGAGATGAAAGGCAAAGTCGAGAGCTTCATATCCGAGTAAGTACCAGCTAATTCTGTTATTGAGCTATGTTTGGGCTAATCCAAGACTTATGTAGATATTACACGGAGATTTCTGTTCTTTACTTGTTGGATTTATCCCTTAATATGACTAAAGCAAAACTGCTTGCCTTTGTTTGGATTTTCTTTCAGTTTATCTACTGGGGCTTTTAGCTAATTAATTCCATCATACCACCCAAGTAGTCTGGGTGGGTTGGCATGTCCAAAAATATCCTACTCTTAGATTGATACTGCTTGAATTAAACATGTTCCCCAAAATGTATAATAATGTATAAAAATATGTATATTTTATGTTTTTAAGTTACATTTTGAGCATCTGTTTTTTATGTTTATTTACAAATCAGCACTTTTAAAAGTCTTAGGATTGTGTAAATTTTGGGTTTAGGTTTTCATTGATTCGTCATTCTTTCCTTCCACAGCGACTTCAGTTCTCAGACATGCCCACAGCTTCAGTGCCACGACAACAACACAAGAGCACAACCCACCGCCACCCATCCGACCATTCAGATACCTTTTCCACACCCTCGTCTGTGTTTCCTTGGGAACGTGATGATTCAAAACCAGCATCTAGGAGACGACTGCCTCCCTCTCCCCAGACGCCTGGCCCTGATGCCACAAATCAAGACCCACAGGAGCCCGTGGTTGGAGAGAAGGAGAAGGTCTGCAAAACGGAGGCCGAAGGTGAGCGAGGTTGCTCAGCGGTAACCCCAGCAACCTGGTAGCAATGGTTTGAAAAGGCAGCTGACACAGATACAGCTCATCCCAGCTGTCTCTATCCTAATGTAAGATTAAAAAGTTATCTGGATTACGGTAAGAACGGCACCCAGCATGGTGACACCGTTATCCATTTAACTTGGTCGTCCTGCACTTTGAGTTTGGCCTCTGAGTGGATTGGATTTTGGATTAGGTGCTGGGTTTTATAGTAAGCAACAACATACTGGTCCAAGTATGTTTTCAGGTCCTGCTCACACAAGTCAACATGTCAGCCAACCTAAAGTCTAAAGCCTTCCCCATAGATGGGCGTAACTGTAGCCAATGCTGGTCAACATCTATTTTTGAAGTTTCACTGAGGTGTGATGACTTAATTGCTAGTTAGTGCAACTGGCTGAGCAGGCGTCCCATAAACAGAGGCTAAAGCTGCTCTGCGCACCTGTTCTCACTTTGAGTCCCGGCTCAGAGCCCTTTGTCCTCACCCTTTCTTTGCCCCAATTTCCTTTCCAGCAAAGGCCAGCACAGCTCAAAGCAATCCTTAAAAACAAAAAAATACCCACGTACTATTTTTTACTTGCCTGGTGTGGTGTGGAGAGGTTTTAAATGATTAGGTAACATTTCAATACTAAATAATAACCCTAACCCTTTTTGTCAAAAGTACTAAAAAATGTTGGACCCACATCCTTCTGATAAAATACTGAAAAAATACTGTTGAAGGATTTTCTCACTGTCATCCATTCAGTATTTCTCTGTAAACAGGACCTTTGATAAATTTTATGAAAGAAGTCAGCCTTGCTCTAATGCTAATACTAGTTGGGCAAGAGTGACAGTGTGGGAACCTGCACAGAGTTTTGAAATGATCACATTAGGGGGATTTACCAGGATGGTTTCTCTGTTGTTTCACTGCAGAGCAGAGAGATACAAACTCTGAACAACTCCCCAGACCTTGCTTGATTCTGTTACCAAAGAGTTCTTTGGAGATGTCTCAAGAGGCTTTTAATTTTTGCACCAGTTCAAATGTCCTCCGTGTCCTGTTGCTGAATAACCCCAGCAGGGCTTGTTACATAAGAACTGTGTAGAAGTTGCAGGCTCTGCTGGAAATTCCTCTGCCAGCTCCAAGGCCAGTGTCTTGATGCAGAGAGGCTCTTACTCCACTTTATTAGTCTGATGTAACGCTTCTCTTTCTCTCAGCTCCATGTTTGCTCAGAGGAGGAAGGGAAGAGTTCAATGTGAAACAATAAAATCTGCTGCTGGGACAGCAGTGGGAGGGGCAGTGTTTTTCCTGCTGTTTTTATTGGGCAACTCTCCATAGTAACTACTACAGTCATACAGAAAACATTGTTTTCTTCAATATTTGATTCCTTTTTGGGTTTTATTTTGGTTAATTGTTAGAAACATCAACTCTTTTCAGATTAGAGGTGCATGAATTCCTGAACATATATTTGTGTTAAATGTGATGTAGATTGCATCAAAAGATGGTAAACCAGGCAGATTTTTAGCTGAAAGTGAAAAGAATTAGGCAGCCCAACATCTACAGACTCACTCACAAGTTTATAGTTGTAAACATGTCAGCTGAATTTGTCATGGAGCCAGCTGGTATGGATTGACCCCATTTATGAAGGCTTCAGTGATGTGTTGGTGCTGTATATTTGACAGTTGTTTGAAACTCATCAGAGATTTATTGTTTGCTGGTAAGAGAATAGACAAGATTTCTCATCTTTCTTCAGTTTTTTTCCTTTTTTTTTCTTCAACTTACTTTATCATGTGTGTCTGTATCCAACAGTGTGTCCACCAGTACATTCACCAGAAATACAGAGCCGTGTCTTAATTCTGGAAGACCAGCTTTCTGAGACGGTCAGGACACTGAAGTCAATTCAGAGTGAGATGGTGCAGACGAAGAAGGAGCTCGCTGCCAAAGAGCTGGGCCTGCAGAGAGCCCGTGATGAGCTTAGCTCGGCACACACTCGCATGGCCCAGGAGAGTGAACGGGTAAAAAGCACACAGAGCATACTGCTATTGAAAGTGCTGGTAGGACTGCTACTGCCATCACGCATTATGGGCGTTGGTCTCATTTAGCACATTGTTTCCCTTTCCCGAAATATTATCAGGAATAGTTCAGAGAAAAATCTAGCACGAAGTTCCCCTTTTTTCGTTTATGGCTAAGTTTCATCAGGATTGGCAGTTGGAGACTCCCCTATGCCCCTTTATTTGATGATGGATGTGATTCTCACACCTGATTCATTATTGAAAAGCATTTGTGGTTTGAACCAGCTTAAGAATTTCCTCATTGGATCATCAGCTTAAGTTTTAAACAACTGAGTTTGACTAAATTCTGTGAAATAATGAGTATTGTGCATCGCAGGCGTCTGGAGCCGAACAGAGACTTAAGCAGCTGCAAGAGGAGCTCAAGTGCCAGAGGCAAAATGCAGAGAGCTGTCGATTGCAACACCTACAACGCACCAAAGACTTGGAGAAACAGCACCAGAGGGTGAGACAGACACATGCAGAGTTAACAGAAAACACGCCCTTTATCCTGCTCCTCGATCCAGTCTTAAGGTTGCAGTGTCTGTGTGTGTGTCCAGGATCTGACAGAGCTTCAGAAGGAGAGGCAGTGCTCGGACAAGCAGCACCAGCAGGAGGTCAATAAGCTTAATCAGGAGCTCCAGCAGGCTAGGACGCTCCACAATGCCCTTCAAGCACAGGCCGATAAGGTGAATACACTCAAAAGTACAAGCATGTGCATTATTAATAGCGAGAGCATCTAGTCCTTCAAAATGCAAACCGTACCTTTTCTCAAGATAAGGTCTGTTCAAACTCTGCAAATTTAGCACTACTTCTCTACTTCTGTAGATGCTTTAGTTTACATGCCCTGTTTTTCTGCCCTTTCCTGCTTTTATCTCTTTATCCCGTCTTCTCTCTCTTTCTCTGTGGCACAACTGTTTTCATTATAAGTACACAAAGTCACTAAACTTCTCGTTTCTTCTCCCACACATGTTTTTTGCCGTTTCCCCATACTCTATCCACTCTCTTAGTGTTTCTGTTCCCATTCAACCCACCCTCCCCTCTGCTTCGTCCTCTTCTCCTCTCCTGTCCTGTCGGTTTCTCCTCAGTGGAAAGTTTGAGCTGCAAAGGTAATGACAGTGTGACTGCATTTCCGACAAAGCTTTGGTTTGGGAAGCTTGATACAAACTTCTAACTTGTGTGTGCAAATAGTCCACAGTAAGGACAGGGAGCAGCTGCAAGACAGTGGAGATTGTAGTTCATATTTATCCATATAGGAAGCTTATAGGTTAAAAGTTCACCGCTCCTATTTACAAAAAAATCTGTCACAGCCTGTATTCCTATGATATATACATGTTATGAATAAAGTAATTTTTTATCCTTTTGTTGTAACCCTATTTTCCCTTAAAAGCTTTACTATGTTGCCTTTGAACCACACATCTTGTTTTGTGGCATTTATTAGGGTTACAGAGGCTAGACACACAATAGAGAGACACAATCTCAGGTGTGATGAATGATGTAATCACCAAGTGTTCATAACTGCTGTATTTGCGCTTTTTTATCATTGCATGTTTGTTTTGGTCAAGCGCATCCCACTAAATCTGTTTTTACGACCACATATTCTCTGTTCTTTTTTTAAATTAAATTCAATGCTTGGATTTTCTTAAAATGGCAGAATGCATTTTAAAAACATTTGCATGAATTTGACAAAGTATGATCAAATCAGGTCAACTGATACCAATGAAAATCTAGAAGGAGCCATTTGATTGGTGTGTATGTATGATCAATCTGTAGTGTTGAATTGTTATTATTATACATGCAAGGAAAAGAAAATGGGGTCATATGTTTTCACTCCCTTAGTGATGTTGTTCTCTTGCAAAAGAAAATGGTGAAGTTGCAGCCCTTATTAGGTAAATTACTGGACTTAATTAGATTATTGGCTCAAAAAATATAGAAAAAAGCCCAGCAGGGTTGCTGGCAGTTTTCATCTAACCCTGCAAACCTGAGAACTAGTCTGATCTGCTATGTCACCATGGTTACTGTCCCGTTTCATGTTCACTGTACTTTACACCTTTCCAGCCTTACACCAAGTAAAATTAGAAGAAAACAGTTAGAGCCCAGTTTTTTCTTGAAGAAAGGTAACGTGATTACTGAGTGCTGCCACTCAGTATGTGCACTATCATGAGAAAAGATGTGTGATGTGATGAGAACTGCTGGGAAGCTGATTATTAGCTAAATATCTCTCGCCCCCAGAGAGATAGACAGTCCCTCATGCATGTTATTGATCACTGCCTGCTGAATCCTTCACTGATCCTGATTCATTAACCCTAAGCTGCATGCTTTAATGTCTTCATTTGGTCCTTTTTGTTTGTGTTTTTGTATGTTTTTTAAAACTCTTACTGTTTTGATTTCTTTCTTCAAAAATACATTTCTCCCTGTCAGTTTTCTAGCTGCACATGTAATGATTTCCTCTGCCAGCTGTCTCTGCAGAAGCAAGCGTTAAGCAAAGACTTGGACTCTGTTAAAGAGAAACTGAAGTGGACAGAGGAACAGCTGAAGGAGAGCCAGAAGAAGGAGGGGCAGACACAGGCTAAACTGACGGTAACACACTAACAAACAGTGATTGTTCTGACCAGTGCTTTCTATTTAAATTTTTTTTTATACAAGATCAATAATTTATTTACTGAGCTCCATGCATTATTAAACAACTAGACTCTATATACCATCTGTCTCTGTTAATGGATAATGCTAAGTATCTAAATCAATAATATGGGAATTGTTGCTTCTTCAATCATCCTGTCCCCTTGTTCTGTTTAAAACGGATGTTGGATTTGTCAGATCTGAAAAATATGAATTTAAAGGGAGCTGCAGAAGAATAAGGGTTATGTTTCCTCTGTCAGGTGTTAGTATGCCTGGTGTTTAACCTTATCGTGCTTGCAAAAAGCCCACAGGTGAATTTTTAAATGTGGATGTTGAACCACCGAACCTGCTCACGATAAAGTCCTGCGTCCTTGGCTAAAGTTACACAGAGGGCAAACAAATCGTCACACTCTGTGAACCAGACTGCAGCGCAGACGCTAATGCCACCTTTATCTGCAGCTTGTGTGTCTGCGGTTTGTTGCTGTTGTGACACAGTGTTTACATGTAGCTCTCATACTCTGCTCTCACACAGAACAAAACAACTCTCCTGGTGGAGATGTTTCACATTTCTGATGTGGTTGTCAGTGGCGTTGATTTAAGATGATATGTTGAACAATGCTGATTGTGTTATCTTAAGAAAATAAAATAAAAAATAAAAATAATTTTGGAATGTTCATTCCAAACATTGTAAGAAACTTAACTCCTCGGAGTGCCTAAACAATAAATGCCCTTATTGTTCACTTAAGAGAGCAGTTTGTGTGACAGCAGTCAACTCACCTTATTTGTTTTTTTGCCAACCCTCGCATTAGGAAGCAGTGCGAGAGGCGGAGGGTGTGGCAGTAAGCCTCGAGCAGAGCAGGAAGAGAGAGAGAGCCCTGGAGGAGGAGGGGAGGAGACTGTTGGAGGAACAAGCTGACACCCTGCGTCAAATCAAAGAACTGCAGAGTAAGGAGCGACTTCTAGGACTTCTATGACTTGTCAGTACTGGGACATTTTTACAGACCATAGATATCACATTATTGATTTTTCCTTGAGAAAGTGCACTGCCAAGGATTATACCATGACTTTTAACCTGAGAGGAAGAATGAAGTGTAAAGTTATCCTAGGAATTTGATAAATTAGGACTTTTGATCAGTGTTTCAGAATAAGCTTAACATTAATATTTACATAATGTTTAGGAATTTGTGATGCTAATGGGGTTTTCTTCTCTCTTTTTTTTAACTCCAGATGAAAAATCTGTCTTGGTGGCCCCTCCACAGCCTGTCCAGTTTTGCCCCGTGGCTCAATCTTTCCCACTTCATTCTTCTTCCACTCCTTCTCCGCGACCACCGGCCAGTAGTAAGAGGTCTTTAACTACCCAAGCTGAGCAGAACAGGGAACAGGAAGGTTTCGATGGGAGACGCCCAGAGGTTACAGCATCGTATCCCACTGATAGAGAGCCAGGAGAAGGAATTGATGCTGAGCACATCACTGTCATCACCAACTCTGAATCTTTACCAAGAGTTGGACAGACAAGCAGTTGCGACGTGTCTCAGAAAAACAGAGGAGAAGATATAAAAGCCGACATATCTGGCACGCCCATCACCAGCGCTGTGGATGGCTGTGGATCAGCAGGTTCTGAGCTTTCATCTCTGCCACAAAGTTTGACGCTCTCTGCTGGACAGGCCCCTCTAAAATCCGAACAGAACATCTCTTCTGAAGATCTCAAGAGGGAGAATAACCAGCTGCGTTCAGAGATTTGTGATGTACGCGAGGAGCTCCAGAGGCGGCTGGACGACCTTGAAACGCAGCGAAGGGCTGAGGCAGAAGCAAGAACCCGCCTGAAGCTGCTCAGCCGCAAAAATGCCAGCCAGGCAGTGGAGAGGGAGGAGAGAGACCGGGAATTAAAGGCACAACTGGAGAATGAAAAGGCTGAGACAGAGAGGCTGAGGAAGACCATCACTGCTTTGGAGGCAGAGATTAGGAGAGGAAGGGAGGAGGAGAAAAACACAGCACAAGATGATAAAGAGAGTGAAATGATAGAATTTAATATCCAGCTAAAGAATCAACTGGCAGAAGTGAAAGCCCAGCTGGCCTTAGAGAGAGAAGAACGAAAGAGAGAGGAAGAGGACAGAAACCTAATTATAAGCAGAGATGCTGACGTGAAGAAGGAGATGAGCATGAAACTGGCAGAGCTTAAAGCTGAGATGGAGGACTTCAAGCACGGAGGTCAAGAGTGGGCAGAAGAGGAGAAGCTCTCAGCCGCTAACAGCCCCCTGACATATCTGACTCTGCATGACAATGAATTAAACTCCACCGACGTTTACAGTGACAACAAACTCCTGCCTTCACCAGAGCAGCACCTCCTCTTCTGTCAGTCCACTAACAAACTCAACATGCTGATGTCCACAGCAGCACCGGACATCATCCAGGAGGAGCAAACGATGATGGGTGAGCAGTCTCCTCTGCTCCACGATGCTCACACTGCTTCCGAAGACACTCAACAGAACAAATATGGACGCTCTTCCGTGTCCGACCGCCAAATTAGTGAACTTCCCACCTCTGATTTGGCTAAAGAAGTGGAGCACCTGCAGAGGGAATGTTCAAAGGAAGCCGAGCGTGCAAACCAGTACCAGGCCAAACTGGAGGCACTACAGTGCCAGGTATGTAATGAAATAGAAATAATTCATCTTGACCAAAATTGACAGATACATTTTCATTTTACAATAATATTAATTTGTTACATATATCTCTTCTGAAGATTTGTGAGTTTCTATAGTTAGGAAAGACTAAATACCACCAACAAAAACAGAATTTTTTTAATGCCTGTGTTAGTTCTAATCATCAATTGGAACATAAAGCGATTTTGAGCTGGCATCAAGATGAGTTGAGGGGATCTGATCAATCTGATCAAGTTACGCACTGCTTGCGAAGCAGATGGAGAAGATTTGATCTCTTACTTATCTCTTCTTTCTTAAAGTGGTAAAACCTCAGTCCTGATGGAAGCTAATTAATCTTTGTGGCTTAATGGAATTGGAAGCTGAATGTTTGCTTAATACCACTGAGATTTAGTCTTTTACCACTTTAAAGATATTAGCACATTTTACAATAGACCAGTTGGTGGAGTGGAGGGCCGCATGTTTGAAGTGGAGGGCCGTATGTTTGAAGAGTCATTTCCAAAACAAACATACAGGCTGTGGCGGCCTATTGCCTCTGTCTGACTTTCTGCTCTTAAATGGTGTTTTCCTCACAGGTGACACGGCAGACGCAGCAGCTAACCATGGCCTTTGAGAACCAGAGTCAGCACATCTCAGGCCTTCTGACCGAGCTGCAGGAGAAGGAGAGGGCCCTCCAGTGCCAGGCAGAAGAAGTGCTGCGATACAAGCAGGAGCTGGAGGCATTAAAGACTGAAAACCACAAAGAGGGGAAGACGACAGTCAAAGACGGGGAGGAAGTGGGATCAGGAAAGGAGAGCTTAACTGAAACCTCAAAACAAGAAAAAGAGTGTGCGGTCTCCTTTCCCACTGAGATTTCAGATAATGACTGTCAAATTGAGGGCAAGACAAAAGTAACAAAGATTGAGATATATGATGCTGAAACAGCAGCTGCTACTGACAGCGGTGAAACAGTTATATCTGAAAGCTCTGTGGACTCGAATACCTCTTACTGGCACTCTGACTCTGCCATAGAGGTGACGGAGAGTCCGTGTGGTCAAAATGGAGGTGCAGCAGATATTGTTACAGAACGCTGTGCTCTGAAAGGGGAGAATCAGCAGCTAATAGACAGAACAACGGGTGTGACTGCCTCACACAGCAGGAACCCAACGTTACAAACGGATAGTGAGAACCAGGAAGCTCTAAGCACTCCTTCATGCGCAGAGCAGGAGACACGAGTGATGCCAAATGATGCCAGGACTCAGGGACAGGAGTCCTTACAGGAGAATGAAGACAGAAGTGAAAATTTAGGGGGGGAAGAAAGGAGGTCCAAGAGTGACGAAGACCTGGATGAAGAGTCTGATGCCCTGGTCGACCTCCTACACCAACAGGTAAGGAGAGTTGTTTTTCTTTGATAAAAGTCATTATAAGTACTTTATAAGTACGTTGTTTCTTTACTCATTCATTTAGATAATGTAGAAAAGCTTGTAATTTGACTCCATTTGTCCCATCCAGGTAGAGGCTTTGCAGATGAAGGTGCGGTCTCTCTCTGAGGAGACCCAGCAGCAGGCTCAGGAGATTGCTATGTGGCGTCTGGCCTCCCAACCGGCCCCCACAACCCCGGAGCAGATGACTGCTGCCACCCTTTCATCAGATGAGCTGCCTGACATCCAAACTGGGACCACAGGCCACACTCAGCCGCCTGTGAGGTCCGCTCAGAAAACCCAGGACAGCATCACTGTTGTCAGAGAGGATGAGTTGTTCATCTGCTGTTCCTCCAGCAAACTGCAGGGTCGCATGTTGTTATCCAGGTAACCTCAGCTTGAGTGTAATAATAATAAAACGGCATTCATTTCTCTCATGTGTCTTTTAAGTCTATAATGTAAGGCCATGCTCGTTCCTTTCTAATGTCTCCTGTTTACCTTTCTTTGTTTTACCACAAGGTTGCAGAGCAGTAACCCTCCTGAAGCAGAGAGCCCTAATTCCTCTGAAAAGACGACCAAAATGCAGGAAAGCAGGCAAAATGCTGCTGAGATCAACCAGGTGATTTTTTCCAAATCCTTACTCACTTGCATACCAGATCACTGTGTATGTTACACACTCAGTGTTTCCTGACTCTGTCCCTGGAATTTTTTGTGCTAAATATTTTAAAGTTAGAAGGAATTTGTTTGTTTTTCTTATAAATAAAACAGTTCAGTGATTTCAAGGTAATTTCCCTGGGAGCTCTGAGTGTGCAGACAATGAGTAAAGATAGGACTAACAATCCAAAAAAGCTACTTTAAAGTATTACCAGTGTACCCCTGAGAGAGTCTTATTTGTGGTAAACAGTGGAATGGAACATGCAAAAACCAAATTATGCACACAAAGCACCTTTCAGTGATAAATGGGTAAAATGTGTCTCAATAATTGTCAAGTCATTTTTATATTACTGCTAATTATATGATTTTTTTCAGTGAGTTTGAAGGGGAAATGAGCCCTATATGAATAAAGGACTAAGTCTGTGCTACTAAAATTTCTTATAGATAAATTTGATTATGGTGGGGTTTTTTTGTTTGTTTTTCTTCTAGAAATCCGAAAAGCCAGAATCTTTTCCATGCCAGTGCAAATCCAAGAGAGAGACTAAAGACGTTGCCAAAGATCCCCTCAAACCCTCGGGACCAAACCATGCCAAAGCGGCCGAATTTTACTCAGAGGAGCCAGAGGCCAAGCCAAATTCTTTCATGTTAAACAGCGAGATAAACGCCAGTGACACCGCAGACCAAGATGAGAAGACGGAAATGAGATGTGTCAGCACTCAGACAGAAGACAGTCTGTATCCTCATAGGGCTCCAACCAAACAGACTGAGGAGGAAGAGGGGGCTGAAGAGGAGCTGGTGGAGTCTCCACCCGTCTCTCCCATCCCAGTTTCTGACAAGGTGGAGTCAGGTGACAGGATGCTGTTTTCTGGATCTTTTCCCATCCCGGCCGACCCGGCTCGCCTGGCAGAAAGAATCCGCCGCAACAGGACGCAGTTGTCAGCCGCCTACGATGACACAGAATACGAACCATACGGCCTGCCAGAAGTTGTCATGAAAGGTAACTTTGCTGGTTGAGTTATTTTTTAAACTACTTTCTTAACAAAACAAACTAAGTAAACTATCATCACAAAATCCATCCAGCAACCAAAGCAGGTCTCTGATTCCGGGGATGAGGCCTAAAAACACTACCGGCTCTGCCCACAGCAGCAGGCAGACAGCTTGGACATAGGAGCTTTAGGCTCAGAGACAGCTTTTTGTATTATGATAGAAGCCAAAATCAGCCTAAAGAGTGAGTTTGTAGCAGCTAGTTTGGACTTAAAATGTTAAAGTAACCTGTTACATGGTTGTAAGTTTCATATGTAAACTTAAAACGTTTTTTTAAGAAAGTATCCTTACTGCCCCCAAGTGGCCACCAAACATAAAAGATGTCTTTGCAGATGTTTCTTATTTTTTTGTATTAAACAACTTCACCTTTCAGTTGTTTGTTTCCCTTCCAGCATTTCTGGATGCTCATTTAACAAAATTGTCTCTTTTAAAATGCGACAGACACAGGAAACATCACAAAGAAAAGTTATTTGGTAATAAGAGTTTAGAGTCTTCTCTGACCAAATGTTTGCACATTTGTCTCAGTAAGAGGTTTGATATCCTTGACTAAAGGACTTGACTTGACTTGTCTGCCTGTTATCTGTTTATCTTCTTTGTTTTTGCTCTTTCAAACTCTTGATTATTTTATTTATCCTGTCCTCTCCCTTCCTTTTCATTATTCAGGTTTTGCCGACATCCCCAGTGGTCCCTCATGTCCGTACATTGTGAGAAGAGGTTTATTGGGAACAGCGGTTGTACCCCGTTCGCAGAAAGACCGGCAAAAGGAGGAGGAGGAGACAGATTAAAGAATGGCAACAGGCGGCATCATGTAAAGAATTAAAAATCTCCCTCTTTTTCTAAAAAACAATGTTTAAAGTAGATTTTATTTTCCATAAACTGACTTTTAAAAGCATTTATTGGAGGCGAGTCTCGATGATGATGCTGTTTATCAGCCGTTTATGCTGATCAGTTTATTCTCTCATCCTTTCCATCAGTGTTGTTCTCAATCGCTTTGTATTTTTTGACCCCTACCTGTTAACAGATATCGTGGAAGGAACCGATCAGGGTGGGTGGCTTCATGGTGGACCTGATTGATGACCGATTGCTGCGGCAAAGAGACGTGAAGGTGCTGAGCATCTGAAAGCCAGGGCACTGCCACAACCAGCTGTAGGCAGACTGTACTTTGGCACGTGTGCCTGCAGGTAACTGGGCCTGCACAGACAGAACAATGGCCTCCACTGTGGATCTTGAATGTTCTAATTGTCACCATTTAATCCTCAAATTGCCGTGTGGATACCCTGCTGTCCATCACAAGCTGCCACTTTACGCTCACCTGCATATTAAGGTACGAATGTGGTGATTTGGTGATTATGCTTAGCGTTTTATGAACCACTTATCAAAAGGGGCCAGTTTGTTTTCAGTAACTCTGAACTAACCCACAGGCCTGACCTCAGCTTACTTTGAATCAAACTGTGCCTCGCTGGTGTTTTTCTAAACCATCGCTTGTCAAGATAATGTTGATTTGTTTTTCAAACGCAGAGGGTTTGAACAGGCGGCGTGTAGATTTTCCTTTTTAAACCTCTTGATGTGGCTTATTTATGGACAATTGAATGTGATGGATTTGTGTTCAGCTGTTTACAAAGTTTTGTGTGAAACATTAGCTGTGAATATGAACATGTGTGCCCTCCTCTTGATGTCACTGTTTGTATAAGTGTGTGTCGGAGAGAGTTGGGTGTGCGCATTTCTATGAGTCAGTCTAACCTGCACTGGTTTCCGCTCCATGTATGGTGATCCACACTGTGCTCTCTGTCCTCTCTGTCCTGCTCTGTTTTTCTGTCCTGTTTGACTTTAGTTGGTTCTAAAGCAAATTAACTTAAAAACAGTCATGTGAAGCTTTTGTTTAATTTTTCTTCTTTTGTTAGAATACAGATAAATGGATAATGTGTGTTTGTAATGAATAAGATTTAATTTAACTGTTCTGTGTGACATTTAATGCACATTTATTGTCACAAAATTCTGAGTTTTTTAGTTGATGCCCTTCAGTGGCGCTTCAGCAGCAGATTTCACACCTTTGCTTACCTGCAGGATAAGTTATTTAAAGCACGGATTCCTACTCAGTCAAGTCCACTCGTCTGTATTCACCTGGAAATGAACTCATTCAAAGGTGCCGTCTGCTGAGTCAACTTTTTGTAGAAGTGTAGAAAACAGATATTCTGTCACAAAAGTCCAGTTAATGAATGCATTTCCCTTTTTTGAGGAATCACGTGGCAGATGAGAAGATGAGTATTATTCGTCAGTCCCAGCTAGAGATTAGCATAGTTTCAGGATTACTTTTATCATAAATGTTTCAAACGAAGCAGATTTACTTTTACAAAGACCAGTGACTAAAAAGATTAACTTTCCTGTTTGATTTGTGTTTTTGTAACCTGTGTAGACTAGGGAACTTTTGAAAGGGACATTTTTGTTTTTTATCCTAGGTAAGCGTGCATTGCTTTTGTGGTTGTTTTTTGGAAAATACTGTTTTCAAACCTATCATGAGATGCATTTGTGTTTGGAGTAGAGATGCAACCTAGTGTTTTTGGTTGTTGTTTTTTTTCCTATGTTGCAGATTTTTTTCTTATTCAATGAATGGCATAAAGATGAATTTCTGTCATTTTTCTTTTCCTTAAGCTTTGAATTGTTGAAACGTTGGCTTGCACCTTTTACGACCACAAGACGAACTGATTTTTTCCTTCGAACAGATCCAACAAAAATGGACCTGCAGTGTGTCATTCTCAATCTTTTATACTTTTTAGTTCTGTCTTGATGTTTTTGAAATTATGAATCCTCAAAACAGCTTGAGTTCATACTGCACCAAAAAACACCAACATTAGTTATTAACATTAAAAGAAAGAGAAAAAACAGAAGCACCAAAGAGCAGGCGGATGAATAGGCCGAGGTATCCTTAGGTTGTGCTCACTTGGTGCAGTCAGTCAAACATTAAATGCTTGCTGTCAAGCAGATATAAAACAAATCGGCTGAATAGAAGTTTTTCACTGGCCGATAAATCGGAGCATCCTTAGTTAGAAGTGCTGTGATTTTTGTTTTTTGTGAAGATTTTATTTAAAGTACTTTCTTGGCCACAGCTTGATGATTCAGTTAGAAAACAGCTGCAATTAATAAGTGCTGCCATTTATCTGCCACCGTGGACGCCTCTCTCTCTCTCACACACACACACACACACACACACACACACCTCACCTCCCTCGCCTGTATATCTCTGGGAACTGTAGTCTTCTGGCAGCGAGGTGGGATATTCTGACTGAGAGCAGGGAGACTCACTGGGACTTAGTTGCCTTGTTTTTGACACTTTTATGTGGATGTCTCTGTGTTGTGTTTGTGGCCACAATAAAAAAACTTGCTCTTACTTAAGCCGTCGTTTCTCTTTGAGCGCCTTCTAGTCTGAGTCGTCATGGCTGTGCACTTTATAGACCATGTTGTGATGTCCTTTTGTTGGCTGTTTATGAGGTGCCTTTTTTTATAACTTGAGCATAATTAAGTCTAAATGAGGACCGCGGTCCAATGAAAAGAGCCCAGAGTGTTCTCAACTGTTACATCTTGGTTAAATCACATAAGTATTTCCGCAATTACCAGAGTCCTTTTCCTTTGCCTCTTAGTCGTAAACACATTGTTGAGAAGGTGATGAAGCCGCTCAAGGAGCAGCAAATTAAGGGGTCAAAGGAATAGATGTACTTCCCAACTTTTAGAGTCTGTTTAATTTCATGATGCACATCTTTCTCAGGAGCTAGAAAAATTGTTAACCATAACTCTGACTTTGAAGAAACAAGTGTCTCTTATTACTTTCCGAAAAGACAGAACCTGAAAAGGCGATGGATTTAGAGAGCTAAACCCCCCCGCATCCAGCCCAGGAAACTCCGAGCCCCTCTGCTCTTCCTCTGCAGCGACGGCACTTAATCACACTCTGCAGCTCTGCGGCGCTCCTCACTTGTACTCGCACGTCACCGCCTCGTCCCTTTCTTCATCTTCTCCTCCTCATATGATCTGTTCTCCTCTTCCCAAGTGATGTAGGGTCACGAGAATGGGAAAACACCTTCCAAGGAGAAAACACAGACATGCACTTTTGAATTTGCGCCACACGCGCACAGAGCTGCTAGTTGAGTGCTGAGTAGTGCAAGACCAGCTCATGAGCCAAACTACGATAGCAACTTTTCCCTAAACTCAAGGTAAGACATGCTTTGATAAAATCTCTCTGCAGCATTTTTAATAGTTAACTTTGTATTGATTGCAAACTATGGATGTATCAGTGTTTTATTTTTTTTATTTTTTTGGTCCAAGTTTCCCAAAAGTGTAATAGCAGATTTTCATGAATGTTTAAAGAGATTGTAATCTGGTCGTAAACATTCCTGTCTATGTCGGTTCTCTGTGTCCTGAAGGAGCTGATATTTTAGACAAATAATGTGCTCCAAAGCTTCATTTTATGATATACGGACATGTTCTGTCAATGCAGAATCTACATTTGACAAACATTTCATGGAAATATATATATATACACACTCACACAGTTTTCTACAAAGAAGAAAATTAGCTAAAAAAGTCCTGTTATTCAGCACATTGGACCGGACATGTAGTAATTGGAATTTAATTACATCTGCATGAGCTCCATTTTCTTTATCTTTCTAAGTTCATTAGTGATTCCTCCCTCAGTCGGTCTCCTCTGAGGGTCTCTTTGTCCACCCCTGGAGAATGTGTCACGTTTACAAACAGGCCTCCTCTTATGAGACTGGGATGTTTGTGCTTGTTGTTCGGTCTCTTGTAGACTTAACTGCAGTATTTACATGAATGGAGTACTGTAACCGAGAGCCTAGTTTTCCTAATTGGGGTGAAACTTCATGACCACAATATCATGAGATGGTATTAAATCCCGAAATTTGAAAACATTCATTCTGAGATCCATGTTGTATGTTTCTGGACATTTTTTGTAGTTTATATTCTGTTGTCATTACAACTCCCAGAAAATCATTTTAGATCTTACAAGCTTGTAAAGAACGCTCTGATGACATCTAGGTTTGCAGTCCAATCAAGATGATTTAAGACTAACAGGTTTCAAGAAAAACATATTTTTTTCAATCCTCCTTCTAAAAACGAGGAACAGTTTATTTTTCTCTGCAAGAAATCCCTTTTAGAGGAACCCTATGCCTTGAATCTGCAAGAGAACAAGCTGAAGAAGATGGTTTTCATGTCTTGATTACTTTTGTCCATCTTAGATCAATTTAGTCTCAAACACCTGCTGTAATGTAAGCCTATAAATAGTCTGTATACGTCTTTTCCTGGACTCATGCTTCTTTCCAAACAGCTCAACTCATGATTTATGACCCCACCTGCTCCTTTGTTTAATTTAAGATTAAATCTCAGCCTGTCTAACACGTCCCTTCTTTTTCACTAAATCCCCCCTTGCTTTTTATCTAAGCAAAATATCAAAATATGCCTGTGTAGGTTTAGACAATGATAACTAATAATATCAGGCAGGGCCGAAGCCGTGTGCAGGGAACTAGACCCTCCACAAAACCAAAGCCGGCAGTCCATTAGTGCAGAATGCTAACAGTCACCCAGACTCTGGGAAATCTCAGAACACTGTCAAGGCCGATGTGGTGCCGATCAGGGCTGGTCGACCCCGGCTAAGAAGCTCCTAAATCTTAGTTCTGTTTGTTGGAATGACTAATTCAAAGGTAAACGCAGTTCAAAGAAAACATGAGAAGCCAAATGAAGCTAGGCGATACCCAGGTTTTTAATTGAGGTGAAGATGCATCTTTGGAGGTTTGGCAGAGCCTAATGGCTTGTGAGGCCGCTGGCAGGGTGGGCTGTTTATTGTCAGCTTTTACCCTGTTTATTATGACAAATTCCCTTCAGTGTGAACATTTATTTAATGCCTCACACACTGCGCCTTTAGACTTTACACAAGACTTTTTCTCATTGTATTCTGACCAGATCTTTTCTTTTGTGTTCCCAAAAGTGTTCTTATGGCTTGAATTAGAAAGAAGTCAACCCACAATCCTCCTCCACTGAACTCTAAGAAGACGGGTAATCAGGAAGAAAGCAATCTGAGAGTCAGAGTGGAGAGGAAAGAAGAGTCCGATGTATTGCCACAAGACCATTTGGGAAGTTTTATCATGGGATGAACTCCTGTCATCAGTGAGTTAAGGTAGTGTTTGCATTGTAAATGTTCTTTATCTGACATGAACGACATAAGAAAAGGCAACAATAGGGACATTTTGCTTGCACACAATCTTTTCCAGATCAGATAAGAGTCCACGTGTCTCTGTGATGAGTGGGAGTCTTTTAAATGGTGTGTTTCCTGGCACACTCAAAATGTAACAGGCTCCAACGTCAGTGATGTCATGCGCTGCGTCAGTGTGACACAGAGGAAATCTTTATCTGAAAGAACTGATTAGTTTATCTGGCTGTTTAAAGAGCCATGCCATCCGTTTTCACAAACGTGCTCCATGTTTTTTGTGGTTCCATACGCTGTTTAATACAGTATTTGCTTCTATAAATTTGCCAAATGTCATATTCCTAAGCTACAGGCACTTTGGTTGTTTTAACATTAAAAGACTCCCTGTAGTTTTTACAATGGTATAGATAATGTATCCTCTAGAGAAAGATTTCATTAAACGCGTACAGTTAGATTGTTTTGTTTTTTTTCATCAAGTTTCACAGAAACTCACTGTGCTGTGAAATGTGACTGCTTTGCGTTCTTAGACCAAAATAGTTCATTGTGAATGCCCTTTTTGTTCCTCATCTCTACCTGCGGCCTTCATAGATGTGGGCACAGGATTACAGAGGAGATGAGCAAAATAGCAACTTCAAATAGGAATTCTTGGCTAAAAATTGTATAACCTTTAAAGTTTATGTTTCAGCTGACTCATTCAGCTGGGGCATCGTCTCATCATAAAATGGTGAAAACAGGTCTTATCACTACATAAACTGACATTTCATCAGAAACTACTCCCTTTATGCCCTATAGGAAATGGATAAATAATAGCACAGAGTATAATGCTTTCCCACCATGACTGCATCTGGCCTTGGTTTCACACAAAAACATGCTGAGATCTTTCAAGTCTTCCAAGAACACTAAAGTAGCTTGTTCGGTCATATCCGTGCTCACACCTACATAACGTCTCTAAAGGAACTTCCTGTTTATGGCCAGCTGTGTCCTAGTGTTTCCTGACTGAGACCCAAACCAGACCCTGGCCTGTGAGCTCGGAGCCCAAACCCTGGAGGGGCAGGGGTGTCGACCGGGAGAAAATGCGATGCACCACCGTCACCACCCTGCTGACAGGGGTCATGTTGTACCTGGGAATGGGAGCGCTTGTTTTCGTCAACTTGGAGACTCCCAAGGAGAGCGAAGCACATGAAACCCTTCTTAAAACCAAGCAGGACTTCCTCATTAATAACTCCTGTGTCACAGAGTTGGACTTCCACAACCTTGTGAAGGTATCATTGGACACACTAACCAAACATCAACCTAATCCTGGTCAGATGTTGTTCTTTTCAAATCTCAGTGCTACACTGGGTGACACAATTCAAGTCTTTTTATGTCGTTGTTTTTCTTTTGCCATTGAAGCCCATATAAACAAATCCTTTTCCCAAGCAGGCTTAAAATGTGTTGTTTTTCTCCAGGGAAATTATCCATTTGGGTCTTGATAATGTTTAATGTAGCCCCCCCCAGCTCGTTTAGTCATTTTCCATTCATATATAAACATAATACTCTATACTTTCAAAGTGAAACTGTTTGCCGTCCCACACACAGCACAGTTTGAGTTTTGGTAGTTGTCTGTGACCAGTGTGAAGTTACAATGGGACGCTTCCTTTTTTTTTTTAGATTAAAATAAACCATAAATTCCTTAAATGTCTTTATTTTACAGCCATTAACAATGCCCAAAGTGGATGTAAAAATAACTTGAAGGCAGCAACTGGGTCGGAACGCTGACGCAGCACGTCTGTGAAAGAGGTCTGAGCAGCAGTCAGTTTCAGCCTCGTTTATTGGCACTCAGCCCTTCTTTCTACTGGATTGTTATACAATGTGAAACCCGGCAGAGAAAACTTGCTAAATTTGGTTGCTGCTCCGTCTTGGCCTTCACCCTCTGGCCTGCTCACGCACACACATTGCGCTAACAACCTCTGTGGTACAGGTCTTAGAGGAATGCTGTATATGTTCACACACACTGATAACAAGTCGCTTTATGCTGGTGAAACTTAAACCTGGTTTCAGATCGTCAGCCCTCAAATGTTAGTCCCGCCCTGAAAGTTGATCTTACCCAACTACTTACTGCATGTGAATGTCTGCCTGTTTGAATATGTGGCTCTCACACTCTCAGTGGTGCATTGCAGTTTTCAAACTGGAAAAGTTCAGCCACACCACTGACTGCTTGTTTTGTCTGTCTTTTTTTTTTTCAGCCATAAGAAAACATGTTAACAACGTCTCAAAACACTGGCTTTGATTTGAGGGAGTTTTGAAATGCTTTCCAGTTTGCGTAAAACTAAGAAAAGCACGACACATGACCGTAGTCTCACACTGTCTAGCGTTTTCACAGCTTCTTGGTGAATGTCACCCACAAGAAAGAAACCTATGTTCTAACATTTGGCTGCAGGCTGAAGAAAAACCTTCAACTGATTTTCTTCCCCTCATGAACTGCGTTATGTCACTAACAAGTCATTGCTGCGGAATAACTCAGGGTATTTACTGATGCTTTTCTGTCTTATTCATTTTTACATGAACAATTCGGCTGCTTTGTTGTTCCTGTCCGCGATGTGAAACATTACACCTCACTGCATATGTAGTAAAATGGGACTTAACTTCACACTAGGTCAGAAAAAGCAGCTCATCAAATCTCAAAGCAAGCTAGTCCAAAAAAAATCTCAATAACGTTTTGTAACACTAATAAATTGCATTAATGTACGGATATTCACAACCTTGAATGTCATGTCAAGTATATTTTATAAAAGATATACACTTTTGTATTAACATGTCTCATTACAGTTTATTTTTCTTTTTACGGCCTTTTCAATTTGACTAAAAAGTTAATGTTATTTAAATCAGTTGGACTAAAAACAGCCAAATGTAAAAGAGGCATTTAGAGGTGCTCATATGATCTAGTTAAATTAACTGCTGTTCGTTGATTTGCTTATCTAAAATATGCTGCTCAGTGGTTACACTTAATTATGTGCAACTACAAACATATAGAGAAAAGAAGAAAAGATATACTGACACTGAGACTTAAATTGGTTTGAAGGATGACTTACTGGTGAGTTCCATCCCTCCCCTGCAGAAGGTGATGTCTGCGGTCGACGCTGGTCTGGATGTGAATAGCCTTCCTGCCAATTTGACCAGCCGCTGGGACTGGGCCTCTGCCTTCTTCTTCTGTGGTACCATCATCACCACCATAGGTAAGTAGTAAGTAGTCTCACCTGCAGGTGAAACTTTGCCAATGGTTCTACAAATTGCTTGAATATGAAAATTAATGCCGAATGCTAAGAGAGAAAGTGAGTTTCTTTGATCTTGAAAATGAGTGATCTGCCTGTCACCTACGAAATATATTGAGATTGAATATGTTATATCTTTGTTGTTTTAGTAGTATCGGGTATCTAAACTGGTGTCATGGCCTGTGTCTTTGCATCTGTCTGCACTGGTACTGCTTCAAAGTCCTTATATTTATCAAAAACAACTCATACTTTCAGCTTCACAGAACCAAAAATAGATGTTGTGGAAACCAGATTTACTTAACCATCTGCTCAAAGCTTATTTTTAGCTTTACAAAATGTGTGTTTCATAGAAACGGCATCTCTGTTTGGTTTCTGACTTTCCTCTTCTCTTCAAAAGGGTTTGGAAACCTGTCTCCTCGAACATGGTTCGGGCAGTTGTTCTGTGTGTGCTACGCCCTGGTGGGCATCCCCATGTTTGGCATACTGCTGGCTGGAGTGGGGGATCACATGGGCACTGTCCTGCGGAGAGCTGTGGCCAAGATTGAGACCCTCTTTTTGGTGAGAATGGCTGAATTAGCTTTTGTGTCCAGGAACTTAACTTTGGTTTAATCAAACCGGGTCAAAAAGAACCAATTTCACATTATCAGCTGTTGACTGAAAATGTTTGTCATTTGCTTTAATGCCAGAAATGTAATTCATATTTTTTTAACGTTCTTACATTAAACAATAATTATATAAAGAATGTTTGTATGTCAGAAGGACAGTCTCCTTCTTTTCAAAAACATGTTAAAAGTATGTAGAAAACATAACAGAATGACAGATACTGCCTTCATCATCAGCTGAGTAGTAGAGATCATACACTGGTTTACGTCTACATATTCCTAATTATTTACTGAAAACTGTGTTGTATGGTAGAAATGAAGTGATCGGAATCAAAATAAACACAATAAGTTTTTTATTTCGTCTACGTCAGCATACGCTGTTGTGTCCCTCTTTCATAGAAACGTAAAGTCAGGCCCACCACAGTTCGTGTTATTTCGGCTGTTCTTTCCATCCTGATTGGCTGCCTGATCTTCCTCGCCGTGCCAACAGTCGTGTTTCAGAGAGTGGAGAAGTGGTCATTTCTGGAGTCGCTTTATTTTGTGGTCATCACTCTCACCACTGTTGGATTCGGAGACTACGTGCCAGGTACTTACACACAAACACACACACACACACCTACACACACAAACCCCTTAGCCTACAGCTGGAGAGATTAGAAGGATTGTTTCATTTACTGCCTGAAGGTCAACCCATAAAATGAATCACAATTATTGGATTACTGGTCATTTTAGATTTAGCTTTTTTGAATTTTGAACAGAAAGCTTGCTGTAAACATCACTTCTTTTCAAAATCTGCATCACATCAAAGTGAAAAACAAGACCACCAGAAAAAGAAAAGCAGTCTGCCCCTCACATGATGTGAACCCTTTTGTAAATCCTTCTTCTGTGCCTCCAGGTGGAGCGTACGAAGGCGGAAATATCTTCAAGCCTCTGGTGTTGTTGTGGATAGTGTTCGGTTTAGCCTACTTTGCCTCCATTCTCACCATGATTGGGAACTGGCTGAGGGTGCTGTCCAAGAGGACCCGCGCTGAGGTTCGAGAGTCATGGCTTCACACAGCAGAAGTGTTAACACAGACCCCACAGCGGCTCTCAGTCTTGTCCCATCATCTCTCATGTTTCCCTCTCCATCCCTCAGATGGAGGAGCTGAGGGCCCATGCCACAGACTGGACCCAGAACATGTCCATGGACTTCCGCATCCCAAACCCTCTGGAATTCAATGACCCTTTTCTCCTGCAGCGCCGGCGCTGGAAACGCAGTGAGCGCCGCCGCATGCGCCGGGGAGCACAGGGCACTCTGGGACACTTTGCTCGAGGGGGATCTGAGAATGGACACCTGCCAAATCGATGGGCTGCCCTCTCCAGCTCCATGAGCCAGCTGGAGGCCCGTTCGTCTTTGGAACGGGCCGTGGTTGTAAGGTCCAGGCCGCGGGTGAGTGTAGATGGCGTAGCAACAGCGGCGAGGATCAGGGGTGAGGCCGCGGTGGGCGTGCCTGGGAGGTCGTTCCACCACCTGCTGCTGCGCTCGCTCTCCCTGCCTGTGACCCGCTCCACCTTAGAGCTGGATTCTGCAGGCGATGCCATGCAGGAGGGGTACCCCTCTGGGTCTGAGTCGGCATTCGACTCCAGGTCAGATGGCTCCTCAGTGTCGTTTTCAGACATCAGGAAGTTCCAGCCCTTCCCTGCAGTCAACATGGTGGATGAGGGGGGGGTGAGGGCTGCTCGGAGGACTGCGGCACCGGAGAAGGACAAACCAACTCCTGCCGAGGACGGAGCATCTAAAGTTCCTCTCAGTTCCTCTCCTCCCCCCACACTGCATCCAGTTCGTGCCCCCCCGCCAGGGTGCCAGCTGCTGGATTTTTTCGGAGAGAACCTGGCGTACATTGACGAGTCATCAGACACACTGAGTGACCGTGCCCAGCCGGAGGAGAGGAGGAGACGTCCAAGAAAACCCAAGAGAAGAAGCATGAGGAGGCAGTTGTCACACAGGTGGAGCCCCCTGCAGGTGAGGAGACCCAACAGTGACATGCTGCCACCATCAAACCCCCCAACACCACCTCCAGAGTCCTCGACCTTAGACCTGCCCGAATCCGAGAACCAGACAGATTCAGCGCCAGCGCTCTGACATCCACACTCTAAGTCCATGTGACAGAACTGAACTACACCTTTGAGTAAAGGTAAAGGTATTAACGACATAAATTACACTGTCAGTTTTTTTTTCAAAGGTGTTCCAGTATCAGTGTTTAGCCTCACAAAATCAGCTACCAAATCAAGCCATTGTACTCTGAGGCTAAAACTGCCATTCACTGCCGGCACGACTAACTGATTGTTGTCTAAATGGACTTCACCACGTGGGAATCATACTTAATTTTAAACTCAACCACCCCTTGTGTAAACAGCTGATGATATGTTTCAGTTCGTTCAGGAGCCAACGTGTCACGTCTCTATCCAGCTGCCACCACATGCAGTCGCCTAATCTTTTGATCTCATTTTCAGCCAGTTCCCAGCAGCCTCATTCCACTCTAAACCTCAGAGTTTAGAGGGCTTTGTCTCACTTTTGGGGGCTGAGCAGTCATGGGTGTGACGGCAGCAGTCAGCCACCCCGCATCCTTAAAGGCAACTGACACATTAAAGGTAGTGCCAGGATGTACTATGTGAATTCTTATAAATTGATCGTTTCTTAGGTAATTGTGAACTCGCTGATCTGATCACAGTCTAACGTGTGTGCATGAAACTGTACTTGACTTTTTTCATTGGTTAAAAAGGGTTAAAAAAATCAGACGAGCACCTCTGAGCTCTCCTCAAGTATAAATGAATTCATGTAGGATTATGCAACCTTTCCTCTGGCCGATGGATACAAGTTTAAAAAACATGTTTTTTTATTTTAAAAATGCTCTGCAAAATAAATTACTTTACTTTTTTTTCCAACTTGTTTAACCTATTTATTATACCCAGATAAAAACTATTACATGCTTTAGAATGTATTAAAGTATCAGATCCCTGATATGAAACACATATGGGACCACTCTTAATGGAACAGTAGTTTCTCATCAGCATACAGTTGAAACTTGGAACTGTCTAGTTTTCAGTGTTAAACGGCAGACGTAATATGATCTGAACCCTCCTGAATGAACTCAGGTCTTAGTGGATGATGGATGAACAGTCGGTTCCTAAATTCTTAGAAGCAGGAACTACGACACCAGACTGTTGTGGCATCATGCCCTCCGCCGGGGCCAAAATAAGTAGCTGACAGAGCTCACACTCAGATCCTGGCTCCCACATATTTTGTCACTTGTTGACAGAAGATTGGAAGGAGAAGAGGATGGCTCATAGTGGTGTGCTGAGTTAAAACCATCAGCAGTATTTTCATTTAATTAATTATAAATCTATCTATGAGCATTTTTTCTCTGCTTCTTTATCTTAATTCTTTAGATGTGATTTGAAAAGGGGTGTTGTGAAATAATTTGTTCCACATTTATGCAGCATTATATCCATCAGCTTTCAACATTCACTTAGTTTGGTTCAAATTTAGAGACACGTTCAATTACATCACACATTACTCAGTGACTGTTCAATTATTACAATTGATGGTGAATATGTGCTCCATACACCAAACGAAACAGGAGTCTTCCTGCAAAATATGACTAGTATATAATCAAATCAACCCTCTTAATCTAACCTTTACAGATTAGCCTGTGGGTTTAATCTTGGAAGGTTAAATGCAGTTGAATTGTCATCAGGTGATTAGTTCTACCAAGAAGTTTAACAGGCCTGTTGTGCATTTGGGGAACGAGATCAGAGAAACGACGCCCTCGTCTGTGTAAAGAGGGAATAGTTTTGGGTTTGGCCTCCCCGTTTGTTTTCTCCCAGCAGGGCCTCGGCTACATATTAAGCCTCAAATAGAACTTGTAGCGCATGGCTTTGGAAATGCTGAGGTTGTGGATTGGTATCTTGAGCTCACTCCTGTGCCTCGTTGCTTCTTCGCTGCTTGTATAACTTTATTTTGTGTTTATGGTGTCCTGTTTCCCTGAGAGCTATATTTGAGTTGAGCTGCCAGAAACGAATGGGGATGACTTCAGCCTGAAGTCTCATCCAAACCGTGAATGTGAGACAAAAACCGTTTTCCGTTAACCCCTGCCTGTGTTTTACAGCGTCTATCAAAGGGTCTTTTACATTTTTCTCATTATGAAGGGCGGGTTAACGTTTCAAAAGCCAGAGCCCATAAATCATGGCACATTTCGCAGTATGGAGTCTAAACATGCCAGATATATGTATGTGTGTGCTCTCTGTGCCCCAGGGGTCTATGCACACACTCCAGGTCAAACGCAAAAACACGCCTGATGAAAAAAGACGTGTGTGTGACAGAGTGGGGGTCAACGTCCAGAGCAGACATCCCTCGCAAGGACAGAGGAACTCAGTGTGAAAGGAGCTCTACCGTGGGATAAATACAGGTTGGACATAGCAAGGGGCAGTTAAGTGGAAAAGACTTACAGATGCTGGGGCTAGTTTACTCAGGGGCGGCGGGGGGGGGAGGGGGGTAGCCTCACCACAGCTGAAGAGCTGACACCCCAACACATTCACACACACACACACACGCACATTGTGGCTTAGAAAAACAAGTTTACTGCAATGGCTGCAGAACAGTTTGTATCTCTTTAAGCTATTTTGACATCAGACAGCTTGGATTCAGACCTGCCTCTTTTTTTGGGTTTTATTTTTTTTAGTATAAACAGATGTGTTGTTGCATTCAGCTTCAGATCATTGAGTGCCTATTCACTAAAATAACAAGGAACGCGTGACCTGCATTTGGCAGTCAAAGGGTATTGGAAAAAAAAAAAAAATAGACCAACCAATTACATAGATAATCTGAACCGAAACACCACTCCCAGCAGAGTATTTTCCCCACTGCATCAGCAAACTAGAGTGGAGAGTCAATCATTTGAACCGATTGTTCTCCAGAGCATAGTAAACACCAGCCATTTTGGAAGCAACATACGGCCCCGGGTCTTAAGCCTCTGAGTAAATCTCCAATTTAAAAATCAAGAAACCTCTGCTGCTGTAGGGAGTAACTGAGTGCTTTGTTAATGACAGCACATGTTTCAAAAAGACTAAAAATCACACCTACAGTTTGTCTTTGAGAGCCACTGCTGTAGGACTTAATGTGATTCACAGTCACTATTTATGGCATTACGTTTATCCAGTTTTAGCAGTAACCATCCATCCATCTGTCTATCCATCCATCCATCCATCCATCCACCAACTTCTGCCAGCTCGTCCGGGGGATCCCAAGGCGTTCCCAGGCCAGCCGGGAAACAGTCCCTCCTGGCTCTTCCTCCTGGTGTCATCCCGGTGGGACGTTTCTGGAACACCACGTCCTAATCAGACGCCCGAGCCACCTCCACCGGCTTCTCTGGATGCGGAAGAGCAGCGGCCCTACTCTGAGCAACCGAGTCAGGTCTCTACACGCTGAGCAACGTGGATAGGAGTCAGCAGATAGTTTTTGGGGGTGGGGGCACACATCAATCCTTTGTTCTGCCATGGTGACTCATTTAGAACTGTTGCGTAAAGTTTTGACCAGAGTAATGTTTGAGGTGTTCGGTTACACAGCAGCTGGCCAATTCAAAACCAATATTTCCTGTGGCCACCGCGCGACTCCAGTGAATTCACGAAAACCACCGAGTGGCTTAATACATCTAGAGCTGGTTGTTGTGGCATCCGTGTGTTTGTCTGTACCAGGCCGTTTCCTGTACAAAGATTTTATAGTCAACCAAGTTTTCAAAAACGCATACGCAAACATGTCTTAAAGAATATCCACGTCTAACCTTTTGCTGGGTCACAGACAGAACATCTGGTGTTGATGGTTTCATACACAATCACAACAAAAGTCACAATAACACTTAAGGAAACGTTTCTGTGCTATCGCGCATGACCTCACCAGCCACACACACGCACACACAACACACCCAGTCGCTCTCTGTCTCCCTCTCACACACACAAACCACTGGCATACCAGAGAGCCTATATTTAAAATGAGCCCCGGGGATGTTTTTTATTTCCAGAGTTTAAACATTCTATCAAAAGTGGTCGATGTGGATAGTTGGGTGTACAGAGACTGAGAGAATCAGTGGGGCTGATGGTAAACATAGGTATGACTAAACATAATCACAGTATTGGATGAGCAATGAGTCAACATTTTTTTACAATAAGATAATGAATGCATATTCAGGGAAAAAACAAAAAAGCTTGAGAGTGTGATTATGGAATGTTTGAGCCAGACCTAAATAGTTACAAATTTGCCAAGGCTGCAAAATACCACCTTCCAAACGTGTAGCCGTTCCAAATTCAGCCCTATCATCCCACGTCTCATTTTCAAAGCCTCTCTTTTCTCCCTCTCCCCTCCCACCACAAATCCCAGAACCTCGAGCAACAGAGAGAGAGACACAGAGGAGATGAGGAGAGCGTTTAAATCTGGCGTTCCGTGAGTGGTCGGGTCGGTGTCTGGAAACCTTTCACATCCTGTTTACGCCGGGCAGATTGCAGCCTGGGACCGCAGAGAGCTGGCACGGCCCCTGCCTGGACACAGCTTCTGCCTCTCCTCTCTATCTGTTCCCTGCCTCCTCTGCCTTTGCATCGGAAGCCTGCAAACTTTTCCACACCGCCCGCTTCCGATCAACACTTTCAAACTTAAAGCAAACAGGCTCGGTTCCGGCTCAGCAAGCCGCCCTCGGCCGCAGGGAAACGACAGAAAGGGGATCAAAATGAGGATAAAAAGAATCCTTTTTCTGCAGCGGCCGGGCCAAATGTGGCCAAATCACACAAAACCGCCTTCAGACTTTAATCTCCAAGCACAGGTTTAATAGAGCACTGTTGTCACATTTACAGAGCCCCAAGTCATCGAAAGAAAAGTTCCAGAGAACTAAGAAATAAGGCCGAGATATGCAGAAATGGGAGGAAATGTTCTTATTCTGATTCAAATAGCATTGGAAAAAAAAAATCTCACACGTCTGTCAAAAGGTAAAGCTTATTGAGAAGAGAATCCATAAGAGAGGATCAGTTCGTGGTGTTTGTGTAGGTCTCCTCTGGGTGTCCCTCAGCGGCACTTACAGGATTTGACCACCATATTGGAGAGCTGCTCAACACGCGGCGTGCGCCCAATAAAGTACATGATGGTGAGGGGCTCCAGCTCCTGAGGAACACAGCACGGCGAGGCGGAGGCCTCGGGGTTCAGCTTGTTGTAGAGGGGCAGGATCTGGCACGGGAACAGAGATGAAGATGGTTTTTATTACGGACCATGGAAATGTATTTTCGCCTCAAATGATGAAGTCTTGTGTGAACATGGTTTTTGGCCAAGTCTGAGCACTTTCGCTTAATACACTGGGGAGATTTGAGGCTGTTTTTCTTGCACTGCCAGGCAACCAAGTAATGGTTTGACAAAGTGGGGCGAAATGAGCCTTTTCAGAGTTGCATAAGAAGACTGGGGCTGTTTTCATGTCTGAATAGTCACAATGAAGCCAAAGCCTGAGCTGCTATGAGATGCTGGGCTAATGGAGAGATGTTAAAACCAGCTCATGTTTTCCACATTTCGATAGATTGTTATCTTTCCCATAAGTATACAAACAATTCTCTTAACTGACAAAGCCAGAACAAGGTTTCAGGATTGTTGAGTTAATTACAGACACTAAAAGGACTGGAACCTCTTGTTCGTGCTCAAATCCCTCACTTAATACTAATTTAAAACAGTTTTGACAGCAATGTTGGAGTCAGGCTCGTTGGGAAAGATCCTACAAGCTTGGAATATTTTTCTTTTGGAAGTTTTCTTGGAGGGAACGTTCACACTCAGTCGGGTTGGACGGGGAGCGCTGCAGCGCAGCCAGCTTAAGGTCACTCCAGAGACACTTTAGTGGGTTCAGGTCCAAACTCTGGCTGGGTCGCGTTACGACTCTCACAGTGGTCCTGAAGCCCTTCCAGGGTTCTATTGGCAGTGCACTACAACACCACACTAGCTTGTTGAGACACAAAAGCTTTCCTCAGCGCTCCGTATAGAGCATGCAGCCTTTGTTGGTTATGGTCAGTTAATTGTTTCTGCGCCCAGCTCGACCCGAATAGAGTATTTCCTCATCACAGGGAGCACCAGAGCATCAACACAGTAGTCTACGTTAAACATTAATGATCAAATCATCAGCTTTGTGAAGAATTGTGTGAAGATTTTTTTAAATAGCTGCGTTACAAAATAAGTCATCATCAATCAAACCTTACCTTCACTTATTAATTAAAAAATATTCACTCCTTAGATGTCATCTGCTTTAATCTGACATTTTTTTTAACTATAAAGAATATGAATATCGACTTTCATTTGTCTTTCAAATGATGATTTCCGAAGTGAATTCATTACTGTTAAACATTAAACTCTGGCATTATATCCTACAATCTCCTAACATTTTGCTTTACTTCATTCTATGGAATGTCCCATTGTATTCATAATCACAATTATTGTGACACGAAAAGAATTACATAACAATATATTGACAACATACATTATACTGGGATTGCGATCTGAACCAGCTATTTAAATTGGTTTCAATTATACGCAAACTGTTCCTTTCTTGAACTTTGAATCTATTTAAAGGAACAAAAGACAAAATTACCATTTCAACATGTATCTTTTAGTCATGATTATAAAAACTAGACGTTTTTGGAACCGTTCAGGCCTTCGGCCGAGCGAGACAAACACAGCGCTGCACAAACCTGTGTTGTTTAACAGGCTTCTGAGAGGCGGCAGCTCTTTTATGGCGCTGGGGTTAACCAATATCAGCTAACCGTGGTGTTTGGTCACCGCAAACAATGCACTTCAAACTCATTTAAAGGGAAAACATAACCCGCTTTTCAAACCATCTGTGTATTAAAGTCAGGCTGGGAGCTGACTGGAGTTTGGCCCAAACCAGAGTCTTTTACCAGAAAGTCTGAGAAGCTACTCAGATTTTTCTGACAATCACAGATGTTTCCGTTTATATAATTTGGCCGCGTCTCCATACTGAGAAGTCTGTCACTATTTCCATTGAAATTATTCAGCGAGTAAAGGTCATGAATCTCCAGAATGGATGAAAAATTAATCTGGAAAAAAAGAACTAATTTGTCTTCCCTTGGGCCGAACTGGTCCTCCACAACCATGTCTCCTTGATGGTTGGCTAACTGGGTAAAATGTGAGCAGGAAAAGAACGCAATGTTTTGCAAATCATTCAAACCCATTATTGAACAGAAAGCTGTACAACAGATAGTGGGAGGCCTGTTTCCTGCTGTGGTACATCTCTGTTTGGGAGCCGTCATATCTCTCGGCGGCTTTCATAGTTTTTTCTATGATTTTAAAAACTCTGAAATGCGATCAGATCGCTTTGGCAGCTAGACTTCTCCTCATGCACCTCCATGTTGTCTGGTATTGCCTTGCTTAAATAAGCAATGTCAGCCAGAAGAACATGTTTGAACAAATGTATCCATATCTGCTGAAGCCACTGCAGTGATACATCCCTCCTCCTCTTTGCTTTTGAAGATACTCTTTTACGTGTGCCACTTACCCATTATAAATGAACCTGTTCAGGTTAGAGACGTTCCACCAGGAAGATCTCAGCAATACCTGAATTGTCCTTATCAAAGACTACTTTGTTGTTCCTGTCTCACTGGTTCTGACACGTCAGACACATGCTGAATTGATTGAGTGAAGTATTCTACAGATATTTTTGCATCATTATCATAATAACCACCCTCATTAAGTATAAATGTAAATCTTAAAATGTGCTCCGTAGTGACGTTTGTTAACACATTACATTTGTAGAATAACTGACATCTAGTGGTGGTGTGAGCGGCTGCATGGGAAGTTTAAAAACGGCCTCTATAATCCCAGCGGATGTGGTGGACGCTGTAAAAACAATGTATTTTACTCCTGACCATGATGGGTTTTTAATTTTTACCAGCAGGTTCGGATTTCTGAGCCTAATCGAGTAGTCTGCTCGGCTAACCATCCCGGCACGATACAAATGCTTTGTCATAACATGTTGTGTTTGCATGTAACCATGACAACCGGTAAAACTCATGTGGGTGACCATTGTGTTGGGGGGGCGGGGGAAAGAAGATAATTATCCTTCCTTGTTGTATTTCAGCCCGGAAATATGAATTTGTGCAACTCTGACGAAGTGGTGTAGTGGCGTGACTACGACCAGGGAGAGGCAGACGCAAAGTTCTGCGTTGTTAACTGAAAATAAACGCAAAAGTTATGGCATGACCTTCTCATCTAGGAGGGACTGAAGGTGCTGCTTGTTACTGCAACAGCCAAACCTCCTCCTTCACCCTAAGAGCACCTCTGCTGTGATTTTCCTGAAGGACTCTGATGCAGGCGTAACAACAAAAGAAGAATAAACGTTTCATTAATATCTTTATATAAAACAAACGTAAGTCCCTTATTTCACCCAAAAGCTGTTCTTTCTTGGTGATAACTGTTGCCGGGCTGGAGCAGCTGGCCTTGGGGTCACGGGTCACCTGAGGGGAAGGCTTACCATGTTGTAGTGGTTGTTGGCGCTCCAGAGGTAAGGACAGTTTCCGGCGCAGAAGTTGGCGTTGTAACCTTTTGGCTCGTGGATCCACTTCCAGTTGAGGTCCCGCCTGAAGTCGATGTAGAGCGAGCGCAGGCAGCATCCCTGATCGGAGCCGCTGAAACACACACATGCAACGCGTTTCAGCCGGGCAGCGGAGACCGGCCGGGTCATGGGAAAACGAACACAGGTCACCGCTGAAGAAGCGGCCACGGCCGGGTAATGAGCAGGCCCGGCTGCCAGAGCTTCCCCCCACAGCGCGAGGGTTTAAATAAAACCCGGCGGGCCTGTTTGCCGGCAGCCTAAACACAGGGTCGCTGCTGTCAGCTTCGCCACACAATAGCTTGGAAAGTGGGTCAGAAGCAGAAAAAAACAACAACAACAAAACTACAAGTCTTGGGGGAGTGTCGGTGCTGCCGGTCAAAGGGAACCCGCACAGGAGCGTCTGGACGCAGGCCTACCGGGAGCAGGTCGTGGCGTCTGCGGCGGCGGCCCGCTTCTTGCGGCTCTTCTTGGCCGGGTTGTCCACTCTGTCGCTGGGCAGCAGGGTGAGGATGAGGTGCGGCGTCTTGGTGCTGAAATCGGCCTGGCCTTTGACCTGTCCGGGCTTCCTCATCTGGCGAAGCCGCTCGTCGTCCACACCTACAGAGTGACGGTCAGTACAAGCCCAACCTCTTAAAACACCAACAGTTCTTCCTTTTAAATACTCAAATCTGAGGAAGCTTATCCTGTTTGGGCTCATAAGAGCTAGACAAATAAATATAACTAATAAGGAAGCTAAACAGGTTGTACTGTGACCATTTAAACCTTTAACAATATTTTTAAAAAAACAGGAAAATGTGCTTGTTCCCATACAGCCATAAACACCAGCTATGCTTTTGAACAGTTTTGTGTCTACTATGTTCTTAATTCTCAAAATACTTTAAAGTATACTCAAAAGTTTTACTTCTTTGCAGGAAGTAATACTTGTTTACTCTCCAACTTTTGAATTTAGCTGAACAAATAAAGCAGAAAATGTGATGCAGATGTTCTCAAAAGCAGCCTGACAGTTTCTGATTTTTGTGATTTTTCTGTCTCTTTCTGGCCCACAGGAGCACAAGCTCTGCACACAAGCCCATGCTTGTCTTGCATCAGTATCACAAATTGCATTTTTTCCCAGAGTGAAAAAAATCCAGACTTGGCTGAGCCGAGTGTAAATCCTTAGAGCGCCATAATTTGAGGGCCTACATGAGGCAACACAGTCTGGTATTTAACAGTATCTCAGTGTGTGGAAGAACAGGTTCTTCTTTATTTCTGTACGATAGTGTACGAGTGATTCATGTTTAGTGTTTATTTATCAGGGACAATTCACAAATTGTACCATATATAGCTAAAAGCTCGTAGTATTTTCCGTCTTATATTCACGTGTAAACTCATGATCGCAGGGTTTTAAAAAGGCGTCTGAAAAACGTTCGCAAAAAAACCTGCAGATGTCAAGATATATTTCCAGAGTTTCACAAAAACTAACGAACATCAGGAACACAAAAGCTGCACGAATGAGCGACGGTCCCGACTTCTCCCCCGAAAACATCACAGCTGTCTGACTCAACTTAAGAGACCTGAATGTTCATCTTCATACTTCAAACTAAGTTTCAGTCTTTAGAAATGTCACAGTCCCACTCATTGGCACGGAACTTTCACCTCCCTTTCCCAGACCGGCAAGTTTGTCTAAACGTAAACAGAAATGTCTCCTCATGAATCACTCTGCAGACTCTCCTTTTCATGTTCTCAGTCGTTACCTGAAGGACAGAGACAGTGAGCTCTGCCTTCAGACAGCCTCTGAACCAGATCTCTGCAGCCCTCGGAGAAGATCCGAGATCTCTGATGTGTTTCAGCGAATCTTTAAGGGGCGACGAAAAGAGAGCAGCCACCAACCTGCAAACAGGGCCTCCAGCTCCTCGCTCTTATTGGGAACGATGTTGTTGGTGGCCGGGACGAAGGTGCAGCAGTGGCAGTGGACGCCCAGCTTCAGGCCCAGATTGTTCTCTGGAGTGGGAAGCAGAAAAAAAAGTTTGGAGGGGGCGAGCTTTGAAAAACAGCGCTTGCCCGACGACCGAAGCGGACCTGGATCCGACACCCAGTCCTTGATGGTTTCGGTGACGTCCACGGAGATCCAGGCCCCCTTGGTCCTCAGCTGGAGGGTGCGCGCGTCAATGTAGCGCTGAGTGGAGGTGCTGTCCTCGTCTGGCCTCAGCAGCTGATGCAAAAGAAAAAAAAACACAGAAGAAGAGCGACAGCAGTGTCATTCTCACAAGAAGAAAGAGTAATGACATAAGTAGCTAAAATGGTGGAGACCTGGGTCATCTTTTTTAATCAAAAAGGAACTAAATGTGGACGGGGGGATATAAAGAGGTATCTCCTGAGCAGAGATGAAGCATCTTTGGTTGTAACCTGCACAGGGAGACACACATTCGGGATCATTGGGTCACCTGGTAGATCTCCACTCTCTGTTCTGAGGCCCGGGCCTGCGGGTTGGGAGCTCTGAAGATCCTGAACTCAGCTTTGACCATGGTGCTGTTGGTCAGGTCGACCCCGCTGACGTCGAAGTGGACCACCCTGTAGTAGCGGTTCGGTTCCGATGGCTGCACGGTGTCTGAACGAGCAGAAGGAGGAGACACGGTCAGATGGCACCCGGCTCCTCCGGGGCCGAGGTGTTGTCTCACGTGTAATTGCTGCTGACTGGTGACTTTTAGCCAAATTACAGGCTTTTCAGGGTTATCATTTGATGTATTGACCGGCTTTGCTGGTAGAAAACACTTCTTAATAGTTATGGAACGCGGCGTTTCCTAAAACCGGCAGAGAAGAACTGAAGGATATTTGGCTGCTGTAGATATGAGTTGTGCAAAAGAACATTTCCAACAATCACAACTCCTCCTGTGGACATCACGCTCTCCATTTTCCTGTGTGGACAGATGTGTTTGCTGAAAACTCTGGTGTGAAATAAGGATAAACCCTTCTGGCAGTAAATCAATTTGTAAAAAAAATGCCAATATGGTTCCTTAAAATGACATTTTAGCCCTTTTTTTAAGATAAATGTAGTTTTTAAAAGACCACACAAATGAACAACGTGCAGAATATTCAACCCACGGTGCTCTTTGCGTAAAGCTGACGTGTGAATGATCCATTACAGGACCCACTCCTAAAGAGGGATGCTGAGCCAACATCTGAGTGCTGCTGCCAAAGCAGATGCGGTCAGCACGAGGAGCTGTTGAGTTTTAAGACTCTTAAGTAGCTTCTCGAAATTCTGACTTGACATGAAGGATGCTCTAAAAGCCACCGTCAACACCTTTTCATCGATTTGGTAACAGATCGTCGATATCTCAAATTGCGTAAAAGGGAGTTTTGAGAGGAAAACTCTCCTGTTTCACGGCTTGTTTTGGGGGGGAGATGCGGGGGCAGAGAGCCTCGGCCTCGCATCACTTACTGGAGTCGGTGCGCGGGGGCGTCATGTCGATCCTCTGCACCTCTTTGGCGTAATAGTCCTCTTCGCTGCTCTCGCGCTCGCACGCGGACTCCACCAGCCGCGCGCGGTCCTTGAGCAGCTCGCGCGTGCTGTTGTAGAGCAGGACCACCTCCGGGGGCACGGAGCCCGGCCGCGGGTCTCCGCCGTCGGCGTCGTCGTCGTCGTCGGGCGGGCTGCGGATGCGCAGCTTGCTGAGGATCTGGCCGCGCACCGCCTCGATGCGCCGGAACTTCTGCGCCTTCAGGTTGATGGACTCGCACGTGTTGATGCCCTCCACCGGCAGCAGCGAGCCGGACAGCCGGAGCAGCAGCAGCAGCGCCACGCAGGGCGGCCACATGGCGCGGAGAGACGGCTCCCGACCAGACGCAACAAAAATAACCCCCCCCAAAAACACCCCAAAAAAGTGCGCGCAAAAGTTTACAGTATCAAATCAAAGCTTCAAATCAGCTCCCTCCGAAGTTCCCGGTTATTAACTGCTCATCTGCTCACAAGTGCTTCATCTGGAAAGCTTAACCTTGCACCTTTTTCTATGGTCGATTTAAAATATCCTCACGCACGCACCCGCGTCTTTTGCCACTCAGGAGACAACGACGCATCGTCGATTTGTCTGTCGCAACTACACTCAAGTTATCAAATATGAAAAGGTTATTCTAAATGAAAAAAGAAAGCGTCTTCTACGTGCCCCCCCCCCCTAAATCACATTAAGATAAAAATCCACTGAGAAAACGCATCAAATGGAGTGACTCTTGTTCCAGGCTGCGGCGTCTCCGCGCGTGTGCGTAAAGATGTGGAACAGCAGTCCGACCGAGAAAAATCAAAGCTTAATCCGTCTCCACTTCCCTGCGTCCATCCTCGCATAACTAAGCAGCTTTCAGGAGAGCAGTCATCACCAGAGCTCAGCCCATGTCGCAAATCCTCCAAACAGAAACCTGCGCGGCGCGCTTCATCTGGAGCGGGACGTCTCCGGCGCTTTGGCCTCCGAAAGAGCCATCTGTGCAGCAAAAAACGGACCCAAAAATCCGCCTCAGGAAAACAAAGTTCGTTTTTTCTTTTTTTTTTTTCAAAAAGTCGAACAAGGTCCTCCCATTCGCAGATATAGGTAAACAGAAAGCAGCTTCAACTAAAGCATTCAGGGTAGGGAAAAAAAAAGATTTATGTTGGGAAAACCATGGTGGGCCTGTTGCTGCCCCTCATATAAACATCAAAACACGGGAGGGGGGGGAAATGTCAGACGACATAAAAACACATGACGCAGAAAAACCATATGAAAGAGGTCCTTGTCCTGTGACTTTCAAAAAAGAAGAAAGTTTACAGTAAACAGAATCCCTGCTTTACGGGAGGTTCTGTCTGGCGTGGGCCGGCTGGAAGGATCTGCTGAACACTCTGAGACCTGCTGTGTGATGGCGCTCCATTATCCCGCAGATCCTCAGTGAGAAACAGCCCCAAACAGTCCCTCAGTCTCTGAGGGAGTGGAGGAGGGAGGAAGAGGAGGAGGAGGAGGTGGGGCGGCGTGCCACCGGGGTGAAGGGAATGTGTGTGATTATGGAGGCAGAAGCCGTCCTCCTCTCACCAGAGGAGGCACGCACACAGACAACTGCACGCTTTCAAACGCTGACCTCACAGAGAGGGCTGCTACTTCTGATCTGGGGAGGTCAACCCCCCCCCCCCCCCCCCCCCCCCCCCCCCCCGGGCCTCACCCGGCTCACCCCCACAGGTCCCACAGATCCACCCAACTCTGTCTGGCCCCAGTGGACTGCACCCTCAGTGCTATCAGGGCGGGTGATAAGCGACAAAAACAAAAAAAGGCTCAGATAAATATCCATTTAGATGTTGGTTTATGTTTCATATCAGGGCACGGGGCAGTTTCTGCCACTCTGTGGCCTAAAAGATGCTCCAGTGACTTCTGTTATCTGTCTACTAGTTGTTTGATTAGAAAAAGGAGCATCTACATTTTCCTGGAATTGGTTCCGGACTCCGGAAAACTCCTTCGCATAAGGTTCTCAGAGGTTTGTTGGAGCCTGGTGCGGATGGATCTTTGTTATCTTTAGATGGATAGAGTCCTCTTTGCTAAGCTGGTGCTCACGTCAGCTGAAGCTAGCTTGGTATTTATGACACATGTGAGATTGGTATCAACGTTTTTCCAAAGCCCTCCTCCTGAAATATACACGTTACGCTTCAATTATTTATGGGAGGGATTTCAGAGCAATTTCCAGCCTTGGCAGCTAAAAGCCGGGCCCGGTTTTATTAGATCGCTCAGAAAAAAACAAAAAAACAAAACAGCCCATCCCTTTTTATCTTTAGCTTTTCAAGCTTTCAGTGGAGCTCCTTTCTTTTCACTCTGTTCCTCCTCAGTCTCATTGTTAATTACAGCTCAGCACATGGGGAGGACTATTAATCTGCCAGGGGTGGCTTTTATTGCTGCTCTGCTGCCATCCCATTATACCGTTATTATAGTTGCGGGTGCAGGCCTGTAATTGCTGTAAGTAGAAGGGAAAGGTAGGAGAGACTCAGGCTGCCTCCGGGCTTCTGGTCAGGCCAACCCCCCCCACACTTTCATCGTTGGTCCCTGGCACGATTTGGAAGAATTATGAACGCCGCTCGCAAACAAGACGCACTCCTGTTCTGACTTGACTCCCCGGTTGTCTCGGAGGATCATAAATGATTGGGAGGAGGTTTTCGTTTATCGGGCAGCAGGCTTAAGACGGTCAGACGCACTGTGGGGGCATCAGCCATCACAGGATCCCGCCCAGGTGGGTTGTTGTGTGTAAGTGAGAGAGAGAGAGAGCTGTAATGTGTGGTTTCAAAGGGAGAAAAAAAAAGAAAAAAAAGACTTCCTCCAAAACAACCTCCAGCCTGCCTGCTTTTTCTAACCCGTTTTCCTCCGAGCCAAATATAGACGAGCCACCGCCACGTCATCCGGCCCCGAGAGAGGGTGAGACGGGGTTCAGACTCACATTCTAGCGCGTCCGGAATACGAGTCGATCCATATTTACCCACAAAAACCTAACGATTTTGGCTGTCAGGAAAAATCTGGACAGTTTTATTGAGAAAGAAAAAGAAAAAGCTCAATCGGTTACAAAAATAAATAGAGCCTAAACCACTGGGGGTTACGTTCGGGGAACATTTCCATCTGTTATTCTGCAAATCTTTCCATCGACTGGTGGTATTTGCCACTTAAAACGAAGTACAATCAGCCAAACAGTGTGGCCTGTGTTCCCATGGCACCAACTCAAACCAGAGTCCAGCCCCAATCTGAACACAAACACACACACACACACACACACACACACACACACACGCACACACACACGCAGTCCCGCCTGTGTGACAGATTGGGCTTGAGGCGCTGACGTGCAGTCTACACCTCGTCCTCGTTCAGAAGCATGTTGGGGATTCCTTTGGAAATTGGGAACTCGCGTCCCGATTCGGGACACTTCAGGCATCCTTCGATCACCTCCACCTGCGGCGCGCAGAGAGGGGAGAGTCAGACCCGGAGCCGGCCCAGCATCAGCGCAATGACAAAAACACCGAGCTGTTTTCCACACGTTTTCGCTGCAAACGTGAGCCGGGATTCCTGTCATTGGCGTATGTTATTGTACAAAAACACCATTTCCCTGGAACAGAGAGCTGCTGTAGATTCTTTTAGGAAGTCTCCAACATCGACTTCCTTTATTGTTTTGCTCATTTTAAAAACAGGTAATAGGTTTCTGGGAAATGTCGGTTACTGGTTTATTTTAAGCACCAAATACGAATTGAAAGATTTTTTCTTTTTGTAACTATCTTATTCCTATTTTTTCCATCCACTGTTGCATGGACATTCGACTGATTAGAACATGAACTGATTTGCTAATGGCGTGTCAAAGGTCAATGGTTATAGGCTGAAGGGAGGCCCGGGGCTCCATGAAGGCTCGGGCCGGCTCTGGTCTGACCACATCACGTAGTCGTCGTAATATACGACGCGGCAACACAGTCTCACACCAACCAGGATGTGGAGCTTTTATGTCCAATAGGAACCTTTTATGTCTGTGATAAAAAGCTGGAGGCCTCTTCCAAAATCAATCCAGCCGAACTGTCTTTGCCTCCTTCACACTGGTTCTGGTGCAGATCTGCCAGATGTAAGGCAGCGCCACATTTAATCCAGAGAGGTTTTTAAATCTAAGTTTAATAACTGCTTAAACTTAGATTTAAGTTTAAGAACTTTTTTTTAAATGAGGGCAGAGCAGCTGTGGTGCTACTGGTTTTAGCTTAAAACTTCACAGCGGGTCATTTTTCAGGTTCCAGTCTGGATGTTTTTTTCATTTTCTATTTATTTTCCTAATAATGCATTATTGTGAACTTTTTTATTTTATTTTAGTTTCATGCCTTACATTCTGCATGCAAGCCATGACAGTTAATACATTGAGCCCTAAATTTTGAAGCCTGGCCCTAGTGGCTGGAAGTGGTATTTTATTTAGAGGCAGTTCCCTTTGGCTTCAATGGAATAATGATCATTATTCAAATAATAATCACGTCAGTGTGTTGTTTCATCTTAATGCTCTTCTTACTTCTACTGTCTTCTCTTTCAGTCTTTTCCCTTCTTGATATTGAGGCCAGCCCATTAAGACTTTGTCAAAATGACAGGAAAATGAACTTTTGGTTTCAAATGTCTTGTGTGGGGGAAACAGTGAGAGGGACATATTGTTGGTTGTTGGTTTATAGTTCAAGAATATTTAGTACGTACAACTTCTTTACTCAACTTTTGTCTGCAGTGTTGACACCCACTTAAAACGAGGTATAAAATTGTTAAACATGCAAAAAAGTCTGAAAATTAAAATTTACAACCCCAATTTTTTTTTTTTTTTAAAGCGGAGACAGATGTGTTGGAATTTGTTACTTTTTAACAACTCCATAATCTCCATGTTGGAAATAATTATCCTTAAGAACAGGAAACTCTGCCGGGATCTGCATGTTCAATGAAAAAAACAGCACCAGAGGCACTCGTTCATTCAAGTCAAAACAGGTTTCTTAACCATAATAACCTCTCTGGTGGAAAAAGGGGGCTAAACAAGCAGTAAAAAACAACATGTGATATCATGTTCAAAACAGCTCAAATTGCTCTTAGTTCCTCTGAGATCTACTTTCTTTTTTCAGGTTTATGTGACGTGAGCTTTATCAGGCCTAATGAGGCCTCTGGTGATTATCAATATTACCAGTAAGCAAGCGAGTCAAGAAAAAAGAAGCATGTTGATTCAGATATTTGCTGGAGCTGTGAGGACGTGAGACCTTTACCTCCAGCAGCACGCGGTGCACCTTCTTCAGGAACTCTTCGTTTTTGTCATAATCTGGCATCAGCTCGTCGGGCAGGTCTTGTCGATGACCCAGCTGCGGGGAGGAAAATACACAGAGGGTGACAAGTTTGTTCAGAACAGCTGCTGATTTCACACTGAGGAGAAAAACCATCTCTGACTCACATCCCCAGCCGCCTGGACCAGGGGACCCCACTCCAGTTTGGGGATCATCCGACAGACAAACTGAGGGTTGAAGTCCACCTCATTCACCTTGACCTCGGTGGCCTGCGGAAACACAGCATGACGAGAAGACAGCACGTGACGGTTAGTCTGCAGGCCATTCGGAACTCCAACATCAGCAGCTGTCAGAAAGCACCGACCCTCACATCAAACCAACAAGCACTTCTCCAGTGCTTATATATCTTGTTTCTGTATAAATTACGTGGCATACGCCTCATAGTCGACAGCCTCATAAAAAGATTAATCTTTCTGAAGGCCGAGGGAGGGGAACGTCACGAAGCACGGACATTTAAAACAACAAGGCGGCTTTGCTCCGACGTTAGCATTAGCCATAATGCTAAGCCCACAACGCTTACCTTAATGAGCAGCGGGTATCCCTTGGTAACTCCCTTCACGTGAGACGTCAGCATGTTGTGCGTGAGCAGCTTCATTTTTGCAAACAGACTCAAAAAAAGCCGACAGCCACAGGTTTAGGGATACAGATATCAGTCTGTCACTGACTGGAGAATCAGAAGCGTTTACATGTGGACCGGAAGTACCACTGGTGTTCTGCTGAAACGTTCCCTCAAAAACCTCTCCCAAAACTGTTGGTTCCTTCATTTCAAGCAGTCAAAAAAGTCCTATAATTCAATTTTTATTTGAGAATAGATTAAAGTAAAACATATATTATAAAGGGCAAAATATAATAAACTGTAAACAATAGTTTTGGATTCAAACAGAACAAAAAACAATTGACTGTGAATGATTATAAAGAGGCATTTTAAAGATTAGATATTTTTCTTTGTGGTTTTCTTCTCTTTTCTTTCTAATGAGTATGTATTGATTGCTCTTTTTTGTACATTGGGTCTGCACAGTTACCAAAGCAGCATCATGCTATTTCTCAACTGCTTGTTTTTCTGTCAAAAGAAATTAACTTGTTTGTATTCACAAAGGAGGGATTTCTTTTTTGTGGCTATCAGCCACCAGGTGTGCTATATCAGCATGCTTAAATGGCACCAAAGCATTGGAGAAGTTTAAATTGAAAATCATAAGAGGACCAATTTGAAACACACAATGTCTTCAGAAGTTACATCTAACATCCAACCTCAAGTTTATCAGTTGACCTTTTCATTATTTATAGATATTGCTAGAAAAATTAACTGCCAAAAATGAATCCAATTATGGTCTCAAGATGAAAATACTAAACTTAACTGAACACAATGGATGACAACTCTTGGGTTATGTAGTTCCAAATAGCTGATGTTAGGGAAAACCTGCTTCACCATCAGAACAATGTGGTTTAATTAGAGCTTTGGGGCCAAACCCTACAAATAGTTTTCTGATGTGAAAATTAAACTTGGAACAGATTCCACTGCTGGGGCTCTTGACCCGTATCAGCCCATTGATGAAAAAAAGAAATGTTCCTAATTCTTATAATTCATTGAGACTCAGCGCATGTTCCATATTAAATGTACTTTTCGAAGACACAATTGATAAACAGTCTCATTCTGTAATAAGTAATATAACGAAAGGAAAGGGGCAAACTCACAGCAAAAACATGGGACATGCTGAGTTTTTAATATTCAAATTTTTATTGTTTTTGTATTAATTTTGTATACTTGTTTTTGTAATATACAGGTCATTCATACAGTTTATGATAGTAAATAGTTATCACACACGTGGTGCAACAAGAATCAACTGCCACCTTCAGGCATGCACCATTCACGCTCACAAATGTACATCTCACACACGCACACACACACACACCCACACAGAGAGACACACATCCCTTACACTCATTAAAAGAAAAAGATAAAAATGTAAAATTTTCCTTCCTCCACAATCATCAGATTCACATCCTTCCCATTTATATTTCAGTAATGAGTATGACAATACCTATGCTTTAACAAAACGAAAAACAAGCAGTGAAACATAAAAAATAAAAAAAAATACAGGAAGGCAGCTAAAGATAAAGGACAAAGCAAGGACAGCAGGGTTATTACTCATCTCAGAATCAGGGGCCTAACCCTTCCAGAAAACAGAGCTGTTGGTAAGCAGAACTACCAACTGACATCAGCAAGTCAAACTATTAACTCTGAGTCTTTAACAGAATCCAACATGCTACTAAGTTCAGAGTCTTCACGTGTTTCTATTCAGTCTGGTTGGGGTCAGCGTGAGTTATACTTTTTGTTAGGAGGGTGCAGGTTTGAGGAAGGCAACGAGAACTAGTTAAAAGAGCACTCTGCAAGGTTTATGGCACAAATGACGGCATTGAGGGGAGAGGGTGCATAGCAGAGCCAAAGTTAAAAAAGCAGCATCGTATCACAGTCAGGATGGAAACCATCAAAGAGGGTGTTATCAAAGGACACTTCAAAATATTCCTCTAGATTCCTTTATGAGTAAAATCTGAACAAAGCTGCTCCATTCACATGCTGCAAACACTGCGATGAAGCCCTTTGTCATTCCTGACCCCTTCTTCTAAAGTCTGAGACTCTTCATCTCAGAAGGCTTTTTGTTGTGGCCAAACCTTGTGTTAGTCTGATGTCCTCGCATCGAGGAGGATGTTTTAACTTGTGCCAGGAATCACTGCCTTGACTGAGATACGAACAATCTGTTGTGCTTCAAGTGCAACAAGTCCATGTCTTCAGGTGATCCGCTCTGTTCCGGGTTCCAGCTGAGAGACAGCGGTGATGTATTTGCACAGACACACAAAGAATCTGCTGACTGAGGGACCGAATATGAGAAGAGCTCTTGCTGTGGAACGAGAGGAATAAAATCTGGTACGCTCATATATCGTGGAGCCACCTAAAACACTGGGTGTCAGTAATTGCAGTAGTAGTTAGTTGTCGCTTTTCTTCTTTTTTTTTTTGCATCAGAGCACACATCTAACTCTCATGACTTCACACACCCACACACACACACACAGCTGAGTTTTTCCCAAATCTGGACAACATATTCACACTTGTTCTCCCTCATACTGACACAAAATGCCCTTGTCACTCTTGCGAGTCCTCAGTGCGCCACTTGAGGAAGTCCTCTTTCCGCGCGTCTGGTTTGATCTGGTTCCGCATGCCGCCCAGCAGGTTGGAGGTCGCTTCTGAGGCAACTATCAAGGGTCGGACTACGGTGGGCGGGATCTGTCTCAGGACACCACCCACGGCACCAGGGAGACCCTTCTGTTCGTGGCCACGGGATGCTACATCACACAAAGTCTGAGCCGTGTCGATCACTCCCTGGAAAGCAGAGGATTAAAACACCTTGAGTGACTAAAGAACCAGGATGGTGGCTAAAAACAGTCGGAAATGTTTCTAGAGTGCATACTGAGATCTTCAAATTGTTTAATTTAATTCAGACTTTGAGTTCAGTCTGTTTAATGTGCCACCAAGAGAAGAAAACCTCATCATTTAAGTTTAGCTGGGTGTTTAGATGTTATTTAATTTGAAAAGCTAGCAACAGCTACACAACTTACAGAAGCAACTGATTCTCAAACTTAATTTCATCTATTTGTCCAACAACTGTTTTACACTGGGCACGTCAACTCATTCAAATCCCGGCTGCACTCATCTGCTCAGAAGAAAAAGTAGCATACTTTTTCACTTTAAATGTTGTGCAAACTGGATTTTTTAAATTCTTGGTGCAACTTCACACAGAAGCTGAGTGTTTCAAAGGACAAGAACAAAGGTGTGCAGGGGTTATGTGTGGTGAGGCACCTCTCTGACGGTGTCATAGGCCTTGGCCACTCCCTCTCGGAGGTCTGCAGGCTGGGCGGCTCGGCGGGGTCGACTGCTGGGCGCTCGGCCCTCATTGATGGCGAAGCGATTCAGGGGTGGCGTCGGAGACAAGATGTCGTAGACGGTCTCCGCTGTGGCCTGTTGGAGACGTACACAACTGAGCGTGATCACACATTTGTGGTGAACATGAAGCCTTCACACAATTATTTTATCGTTGTTTGGGATCACAGGTTTGCGCTCTACAACTTCAAACAATTCTAGAAAATAAATTGTGTCCATAGTGAAAACCAAAAATAAAAATGAAGGTTTTCCTGAGTACCTGGATGGCCTGCACAAGCCTGTTGCTAAGTTCGAGAGCAGCCGATGCTGTTGAGGTGCCGAAGGATGCAGCTCCCCTCTGGAGACCTCGAATAATGCGGCCATCCTTCCTGTACTGTTCTATGGGCAACCAGAACAGATCCCTCACTCCGTGGACTGAAGAAAAACAAAGATGGACAGTACGGAGAGATGAGAGAAATTACAATAGACATAAGAAAAAAAGAGCCGAACTCTGTCGGGTTCCGGGAACTTACACAGCTGAACCACTGAGTGCATGGGGCCAACACCTCCCAGAATGCCTGGCAGCTGGTTCTTCCTGATGTCGGTCAGCCACTCAGTGACAGCGTACTGGATCACTTTGTCTACACCAAGGAGACTGGAAAAATAGCAAAGGAAACACTCATAGGAAACACTAATAAAGGAAGTCAAATAGATGGATTTCAAATAGGTGGATCCGGTCTTATAAAGTCAAACTACTCAAAAGATTATGTCTACAAATTTTAGAAACAACCGATTAAAAAAAACACATCTCATTTATCAAGTGAGATGTTTTTTTTGGAAGAGGGTTTGAGTTTTTACCCATGCCGGCAGCAGAGCCTCTTCAGCTTCAGCTCAGAACAGTTTAACTGAGCCAGACCAATCAAAATACCTGCAAACGTCCCCTGAGGGTGAGAGAGAGAGCAAAAGAAAATACAGTCACTACCTGATCAAATGCACTAAAATACAACAGATGTCATTTTTATGAGCTTCTCTCAAATCAGAGCTCTTCAGAGGAAACCACACCTGCTCAATGACAACATGTTTTCCATGATAATCCAGCCAGATAGGCACTTCAGAGGTGAAACGAAACTCCCTGAAAGGGTCACAGAGAAGCAACAGAAAAGCTGTCAGCAATTTAATTGATCACGAACATGTTGGCCATCCTTCTCCCAGCAAAATTACGGACTTTTTATTCGAACAGTGACACTGAGTTTGTCTACTTGAATCCTTAATAATTCAGAGACCCTGTTGACAGCAGGTTCCTTGAAGCCGGTGAAGGATCACCGTCTACATACCGGAAGTAAATTGGCTGGTCAGAGGAGGAGGAGGAGCCGGCGGAGGAGGAACTCTGCTCGCTGTAGGTAGTTTCCACAGATGCTGTGAGGTCAGGTCCCAGACCCGCAGCTGTTTCCGCCTCCTCAGAACCCCTTTGGGAGGGGTCTGCCTTCACTGTTAACAAACACACACTCCTCAGGGCTGGTTTTAAAACAGCAGAAACACCTTAAAGAGCCTAAAATTAAAAATCTTTGCCATGATATCTAATACTAACATGAAGTAAAACTTGTGGGATTATTAAAATGTCAATTTCTATAACCATTGACATAAAAAATAAAACTTGATGAGTTAAAAAGCTAATGAAGCAACAAGATACCATGCTTTGACTCACCTTCAGCTGCAGGGTCCACAGGCAGGTAAGGGTTAACAGAGGAGGCAAGGTTACTAAAAAAGTCTTTCAGGAAAAACAGCGCATCCTGGATGGAAGACCGAAATAAGGCTAGTTAGATGGGATGACTGTTACCTGAGTGTTAGAATAATTTGAATATTTTTTGTTCTATAAAATCACATTGCAAAAGTACAACACAATAAAAGAGTTGATCTTGCTGCCAAATAAAATCATCAAAAAGCAATTAAATCAGCGGGATGTTAAAAATGTGGAAAACAAAACTGCTTATTGTTTGAATCTTTTCTTACATACACAAAATCCACTTTGCTATCATTACACCCACCACTTTATTTCTCCAGGGAAGTATTCAGGCAGCGGGTTTGAATGAAAACTACATTTAACTCTCAATGATGAGGAAATGAGAACACAAAGGGCTTCAAAATGGGACTACACCGGAGCTCGGTCAAACATGTTAGCGTTACCTGGTCTATGTTGAGTCGTAGCGGCAGCAGGCTGACCCGCAGACAGCACTCGGGACCACCGAGGCCTGAGTCCGGACACACCTGCAGGGCCTTCACAGTCAGCTGCAACAAACACAAGTGGCCTCATCAGCATTCTGACTTTTATCAAGCAGAAAAGGACCCTCATTATCATCGGCTGCTAGAGTTTAGACAAAAAGCAGGACAACACATCTCAGCAGTTTGTTCAGAGACTCGCCGTCTCACCATGTTGGAGTGGGCTCGGCGGGGCATGCTCTCGCTTGTGTAGAGGTAGAGGAATTTGTTGATTTGTGATGAGGCCAGTCGGTCGCGAACCTCCAGCTCCTGGACGATGAACACTTGCCTGGAGAGAGGCTGCTCGCCACCAGGACCGACCCCGACCACGGCTGCTGCCACCACTCCCTCCCCTTCCTGCCCTGCTACGGCTACCGGGAATGACTCGTGCTGGAAGGACACCTGCAGGACAAAAAGTTAATGTCTCTCTGAAATATAAGCAACACAGTGACAGCTGCTCACCAGCGTACCTTGGTGAGCTGGATTTCCATCAGGAGCGTGTGCTGACGGCCGCTGCCCCCAGCCCAGCGCCAGGAGTTCTGGGGACGGGAGGGGGCGACAGAGCGAGACGGAGACCCACGAACACCGGCAGGGACAGAACGACTCCTAAAGGGGGCGGGGAAGAGGAAAAGATTCTAAGTGAAAGACTTTTTTTAAAAACAGATATATGTAACAACAAACAAATTGTCTGTAAATAGGAACGCGCCCGTTACCTGTTTGCACTTTGAGCATGAATGGAAATGGATTTGCCACCAAAGTCCTTGCCCCCGTACAAATGCCAGACCACGGAGATCTCCCTCAGCACCACCCTGCTCTGAGGCACCGGGAAGCGACTCGGGGCTCGCAGCAGGTCTGAGCTTCCTCGAGGCCGAGAGAAGTGACTGTCCTTTACCTTGATGGGGCTCTGGGACAGCACGGTCACCACAGGCTCCCCGTCCCTGGGCTGCAAGGTCACACGTGTTGTCAATGAAAGACTGGCACACCAGAGAGGAAGAAGCTTTGAGGAAATACACCATGACAGCAGGGGGCACACTCACAGGGATGCCCATGCCGGGAGCCTCCAAAATGCAGAAATCGTCATTGTCGGTGGAGCCCTCTGAGCCTTCATCCGATACCATATCTGCCTGAGCCTCGGTTGCTGTAGCAACCAACCCGTCCAGGTCAGAGTCCTCCCTCTGCAGAACAGAAGGACTTTGCTTTGGGGCTTCACCAGGGAACAGGTAAACGGAGACAGGTGAGCCTCTTAGCACCGAGGGTGAACCTGCACAAATTCAGAAAATCTGTTAAAAAAGGTTTCTGTCATTCCAATCCTGAATACGACTTAATCATGTGCAAAAAAGCATCTGTAGAGGTGTAAAGAATATGTACCAGGATCTGAACTCTCCTCTCTGTGGCTTCTCTCCGTGTCTATTAAGGCATCAGCTAGGTCATACTGGTTGATCTCAGCTGTTTCAGCTGGGGGGCATGGGAGGACAGAAGCTGGACTCTCTGAGAGCTGGAAGGTAAGAAAACAAAAAAGTTATTAAATCCAGTTAGTTTTTTCCACCCATCTTCATTACAATCTTCAAAATCTACGGGGAGCTTTTCCTTCTCCCAGTAATAATGTCACATCACTCGTGTTAAAACTTAAAATGTTTTCTTGCTTTCAGGTTCTACTAGAAACGTTTCGGCAAAAGTTTGAAGCCGTGAAGCAGTTGACCAAATGTAAATACATAAAATGAGCCTGAATTGCTTTATCAAATCATTACTCATTTTCAGTTTAACAAATAGTGTCTTACAGGTAATTTTTGGCCAGCGATCTCTGTGGGTGAGGTGTGGCGGGGTGGGGGGTGCAGGTCACCCTGGGAGACCAGATACTGCAAAAAATTGATGAGGGCAGCGCAGGAATCTGCACAGGTATGGAGATGGACCACGTTGTTGGAGCAGCGGAGCTCAAAGAGAGGCTGAGACTGGAGAACAAAGAGAGTGTGTAGAATAAACACGTTTGATTTCCTGAATAAGGATCATAATCAGTCTGTAACCTACACTGCAGATGGATTAAATTTTTAAGCATATACATGTCCACAAAATTATTTATCTTGCTTTTTACAAATCATTATTTTGCACATCTCGTTGTGATTGTTTGTAGAGAAAATACTGGAAAACTAATAATGGACTAAATAAATGCCTTCAGATGAGTTAAGGAAATCAACATTAAAGGCATTTGTACACTTCTATGAAACAATTTGAACAGATCTTATATATAAACCTCGATTATTTCCTCAAAGACGTCAGCAAAGAGCTAAATCATAATTTGGGCAACACCCCTTTCGGTTTTCTTTACTGATTTTGGTGCCTTGTCTGGCTGAGCTTGACCGTCGTGTTTAATTGCCGCCTGGAGCTATTATTACAGTGAAACTTAATTATGGTATAACAAATATTTATACAAGTGTGGTCATGTGTTGATTAGTGGTTTTCGAAGGAAATGGAGCTAGATTATAATGTTTTCTTTACGTTTATATATTTTCAGACTGTTTTTAGCTGTTGAATGAGAGGGAAAGCAAACAGACAGAAAACTCACCAGCTTGCCAGTGTTACTGCCTTTCCATGTGGTGATGGCGAGCTCCAGAAGGTCAATATCCAGAACACACACATAGTCTTCATGACGGAGACAAAAGCATATGGTAGTTTTTTATACAATTCAGACTTCTATGAGCTAAATAATTGGATCAGTAAAACTACAATCTCTTGTAACACCTGTTTCTAAGCAGAAAAAAAGTATCCTTTCTTTTTTCCAACTCAGTATAAAGTGTATCCACATCTACCAGAGCCAAACACAAAAGGAGTGGAAAAATGTTCCACGCCTGTTTATTTTAAGACCCTGGTGTACAAAAACCCCCAAACAAATAAAAGTATGTTTTTCTTTAATAACACTGTGATAAGTCATATTACTTATTTTTAAACACCCTGAAATAGCAATTACGTTTTTTTTCATGTTTATTGGTGAATTTTGGGAGCTTGACAGATGAGTTAGTTGCCCTTTAATTTCTGAGTGTATACTTGTTTTCACTCTTCAACAGTTTACTTTTTCCAATTTTAACTGGACTCTCCTTAAAGTCTAATACACAACGTAAGAAAAACCACAGGGTGGGCAGCAGAGCAGCATTCACAGGACCACATCACAGCACTACAAAAGCAGCATGTTCACCAGTGCAGTCTATCAGAGATAAAAACCTAAGCAATGTGCTTATTCTGATTATTTCTGCCACCATTTTGAAGCCTTAGTTAGTCATATCAGACACAAAAATATTATATATATATCCAAATGTCTGGTCTATTTCTTTACATGTCACACCAATTCTTGGAGGTTTGCAGCCTTCAGATAGTGTTTTGGTGGCTTCTTCAACATGACAACAAATTCATGACACCTGTGCATACGCAGGGCTCGGATGGAGTTTTGTTGTTACAAACGTGGTGTAAGGTCACATAACTTGGACAAAATGTTACTGTTTGAGAAATGTAAATTATTGTTCTGCAGTTTTGCGTGCACATACACACAAAAGAAAGAGAAAAAAAAATGAATATAGTAATTTTGCACACAGTTACCAAAACAAGGGCCCAGCAAATGTGTACTGTGATAAAAGCCAAAAGTGGTCCAACAAAGGATAACTAACTAGTGTGGGCCTGTGGGCCTAAAAAAATCGGGGCTATAATCAACCACCACCCTGCTCTGAGTCAACACAGGGCAAAAATTGGGAACGCGTATCTTACCTCTCCTTAGGTCCACAGTCTCAGCCTCACATTTGTCAGAGAGGTAGAGGGCAGAGTCATCCAGGATGAATCTGAAGACAACATAATCGATAAACTAAGACACTAGAAATTATTTTGATGTTCTGATTTAGTGATGCCATATTGATTTAGTGTGCTGAATTATTTCAGTATTCATATATCTACGACATAACTTTCACAATAAATCTGTGATGAGCTGTACCTGAGGTGGAAGGTGGCAGTGTCTACAATGATATTACTAGACAGAGAGAAAGACTCTGCTGTGAACAACACTCTGAGGGGCAGATACAAAGGCCTACAATACAGGAAAAAAGAAGATGGGTGTTTAAGAAAAGGGAAAAGTAAGATGCATTTTCAATTCATTTTCCAATACATTTTCAAACACAAAAAAATTCTGGAAGTACAAACCTGTAATCAACAGCGCAAGAAGCCAGGTGTGTGTGGAGGACAGTGATAACAGCAGGTGCTGTGTATCCAAGAATGGGATCATCAATAACATCCAGGAAGTCAACAAGCTGAAACAAGCAGAGGGGCTCAATCTAAAATTGGCTTTATTTAATGTCAGAGTGAAATCACTTGTCTGTACAAACTAAATAGTTTAACTAGAAGGAAAAAATAACTACACAGGAGCCAGTTATAAAATTGAATTTGTTTAGTTAAACTTACTCATAACAATTTAACTGAATATAAGTATTATCTAGGCAAGAAGACTGCTGATTTGGCAGGTGGCAATCAGGTGCCAAGTCTGTCCAAACAGTATTTTTCTTCAATGTGTTCTTAATGGAAACAAATATTAGGCACTGCACTGAAAATTGAGTTATAGCAATATGAAGGAGAACACTGCAATGGGTGGTACTTTTATTTTCATTTCATTTAGCTTCTCACCTGCTCGTGCCAGCTGTGGTTGGTCTGCGTCATGTAATGTCGCATAGTGGCACCTTGAAGTTGAAGGGCAACTAGGAACTCCTAGAAAGGCACAATAGAAAAACTTTAAGAAAGAACAAGTTTAAAATCAAACAAGAAGCTGTGTTGATCGGGTGCACGAGGAGGACGTGCCTTGACGTTTCTCTGCGAGTCCAGTGTTATTTTGATGGCTGTTGACAACATCTGTTGCTCCCCCTCTCTGCCACTCACACTGCTCACTCCCACCTCTGTGGGGTAGATGGTAGGGTCCAAGTGCTTTGGTCGAGTGAAGCACGGTATCTCCAGTCGCTGTGGGAGTGGGGTGTCTTTCACCACAGCTGCGCCACACAACATGAAATAAAATGTGATCAGTCTGAACATTAATACATATTATATTATCTTTTCAAAGTGACATCAAATATACCAGTTCACAAAGTTTAAATTACAACAACTCAACAACGGTGCAATCAAATGTCCATCACAATGTGCACCTCGGTGGTAGAGCTCCACTCGTCGGCTTTCCAGACATAGGAAATTGAGATTGGGGTTATTTTGATGCTGTGCCACACTGAAAATCTTGCCCCCTTCCAGGTCAAGCATGATCTCTCCATGACTTTGGTCCTCCTGTATGAATAAAATGCAATTGAAGTGATAAGGATACTGGTAAGGAAATAGGTAAAGCCAAAAAAAGACATAGCACACTTAACTTTAAATTCCACCGATGCCTATGTACTGCTATGTTTACAACTAATAACACACTGTATCAAGGTTGCAGATTGATATCAAACATTAACATTTTAACAATGTCCAGCTCATCCAGTCCAGAGGGCCAATTATAACTTGACATATTGTTCATAATTGGCTACATTATGTTAAAGAACCATTCAATGTTTAGATTTAGGGAAAAAGGTTAAACAGGAAGACTAAATATTATATTTGACTTTTGAACCATATGAATTTAAGAAGAAGGAGAAAATGGTTTCATATACAGCATTTGATAAAGTTAAACTCATGAGCGCACTCATTTAATTAATCATCCTCTTGGCTCACCTTCTTGTCAGTTCTGGCTTGGAGGCGACCCTTCCCGATAATCACAGTGAGGGAGAGGAGGCTGAGGTTGTGGCTGGGGTGATGAGCTGATTGCTGCATCCTTCCAGACGAATCGTTGGCCAGGAAGAACCGAGGCTCATCCTCCTCTGAATCGGAGTCTATGGCAGAAGGAGAAGCTCTGTGTTAAATAATTCAACCATGAGACAAACATTATTATCCAAAAACAATACAAAGCCTAGTATTAGATTTTTTGGCATGATACTTGGTATGCTGTGTAATAAATCCCGACCATGATTAAGTTTTTCCACCGGAGGAGCCAAACTTACCCAGTCTAAAGGCTGACTTGCACAGCTGGAACTCGTCATGGTGATGGCGGCTCTGGTCGGTGCTGTGGGATGTAGGGGGAGGAGGGGGAGGCGGCTCCCACATCAAGAGATCATTATTGATCCTTTCAGACAAAGGGTGAGAGACGGGAAGTTAAAGTTATTTTTTGAATGAGGAAATAAAACCAAAAATAATGGCCAAAAAAGGAACCAAAGCTGAAAGAGGACTAAATCAATAAAAGGACCAGAACACCAAAAGTGAAAAGGCAGATTAAATCTGACACCAACTGAACTTTAATTTGGCTAAATTCAAGGTTAATTATGTCTAATATGTTAAAGCAAAGATAATAGTTAACCTGAGAGGACACAGCGTGCTCTTTACATACCTGTTGTAGATGCTCTGAAAGGCCTGTTTGCTTGGAAGAAAGATGTAGGCCAGAGGCAGGCTGATGTCAACAGCACAGTGACACTGGGTAACACAGTGTTCCTGAAACTGAAGCATCTCTTCTGAGTTGGCTGGAATCACCATCTGAAGCGTGGAAAGGGGTCGAGTTAAGTCTGGGACTTGTAGACACGACAGCTCATAAAGAAAAATGTGAATCCCCCCCAGTGTGACAGCACACCTCTTCAGTCTCAAACATGGTGCGATTGGAAGAAAATGGAGAGCTGGTTTTGTCATTGAATTCACAGTGACTGTCAAAGAAGGCGGACCCCAGGTCCCTCATGAGGCCTGGGTTCAGCCCACTCAGACCTGCTGCTGGGCCCGGAGTCTCACCTCCACGCACATGCACAGATATCCTGCACATGGAAAAATCAAAACAGTCTGAGTTACAGAAGCATAACTAGCTTTTCTTTACTGATTTTACGTGTGAGAATCAGTTGTTTCAGACGGCAGAGTGAATCAGGGTGGTTCTGTAAGAAACACGCTGGCAGAGATTTCTGGGGTACAGTTGTTTGCTTTAAAAACTTTCCACCTTGATTTTCATGATAAACCATCTTCATGGTTTTATCAGTTTGTCAGCCCGCTATTTGTTTTATCAACTATATGCATCAAGTGAAGAGTGCCTTTCTGAGACAATAAAATGCCACATCTCAATCACATATGATCCTGGTTTTATCAAAGGAAAGTGTGTCTTTATAATGGCTTATAATGTTAATATCATCCCAAAAACTCACCTTGGCAGTGACTCGCTGCTCTTCCTCACTCTGATACAGGGAAAAGAGCCTCCCTCCCAGCCCTCATATGACCCTGATGAAATAAATTTGAATGATTTACATTTTAAGCGTTGACAAGGTAGAAAGTAAAGTACACCATTCATAAAACAAAATAAGAAATTAAAAGAAACTTTAAAAGAAAAGTCTACATTTACATGGTTAACCTGGATCACTGAAATCCCAGCACTTTTCAAATTATTCTTAACTTAAGGCAATTCCTAATGTCACTGGAGTTACATATGGTCTGTTATCAATACGCTGGGAGACAAAATATTAAGGTGAACATTGTGTGTCTGTACTTGGCTGCTTCTTTCATGAATCTTCATTCAGGAGCTACTAAAAACTACTGAAGATGGTTGTTATTGCTCTCACCGTGCAGGTCAGTGAAGGAGGCCTCCAGCAACTGAGTCAGACATGGAGCCCCCAGTAGCCCTGGGATGGCCTGCTCACTCTGGAGGTCTGGAGCCTCCTGGTGCTTTAGCTCCAGCTCCGTCAGCTCCAGCACCAGGGTCTCCGCCCTCACTGCTCTTTGGGTTGGCGGTCGGCGCTTTGGAAGAGGTCGCAAGTCCGGTATGGGAAAGCGCAGCCTGAGAACAACGTGTGGGGCGTGCAGGGTGAAGGAAGAGCAAAGCTCAGTGTTCTGGTTCTGAGAGCAAAGAAAGTGAGGAACTTATTAGTCGATTCTTCATCAGAAACCGCTGAAATTAAAGCAGAGCTTCATTATGATGTGCAGTGCTTCCAGGACGCTAAGAGGACAACTGGAGAAGTGCTGACTCACTCTTAAGCCTGGAAAGTTTGTTCATGTTTGCATCAGCACAAATGTGATCAGTCAGACAAGACAGAGTCAGTGTCAGAAGCCATTTCCTCATAGCTTCAGCTACTTTTTGGTTTCCCAATGACGTAAAACATTTTGAGTCAGTAAAACCACGCTGGCTTATAGCATACGATTTCTGAAAGCTCAGCCATGAATACCCTGGTTTCTTATTCCAAAGACCTACTATTTAACACACTTGTGTGGTTTTGATGACAAACATAAGCTGTAATAAGGAGAAAAAAATGCTGATTTGTATTTTCAGTGGAATTTGTTCCCACCATACTTTTTGGCTTGAGTTTAAATCATTCTGTTAATTGTAGTCTAAGCTGTACTTAATTTTATCTCCTGTTTTTTTACTGAAGGTACATGAGGGTCCACCTGTATGAGTCCAGATGTGGAGGTCTGGGTGGAAGAGTGGCTGAATGCTTTGCTGAGGCTACCCAGACGGCTGAGGATGTCCAGGTCCAGCTCTGCACTCGCCTCTGCCAGCTCCACCCGCACTACACTGTCACGCCGCACCACCCGCTGCTTACCCTGCCAACACAGACATAAATGCCACACAACATGTTAAAGGATAAACTGATAACTTACTATTATGCTGTCATCAGCCAATAAGCTTTAGAAGATGATGTCAAATTATTTTCAAATAAGCAATGAATTTTACAGACTTAACAGGTCTTTATATCTGCCTTTTTATGATTTCTGGTTAGACCATAGAGCAGGATGTAGGTATGTAGCTATTTCGGAGGGTGATGCTATAAAACATTTAAACTGTGCAATTTAAGATCTTAAAAAGCTAGAGGAGCAGAATCTAAGGCCAAATCCAAAAAGTTCCGGAACCAAAAGTAAAACCATATAGAGGCTGTCTCTTAGTTTAAATTATTTTCTTTTTTTGTTAAATAAGATGAAATGTAGAGATTATTTTCTCACAAAGAATAATAAGAAATAGTTTTATTGGCCAAATGTACAGAGTAAGTGCCTTGATAAAAGCACATAGAAGGTGTTACATTGTTCTCTGATGATTGCTGATTTCCTGATGCATAAAAGTTTGAAGTATGTAACATGACAGTAGAAAACTGGACAGTGAGGACTACATTTAACTGGCCATGTGCTAAAACTTTGACTTTCCCTGTAAAGTTACATGGTATTACTTTGGCAGTGAATTAGTGCAACATAAATAAACCGAACTGAAGAGCTGAATGAACCAATTAAACTATAACAATAATTATTATAAATGTTTATAGAAGTGATGTCATCCCCTCTTGATGATGGGCGTGGCCTATCATATTGGGGAGGAGTCTCTGCATCAAAAAGTTTATATATAGACGGTCTTGACAGACGGACTTCACTAACTTCTTTTCCTTTTGTTTCTGCAGGTTTTCCATGGAAATATTTACTTTAGACAGTATCAGGTGAAACTAGGTAAGGTAACAAGGTATTAACCTCAACATCTAATTTCCAGGTAGCCTGGTTTCTTTGAGATCAGGATTTTCATTTGGGGGGTTATGTAAAGGGATATGGGTATATCCTTTTTCTCCTATCAATCCACTCATTTTCTATACTGCTTTTTGTTAGTAGGGACAAGGGCTTGCTGGAACCCATCTAACCTGACATTGGTTGGGAGGTGCCATACATCCTTGACATGTCGCATGTCCATCACAGAGCAAATTGTGGCTTGTGAATTCTATACTGTTATAATCCAGTATCTTTTCCAATAGAACATTCTAATGTGTTGTGAGCATGAAATAATGGAAGTGATGTCATCCATTCCCAGGTGCTGGGCGGAGCCTGTATGACACAAGACATGTGATCCTCTTTTGATGATGGGCGTGGCCTATCATATTGAGGAAGAGACACTGCCCTCAAAAGTTTCTAGAAGTGATGTAATCCCCTCTTGGTGGTGGGCGTGGCCTATCATATTTGGGAGGAGTCTCTGCATCAAAAAGTGTATATATAGACGGTCTTGACAGACTGACTTCACTAACTTCTTTTCCTTTTGTTTCTGCAGGATTTCGATGGAAATGTGTACTTTAGACAGGATCAGGTAAAACTAGGTAAGGGAGGACACTGCCCCTAAACGTTTATCATAACAATTATTATTATTATCATTATTATTATTATTTTTATAAATGTTCATAGAAGTGCTGTCATCCCCTCTTGATGATGGGCGTGGCCTATCATATTGGGAGGAGGCTCTGCATCAAAAAGTTTATATATAGACGGTCTTGACAGACTGACTTCACTAACTTCTTTTCCTTTTTTTTCTGCAGGTTGTCCATGAAAATATGTACTTTGGACAGTATCAGGTACAACTAGGTAAGGTAACAAGGTATCAACCTCAGGTAAAACTAGATAAGGTAACAACCTTGACCACTAATTTCCAGGAAGCCTGGTTTCTTTGAGATCAGGATTATCATTTGGGGGGTCATGTAAAGGGATATGAGTATGTCCTTTCTCTCCTATCCATCAATCCATTGTCTATACTGCTTTTTTGTTAGGGACAAGGGCTTGCTGGAAACCATGTTTCCTTTCCATCACAGAGCAAATTGTAGCTTGTGAATTCTATACTGTCATAACCCATTATCTTTCAAATAGAACATTCTAAACTGCTGTGAGTATGTGATCATAGAAGTGATGTCATCCATTCTCAGGTGCTGGGCGGAGCCTGTATGATACAAGACATGTGATCCCTCTAGATGATGGGCGTGGCCTATCATATTGAGGTAGAGACACTGCCCCCAAAAGTTCATAGAAGTGATGTCATCACCTCTTGATGATGGGCGTGTCCTATCATATTGGGGAGGAGTCTCTGCATCAAAAAGTTTATATATAGACGGTCTTGACAGACTGACTTCACTAACTTCTTTTCCTTTTGTTTTTGCAGGTTTTCCATGGAAATATGTACTTTAGACGGATCACCCCTAAAACTAAGTAAGGGAACAAGGTATCAACCTCAGGTAAAATTAGGTAAGGTAAAAAGTTATCAACCTTGACCACTAATTTCCAGGTAGCCTGGTTTATTTGAGATCAGGATTATCATTTGGGGGGTTATGTAAAGGGATATGAGTATATCCTTTCTCTCCTATCCATTCATCCATTGTCTGTAATGCTTTTTGTTAGTAGGGACAAGGGCTTGCTGGAAATCGTGTACGCTGACATTGGTTGGGAGGTGGCATAGAGCCTTGACATGTTGCATGTCCATCACAGAGCCAGTCATAGCTTGTGAATTTTATACTGTTATAATCAATTCTCTTTGCCAACAGAACATTCTAATTAGCTGTGAGCATGTAATCATAGAAGTGATGTCATCCATTCTCAGGTGCTGGGTGGAGCCTGTATGATACAAGACATGTGATCCCTCTTGATAATGGGCGTGGCCTATCATATTGAGGTAGAGATACTTCCCCCAAAAGTTTCTAAAAGTGATGTCATCCCCTCTTGATGATGGGCGTGGCCTATCATATAGGGGAGGAGTCTCTGCATAAAAAAGTTTATAAATAGACGGTCTTGACAGACTGACTTCACTAACTTCTTTTCCTTTTGTTTCTGCAGGTTTTCCATGGAATGATGTACTTTAGACAGTATCAGGTACAGCTAGGTAAGGGAGGAGACTCTACCCTTAAATGTTTATAATAATAATAATAATAATTATTATTATCATTTCTTTTATAAATGTTTATAGAAGTGATGTCATCCCCTCTAGATGATGGGCGTGGCCTATCATATTGGGGAGGAGTCTCTGCATCAAAAAGTATATATATAGACGTCTTGACAGACTGACTTCACTAACTTCTTTTCATTTTGTTTCTGCAGGTTTTCCAAAATATGTACTTTGGACAGTATCAGGTAAAAGACTAGGTAAGGTAACAAGGTATCAACCTCAGGTAAAACTAGGTAAGGTAACAAGGTATCAACCTTGACTATTTATTTCCAGGTAGCCTGGTTTCTTTGAGATCAGTATTATAATTTGGAGGGTTATGTAAAGGGATATGAGTATATCCTTTCTCTCCTATTTTGTTGGTAGGGACAAGGGCTTGCTGGAAACCATGTACGCTGACATTGGTTGGGAGGTGGCATATATCCTTGACATGTTGCATGTCCATCACAGAGCAAATTGTAGCTTGTGAATTCTATACTGTCATAAACCATTATCTTTCAAATAGAACATTCTAAACTGCTGTGAGCATGTAATCATAGAAGTGATGTCATCCATTCCCTGGTGCTGGGAGGAGCCTGTATGATACAAGACGTGTGATCCCTCTTGATGATGGGCGTGGCCTATCATATTGAGAAAGAGACACTTCCCCCAAAAGTTCATAGAAGTGATGTCATCACCTCTTGATGATGGGCGTGGCCTATCATTGGGGAGGAGTCTCTGCATCAAAAAGTTTATATATAGACAGATGGTCTCGACAGACTGACTTCACTAACTTCTTTTCCTTTTGTTTCTGCAGGTTTTCCATGGAAATGTGTGCTTTAGATAGGTAAACTAGGTAAGATAACAAGGTATAAGCCTCAGGTAAAACTAGGTAAGGTAAAAGGTATCAACTGTTACTGCGGGTTTTCCATGGAAATATGTACTTTAGGCAGTATCATGTAAAACTTGGTGAGGGAGGATTCTTCCCCTAAATGTTTATAATAATAATACCGTACACATGTAAACATATCTGTGAAGATTCTCATTCATCCAGGTCTTGGTCAAGCTTGAAAAGTTCAGTTTAGACCATTGGACGTAAAGTTTTCTAGAAGACGTTTTGATTCTCATCCAAGAAGAAGCCTCCTGAAGAAGCTTCTTGGATAAGAGGCGAAACGTCTTCTAGAAAACGTCATGTCCAGTTGGTTAAAATGAACTTTCCAAGCTTCACATGTAAACACAAACAATTTCTTAGTGAAAAGAACAGTCTTGCAGTCCCATCCAGTCCCCGTCTGTGTGTGTGAGTGTGTGTGAATGCACACCTTGCGCTGGTGTTTTTCAGTGAGGCTGTAATGTAATTGGGCACACGGTCTGCCGGCAGCTCCGAGTGTAAACAGCCCAGCTTTCTGGAACTGAAGCAGCTGGTAACAAACATAAAGGTTTTCTTATTGTCTTGGAAAAGGAACAACAAACAAAGTACTTTTAGACAACTAATAAAAACCATGCAAGACATGACATTGTTGTTTGACATATTCAAGTCTGATGTCAAATTTGTTTTTGTTCTAAAAGATGTTGCAAAATAGCCTCACTTTGTTATAGAACATCTTGTATATGGTGGTTGAAGCAAAGATAAAAAAAATGAGAGTTGTAACAGAATGATTACAACATATGACTTTCCACGTTGCGATGCTAATCAAAAATTCCCAAAACAATCCACGTGTCTTAAGACAAATACAAATATATTTTCATACCTCACAGTACTGAGGTTTCCCATCTTCCCAAAGGCATTCTAACAGCTCCATTCTGCCGAATGAAATGTCAGAGGTCACAGCCCGACAATGACGTCTTCCACTGCGCATCTCACATGCAACCTGGACTGTTGCTCCTGTCAGTCTGCAAGAAACAAAACAGAGAAAATGAGAAAGGGATTTAGACAGTAAGTGATATGTGTGTATCATCTTACATGTTTTAACTATTTGAAGTTTTTGCAAATATGTCAGCAAGCTTAGTTTGGATGAACTTAAATATGCAAACCAACTGTGTTTTCCTACCTCAGATGAGAGTGTGGGCAGGCCTTTGCAAAGCGGACTCTCAGTTGGTTGAAGTCCCTCTCACTGAACATGCTGTCTTTGAGGGTCAATTCCCTGAAAAACACCTGAGAAACCTGAGCCAATGAGGAGGCTCCATCAGTTTTAGAGGTGGGATCCTCCTCTAGCAGGGTTAATGTGAGTCCACCAATGGACAGTCGCAACAAGGCATCAGGCTTCATCCGCTCTGCCTGGCCACTGTGTGATCGCCCTGCAAAGATAAGGATTTAATTCAGTACCACTTGGACAAAAACCCTTTGAGACATCCCATTGGGCTGCCTTTACCTCTGGTCCGACTGGCTGGAGGGATGCTGGAAAGGCAGCCTGCTACAGGATATCTCCTGGGACAGGTGATCAAGCCCTGGCAGGTAAAGAAAATCAAATGAAATCAAAGCAGAGAATAGGGTTGATCTGAATTAGAAAAGAACACTTTCAAGTCAAAATTGCTTTAAGTGTACAGGATACATAATTCCATAAAATGCTGTGCCTAAATAAATGTACAATTTGTAAACAAACTAACATCTAAATATATGTCAAAGTAATTCATTTCTATGAGGTGCACCGATGTACAGGAACATATTATTGAAGGCTTCTGCCCTCTTGATATATTATTACATTGTGAAACATAAACAGCAAACACATGCAGTACCTGTGCAGACAGCACTGTGGGCTGTGAGAAGCTGGATACACTGTGTGTGGAGGACTCCATGTCACTGTCTGACAATTCACTTCCAGAGCGGATAGATGTCACGCTACTGGTCATACCAGCTGGACCCATAGAGTAAAACATTTCTGTAGCAATGAATAAACACACATGGGAAGTTAAAGACGATCATATACAAAGGCACTTCTTAATGGTTTTTGACGTTGTCTGCTTTCATATTTGGAGCACAATAGTACAATGGCACATGCTAGTGCTTTCTTATCTCTAATGGGCAGTCTAAGGTAGCCAACCTATAGTTTTCATATGGTGTTTTCTTCAGAAAACTTTTAAAGGTTCTGAAAATGTCTAAATGGAACAACACTGTGTAACGGAACAGGCCTTGTTTCCACACATTTTGATTCAGTGTACCTGTTCATATAGAGGGGAGGGAGTGATGTAGTGTCAATATGGACAGTTTGCTAAAGGCAGGACAGGTCAGAACAGATGCCCTGCACACAGAACTACAGTGAAACAGGGCGATGCCCCTTTGGACAGTAAAAAGCTACAGCGCAAACAGTTTCCCCTACATTTTGGGAGCATAACTTGTTCACTCCCAGTGTCACTCCTCCCTTTATGCCTCATACACTTTGGTTCCCTGACTCCTCCCTTGAGCATTCTGTTTTCCTCTCTCCTTGTAGCTTGAACTATGCTTTGCCGTTATAAATGTGCATATCGTTTGACCTTGTGGCCAGAACTGTTGGTGTTTCTTGCCCTGCGATTTTAGGCAAACAGAATGACTAAACTTGTGCTGACCTCCATTCTCAAAGCCGGTTACGTAGGGCTCCAGGTCAGGTTCAGTCTCCAACTCCCTCGGACTGTATCCCAGCTGCTTGCTGAGGTCTTCCTCGATCATGCGCAGGTCATCCGAGTCTAATGGACGACTGTGTACTCCACCACACTTTGTGTCCGGTTCTTAATGAGACAGAACAAAAAAATGTATCAATATGTGCAAGAAAAAAAACAGGTCTTCAATATGACCCCACAATTTTAAGTTACGTATCATGACTTAATCACCATGTATGTTAAAAGCATGCTAATTCAAACTTCTATTCAAAATATCAAGAATGATCAAAATTGTATGAATTTCTTTGACAATGAGAAAGCAGCCGTTAATTGTACCAATGTCTATACAGAGGGCTGCCAGCAGGTCTGTCAGATGGGTTATTTGATCTGGAGACAGCAGCATGTGGACACAGCCCACCTTCCCGTCCAGCTCCAACTGATGGGCAGAAAAAAAGAGGAAAAAAAGGGGTATTAGTGTCAGAGAGAATGGCTGTTTCTTATAAAGGAGTGAGCCCCACATACCTTTGGTCCAGGCAGCATATCATTCTGTTTGATCTTAACGGTGGTTTCGATGAAACCAGAGCAGCTTCCAATGAGCAGAGGCTGAGGAGGGCATGAAGTGGCTGTAGTGGGCCTGACTTCCTCTTTGTCCTCCTCTTCATCCTCCTCTCCATCACTAGCCGTGGCTGAATTTGGAAGTTCCTCCTCAAGAGGACCCTGAAACATGGAGACAAATTAAACAAAATGGTAAAAACATTTTATTTCATAGGAAAATCTCTTAAACTTTTTCTCTTAAACCTTTTTTTAGGCACACATTATCTGATCACTCAGACAAATGCATTTAGATGGTGGTCCACTAAATTACGTTAGAATCTTCCCACTAAAGGATTTATGCCAACTGCAGTAGAAAACAAATCTGATTGAAACAGATGACAGATCACAAAACCTGGTGAGATTACTTAACCTTCTTTGTGTACACTGTTACTTTACTGGCCGGATTTGACATACAAGCTGTGAATGTAAGAAGTAAATAACACCAGATCCTTAACAGTTTGGCTGCCTTTGTGACTTTTACAGAAAAGTTATCAGTGTGCATGTCTGATCACAACTGATTACAGAGTGATTAACACTGAAGGTAAAAAACAAAGAAACGCACAAATAAAAGTTAATTAAGTTTCATCAGATATAAAGACCACACTTGGGGGCTTCTCAGTAAAACAGGAGATAATGTCCACCTGAACTATGCCATTGCTGTCATAGAGCAGCTGAACAGTGCTCAGCTGGAGGATCTTGTGCAGAAAGGCAGGTGGCTGATGGATGTCAACAGGCACAGCAGTCTGGCTGGCTGGATCTCTCACTGCCTCATCAAAGTACTCCAGCCTGGAACAGCACACACAAAATGGCCACCAATTACATAAAAAGAAAATACAGAAAATCAAGACCTGACAGAAAAAGCTGCAGTGCCCAAGAGAGGAACAGAAGTAACGTGACCTGAACTTTGACACAATACAAAATGAGGAAAATCACTAAGAAAAGTTGACATGGCAGAGAACAGAGTGTTCATAGGATCAATGTAATTCTGATCAACAGGGGTAGGTCCTGATACTTTCCACTGCGGACTGTGTCATTGTCGGTAAATACCATAACTATCTTGAACTCCTGAGGGGAAATGATCGGTCTGCTGGAACATCAACTTCCAGCTCAACACTATCAGTGACATGAGTCACTGGCCCTGAATCAGACACCCGGCTCAAAAACATGCCTGTTATGAGCCTTCTGGTCACTGACCCCAGATCTGCATGGTGAACCTGAGCAGCTTTCTCAATAAACCAGGAAAAAAGAAAGGGTTCAACAGTGTCACCGTGAAATAACCAGAGGTCCAGGGCATACGGGAAGAGTGTAGGTTTGGTTTTGCAAGTATTTGTGTGTGTGCTTCTAAACTACACTCTGTAATATATAAGGACTTAAATTTACTTACACTTAATTGTAAAGAGGAAATTGATGATACAGAATTATTTAAACCTGTAAAAGTGAAACTTATGAAATGCCTGAAGCTACAGAAGTCTGGGTTTAGCTGTATGCTAAAAAAAACAGAGATAAACAAGTGAAAAGAACTGACTTTTAAACATATAGTTCATACTTTTTGCATTACAATGATTTGAGTGGTTTAAAACTACAGTTTTAATATTAAGTTATGATACCGTACTAAGGTAACTTCAACTTGTAGATTTAGTGCTCCATTAGTCCAGTATAACACCATAATTACGAATAATTAACAGAGCAGTAAAATATATAAAAACAGTGAAAATAATAATCACTTTATCCATTATTAAACGTTTTACACAGACTTAATAAACGCAATGATCACTGACTTACTAAGTGTGCCTGTATGTTTTTTCAGTCACTAAAAAAACCCTGCAAGTAGGAATAAACTTGTCAATAATGGCGCAGTTTGCAATTAGGTTCAACCCGATGTCCTCTGACAACACGAGTTTATAAGAGAACAGGGACCTGTTCTGTTCATTTCCTGATGAGCAGAGAAGATCAAACTCAATACACGGCTTCCATTTACCCTCCTCCATCTCCCCTGGCAGAAGTATAAGTGCTGATGGGAGTTTGTTTCATTGTTGGTGAATGAAGATGCAGAAATTATTTAGTTGAATGCTTGCTTCATAAGTGAAACAAGAGCAACTTATGGAAAATGCGAAGAAAAAATTGTGGCTTTGGATGTTTCAGAGCACTTTGGAAAAGTGTCCCCATGTAAAAGGAAGCACATCTGTGAGTTACCAACATTTTTTAGTTCATCAAAAAATTTTTCTCATTCTTTCAGATCGTCTGGAAAAACATTCCATGAACTGCAAGAGCAGCTGTTTTTCAACATAGCCACTGAACAGCTCTCTTATGGTTCGACCAAATTAAAAACTTGAGCAATGTCTTCTTGTGTTTGAAGATGTTTCTGTCGTATCTGTCACATTTGTTGTAGCATAAACAAAGATACTGTGGATGTACACAGGATTTGGGTTAGATATGCTTGTTTTTCCCTCCCTTTCACTTTTAAAAGAAAGATCTAGACCCACCGTTTGATGTGCACCTCTAAGGCAACGCCTGTCTCCAGGTCCAGGGGCTGGTGCTCGATGCGAACAATAGTGTCCAGAAATGTGACTTTAATGCGACGGAGGACTGCAAACAGAGGAAATTTGTGATAAGCAAAGGTTGAACCAAAACATAACTCCTTCAATTCCCCCCTCTGTCAGTCTTCAATTAAAGGTTGTGAGAAGGATATGTGAATGTTTGTGGGAACACACCTCTTTCTATGAGTGTACCTTAGTGCTGCTTATATGCAAAGTACAGCATTTTTGTTTGTACACCGAAACACATTCTTTTTTAGATTTGCTCACCTGTCTCAATAGTCTGTGCAAACATCTCAAGGCCCTCAAGAGGGGCAGGTGGCTCCTCTGACGCCTCCGGGGGGTCCTTCAGGCACTCCTGAGCCAACTGCATGCTGGACGTCATGCTGGACGACCATCCTTGTGAGTCCCAACCCCCACCTGAGGGAAATGCATCCAGTGTGAACAAATTAAGCCCTCATAATTAACATAAAGTGGAGATTTGTTATAAAACAGTCATTACAGTTTTTTAAAGATACATTCTAATTATTTCCCTTTTATTTACTAAAACATAGGACCATTCTGCTAATCTATCTCATATAACTGACTCCCAGTTCAGGATTTTACAACAAAAGAGCAGAATGTTATGTGAAATGTTTAACTACAACCATGTCTCTACACAGCTCTGTTTACAGGGATAACTTAACGTGAGCAAAAATGAAAGAAACTGAATGCATGTTATAGTGCTTCTCAAGTTTTCTTGGCCACTTGAATGGCCTTTTATTTACAGCATTCACCAGTTTAATCTATAGTACATGTGGTAATATGCCTGCTGCCAGCTTACCAGTCAATTTTAATAAATTTCCCAGATTTCCTATCTAATTTGGACTAACTTTTTCATGTTTTTGGTTCAAAGAAGCAGTTTCCAAATGCAAATCCAAATTCCAGACCTTTTTTATTTAAATAATTAACAAGACAAGCATGGAGGGGCAGACCACAGCTCTCTGCAAAAGAGATCTAAAGTCAACTGTGCCACTACTTTTGGTTTCTTGGGAAAGGAGCACATTACATAATAAAGAGTGGAAAATCATAATAATAAGCTGTTTTTCCAATTCAGAAAGGAATGCCCACAAATTAAAGGTGAATTTGCACCATGACAAATAAATTGTTATATAATTGTTATTTGAAAATGCCCAGGTTAGGATCTAAATTCTATCAGATCCTATTTGACTACAGATCAAGAGGTCCCCAGTTAAACTCTCGGTGCCACCCAACTTTGTAAGTCGCGTTGGATAAAAGCGTCTGCTAAATACATAACATTTATCATTATTATAGACCACAGTCATGTCACTGGATCTCTATAAGCGTTTTTTTATGTATCTCACTAATGCAAAGTGGAGTCAAGAGAACCTTGTGTATCGACCCTTCAGGGAGCATTTAACCCACTTACTGGTCCGGTACTTGGGTCGACATGTTATCTGAAGACCAGAGACCTCTAAAGTGCAGTGATCAGTTAGGAGAGCTTGCCAGGGGATGGTCACCTCTATGCTGCTCACAAAGCCTTCCACTATCTCCAAAGGAGCCCCGAGAGACTCCAACAGCTCATTGACTGCCTATGAAGACCAAGTAGAGAGGAAGCAAAAAGTTAGAAGTAAGAGACCAAACAGAAAGCAAAACAGACTGCAGTGTTTTTATTTTATTTGTCTAACCAATTTGACTGTGCATGTGGGAAGCAAAGAAAGTGCTGATGCCAGGTATGATAGTGTATAGCCAGAATTAGCTGGGGATGCGTTCCTTTTCACGTGCATTTCCTCGAAAAAAGGGCGAACTACGTAAAAGTTATGATGTCAGAGATTGTTGTTGAACTCGAGTGCGGTTGCGAAACAGTCAAGGGTACACGAGTCTCACAACAACACCAGAAGACTGCTGCTGTGGTGAAATCCTAATATCCACCGTCCCTTCTCCTTCAAAAACTCACCCACACATCGAGGTTGATTTCTTTGATGACACCACTGCCGTTGTACAAGTCCAAGCCCAGCTGGTCAAGGCTCAGTCGTTCCTGCAGAAAGTGACCGAGGTAGTGCTGTAAAAGGTACCGACAGGCCCGCTTCTTAATTGAGCCTGACCAGGGGAAAAGCCAGCGAGACATAGGGCCAGAGAGAGCGGGGATAGGGAGCGAAGAGGTGGCGGAGGAGAACGAGTGCAAGTACAGTCCTCTGGCAACTGCATAACAGACGAAAACAAAGTGTGCTAAAACAAGGAATGAGCCACAGCTAGCTAAAAGGGGCTAAGGAAGGAGTAAGCCGTAACTGTAGTTGTCTCCTAGAATTCACACGAAAACTTGAAAATCCTTTGTGTCAGGACCGACAAGACTCCCACGGTAACCGACGAGGCGTTACTTCAACCGACTGTAGCCGTCGCGGCTCATATTTTCGGTTCGTTTTTGTCGAATTGGAGCAGCAGGTTCAGTTGGTGCGTATCTCTTGTCTCTAGGTTGTTTATTGTTATCATACGCCAACTGATGGTATGGTTAACGCGCGTGCGTAACGCGTCACAGTGACGGAAGCAAAACCCGGAAGAGAGAACAGACTACGCAGACTATCGTATTACGCTGAATGATTATTTAGCGCAGGTGTGATTTGAAGAATTAAACTATGTGCAACTTCTCTTCCCACGTATTTCTTGTTCACAGAATATACAATAATAAAGTATATTGTTTTGATTGGTTTTCACGTGGGTGCCTGTTAATACATTATTTCTGGGATTTTGAAGATCCTTATATCACTGGTTCTGTAAATGATGGCCTATTTCAGCTTTGCCCCTTCAATTTTTCGTTGTAAAAAGTTTAGTAAAATATTGACTGCCTTCTTAATTTAGATTTGGAAGCATGGCCTTCTATTCCAAACAAGACATTCAATAAGGTTTTTGAACAGGTGCAAAGAAACTTCCATTAATCAAATTCCACTAGGTAGGGATTCATGCTTAAACCAAGTTATCAATTTTCTAGCGAAAAGGGTAAAATGTCAACCAACTACGTAATCCCATGTTAATGTTTCATACAAATGACAAAAATCTCATAAGTATTTTTCTCAGTATAGAAATATATTTACAGATTTCTCTTACAAAAGGGATCCACTCCTGTCAACAAATCTGTGACATCCACAATGACAAATGAAGGAAAGGCACAAGAAAACCCAATGTTTTTTTTTGTGAAATGCATCAATTATGTGCCAAAATATATTTTATTGCGTACATTCAACAGATTCAATTAAACAAATTGTAATCATCAGATGTCTTTATTCCTATGAAAAATGTAACTAGTATCTATACAAATGGCAATAATGTAAACTTGCAATAAGAAAAAAACAACAGCATCTTCAATCTTTGGGCCAAACAATTTTGCTGCTAAAAGATTAGTTAACACAAGTAAACTTGATTTACATTATTTGTAGTACAACAAAAAAAGGCATTGAGTATAAGAAAACAGGCCATAAATAAAATTACTGCAGCCTTTATTTCACATAACTGAGTAAATTCTTCATTTTACGAAGGCTACGTCTGGGATCTTGCCTTCCGTCTGTAGAGAGAAAAAATAAAAATTTCAATTTGAGCTTCCCTATGTGACATCTGAAAAATATCAAATCTTGTGTAACTCAAAATACCTTCAACTGCGTGAAGATCTGCGCTGCTCTGTTGAAATCCCACTCATTGTCTTGCAGACACCTAGGCAAAGGGAGAAAGAAAAACCTCAGGTTTTATTTTACAAGACATCACAACACATTTCCAGCACAATAAGAATTTACATACTTTTGAGACCATTCCAGGTTCATGCCTGACTTCAGTGAGAAGGCGGTCAGCATCTCTTGCTGTGGTGCAGTGAGGGTTGGGACAGGGCTGGAGGACGGAGTCGGCGCTGGAGCCACGAAGGCCCGACGGATCTCCTCTGTTGTTGCCATTCGGATGAAAAGCTGGTCGTTCACGATGCACAAACTGCTTGCACAGGGAAAAAGCGTGGTTTTACAGTTTTTTTGTATTTCAACTTTTATGGCACATTGTTGGCATAACGCATCAAGAAATGCCAAACTTCCTTCCCTTAACAGCTCATTAAACCTACCCAGAATTTCCTGCTGGGACAGTGATGAAAACCCGAGAAAAGGCCATTGTGGATTCTCTGGATTTTCCATCAACAACAACTGAAATAGAAATATAACACATTAATGATAAAATATAAACTTTTTTGTGTAAGGATGCGTTTGACCAAAATGCAAATGCATAACAATACAATCACCTTCTTTAAAGACTCCGCTCACAGTGAAAGAGAGTAGTGTGTTCTGCAAAAGGAAAAAGTATGTGTACACAATTAGATCATACGTAGAAAAGTCATAAGAAGAGGTTTGCAACAGAATAAGCAAAAACCCACCGTGTAAGTGTTTACATCAATCGTAAAGGAAGCAATATCATGCTGGGTTTTTGGTAGCTCGTTGAGGAAAGCCACAACGTTGAGGCGTGTGTGTTTCAGCAGCCGGAATCGCATCGCTAACGGTGGAAAGACAAAGTGACAGATAAGGACCTTAAACTAAAATATGCAACAATTTAAAGCAGCTGAACAGCTCTGTGGGGCTAACTCACTCGAGTCTTTGATCCTCTTCAGGTTTCGACTGTCTTTGTAATACTCCCCAAGACTGCTCCTACATAAAATGAGAGGGACAGGCAGGCTCAGCGCGACTGCATCCGATGAGCAGATGGGCGTTTTTAACATTTAAAAAACGTCATAACCCACTCCTTTACTGGTTCAATTGTTTTGCACAGCTGTGTCTTTAAATACATGCATACCTGGAAGGGTTCTGGGTGGAGTAAGGTGTAGTGAGGGACAATGATGCGCCATCATGGTAAGCATCCAGGAGAGGCTGCCGGTTCCCTGAGTCGTATATACTGTAATACCTGCAGAACAGACCAGAGTTCAGTTTTGCTAAGTTTGTTCATGAGTCTTATTTATTTTGCTCAAACCTTCTACTCTGAGACTTGTATTAAATACACTGATGATTAATCATTAACTGGTAGGGTCACATTACAAGAGCATGAATCCTGTAAATGAGTAACTGATGTAAATTTTCTGCTTTAGAAAATGTCCAAACTCACTGCTGCAAGAACCGGAGGATGAGAGCTTTGATTTCATCTGTACCGAAGCAGCTTCCCTGAATAGACAAATTTATGCATTGCTTAGAAACATAAAGGAACATCATTGAGACTAATACCTAGCAAGAAAATTATTATTGACGCAGAGGCTATACCCGAAAACAACATCAGCAGATTAGTTAGAATTAAACTACATCATTTTAATGAACCAACCTTGCAAGGAGGGATGGTGGTGGGCGTTTCAACATCAAATCCAATGGGTGGGGGGAGGTCATGACCATCCTAAAAAATAACAGCACGCAAAGGAAGAGAAATGTGAAAGGCATTAATGTAAAGTCAGTCCCATTTGAGTCGTCAGCCATGTAGATATTTTCTGGGAATGAAATCTGTTTTAACAGCTGCATTTGGAAACCAATATTTGATGGAGCTTTTAAATAATGAAGACTTTTCATAAAGTCAGTCAATACTAAGGAAACCCATTTTTAGGATCTTCCCCCTAAACATTATTTTGCAATTAAAAAGATGGCATTAACACAAGCTAACAACAGTTTTACAGTGCAAAACTTTCAAAGAGAGTGATGACTGAAATGGAAGTGAAGTTAAGGACAAATCAGGGGACCTACCAGTTTGAGAAGCCGGGGAAACCTCTGCCGCACAGCACTGGGACAGGGACAAAAATCAAAGGCAAGACAGTTATCAACCTCAACCATCCCAAACAAACATACATACACAGCGCAGTACTGTGGGGGACCCTGTTGATCCCCATTATGCCAGCTTATGCCTTTCATTTGTATTTTACAGATGCTCACTTTTTGGGAGAACATTCATGTGCAGATACATAATATGTATAACCAGTTTCAAAAGAGGTTTAATCTTCTTTGTACACAAACAAATCCACAAACAGACTAGAATAGAAGGCCTTATCCTTGTTTGTTTTTCAGGTTCATGCTGTTCCCTCTGAATTCTCCCAACCCAGAGTGTACTTACCAGCAGGTATACTCACCCTCTCCCCCAAAATGGTGATACACACAGTTCTGACATGGAAGAGCAACACAAGCACACTTCTCATACAAACATGCCACAATCTACCAGACGGAGCTGGAAACCAGGATACACATCCATTTGAATAAGTAAAATAAAGAGGTTAAGCGTGGCTGGGAGAGAGGTGGTTACCGCCAGTCTTGTGTTAACTTCCCCCCCAAACTCTGGCCAAGATGTTGGAGAACAGTTGAGTCTACACCAAAACATAAACAGGGACTGGGTAAAAATATATTAGGTCAAATTCAGAGACACTGCATGCAGCCCAACATGCAGAGACGTCAATCTTCACTGCGTGGTTTATCTGGTCCACGTCTGTGCCCGTAATTACCAGCAAAGAAAGGCAACCTGAGAAGAGAGCTGAACAAAAAGGACAGCTGGTCTCAGAGCAAGCTGGACCCAGCAGTCCCACCACTACTCCCAGTTTGCTCTGCTGCACAAACAAATCAGTTCTCAGCCTGGTATGCCTCTCTGAAGAGATGGCACATTTCTTTGTGCAGAGTGCCTTGACTTGCTGTTAGGATATATTTTTCAAGCTTAATTTGGAACCAGGCCTCTGGAAAGAAAGGCATGGATGTCGTTCAACTGACTGATTTTACTCTGCTCTCTCTGGTTAACAATTGAGCTTTTTTGTACTGGTCACAGCCAAACTGGAGGACGAAGTGTTCTCACAGTTTTTCCCTTCAACATTTTCAGGCAAAACTGAACCTTCAATTTCCAGTTCAGGGCACATTTCTGTCTGTTAAAGGCATTTGCCAAACTCCACTTCATTCACTGAAAGGAGAGGCCTGCTGTAGGCCAGAGATCACACACTGTGGAAGAGAGAGACAGCTCTTTTCTTTGGCTCCTCATTCTCAGTGACGAAACATATCCCCGCTCCTCCTCAGCCCATCGGCTTCACCCGTGAAGTCCTGTTTTCTCACTTTCTTCCTATCGAGCTCTCAGTGGGTCAGAGCTCACAAGGACTGCGGCCAAGTAATCGTGACTGTGCCTGCCTTAGGTTGTCCCGAGGTTTCGAGGTGGGATCTTACCCGTCATGGGCTAACCAGCCTTCCATACTCGCCTTATACAGGGGGGCCGAGTGGGCACGGATTCTATGAGGGGAGGGGACTCAATGACGTTTCTTTTTCTTCATCCAAACATCTGTCAAGATGAGAATGGATTGCCCTCTCCAATAGGTTTAGCAGTACGGCTCAAATCGTCTTTCTTCGTCTGCATTTCTGAGAGCACCACACATCTTTTTTTCAGAGTTTCATGCTCAACTGCTATGTATTAAGGTCAGGAATGTGATTTTAACGCAGCTTATGCCACAACTAACCAGGACGTGAGCAGAGGAGTGCTGGGTGCAGCATCACTGAGAACCATGAAACTAAGACGTGACCAGAGACTGAAAGTATGCCCCCAAGAGAAGTTGAAAACTGACAGACAAGAAGGCTGCTCGAGGCCAGTCACACCTTAGAGGCTGAAAAGGAAAACAAGGTGAAATTATTATGCAGTTCGATGTCCTGTAAGCTACAACGGGATGAAAGAAGCAGCTTGAAACAGAAAGGTCAATCAAGTAGAAACGAAGGAGGGAAATTAAATTAACAATCCATAGACAGGAAATACATTTTTAAAATGTGCACTATGCAGCACACATTCCTGTTCAAGATACTTAAAGGCACCCAGCACAAACGTTACGCTTCTCAAGAGGATTTTTGTAGACTGGTCAGAAACATGTAACCAGTGGTCAATGATTTTCATTTTTCAATCATGGCTTATAAACCGTGTGGTGCAGACAAAATAACTTTGGAGCTGGGTACAAGTCAAAAGAAATAATATGAGTAATATTTGCAAAGTTTAGTGGAAATTCTGACAAAGCTGACCCACATACAGCTAAAAATATCAACGACTCAGTTGAACTTTTCCTCTCTTCTCACTGATGATTCTCCTCTATTTAATGTCTATTGTCACCCCAAAGAGTCGTCTACTGACCTGATGTATGCGGCCTGGTCCTTAAAGAGCTCACACAGGGGATTTCTGTTCAGCCATAGCTCCACCAGCTTCCACCCTTTCAGTTTGTCCAGCTCCCGGTCTGACTTCAGCTGGGCAAGCGCACAAATGAGGAAAAAGAAGAATTATGAAGAGAAAAATGAGAACTCTGCTTGAAACAATTTAAAAAGAAAAACAAGCTTCATAGAACTGAGCAGCTAATCTCACCTCATTGCTAGACAGGTTAAGTGTCTTTAGGTTAGGCACCTTGGTAACCAAATCCGCCAGTTCATCAAGTTTGTGAATCCGATTATTACTCAGGTTCAAACAAGTCAGCTGGAAAGATAAAAAGACCAATAGGTATACAATACAACATTGTACCATATCAGCTTCTTTAATAATCAAGATTAATGACGACGGATCGTACCTCAGGAATGTATTTTTCAATGATTTTAATGACAGCCTCCATGTTTGTCTTCCTATTCAAGATTATATCAATGTTCTGGGACACCAGATCTGTCACAACGGAAAAAAAATAAAAAAAGATATTAAGATATTAAATTAAGAAATTAAATTATTAAATTAGTGGCAGTAACCAAAAGTTAAAGGTCTCTGAAAATGTTGTAATCCTATTTATTTATTTTTTCAAACTGCCCATGAAAACAGTTAAGATGTTCTTTTCTGGTAAAGGGTAACGTGTTAACAGTTGGTTCACATGTTTCTGACCTGATGTAATGTACCATACTTAAACTGACAGAAAATGCATTGTTGTACGGCGGACGTGCGGCTGAAGACAATGAGACTGTGATTATTACCTGGGTCTGTTCGAATGTTGTTTAGGTCCAGTGCTTGTTGGGAACCATCAAAACGTTTGGCCATGCATTGCTGTGATAAATAGAACTTAATATAAGAATCCTTTTTGAAAAAAAATTAAAAAGGACTAAACTAGTGGATTTCCCTATCAAACCCAAGTTCAGCGATCTTGAATAGTTTTTTCCAAGCCACCTCTCCAACTGACTTTACTCAGTCCAATGATTTTTGAGAAACACTCAATTTTCTGGGATCTTAACATTTCTAAAAAAAATATCCTCAGCAAAGTCTGGTGTTCCGCAAGCTCACCTTCAGGTGCTCCAAATGTTCAGGTTTCAGGTCAGATTGAAGGAAGGATGGTGGAGCACTTGGGTTGACATGCACTTCCACCTTCAGGTGAACATCAGACAGAAAAATAGATGAGTGAACAGAGATTTTACACTATTCCAGTTCTAGTTTGCCATTACCTTTGATAGAAAATTCTGGTTAACAAGCCTAAAAGTTGCTAATATTTGTGAATACGTATTTGCAACACATACAATTAATGACCTAACTAATTAATGAGCTAATGGCGCTGAAAGCAGCTGGATCTGATCATACATTTAGGAAAAGTGACTGGGTCAAAGTGAAACATTAACACTATAGAAACATACCTTAAAACCATCTGAGTCTGTAATCTTGTGGGAGCATTTGTGTAAAGCATTGGCAGCAGCTGAATCGTCCACAAAGAAATGTACCCTGTTATGGTCAACATGGTACTGAGGAAACATATAGGTAGAATGAGACAAATGGGACCTTAAAAAAACATATCAAATTTACCTAAAGAAACAATTATGTGAGCAATTTTACAGAAATACAGTATCAAATAGAAGAAAGGGCTTAAACTGACATGTACTGGTGTGTAGGAAACCGAGCAGATATTTTGGAGAGCTGTCACTAGCCACTTCTTGTCATATTTTTTTCCATGTGGAACCTGTCAAACATACAAAGAAAAATATAATTTCCTCTAAGAAGTTACATTATGGATTTGTTAATGTACTTGGTTAAATGTGATTACACTCACCGTTACTTTGTACCAGCCCGACCTGGAATTCATGTTTCTGTCTCCCCTGAAGCCACCTCTACCATTTCCTGCCCCTCTGCCTTGCCGTCTATCTCTGTCAAACCGTCCATCTCCTTTACGAAAGGGTGGTACATATGGGTTGCTGTCAATGACAAAAATACGTATTTGGGATGAAGCAGTTTACTTTTTCTCATCCTTATTTCAACATGAACTTTTTAAATCAGGGGTTTCTTGCCCGTCCCCATGACAACACATCGGCAGTGTTGCTGAGGTGCCGTTTCATGGTGACAGGCAGAAAACTTTCAATTTAAACATCTTCTCTGTTCCATTGTTACTTTCCACACGTACACACACAGGAAGGGGAAATGACTCTGTACAGGTCTTAAGCCTATTGGATTTATTTTTCATTATTAGGATGGAAAGCGTAAAAAGTGGGTGTTTTTCTACACCTGTAACAGATTGTGTGATCTATGAAGATAGAAATTAAACAGGAAGCTGCTGCTAACACCCTTCACACTCAAACAAATTACAATGTCTACACTTTTTAGCTGAACTAAACCTACATTTTACAATTGAAACAATGTGAAGAATCTGGTTCAGCTGGTTTCAGATTGATAAAAATGTCAGAACTACGATTACAGGAGTTGGATTAGGCCCTGACAAAACAAACCGGCTCGGGTTGCTCATCAAGAACCAACCCTTATTTTTTTAAATGTTGATGGTGCGGATTCATATTTACAGGAAAGGGTTTCCATAAACAGAAATAAGTTCAACCAAAGAATTATAGCAGGTGTAAAAATGACAAAAAAAATGTATTGACTGAAATCAAATTAATTCGTTTTACTGTGTTTGATCGCCACGATGTAATTTCCATGTGGGCAGATAGCTCAGACTTTGCTGCTGTGCAGAACAGCTAGGAGACTAACTGAAAATGGTCGGGAATGTTCTACTTTCTCTTTCGCTCAGCAAATTACTTGTGCACAAAGTTTTGATATTTTCTGCTCTTTTCGCCTTTGAAGAGATCCAAATTAAATCAGATAGGTGGTTCTCTATGCGTTACCTTATATGAGAATAAAAAGAAAGTGTTCTTATTCACTTTGGAGAAAACTGTGAAGATAACATTAGATAACATGTTTGTGCCAACAGCATGTAACACTTGTAAGTAGGGCTACTTATGACAGCTATTCACTAAAAGAGACCAGCATTCTGAAAAAATAAAAATAAAATACAAACATTCAGCATAACACTGAAATATGGACAAAGGCTCTCCAGGAAACTAAATAGTTCTTAAGATCTTCATTTCTAATCTTTACAACAAGATATTTACAAAATGTTCTCTGGTTAAATTTATCTACTGATCAAAGATTAAGAAATATCTTCATAACTGTTTGATGATGAGGAACAATTAATACATTTACCTTGTTTTGTCTGTACTAATGATCCCAAACAACCCTGCTTATACTCCTAAATAAAAGAGAACACATCATACTCAATAGTGTAATGTTCAACACTTACAATCTGTGCTGGGATCTGCTGTCCTGAGAGCCGTCACTCATAGCAACATCACCATCTGTATCCTTAAGTCTCCCACGGTTACCAGGGCCTCCAAACCCTCCAGCGTGGTTTCCACGTTGGCGGTCTCTGCGCGACCTGTCAAATCCCCGACCCTTGTGGGCGCCTCTGCCTTTAGAGTTGCGAAACGGTGCAGTTCTATCATCGTGCTCTATGAAAAATACAGTAAAAATACTATGAAGTGCTACAATGATATCCAACTTGACTTACTTCCCTCAGAAGATAGACCATGACATTTTTGTAAGAATATTATTTTGTAATAGAACACATTTTAATCATGGAATTTGTTAAGGTTGAAACCAAATCTATTAATCTTAATTAGATTTCCATCTTTAAACTTTACTTCTAAAAGTAAATCCATAAAAAAACAGCATTTCGCAATGTACCACCCTTTCAGGTTTAGAGCACTTTCAATTTTAAAGGGCCCTCCACGTTAGGACAGGAAAAAAAATGTGCCAGAGGGTCGTGCCTATATTACCAATCAATATTGTCCTCCTCTTAAAACAACTAAACTATTGGTAATGATACATTACATTAGTATAATTGTGTTCCAAATCAACTTAGCTCAATTACGTAATGATGAGATCTCCTGACATCCCATAACATATGTTACCTCCACTGAGCACGATATCTGAGCGTCTGACCTCTCTCTTCACCATAAAGTCATCCCGATCTGAAGGAACAATTGTGAAAACAGCAAAGAAATAAATATGAAGTAATGAACGTGCGCCTTACCGCTGTAGTAATGCCCGCCTTCCGCCATATTTCTGTAATAGCGTTGGATTCGAAAACCAAAAATGCCCTGGTTGGAGAATTGTATGGGTGCCTTGATTTCTGACTTTCTGAGCACGCAAAGCCGAAAATTTGGAAGAACTTACAACATCTCAAGTGGTTCTAACGGCACACAAAGACAAGGACGTTCACGTCCCTCACGAGCTACTAGCTTAACTAGCGTCTCCTGCTAACGAGTAACGAGAAGAAGACGGAAACAAACCTTCAACTTCCGGGGCAAAGAAAAAGAGCTGGACATTTAAAATAAAGCCTAGCAAAGGCAGCATAATGACAATAAAGCGTACCAAGAACAGATACACAAAAAATACTTTTTTTACATCAGCCTTGACAAATAGTGATTTCGGATTTAGTATGTTAAAGTACTTTTACATTAATGTTTTTCCTTAAATAAACAAACAAACAAACGCCTGTCGTCTATATGAGCTAACGGTTTGTTAGCTGCTAAAATGTAGCAAGTCTAACAAAACAAACAGATGGGGTGGAGGCATAGTTATGCTAATAAGGTCGAACAAAGACATACACAAGTCCGCAAAGACGATTAAGATAGAAAGAAATAAAAAAATGTAAAGACTGTTTCAAGAAGTTTTTGGGGGGAAACATAATTTTGCACATCAAAGAACAACCTCAGAATTTTCCATGAAAGCTGTGGTTAGTATTACGTACAAGAAACAATTATAATTTTAGTCCTCGACCTGCTTTTAAAAACACCCTCACCTGTCTCATCTAAAAAAACAAAACGGTACATTGTGCGTGTGAAAGTAGTCTTTTTCTTTTTGCATTTGAGTTAATTTTATCAATGATTAAGGCATCTCTTATTAAAATAGTCATAGGTGCTGCCAAATAAGTAAAAATCTGTTTCAAAGGGGCAATAAAAACAATTGAGGGTCATTTTTATAAAATTTCAAATATCTTTGAGACATTAAACCAATTTCGCCGGAAGAAAAACAGAATTTTAGCACAATGCGTCATTATAAACATGTTTGAAACATTTGAATAAAGGGAAGCCAGCTCCTCTATGTGTTTCTAGCTCCAAACATCACAGAAAGGAGCATATAAATATTTTAATAAACTTTGGAAAAACTTAATTGCTATAACCCTCCATTGAAATAGCAAAGCCTTGTCTAAAGGCAGATATGACACATTTGGGTGTACTACAAAACGAGGCAAACAAATCTAGATTTTCTTTGGATTTCCTGGCTAATCAAAACCTCTCAATATGGTAAGTTTCAACAAAGCTCGCTTTAAAATATCAGCTTGCAAATTACAACATTGTATATTAGAAATTTGCCATTTTACATTACAATTTATAAATCCATAACTTAAGGTTTAATGCGTTTATTTTCACCATCATCATGTACAGTTGCAGCTCCTGCCCAAGTACAAATCAGTCAAATGCAATTCAATCGAGTACTAGCTCATTAGTGTCTCACTTTTAATTTGGACGTTTTATTACTAGTTGGACCCAGTCACCTATTTAAGACATGACATGGCTAAAAACCAGGTACACCTGGCTTTACTGCTTCACAACATGGCCAAATTAAGAGTTGGTTAAGTTGGATGGGACCTGATAACTGAGGGCAGTGACGATAACTTACCACTGTTTAACACGTGCGTCACCACGGCTAAGTTGGGGTAGCTTCTTCGAAACATGGTTCCGCTGTACAGCTAGAAATTATCTTCAACTTTTCACGATAAAATTTGGAAAAAATGTGCGTCAAATCGTACGTTCTTTTTAGATATACACCAGAGTATTTACTTTTGGTAACCAGATTTTTCCCCTTTAGTCTTTTGAGTTCACTTAGCTGTTGAAGCTAGACTCGGCTAACTATCAGCGTTGTCAAGGCGGCGGTCATTAACTGCAATCTCAAGTACAGTTACTTGAGATTGCAGTTATACAACGTTTACCGACTCCGTTGTTTTACATGAGTTAATTTTTCTATATAAAATATAAAAAAAATCCTCTTCCACGAGTCGTTGGGGTCTGTGTTGGCCCCCAGTCTGTCCCGCTCACCCGTCTCCGAGACAAAAAAAAGACGTGGCGCCACCTGCCGGAAAAGACTGAGACCTACAGACGTATTACGAGTGTGCGTGTCTGTAATGTTTGAATTGTTTTTAGTTCAGGTAAAAAGAAAATTAAAAATATGTTTTATTAATCCGTCTGGTCTTCTTTTAGGATTTTGAATATCTTTTACTTTTTTTTGTAATTTTAGTTAAATTTTAGGTACTTGTGTTTTTTTTTCTTTTTTTTCAGTTTTCACACATGAGATTGTTATTGATTGATGTAGCTTGTTTATACAAATCCCTGTTTTACTTTTTTTTCTTGCCGAAACTTTTGTGTTTTGCATCTGTGAATTATGACTTAATATGACATTGTAGATTAATGATGTGTATTTATACAAGGACTCAGCTAATTAAAAAAAAAAAACAGCCTATCACAGCAGGAAAAATTAAAAAACATTCCAGATATACACTATGCAAAATTAATCTATCTGTTTTTTAATGCATGGTGTGTAGTCCTCTTGTAAGCATTGATACAAATTTGAACACATACTGATTGAAAACTGGTAGAACATGACACTGTTCAACACAATGTGCGTGTTTGAAAACACCTTTCACTATATTTGCTGCTGTAAACTCATAAGCTTAGTTTGTGAAACCTACCAACCAAAAATAAGTAATCAGAAGATAAAGACAATCAGTGGATTTCCTGCCTTCTGCGAGTAAAGAAAATACAATGTAGAAAAGATAAAGAGACACCACTATCTTGGCTTCTGGAATTTGTACATACCAGATGTACAGACAAAACAATCTTTTCACCAGTGTTATAGGTCTTAGTTTCACCGAGCTCCCTTCTCTTCTTTTACTTCATTCAAAGTCAGATGAAGAGATGTTTATCTAACAATTTGAAAGTGTAACAGCTGCCCTTTATTATTCTGAAATTCAGTTCGGTTTTGTGTCACAGGCACACCCCGGAATACTTCATGTAAAGCTGATTTCCTCTCCACAGTTGTCCTCCTGCTGCCCAGAGGCCACACTAATGGCCTGATCCAGAGAGGTGATGAGAGAGGTCAGACCAATGAGGTAACCGTCCTCCCTGCTCCCCTCTGACCAAGGGATGGTGTGTTGGAGCTCCGTCATGTCAGGCAGAGGGGTGGTCTTTCCAAAGTCTATCATCCACACGCTGGCCTTGCTGTGGTCGTGGACAAAGAGAAGCGAGCTGCCAATCACCTGATGGGTTACAAACAGATTTGTCGGGGAACATTGAATTAACCTTATGAAGATGAAAGGAAACTGTGCTAGTGTTTGTTCTTAGCTAATGTTATATACATTTGTCTCTACATAAAAACAGACCTCATGGGTTCTGAAAAATTGTGAGCTCTTGAGTGCATCCTTCAGGTCCAGGAGTCTGGAGTGATATGCTTTCTGAAAACACACATTAGTGCAGATAAGGTTCATGGACATCAGTCTGTGCACATTTGTAGGGTAAACGATTAGTTCTGAGCTGTCAGAGCGGACGTGTTGGGAGAAGCTCAACCCCAGGCAAATGGCATTGAATCACCTCTCCTAAAAGATGTTATTCTTCTGTCATAACAAAAAAAAGAATAAATAAAAATCAACTCTCAGATAACATAAAACTAATTCATTCACCACCTAAAGTTTAGGCCAAAAGCCTCAATGAGCATTCAACTTGCTCCCTCCTGGTCCATCAAACCAATGCCATCTCTGATTGTGTACAAAACACTTTGTTTTATTTTTAATGTTTCATTGCATGTCAAGGTTCCAGCATGGTCTCCATCTTCACTGAATGTCCTTCATCCCACCCATTCACAGTCTGTGAGTGCTGCCCAGCAGCTGCCTGCTTTAATATGAAGTATTTTATCTATGCAACACAACAGTTTTAAGGAAAGGCTGAACTGACCAGGGTGTTAAGGTGGCTCCTGGTGAAGTACAGCAACGCCTCTGTGAGCTGAGTCAAAGTCTGGATTTTTCTGAAATCCCTCTGGACACTGCCGTCCTCCATCTGCAAAACAGAAACAAAAACACAGACTATGCATAATTAGTTGGCAATGGCGTTCATGTTTAAAAGTGACCAAACCAGCATGGTGTCCCACCATAATGCCCTCTATCCTGAAGCCCAGCGTGGACGTGGAGGTGGTCGTGTCCTTCCACTGAAGGTAGCGACATTTGGTCACTCCTTTTTTTGTGTGCTCCTCAGCTGATGGGGCTGTAGGGTCTACTTTCACCATCTTATGGTACATGTCACTCCTCAGGGTGGTTTTGGAACGTTCTTTTACTAGCTCAGCTTCCTGGTATGTCCTGAGAAGAAGAAATTTATCTTATACAGCAGCAAACAATTGATTAGTGAAAAAACAATCTGATTTCCAGAAGGCATAAAGTGGTTCAACACAATGTTTTTTTTTCTTCAATCCTCTGTGTTTTGATTTATCCCAAGAAATACTGAGCCACAGTTATGGGTCTGAACGTGTTTATGGCTTTTCTGTGTGCTTTTTGTTCTCTGGTGTCTTCTAGTAGTTCAAAGCTTACTACTTTGTGAATTTTATGTTGAGAAATGAATTACAACGTATTTGAATCATGTGAAATGCTCAGTCATCCTGAGACTAAACGACTCTCCAACTACCTTGTACTTTGTTGACAGATTCAAAATTGTTAGCAAGTTATCTCCTTGCATACTGCAAAAAACAAACAAACAACAAAACAAACTGAAATAAGGCACACTTACCGGACTCCCATCTTACAGTCCATGATAACAGGCCTCCTCAGGCCGCAGAGTAGATCTTCCAGCCGGATGTAGCAGTGCTCCCCTCTGGTAACCAAACCGTAGTACTGCGGGACAAACGGTTTCAGCGGGTCCCGCATCAGGCAGTCCAGACACTTTGCCTCAGGTTCACTGTACAGTTTCAGGACCTCGCCCCCTTTACTTAGCTGGAAGTTACCTGTAGCCATCAGCAACCATCAGGGGGGAGACAAAAGGAGTGAGCATGTTGTTAGTGTCCGTGCTGCCTGATTTTAAATCCATAGACAATGAGCTAAATTAAATCATATGGAACTCTTTCAGAACTTTTACATACATGAAAATGTAAATGATGTAATGTAAACTGTACACATCACAATGCACTGAGTTTATACAAGGGTAAAAATCATTTGAAATTTTCAAGTGTGGCAGAGCTGCTCACGAATAGCCTCAGTAGAAATCAGTGACCTCAGTGTTTCCATTACTGGCATATTTGTTTATTGGTGTGACTCCCCTATCGTGTCTGATGGGGATGGTCTGTAACACACGTGCCTTGATGGCCAGCCAGCTGGACCCAGGAGCTCTGCCGGCGAAGGGACCAATGCATCATGGTCAGGAAGGTTTTCCAGGAGCGACACTGAGGCAAAAGATCGCAGATTAAGCTCTTTCACAGACAGCAGAGAGGAGTGTGTAAAAGTGATGTGAATAAAGAATGCGTGCATCACTGGATTATTTCAAGAACTATCGCTCATCCAGCACATTCTATTCACACACAAACCTCTGAACGCATTTTAGGCAAATAGGAATTCAGTGTCTTTTCCATGGACTCATCTATGCACAGACAGAGGAACCATCAAACCATCAAACCGTCAGCTGAACCACTGGTCTATCCTGTCAAACAGGCAGGTTGCACCTACTTTACAACTATAACAACAAGTGAGGGATATCCTGGTCTCTTTTACCTGATTGTCTGCATTCCTATAAGCAGGACTTAATCAAGATAACATTCACTCCACTGAGAACTGTAGCCAACAGCAGTTGCAATTATTATACAAAGCCATATCAAACAAACCTTTGTTAAAGAAAAATGTTAGTTGTAGCCAACTAACTTCTAATTACAGTCAACTAAGTCCAACTACTTGTTTTGTGTTAAATTTTGATAAATGGGGCAATTAAGATCAAATCTAGTTAATATTTGTTTCCCATCTCTTTGTGCCTCTAATCCATATCTCATTACCATCATTGAGCATCCTCTTAAGGGCTTGGGCTACTGTTTCTTCCAAACAGAGCATAGCTGGACACTTATTATCTACTTTGTATATACACAAAACAGACGCTAGCAGACTTAGATGTGGCATAGGAAAAAACAGGCGGTGAAGCAGAGCGGGGCATGCTCAGTGCAGACTTTGTCACGAAATAGTTGAGAAATTTAAATTTAAAATGTCCCAATAGTTTGATAGTAATTGGCAATCTGACTAATTATTCACAATAATCTAGCATTAAGAGATCCCACTCAGGAGCTGCTATTTACTGCTTACTTGTCTGTGTGTGACAGCCAGTACACTTTGAGCTCAAAGAGCGAACCTCTACTCCCTAACCGCCATCTCCTCACTGCTTCTCTCTGCTCCCATATCTGTAGCAGCAACAGCAGCATGCAAACGCCATTCAAATATGACCATGTCAAAGTCCTCTTTCAAGCTCATGCAAATCAGTAGGACCACAGGTGCAAAGAACAGTTGAGAAATACGTTTTTATGCCTCTTACATGGAAAACCCGAGTAGCCAGACATATGATAGAAGATGCTGGCTTTTTCCATTAGCTGTGTTTTCAAATCTAGTTTCAAAGTGAATCTGTGGATCATGGAGATGCTTTTCTCACCTTCCTGAAGCTGTTCCTCTTTGATGTTGCATCCTCTCCTTCACTGAAGACTTCATCACTCTCTGCTGAGGAGAGGTTGATGGAGGAGCAGGAGGAGGACGTGGATGATGAGTGCAACAGTCTGGCGAGAATTGGATGTGGATGTGCGGAGCCCTCTGTCATTCCATCGCCCTCATCCTCCTCTCCCTCAGGGCTCTCTCCTCTGCTGCTGTTCTCCCCCTGCACCGCTGAAGCTTCTTTGTCTTCTTCTTTTCTGACTTTTTCAAAACTGGAGCTTCTACTCCAGTGTTTCTCCTCATTGTTTGCGCCCCCTTCCCTCTCCTCGTCCAACAGCTCCATTTCCTTCACACTCTCCTCCACCCTTCTTTTACCACTCCATCTTCCTTTCTCCAAGCCTTCTGTGCCTTCAGGGTTTCCCCCAGATCTCTCCTTTCTCCTGGACCTCCATTTAGCCTTCACTCCGTCCTTTGGCCACCTTGGGTTCAGGTCTGTTTTTCTTTCTGTGCTTTTAGGTTTTTCCTCTCCAGCTTCATCTACATTTTGTTGGCACACAGTGTTTGATTCTGAATTAAACTCCTTGAACTCTCCGTCGTCTCCTAGTCCTCCAATACACTGATTATAGGGGGGGAAGCTTTTTGTTGTCAGGAGTTTGGGTCTGAATCGCTCTCGGATCTCTTTGCAGCTACCGGACGGCTTATCACTGATTAACAGATATTGAGGTGCCTCATCTGTTAGTCTGGAGCATGAGTCAGCGTTCTCTGTCTCCGTATCCATCGTCTCCATGTGGCTGTCATCTGAAGTATCCATGTTTGTGTCCGGCTGAAAGCGTTGATGGTGATTCTGTTCCATGAGCACACCATGTGTTTCTTCAACAAGGACGTGTTTACAAGAGGAGCACAGTTTTGAATATGTTTCAGGAAATACATACACAAATGTAAACTGCATCAACAACATTATGAAGCTATGTTTAAATGAAAAAAAAAAATGGAAATCTTAAACCACAAAAGTTCAACACCTTACCTCTTTCACCTTTTGAGGGATACAAAGCTGTCAGTGAGTTTCATCTCCCTCTCATTCCCTCTGCCACTGACACATTTTGCATGCAGTGACGTTTTTTTCAGAGCTTCATTCAGAGCTGCAGGATGGCCAACAGAGCCACAGGTCAGGATGATATCCAGGAATGACAGCATCAGACAGCACAGAGGACGGGGTTTCCCCTGCTGTAAAGTATACTTTAATACAACAGTTAGACAGAATATACACTGATTTTGACAGACTTTGTCTTTGAATGTAATCATTTTAGGATAATTCGTCATAATTCCACACACAGAATGTCTCAGATCTTTTGTCTACAATCTCACATTTTCTGATGTAAATATAGCATTTAAATATTGTTTTGCCAGCGTGGTGGGGACACCTTGCAAATGAAAGAAGCTTTTTCACAATGGCATCTTTCATGGCTGAAAGAAGAAAAAAGAAAAGCATCAAAGCACTAAACCTTATCATCCAATTGCACTACACGCAGTTTATTTGTTGTGGATTTACATCTACAGCCAAACATTCTCAGATTGTCACATCATTTTCCAAAAATGTATGAAAGGAAATCAAATCAACAACAAACATATATACACATACCCTCATGCAGACAAATGTTGAACGATTCATCCGTACATGCATGGGACAGATTATTGATTACGTTATATGTAGGATGGTTAGTGGTATGCGTACATTCATATGTAGGGAAATAGAATTAAATGTGAAAAACTTCCATGCTCCAAAAACAACATATCAGACATTTGACAAAGGACACATTTGCAATGAATATCCACGCAACAGAATATTTTATTGTTTAAAGAGCTGCAAAAACAAAACTGGACATTTACTTCTGTAAATGGCTCACTTTAAACGTTACAGGGGAAACAATGAAAAACTTTCCAACTTTTTGGAAAATTCAAAGATTCAAACTAACAAAAGCAGGTAAAATGAGAGAATAGTTAGGGTACAAAGGTGTCAATGGCATTAATGGTACAAGACTCCAATGAGAAAGGTGAAAAGGTATACAATGTACTCTTTCTGAATATTTTTCCATCCAAGATGTGTATTCAGTCTATCTAATATTCTTTAATCTTATAAACATGGATCACAGTACATTTGACCATCTCTCTTCATTAAAGCTCTCAGGCTGCCTCAGATTCTGTCAATTCACTTTGACCAGATACATTTCCATTCTTCATCTCTGTGTCATTGCCGCGGTGTGAATAGAGCTCCTCAGTGTCCCGATCTGCAGGGTCCATGTGGTGAGGCCCCATCACCTCTGCAGTTCCTGTCAAATAATTCATTCCTGCAGTTTAATCCTCTGAAAACACTTAAACAGTCGACACAAAGTGACAGATCCAAACTACCTAAAGCTGTAGCAATATCGTAGAATAATAAAACTTTAATTAATGTGTTATGTGCGTCGTTTCTTTGCACCTGCAGCAAACTCGTTCTCATCATGCGGCTGGTTGTTTGTGTTATCCATCATTGTGGGCAGCTGCTCATCCTCTGTAAGCTACAAACAGCAGCTAAGTCAGAGATAGATGGTCTGAGCGGCCATGAAAAGAGATTCACAGCTAGCTGTTCGCTCTCAGTTACACACACATTGTGAAATGTGCAGCTTAGTAATCCAGTTATGGATCTGTCATCTCACCTGCTTTGGTTTCTGCCTAAACAGCTGCCCTGTGGTGCTGAGAATCAAGAGGAAGCTGAGGAAGATGAAGTTAGTGGAAATGCCCACAAAGGCAGACAGGACAGGGTAATAGAAGAGCAAGTATCTGATGAAAGAACACAGAAAAGGAAAAATGTTACTGTGTTACAGTTCTGATATATTCATCAGGTGTTTAAAAATAATCAAAAAACTATTTGATTAAAACCATAGGAACCTATTTTGTTTTATCATTTGCTGCCTGTGTCCATGACCAAGAGTTGGATTAAATGTGTATGGAAATGAATGGATGGATCAGTTTATCTTAATCTTTACAGTCTTTCACGACAAATGTAACCTACATTAAAGTTGCTGTCCAATTCTACAAACTTATAATCCATATCAGGCACTATTATTTCTATTTCAGCCATGATTCTGTGACAATTAATAAAACTTGACTGGAAGGGTAGGCAGATAAGTAAAGAGTCACCATGGAGAGACCCCCTGTCCTGTGACCTGAAGCTCTAATCTGTGATCTTCTGACGAATATAACCAAAAACTGATGTTCAAAACAATCCTGACCCAAAGCAACATTCAGACATGACTTGAACAATAAAACGTGAGTAACAAAGAGCTGTGTGCATTCAGTAAGCCTCACCTTATGCCAGTGAAATGAGCGTGAATCAACAGGTGGGATGAGTAGATCTGAACCTTGTTGGACAGGATCTCGATGACAGCTGTGACTGAAGGGACATACTGAACACAGGGAAAAAGTGACTTCACTTCCCTAAACCTTAACCATAACCATAACCTACACACTTAGGAACCTTGGACTTCAATATCTCCCTCTGACTTACAGGGTCATCTATGTACTCTGAATAGAGCTCGACATCCAGTACTTGTTTTTGCTCGGCTGCTCCCGTCAGGAAGGCTGGCAGGAGAAGTAGTGTTCCCAGAGTCTTCAGCAGATCTGACTGGTACCGCAGCATGCCCTGACCACAACAGAAAAAGATGCTCACAGTGAGAAGATGATGGGTATAGAGAAAAGGATGAGTGATGCTGTAAAGAATGTTGACACCTCACCAGGACTCCTCGATTGGGTGAGAAGCTGAATTAGAATGAATTCAAACAAAGCCGATCTCAGTGGACCCTTTTTTTCCCTTCAATTAATTGCAGGTATTCACCAATTAACCCAAACATTTCTGTTTTGCTTTAGTATGAGGCAAATGGCATCGTTTGTATTAAGCCTTTCTGAAAGCCTGATGTTCTTTATGCATGTACAGTTCTAAAGGACTGAGAGCCTATTTCAAATTTAAAAAATGTAAATTCAGTGGGTCATTGGAACCACAACTGCAAGTGAAACTCTACCATGCAAAATAAAATGAATAAAAATAAAAGAGAACAATCTAACGTGATACACTTAAGAACATATAAAAATGTTATTTGTTTTGTTTACAGGGAATTCAAAAGACAGCCCAAGTGATGGAAAGGGGCATGTATCAGTGCACATAACATGAGTAAGTTATCCATCTGTGAAGAACAACTGAATCATTTATAGGTTTTAGATTTTGAAGCAACCTATGCTTCCCCTGTTTTATCAATATATCACACAGTGTAATATTGTTTTTATAACACTTGTGATATAGTTGAATTAATAAAAAAAAGGATCATAAATATAACCCTGACATGAAGTCTTGCAGGATTAAAATATTTGCTTAACAGATGAACACATTAATATAGAGGGTAGACTGTTTTTCAATCTTTAGATAAATGCCCTGTCACTGTTTCACTTCGACTTCTTGTGACTGTTGTGTGAGCCATCGGAACACGGAGATCACCTTCTGTTGCAGTGGCCCTCAGCACAAGCGTAAGCAGCTCTAATCTGGCATTGATGCGGCTGTGTGATTAAAAGGTTATTTTGCGTCAGCACTGTACTCACAAAGCGAGAGCTGGAGGCTTTCAGCAGTTGTCTGGCCTGAGAAACACACAGCATATTAATCACTAGTGCTACCGGTCATTAGTTACATACACATATGTGTGGCAGCCCGGTAAAGGGCAGCTTACAGAGCGAGCGGAGGCTGCAACTTGCCCTCCATGCTCCGAAAAGCAGGTCGTTTTAATCATGAACATCCCTAAGTCATGATTGGTTGGAGAATCGGGCATCTCCAACTGCAAAGAGATCCGATAGACTTGGCCGAATGTCATCACCTGTACGGACATTAAACATAAATCACAGTCTTAGATTGACTCGTTTTGTTGTACTCAATAACAATCATACTTTAGATATATTCCCACACATAAACATACATGTTGTTTGTTTCTCATCAGAGAGACGTTGGCAACGGGATAAGAACAATAGAATGAAGAAAGAGATTCACAGTCTGTCCTGTGGAGACAAAGTTAAAGGGGGCAGAAAATCACTGAAAGCAAAAAAGAAGGAATCATCAGAGTTTACAGTTGCACAAAAATATACACACACCTGTAGTAATAGTGCACGGGTGAAGTGAAAGTTGCTCTCGGCATGTATGAGTAGTAGAAGCTGCCATATAAAAAGGCAGAAATCCAGAGGAGCAGGAGGAGCACAGAGAATACTGTGAAACTCTGTACAACTTTCAGACGGAGCTGTAAAACTGTGCTGGTGATGGCATTCTGGAGCTTCAGCAGGACTCGGCCGAATACGACAGAAAGTTCTCCAATACCTTCTGAAGACAGATTACTTTCTTGTTCCATGACACCTATATTCCACCAAAAAGCTGAGCCAAAAGAAATAAAGCAAATCAAATAAAGCAAACGGGAGTCAAAAGGAACTGCGCAATCAGTTAGAGGTGCTACCAGAATCCAGTGAAAAATTGTCTGGTTGGTATTTTCTTGAAATGAGGACACAGAGTGATGCACACAGGCCCTGAAATTCAGTGTGGCAGATGACGTCAGGAAGTGAGGACACAATCTCCTACATTCAAAGATCTGAGCCCAGCAAAACCACTGAGACCAATCACAGTCACAAGCAGAGGCATTTCAAATCAGGTGTCTCCAAAGCTTTTTCACAGACTGCTGCATCTCTGCAGTGGAAGAGTTCAGAAGCCAAAAGAAGACGCTTTTTAAGAACAGGCTGGTTGTGTTTTCAGTATCTATGAAATCATGCAAAATGGTTTCTCAATTTGTGCAACAGTGAGGCTTTTTTAAATAACAGAGGGAGCATTTTTAGATGGAACAACACAGTCACAGGACTGTCAGTGATGAAACATTCGTTCTAACGGAAATTCAGTCAAGAGTCTGTTCATTATCCTGCAGTAACGTATTGTCAGTTCTCTACTGCCCTGCTATTAAAAACTCACCCCTGGTTTCTGTTGGCCGACGACGAGGTGTTTGGAAATAACTCCCAGAAGTCTGTCAGACAACGCTGGTCATGGTGAAATGTGAGCGAGACCACACTCAAGTATTTTATTATTGGTTCTGCAAAAGCTGTCATTGGACAGGGCTCAGCCCATCCCACATTAAGAGACATGGACATTTAAACTGGGACAGAGTTCTTTGAAAAGGCGATGGCAGCAGGGGAAACGCTTGACCGGAGTAACATGATGAGTACTTACCTATGAGTACAATAAGTTTTTCAAAATCCAAAAGCTTGTTTCAAATTATATGTGATCTCTTTTAGATAGATTTTAGATGGCAAAAGACATGCAGCTAACATGACGTAGACCACAATTCAGCCAAATGGCCATCAAATTACCACTGAATCTTTATCTCTATAGCAAACCTTTGTCCTGCACTGCATCTGATCATCTTTAATCTTTGTAACACAGAGACCGAATCCCCTGTGATCTGATTTTTCTCCACATACTTATATATAAACAGAGCATATAATGGGGCTCCCTCACTTTAGACTTAGATTTAACTTATTACTTAAATTATATTTTATTGACATGATATTTGTATTCTGTATCTGATTAAAATAGTTTTATGATTTAGTATGTGATAAAGACAACCTATTGCACTTTCAAAATGACAAATAAAAGATAACATTAGAAAAGGACACACAGTAAAATCTTTGTGCTACCCACAGCTTCAGTATTAGTCACACTGCATTTAGCAAGTATGAGCTTGCAAAGGAATTTTGTATCCATCCTTTTTAGGGGAATTTTCCTTTGTTCTTCCAAGAAATGTTTGACGCTGTCTTGCATGTAGTGTTTTTCAGAAATGGTACTTTTAGTCACAAGGTCATGGAAAATCTTCAGTTACTCAATTGTGCTAGCAGGCCAAAGATCGTTATCTTGATATAAAAGCAATTTCTTTTGAAGTTCACATTTCTTAAAAATTGTGTGATGTTTTCTTCAACAATTTAGCATTAATTCTTTCCTCTAACAGTATTATTTCCCTGTGTCACTGGCTGCAACATAAACCTGAAACACAAGGTCAAAGAAGAACATTTAGTAGGCATTCTAATTAGGCAACATTATGTTTCTATTTTAATCTTTCCGTATGCCAGACCAAGCAGTTTAGTTGCCTTTCAAACAAACAATAAAGTGAAAGTGATGATTTAACTGAAACACAGAATCAATTAAATAAATGTAATCTCTGCGTTCCTGTATAAAGTGTGCCTGTCCCTAAACCCCCTAAAGCCTTTAAAGTAGCATCTCACTGGTCTGGTAGAAGAGATATAACACCCCTTTGGTTACTGTAACAATTGTTTATTTTTATCATGAATACAATTATGTAAAAAAAATAATACTATTAAACGGCTGTAAAGCATAACACTTTGCTCTTCAAAAAAGAAGAAAACAAAATCAAAATCTCAACTGACAGATTTAACAACAAGTTTAGTTGATCCTTGTGTAACAAACAACACATTTCTTAATCAACATATCAAAACTCCTCCTCTGGGTGAGTGTCACCAAGAGGGGGAGACAATCTGCCAAAAGGATCCCGCCAAAAGATATTTTAGCGTAGAAGAAGACACTTTCGTCCAATCACAAGCCGTGTCCAGCTCTACCCGGAAAAGGTTTCTATGTTTTGCTCGCCTTTGGGAGACAGCTTCAGGGTAAAACATGAATATTGTTTCTCTTATAGCTATTTCGGTCGGTTTTTCCAAAATGCACTATGTTCATAGAGAATATTTAAAAGCTGGGATGGGACGTGCACTTTGTTTAGGGGAGTAATCTGTATAAGTAGTAACATGGAGTTGTCAGTAACTTAAGTACAACTTCTCACAAAGCAGCATCTTGGCAGCATTGGAGCCTCCTGTTGACCTGACAGCTCATTTAAAAAAAAAACATTAAACAGATAGCTAGTTAAAGATCATATGGTGCTTCAAACATATTGTAACAATTTAATCTAGGTTGGTCTGAGAGAGTTTTTGTTCTGTCTGGCTACAGGATGTCTTGCAACAACACTGTCACTCATCTTCAAGTGTCCTCAGTTGGGCAGGCAAAGCAAGAGCCTGTCCATCTCCTGCCCTGTGAGATTGAACACAACGGGCCGGCCAAAGTCTCTGAGTTTTTCACCTCTACCACAAAAGATCACAAACAAGGTACATTTCATTTAGTCTGATGTCTACAATGGTTGCATCCTCTCTATCCCTTACACCTCAGCTTCTCAACCAAATTCTGGTTTGTACAGTAAACTGATGACGCACAAAACTGAAATGAATATTGAAATGACCATCATCTATGAGCACTTGCCTTTGGTCACTTTTTGAAAAATATTGAAAAGGGTATTTAAATTGTTCTGGTGATGAACAATGTAGGACATGCTATGGCATGATTCATGTGGATATATCAACAACTTTTCTGCATTTTTTTCCAAATGTAGAGAAGACGGTGTCATTCAGAGGACGTGGGCTGAAGGGCCAGGAGATTGCCCTTCCACAAGGCTACACAGGCTTGGTGCTTAAAGAGATCAACAAGCCTGGCTCTGATCAAGAGGTAAATCCGTTCGAACTACCCTTTTCTGATACAAAACTAACGCTCCAGATCATTCTACACATGGAAAAGCCCTTTGTGCCTGACGCAGGACATCAGTTTGCGGTTAAATAACCTGTGAATTTTGAAATGATCGTGTCCAGGACAGGACTGTGAGGGCGTCGTCTGTGTTTGACTCACTGACCTACTGGAACCTGGAGACTCCACCAAATTCAGATGACCCTGTGGTGATGGCAATGGATTGGCCTGAGCTGGCTGATGCGGTGAGTTGCCTTTAGACATGACTTCAGAAGGATGGTTAATCCAAAGACTAGACTTATGTACTTCTCCTTTGAGCTTACAGTTGTTTAAGAGATGTTTTTAATTTGTGTAATATAAAAGTTGGATCTTGCAAACAGAGGATACAAAATGTTAAGAGAATAATCTGAGTCAGATTTTCACTGTTTCCTCTTATCTGAAACATATTTTCATAACTTATAAAAGATCCATCCTAAAGCAGTGTTTTGTTTAAGTTGAATCCATTCAAAATACCAAGATGTGGAGAGGTTTGTAAGCATGTGCTGATGTTGAGTCTCTTCTGCAGATCCATGGACCAGTTGCAGACTGAGATTTGGTGTCCTGTTCAGATCTGGCTCACTGATGTCATCAGCATGTTACGACTGGAGAGACTTTAGAAAATGGATCCGTTAAGCTGTTTTACAAAGGTTTAGATTTTTGTTCATATTGTTTTGTACATAAATTTAAAAAAATCAAGAAAGTATTTTGTGTCATTTACTGAGGCACAGCAACATGTAAGCACGTTTCCAATGAACAGTGTTTATTCACACAACATTTATATTCACTGGCAACTACAGTGCTGTAAATAATCATATTATCCCTCATGAGTATCCAGTTTAAGCTCTTAGACTTGTATGGTGATGGAAACACAGGTCACTGTACTGGAAATGTCCCAAACATGTCAAATAGTGCAGAAGAGATTCCAGAGTGTCAAACAGTCAATCAGTCACAAAGTTTAGTGTTAGAAATTCAGAAAAGAAACTGCATGTGTAGCTATTTACAGCTCGCTTTATCAAAACACAGGAAAACATGAGGAAAACCAAACACTAACTGATACACTCCTGCTTTTCAAGGAACAAAGGCCGCAAGGTCAACAACAATGATAAAATGAAATGGAAGAAGATCAGCATCTGTAAAATATCCAGCAGTTCGTGCATCATAAGCAGTGCTTAGTGAATCCAACTAAACTTTCGAAAACTGTTTATCTTAAAGGAAGTGACTTTATAGGCCTTTGCTTTTTTTTAATGTTCATCAGCTGCCACATATTCCTCGTCTGAGACTTTGGGCTGAGACAAGAGGGAGGAATGTAAGAGAGAACGAGGTCGAGAGAAGTGTCTCTGAGAAAGCAGCTCTTTGTTTCCCCCCAAAGAGAGAACACGACAGTACTGCAGTTGCTTTGCTGATGCAGTCTTACTGTGAGTACAGCAAATGAAGGACCATAAGAAAAAGTGTCTGAAAACTGCAAACCTGAGGTGGGAAATACCTCTGCACTGGAATTAAATCCCCTTCGGTTAGGTGTGGCTTGGTAATTCTTTACAGATTTGTGGCCCAATGGGACTCCAGTTGTTCTTCAACATTTAAAAATGAGAACGATATCACAGCCGTAGTGCAGCTGTTAGTCTGTTCTTAAGATAAAACTTAGTTTTAGCAGGAGGGACAATCATTATAGATAAGAAAACTGAGAGCAGAGTGGTTTTAGTTACAAAATGAGTCAACAGGAGGCAGTGGAAGTTTAGTTTGGTTAAACTTTGGTACCAATCATACTGCAGCACCTAATTAGATTGATGTGGGTTGAGTTTACATCCCTTAAACAAACCAGTGCTGAAGAAGTGCAAGAAAAAGAATATTTCAGTTCAATGTATTCAATTTTAACTGATAACTTCACAATGATCATATTTGTATAATTTTAAACAAGTGGACGGAACAATGATTAAATTAATTTAAAATAATTTCAGTGCTCAAACAACAGACTTTCCATGGAAACGCAGACTGTAGACAGACCAATATACACCATTTATAACATATTCTTTCGAGTGGGTCGGTGCCCTGCTTAGTGGGTGATCATCAGTATAAGAACATATTTACTTCTGCAGTTAGAAGCTCCTTACTTGTACCACTATGTGCTGGGGTGTTGCTTCCCTGATATGCAAATAAGGATGTAAAATAAAAAAAAGATTAGCTGATAAGAAAAATAAAAAACATACAAAAAACAAAAACAACATAATATTCTGTGTCTGTGCCCTCTGCAATAAAATAAATGTTAAGGTAAATGTCCAAATATTTTTGTTTATCTTAAAAGTTGGACTTTAAAAAAAAAAAAATTCTTCTGAATTAAGATGATAAAAATCAGAGCTAGGATAGTAAATGAATGTTTGTGTATGCATGTTTGGATTTAGAGCTAATAAGAGTGTTGGTTAGCTGAGAGAAGGGGGTGGAGGCTGGGGTGGTAGGGGAGGCTCGGTGTCCGCCTTGCTGCGTTTGGCCGGTAAAGAGTGGTCATGAGCTTTCCGAATGTGCCGGTACAAGTCTCCCGACTGCGTGTAGCTCCGGTAGCAGTAGCGGCACTCATAAGGGCGCTCCCGTGTGTGCACAATGGCATGCCGCCTTAGGGTGTACGCGCATGAGAAAGTCTTCCCACAGACCCCGCATGTTGGGACATCCTCCACAAAACTCCCCATGGAGTCCTGCAGGTCCTGGAAGTAGGAGGGAGGGTCTGAATGCTGCAGAGATGTGGACGGAGTAATGAGGGAGGCAGTAAAGGTTGCAGTATCTTGAGAGGAAGGTCCAGCACCAGAGGAGGGGGAAGAGGGAGAGAGGGGGAGGGAGTAGTAATTTGAATGGGAGTTGATTTGTAAGAGACCCTGTGGATGGGAGGGGAGAAACTGAGAGATGCCCAGCTCCTCCTCCTCCTCCTCCTGGGTGTCATCTTCAAATTCATCTTCCACTTCCATCACTGGGTCTCCGTCCCCGTTTTCCTCTTTCTCTTCCTCTGGCTCTTCATCAGAAATAACAATGGCCTCCACTTTAACTTTCACAGTGTCTCTGAACTTTCCTGTCCTCACTTCACCCACAAGAGACTGGGATCTATCTCTTATTGTAATGGGTGGAGCTCTAATGTCCTCCTCAGGTCCTTGAAGAGTCTGAGCGGAATGGTCTGAGTCTGAGCTCTGCCGTCGGAGGGACACTGTGCTCTGAATTTGTAGTTGGGGAGGTGTGTGCTGGAGTGATGGGCGTCCTGTGTTTGTCTGTAGCTTTGAGGTCAGAGCTGGTGCTTGGATTAACATAACCATCGGCTGTCCCTTGCCCAGTATGTCTCTGTGGTCAGTCTCCGCGTGGACCCCTACAGAGTCGTCACAGATCATCCGGTTTTCATCTGGGAGTGTGCTGGTGAAGGGGCGAGATACTGACTGGCCGAGAGCGACGACCGACTGACCACCAGTTTGGCTCAGCGGGAACAGGGAGGAGGAGGAAGATGAGGAAGGCTGCTGACTACCGGAGTTGCTAGAGATGAAAAATATAAAAACAGTCTTTCAGTTACAACAGTTAGTAAGTCCTTCTTTATCTTTGCAAATTACATAAACAACATATTACACATTGCCAACCCTGGTTGATTATATAGTAATAATACAAAATAAATGATATTGGTATATATATGTGCTATATTGTCCATTGTTTGTCGGATTTGATCTGACCTGTACATCTCGGTGGTGCTACAGGGACTGCAGAGAGCTGATCCTTCTGCCTGAGCTCTACTGCCCAGCCTGGTGTGACCTGCAGAGGTATGGGGATGCTGGCTTGTTGTGAGCCCCTGCAGCAGCTCCCCACCAGGGGGCAGAGGAGGGAGATCCATGCCTGGCTGGGTAGTATCGGCTAGGTCAGGACTCAGAGGAGTCTGAACTCGTGCCTCTGATGAATTCCCACAAGTCCTCTGCTCAGACTTTACAAACCCTGCCTGACTCCTCTCTCCCACTTGGGACACTGATAGCTGTGGCACTGCGATTGTGCTGGGATCTGAGTCATCAGCAGCCATAGCCACCATAGTGTGAGCTCCTCTCTCATCCTCGTTCCCCGTTTCTGATGCCTTTCTGGATCCGCCGTTATCTTCAGAGCGTGTGCTGTCGGCCTCAGCCATGGGCCCTCGTCTTTGCAGCCGTTTCTTGCACACCCTCACCACCTCGTTCATGTGAAGAAAGCTTGCTGCGGCCAATATGTCTTCCACTGGGGGAGCCCTATCCAGCTGCAGCACACCTTCATAGATAAAGTCCAAGAGCAAGCCAAATGCAGCAGACGTGACGATGTCACTGTCAAGCGTGACAGAGCTGCAAGTGCTGTTTCCCCCGGGAGAGTCAGAGTAGAACATGTGGAAGAAAGGCGAGCATGAGGCCAAAACAGCCCGGTGCGCCAGGAAACGCGATGAGCCCACCACAACAGTACAGTCACAGAGGAAACCCCGCTGCCGCTGGCAACGAAGTGCTGAGAGCAGCTGCTGGGAGTGAAGGGGAAACTCCATCACCTGTGCAACAGATAAGACAAAAACTGATCAAAAGGAGGTGACCCACAAGTGGAGGCTTCATTCACTGAATAGTCATTTAAAAGTTAATGTTCAATGTTTTTGAAGTGTAATTTTACTGTTTGCTTTATTGTCTGGAAAAAAGGGTGATGCTCTATACAGTTTTACTGTGTAATGTTAAAGATGTACAATGACAGAAAAATATTTTGAGTTTGACTAATGATGTTAAAAATGCGCAAAATAGATTATATACAGTATCACAATGATAGTGTTATAAATTATGTCAATAATAAAAATATATAAAAAAGAAATTCCTTTTTGGTATAAAGGTATGATTCGCACAAGTCCATTTCTGTGGGTTTTTTTATCAAATCTTTGAACTTTTCCTCTTATTAATGTGAACTAACCATCAGAGAATACTTAAGAAAATGAAAATAAAGTAACTTAAACAGAATATTTGAACACCTGTAGTAAGATAAATAAATATGATAATCATATTGAAAAATTATTATGAATATATAAAAGTAATACGCAACAAGAAAACCTACAGAGAGCGCGGCGTGTTTCCTTCCCTGACAGTTGAGTCTTATTCTGTCACACTTTAACGTTTCCCACGTCGCGTCTCCATGGTAACCAGCCCGAATTCGTCTGGCTGCTGACACTGTGATCGTGAACCATGTCACGTAACGTTAAACACAAACAAAGAATCAGACACATTTGAGAACAATAAATGGCTAAAGCATGCAAAAAAAGGCTACCGCTGATCCTAATATCCAGAAAGAAAAGCAAACAGCCGTAGCTAAAAGATGCTACCTGCAGCTAGCTTACAGTTCAGGTTTAAGTTCAATTCCAGCATGCAATGCTTCTACAGCATACATTTATGAGCAGAACCTTAGGGGGTAACTTAAATAAACTGCTTCTTTAAACTTACAGGACTTACGTTTTTTTTTCAATGTGCAATATTTTTTTCTTACCTGCAGTTCTTCAGAGCACAGCTGTATGTTTTCCTCCGAGTCTGAGGAGCAGCTTTTCTTCTGTGGTGCCAGATTCGCGTGTTCCAGGTAGCCACACTGCCACCTACCGGCGACAAGGGGGACAAGACAGGAAGTAGAAGCAAAATGCTTTTTTTGTTTTGTTTACAGGAGTTCGTATCGTAAGAATAATGTGTAATACTTGTGAAGATGACAATCTTTAATCTTCTAAAAAAGCAATGAGGGCCAGGCGATAATTTAATAGTGTGTCATTTGTAACGTCTGTCCAAAGCTCTAGAACGAGTTTGAATTAAATTGTCTGTATGCAAATGGACAGTTGCAGAGGAGGGAGAGGAGGAAGAAGAGGAAGAGAAAAAGGAAATCGTGATGGACAGGTGGGATTATAGACTATTCGTTAATTGGTAAAAGGAGTTTATTTAGTCAGTTTAATGATTTTTTAGTCGTTACACATTAGCTGTCAGGGAGCATAACTGTCTGGACATAGGAAAGCCTTGGTACTATATTTAAACTCAAGCTGTAATTCGAGATGAATTTGTGTGTTTGTGTTCTAAGTTATACCTCCTTCTCCTGCAGGACAGAGACGTCCTTCTGTCTAAATCCATGTCTTATGCACTACGTCATCGGGCGAACCAGATGGGTCTTGAAATGGGTACAGGTAAATTCTACAATCTGGTCTGAGTAACTTCAAAATTAATTGTCTGTAATAGATTCTTGCACTGCTGTGATTGCTAATGAGCATTGAATAAATGTAGAAACTTTTGTATATAGTACAAATGCAGATCCTTTCCTGTGATTGCTATTATTTTCCCACGACTGCTCGTGAGGGTAAAACAACCATGAAAGTGTAACCATAGTTGTAACAGCTTCCGTACCCTGCAGATGGCTTCCTGTTTGTGGACGATCTCCTGGCAAACCCACAGTTCTCCAAATACACTTTAGAAGATGTTCAGAGAGTCGTGGCCACAAATGACAAACAGCGCTTTAAGCTCCGTTCCCACCCAGAGAACGGTCGTCTGCAGATTCGAGCCAATCAGGGTCATTCATTACAGGTAGGCAAAATAAAGGGGCTATTCGGCGACTAATACATTTGCAAGTTGTACTTCAAATTAACATTGTAGTATGATAGATTAAAGTCCATAGCTTTTCATTTCCATAATAAATGCACCAAACATTATGAATGTCATCAGATCAAACCCGCCTTTATACACCCTAATCTTCTGGATTTCCCTACATCCAATGCTACATTTCTTCCTCAATCAGGTTAGGGATCTGGCTCTGAAACCGGTTCTATCTGGTTCTCCAGACGTCCCTGCTGAGGCTGTTCATGGCTCGTACCTCCGCAACTGGAGGTCCATCCAGCAACAGGGCCTAAGCCGCATGAAGAGGACACACATCCACCTGGCACCCGGACTGCCAGGAGAGGATGGCGTCATCAGTGGTATGCTTTGAGCTAAAACATAAAAAATCAATTATACCTGAATTAAGAGCAGTTTGACTGTTTTTTTGTGTTTTAATTTTCCACTAGGCATGAGAAAAAATTGTGATCTAGCTCTGTTTATTGATGTCCCCAAAGCACTTGCTGGTAAGATTAACCACTCATAGCTGCAGCCAATAGTCTATATTCACCCTGTATGTGAGAAAATCAATATCTTACGAGTGTTTTATGTGTGTGTATCTGACTGGTGCAGACGGTATTGAGTTCTTCTGGTCAGATAATGGGGTACTGCTGACGGCTGGTGATGCTGAGGGTAAACTTCTCCCTAAATACTTCATTCGAGCCGTCAGATTAAGACCTACAAGTAAGAAAAACTGAAGCACTGATGCAGCAGTGTATATCTGAAGAAACAGCGATTGAGATCCAGTATTTACATGTTGACTGTTGTCACCTCTGTGTTTCAGGGAGCATGCTGCCGCTGCAGTAGCAGCAGCAGAGGATGCCATTCGTCCACTGGTCATGTAGCTGTATTCCATGGCTGCTGGATGCTCAGTGTTTATTGGTTTCTTTGGTAATACTTTTTTTTCCTGCAGAACCCTTGTCAAGTGATTTATTTACTCTTAAAATCTCGATCTAAAAATCACCACACAGGTAAAAACAAAACAGAATGGACAAAAGAAATAGGCTTTTATTTATTTTCGTTCACCTCAACAAGATTACTGTCTGGTGATGTGTGAAAAGTTTGAATATCTTGACAATGCTGCTACTTGACTATAGGCAACCAGCCGAGAGTGTTAGAATTAGGATCGTGACATGCTGTTCATGGTCCATCACATGACTGAGTATGGGAATCAAAGGATGCAGACACTGTGGTTTCTTCTAAGATATAGAGGCACACACACATTCTCACCGAACATGAGTGCGGCTTAGATAATAGTTTGGAAACTTCCTGAAACGGCATAAAATATCATGAAGAGGCAAGAAAATGAAAATAAATGGTGAAATGCTGCTTTTATCTGTGTATTTTTTATTTAGATTTTTTCCGTAAACATTTCATGCTTGCAATCATTTGAATTTTAGTTGTGATATATAAATGCTTTTTTTTTAAGTGTTGCCATTAATAAACTATCTGGTTATGATGAGCCTCCAGCTCTTCGGAAAGCAAAGTCCTTCACCCCGCGCAACACAACTGAGTGTAAAATAGTTGTGACTGGCTGATTTAGCTGTTGATTTCTTTTCAGAGAAATTGATTATTAAGCATACTGATCTTGGACCAGATGGCCTGTAATTTTCACCCAGCGGTAGTCCATTATAAAGGGGGGGGGGTTAACCACGGCTTCACCTGCGTGAACGTGTTACATCTGCCATGCACAGGTGTAACTTACAGATAATATGTGTGGATTACAAATGCATGATCCAAACCTGGCTGGAGTGATGTACCTTGTATGTAACATAAAATCCTCTTTCACTTATGTTTTCCACTCATGAGACACATATTGGAAGGATCCAGTTTTTCTGTGTTCACTCTCAAAGAGCTTCATGGCCTCCAGTAAGCTTATGGAAAAGCTCCTCGTTGAGTGTGTCGCTCTTCTCACGACTGCGGGTTGACATGAAAATGTAGCCTCCGATGAACTCGTGAACGATTTTGCAGTCGGCAGTGACACAGCTGAAGGCAATGTTGACATTCCCCTCGAACTCTATGGCTACCTGAAGGAGTCAAGAGCACAAAGAGGCCAACGTTAGTTAAAGAGATGGCAACACATGGGGGATTCAAATATTCGCACTGTGTACATGTTTAAAAGGGATAGTTTGCTCATTTGTTAATATGCAGCAAAATCTGTTTTTGTTAACAGATCAGCCCTCAATCAAATTAACTGTTCTGGGGGAAGACACCCTCTTTGTGCGAGAAACACGGTTTGTTAGGCGTCTCGTGTTAGCTGGGCTGACGGCAGGCCCCTGAGCACCATGAGTCTGACCTGTCGTATGTCCCAGTTGACGTTCCACTGCTTCATGTTGTTGTAGCGCCAAGTCTTCACCACATCACCCACACCCAGGTCGATACGGATAAGGCGGTTCGGGGCTATGCCTAGGACCTCATCTTTTCGACTTCCCTTAAACCTGCAGGCAGAAATAATTTGTGAGTCTTCTTTACTGTAAAACTTACTTTAAAAAGCAAAAAACTGTCCTCAGAAATCAGGAACTGCTATAGATATAGATAACTGCCAGACATGTTATATTTGTTATGATAGCAATGCCTTACAGAGTCTGAATTGATTGTTGAAAGCTTAGAGTTAAACTTTAAATTGAACCTGACAACAATGTATGACAGCCCAAAGTCTGGCAGGGCCTGCCATATCTGCAGGAAGCGCATCACGCCATCTGTCAGGGAGAGCTGAGCCACATTCTGGTACGCGTCCAGGATACGAGGGGTCAGCTGGAGGAGCAGGCACAGGGAAAATGTCAGATGTAATTACAGTTTTGCTGCCTCGAACACAAGCTATGGAGAAGTTGGTTGGATGCTCATTTAGCTCAGTTGGACGATATCCATGTAGTGCTTTCAAGAAAAAAGACTGATTTGATTTCAGCTGGTAATGTGTACCACCAGTAATGTTTCAAACACGGAACATAGGATGAGTAAATGCTCTGCGGTGGACTATATTATTTGTCATACCAGTTTGGGCTTGTACTTCTTATGGTAGCGGGGTGACACCAGACTGTGAGGATTGATGCTTTCGTTGCTGGAATCTGCACTGCCATTGGAACCAGAGTTGGACTTTTGCATAGCCAGGAAGGAACGGATACTTTCGATCTCACTGTGAAAGCTGCTGTCTGCAAGACTCTTGCCCTTGGAGGCCAGCCGACATCCAGCCATCCACTGAGCGTACTGCTGCTCCTGCAGACCACAGTGGGAACAAGCGTTAGACAGGTGGGACTGCGGGCAGGGGTGAGAAGACGAGACTGAGATAAAGGTGGTGAAAACAACAGGATGTTGGGCACAGAGAGGAGAAATGTTGGTGTGTGGCCTCACGTTCTCACAGCGCAGAAAGACCTCATTCATGCCCTCAGGTGCTGGCACCAGCAGTTTGATAAGGAACTTCTGTGCCGCCACATTAACGTCTGGTGCCACCTCACAGCCTAAGGACAGGATTTATGGGTTAGCTCCTGAGAAGAGGTCAGAAGAAAAACCGACATCGGAGAGCTTTTTGTTTGTGTGCATTTTCCTATTAAGTTTGACATAATGCTGTAGAATTCGGCCAGTAGTATTGTAATTAAAAATTCAATGAATCTAAACTAATTTATAGCTCTGTTGATGACGGTAAGAAAAGATAACGCTGATGATGAAAAAAATACACTACAGGATTTATTTGTACCTTTGAGGCTGATCTGTTGAATTGGCTCCCCAATGCTTTCCTCTTTGCTCTTGAAATAAGAGATGGAGGTATCTTGGAACTTGAACCAATATTGCTTGTAACCTTTCAAAGTCAGCCTCTTGGGCCTGAAGAACAAGAACCATGTTCAGTTCCACAAAAACACTTTCCTGTTCATGTTATTGCATTCTCTTTTTAAAAGAGAAATGTGGTACATCTTTTTAACAGAAAACAAATCTTACCTAAATATCTTCAGATAGTCATTGAGTTGTGGTGCAGTCATGTTTTCCTGGATAAAGAAAACTTAGTGGTGAACAACTCTTCCTGTCATATTCAGTTCCTTAAAGCTTCTCAGTTATGAACAACTTCATGAAAATAACCAAAAAAATTGAGTTATTTAAAACTTCTTTCCAATTTCAAATAGCTGAAATTTTAACAGATACCATTCAGATGTTAACATTAGTAAGTCAGTAAAATCTGTCTGACCAGCAGTTCAGATGCAGAGCTACTCTCTCCCTCCATTTTGACCTCCAGGGACTGCAGGGCGGACTCCAGGTCATCCATCGCTGCACTGGAGCTCACCATCTGGGGCTCTGACTCAGACACCTTACTGATGTGGTACTGTGTGAGTTTGAACATGAGACAGAGGAAACAGACCCTTTAGAGCATTTAGCAAACCTTTTACTATGTTCTGCTTTTTTTTTAAAGTCAGCAAATCTATATATACTGTAGAGGCTGTGCAGTCCATGTGAAACCCATCATTATTTTGGAACCTCGGGTAAAATCAAATATATCATCTCCATAAAGATCTCTCTTACTCACATTTTTAGAGTACTATTTCTTGAAATGTCAGGTGTAAACAAGTTTCTACTTAATTTATCCAGCAGAGTTTATTCCCAATTGGGTCGTGGGGGGGCCAAACAACAGGTGAGAGGTGGGGTACACCCTGGACAGGTCGCCAGACAGAGACAAACAACCACACACACACTCACCTTAACTCTTAGGGGCAATTTGGAGTGTTCAATTGACCTAACATGCATGTTTTTGGACAGTGTTAGGTACCTGGAGAGAACCCACACAGACATATGCAAACTCCAGACAGAAAGGTCTCGGTACCCTCAGGGACTTGAACCAGGAACCTCACTTGCTGTGAGGCGACGGTGCTAACTGTGCCAACCCAAGTAGAGCAGTTAAATCAAAACTGACATTGCCTACCACTGAACACATACCATGTCTGCAGCAAAGAAAAGCATTGGAGTTTCTGTACTGTTTGATATTTAAGAATTTCATGTGAGAAATACCCACTTCCCCTGCAGCGATACGCATATCCAGCCCCCCCCCCCAGCTGTAGCTTCTACCTGCAGAGCTCCAAACAGCATCATCTCCTCCTCAGTGCAGTCGATGTCCTCCAGCAGGATGGCCCAGCGGGCCTGCTCATACAGCTGGGTCAGACGCACAGCATCGTACTGCAGGGCCAGAGATGCGGAACAGAGTTAAGGAAGAGTTCAAAAAGGGGGTAGAATCCAAAACCGACACACACACACGCACACACCTTGGGATCTATATCATAGAAGGCGAAGTACTTGAAGCGAAGCCAAAGACGGTCATTTTCTTGGATGCCTTGCTGCATGAGACAGCGCGATGAGTCCAACCACCTGGCAGGGAAAGACACAAAATGTGAACATGATTTTATATGTACTTTTTAACTATTAGATGTGTTTTTGGAAAGGATAACCTTTTTTTCAAATTACATTTTCAACATCTTATCTCATTCTCCAACTAACTTGCAAGATGTGCTCGGGCAGGAAACGTTTTCCATTTTACCTGACAACATGCTATACGTACTCATTTTATTTCAACACGATTTTGTAACAAGTCACCTTAAAAGTGTCTTAGAACATGAAACTAGTAACGATCAAGATGGAGAGGCTGCGAGGTAGACAACAAAACCTCCCAATTTCTCAAGGATCTTTAAGAGTGCGGCCATAATTTAAAGTGATTGGTTTACTGTACTTTACTGTACTGTCTAAAAGCCCTTCAAATAGCTCAATTTATACAGATATAGGCACAGGGGATATGTTGACCCAACCCATTTTCAGATAAGATGATGTACATTTAAATTCCACATCTCTAACTTAGCTGCTATTAATTACTGGTATTTATGTAGAGTTCAGGATCAGTTACTAAAAACAGAGACTGAATCACCAAGTGTTTGGTGTTTAGATTATAGCTGGACCGGGAGATTACAGCTGAGACCACATCCAGTGAGCTCTTGACTCACTGCAATCCCGGTCATGGTGAGCACTCCTTTTAAGAGAGGCTTATTTGCTGTCAACTCTTAGTTTCAGCAATTCAGCAGCATACCTGCCATTGATGTGAGCTTTGTCCACCACACTGGCAGGGCGGTAAAGCTTGGTTATGGCCTCCGGGGCAGGCGGAGGCTGAGTGACCGACAGCATTTTGTAGACTTCCTCCATCTGTGGTGAGTCCACAAAGTGAGCTGGCATGCCGTTGTACAGACAGGGCCGGGACACTGCACAGAAAGTTGGGGTCACCGAGTTACTTGATGTTTCAGAAACACAAAGTTAATACAAATGTTAACTCAGAGATACTGAGATGATCTCCCTGGCAATTCCCAAAGCAAAGACACAGAAGCTTTTCCCAGTACAAAAAGCTTCCAAGTTGATAATGGAAGTTTCATGTTTTGACATATTTTTGCCACAATTTATCACAGATGAATATCACGCCGTCAATACAAAGAAAATTTGATCAGTATACCCGAAGAGAGGGGCACCTCAGTGAGGTCGTATATTTCCCCTTTCAAGCCTTTATCTTTTTTCTTCTTTTTCTCCTCCACAGGACGAAGGAGAGACAGCTCCTCGGGGTGACGGATGTCTGTGGAAGTAGCAGAGAAAATGGACTGAATGCTGATAAGTTCAATTAAATAGAGGATGTGTCACCTTTCACACAGACATGCAGACGTAAATATGTAATGGAATTGAAAACAGCACATACTGTGATGCAGTTCAGGGCTCAGAAACTGAGCCCCACCATGCCTTTAATGTGAATTTGTGTGATAGAGAAAACAGTGCTGCAAAGCCCCCAGGTCAGATGGGTTTGTTTTTAAATGTTTGTAAGTCATAACAAGGTCATAACAATCTGTTTGACTTCTGCAACTCCCGTCAGTGGACCACCTCCAGCCACAGTTTGCATAAGCACTCTTTGTCCAGAAAAAAGCTCTTTCTTCTACTGGAGTAAAACAGCTATGAGCTATGGGCCTTGAAATGTCTGCAGCACTCTGGTGCTGTGTGACTCTGTGGCGCAACGGTAGCGCGTCTGACTCCAGATCAGAAGGTTGCGTGTTCAAATCACGTCAGGGTCAGTGGCTTTTTCCTCCAACATTGTGTGGTGGGGAACCCTTTGTTGACTTTATGTATTGGATTCTGGTGATGGGAACCCTAGATATTTTTACCAGACTCTGTGGTGCGATGTTAGCCTAAATGATTCAAGAACAGAACTTTGTGTGTGCTCAGGTGACATCAGGGTTAAAATAACCAAGCTATCTCTTAAACTGTCATAATAATAACTCAGAAACCCAAAATAAACTAGAAGTATCTGAACTTGTCTTAATCTTCTGCAGCATTGTCACTGTTTGGGCTGCTTTGCTGAAAGTTTGACCCAATTTGGTTTTGCTTTGTCATGGATAATGTTTTATTGGTGTTTTACTCATGAAGGAGGAACATAAAATGGGTCTGTGCCTGAGAACATGGGATTTTTTTTGTGACCCAAATAACTTCTCAGTTACTAATTTCAATATTTCTCTTCTGATCCCTTCTAGTCTGGTGTCACCTCCCGGGGACTTCTGCTGTGGAATTGAGATCAAGAAGTACCAAAAATAGATTGACTGAAAGCAAGAAGCAGATGGTGAGGTCTTGTCTTTTGGCACTGATCTTTGTGTTTCGCTGCAGTCAGTCAGAGTGCAACACATCTATGACACAGATGACTAATTCGATAAAACTGTTTAAAACACAAAAAACAACTGAAAACAAGAGGTAAACATTTTAGATGTTGGTAGTTGACTCAAACAATATCAGACAGGGATGGAAAAAGAAGGAAAAACTCACTAAGCATCCTGCAGATGCCCATCACCGTCTGGAAAACGGGGTTGGAGAAGCAGGCCCGTAGCCTCAAGGTGATTCCGTTGGGCAGACCCAGTCTGAGAGGCTTGTGCTGGGGCATGAAGATCAGCCGGGCGTCAGCGTGAATACCGTATTTCTCCAGAGTCCAGGCTGTTCGCAGCAGCCATCTTTGCTTCTGCTCCCACCACAGTGCGTGATCGGACCAGTCCCGTTTGATCTCTGCAGGAGACACAAACAAACCAAACTAATTAAAAGCTGTTCACATAACAGGGAAACTTTTCTATGTCAATCGGTCTCAGGAGCTGAAGGATTCAGCTCATAATGACTGAAACTTTTAGCAGGGTCTTAGTGACATCATGATTTGATAATGATTTTATACCTATACTCTTATAGGTTATAATGAGCAACATGCCCGCCCCACTAATACTGTGTAACTACTATGTACTAGGGGTGGAAAGTTGATAATTGAAAATACCTAGATACATGTAACCTGCCACATTTCAGAAGCAACATTCCCGACACTGGTGTGAAGTGGTTCAAATGAGCATGTTAGCCAGATCGTTGTGTGTCTGACATCAGATCAGCAGGTTGCGTGTTCACATCAAGTCAAGGTCACTATGTTGGCCCATGATTGCTTTAGTTAATCTGTTAGATATCCAGCCTTAGGCAGAGCCCCTCTGTTGCAATTCGTCATGTTTCCCATAACACTTAGTTTGTCGAATAGAAAATTAAACAAGAGTGAAACTCTATCTAAAAGTATTTGCTCTGTATTGGTGTCACCAGTATTAACATACTGCCAAATTCCGATTCAGTATTAAAGAAAAACATAAAAAGTATGAGTCATCACATCACATTTCAGTGGAATAAATAGTCTGTATAGTCTATAGATAAGTCTATAGATAAGTCTATAGATATGGAGAATATAAATCTAGATGTAGATTTACAGTGGACAGTCCACAGGTGGTGGTATTGCACTATGTTGATGGTGGACATGCAGGCAACGCTCATCAGACTCTGTGGCGCAACGGTAGCGCGTCTGACTCCAGATCAGAAGGTTGCGTGTTCAAATCACGTCAGGGTCAGTGTTCTTTTAAGTTTAGCAGAGGTTTCATCTGTTTAAGCATCATTCATGGTTTTAAAAAATCCTGGAATGTATTAGACGAAAAAGATAGAGAGTTGTACATTTTTACTCAGGATCATCAGCGTTGACTGGATCAGTTTTAGATGTTTCACCATGTTTCATCACGAGGTGTGTTGAATCCTCATGAATCATTCCTCAGTACTAAATATGACGTGTTTTGCATTTATGACTGTAGATGGATCTCAGTATGCAAATGTAAATGAGAATGTGTAACTATATTTAGCTCCTGCAGTGTGACTGGCCGTGACAGTTGAGGATAGATGAGTGACCTACGTGTCTTTTCCACCAGCTTTAGGATAACCCCTCCAACATGGAGGTCAGAGGCAACACTGAGGGTGACAGGCGGGGCGTCAGGCCCCAGGTCCTCCACTGTGACTGACAGATCCCACGCCGCCATACTGAAAGAAAGACAGGAAGAGAGGTGAGTAGGGAAACACAGGAGAGATCTCACATGTTTATTCAAAGCAAGGGTAACAACATTTATTTCCACAACACTCTGTCCAAGAGATGATCTTTAAATGTTAACGAATAGGTGGCAACTCAGAAAAAGACAGAATGATGAAATAAAATTCCCTTAAATAAAATGTACAGCTGTTGAAGAATACATTAATTGTGTTTTTTCAAAACTTTGGTCAAACCAGCTTCTCAGATTTGGCACGAAATGTTCAGATGCATCACAAGGTGTTTTGGTTTGTTTTCACAAACTAACATGGCATGTTTGTTACCTTACAATGTAATGAATGAATAAATTGTGTGTCCACGTTGTGGACTTCACAACCTGTAATGTTAGACGTATTTCAAAATCAGGCAACTCAATAAAGTTCCTGCACAAATTTAATGAGTGGTCATCACAATCATTTTGTAATTTGGTTTTGCAATCCATAAAAGTTTAAAAGAACTAGTTACAAATACTGGGGAAAAAAGATTAAATGATAAAAAGAGAGACAATAAGTTATGAGGAAAGAGCCTTTAATCCATGGTTTAATATCACATCACAAACATATATGTACAAAGACTATATATATATACATATATATAAATATGTTTGTGAGTGTGTGACAGTACTTTGAATGGCATGTCCAATGTGATGTGCTCTTCCTGTTTCTGACTTTAACTATCACCATGGATGCACACTTCCGCTTTCTGACCCGCCCAAGGCATGACATTCATCCAGTGCTAATACAGTGCCCTCCTGCTTGTGTATAAAACAATTTAAGCCCTTTTAAAAGTAGCAACTGTAAAAATGAAAATGTGTGCCTTTGTCCCGTGAGTGTATATACCTAAAGACTGATGAATATACTGATGTGACACTGCAAAGAGAGCCTGCCGTAAGCACTCCATAGTTGTTAGAAGGCCTTAACTTTTCTTAACGTTTCTAATTTCCTATCTAAATATACATTTGTCCTTTTATATTGCATTTAACCGAGTGATGAAACTTCAGAAATAACCCCTAACCTATGTATTTACAACAAATGCCCGTTATATACTGTAAATGCCTAGCCCTCACTTTGTCTTTGGCCTCATGCTTTCCCTCAAGCTGTCACACATCCACCGATCAACACGCATTAAAGGACTGTACCGTCAGTCTCCTCTGTCCAGGGGCTTTAACCGATGGAAACAATGGGATCCCCGGGCCTTTCAGGCTTTTGAAGAAGTTTCTCAGGCTCTTGCGAGAATGTGCAGCAGGTTCAACTCTCTCTGGCAAGACGGTTGTGGTTTGTGGGGCTGTGTCTGCCTTTGCTGCCTGTGTCACCCCTGTCAGGGAGGCTTGTTCCTTTTTTTTTTGTCAGTTTCCGCCAGGCGGATGTGTCAAAAGGGCTCAAGTTTTGTCTGACAGGCTGTATGAGCAGCACAAATAAGCCAATGTGTATGTCAATGTTCCTATTATCTTATTTTGTTTGTTAGCAGTGAGCAATTAAAGGGTGTGGGCTATGATAACTTTAATAATTGGCCGTTGTTGCTTTTGGTATGCACAAAAATAGTAAAGTGAGACTTTTTTGTGTTAAATAAAACATATATACTCACATCTGACTTTTTTTGGGAGGGGGGGTTACTGTAATTTACTATACATTTTAAAATAATATTTTCATGGTATTCCTGTAGGGGGCGTCAAATGCATCTTAAAGGTAATCAAACATTGTTTACTTCAGGGCCCATCCAAATTTTGTATTACTCAGTGGTTGCAGCAGTTCTGACAAAGGCGTCCAAGAGTTAAAAGTAACATGGTGATAATACGTTTTTATGCCCTAAAAACCGCTCCCAAAATCACACAACTTCTGAAAATTTTAACAAACATTGATATCTTTGCGTGTCTGAACAGTTGCAGGAAATTACACGTAATCACAAGAGAGACATTGATTTCTGGGCGTTGGCTTGGACTATCTTTTGATTGGACATTTTTTTTTAATCGAGCAACGCTGCTCAAATACTAAATACTTTCCTATTTAGGACAATTCCATATTTACTATCCCCACTGGACAACATATCACACCACACTATTGCAGTGTTGCCAACTCCTCAGTAAGGAAAGTAGCTATTGGCTCTGCTAAAAGTCGCTAGAAGTCGCCAAATGACGTCATCGCCTAATTTGCATAATCTGCCACGTGACGTGAGGTGCTGCAGGGGCGGAGCGGCACCGCGTGATCATTTCGGCCGTCAATCCCGGCGCATGCGCGTTTCATTTGCAGTCCGGACGCGGAGGGTAAACATGCTGTGGGTCCTCCCCACCCCCCTAATAAACCGGAGGGACTGGTTTTAACGCTGGACGGTCGCTCTTTAAGGAATAAAAAATACCAACGGGCTGCAAACTAAGAAGACCTTACGAGACGAGGACGAAGAAGTGTCTGGAAGCAGCTGTGGACGCGGAGCGGTTCTCTCTAAATGAGACGGAATGGACGGCGGCGGGGATAACGTGGCTCATGAATCTGCGGGTAGCTACACAATTCTCCTGTTTGTCTTTAGCTGAGGACGCATGCTTAAAACATAAAGCTAGCAGCTGCCTTACCTTCTAACGCGGTATTACACTATAATAAAGTTTACTTTGGCCGTCTCTAGAAAAACGTGAAAGTGGGGCTCCACCATCTTTTGATTTCTGGGGTTTTACTTGCGCGGGAACGATGAAAACGAATCCCGTCCTCAAACTAAACGAGTTCGATATAAACCAAGAAAGCAAAAACGCCTCTCGTTCAGTTAATTATTTAGCAAAATTCAGCAGTCTGGAGCAGGAGTGTGTTTATACAATGTCAAGGAGGAAAGACATCAGCCATAACCTAAGAGTCATCTGGATTCCACCACCCCTTAGAGATAGAGAGTTTATTCACAGGTGAAGACATTCAGGATGGCTGCCAGTTTGTCCAACAAGGTCCCCCCTAGCTCATCCATCCCAGATGATCCGAGCAGGTTCTGCAGCACCAGGACCTTAAAGTCCACCAGGAACCCCCCAGGATCCCAAAGTGTTCAGAGTCAGACGGGAGGCCGTCTGTCCCACAGCTGAAGCTGGAGCCAGCCCCCCAACAGGACTGAGATCCAAACCCGGCAGCAGAGCCGTGCAGGAACCTCCATGAGCTGAATAGCTACAGGCAGCAGAGAGGGACAAAAGTCCTCCACAGCCATCGCAGAGACTGAGAGACCACCAGAAACCAGTTTCTAAACTGGCTGCTTTGGGTCTGCTCTCAGTTTTTGTTCCATAAATAAACCAGACAGTGTCTTCTGTCACATGATCCTGTTGTCTCTTTAGGTTCCCTCAAATTTAGAACCTGACAGGATCCAAATGAGGAGGGAAAAGGAAATGTGTCCATTTCAGGAGCATAGTTTGATGACATTGTTGTGGTTGAACTGATGGTTTTTATGTACAGCTGTCGATGGCTCAGCTGGTCCACAGATTTCTTCCTCACTAAACTTTGTCTTCTAGGAAAGGACAGGTCCAGACGATGGATTACTCGGGGGACCTCGTGAAAGTGACCTCATCAAACGGGTCGCAGTGGACGGCCCAGAAGGTAGAGGCTCTGAAACCGGCCCACTGGGTTACAGGACCAAAGGCTCTGGGTTCAGGTTGATCTCTCAAGCAGCAGATGACAAAAGATTTCACCTCTGATCCGGTTCAGTAAAGCCGTCAGGATCCAGGTATTCCAAATGGGTCCAGCTCGTTCATAACCAAGGACACCAGCAGAACCAGGAAGAGATCTCCATCAGGACCAGAACCAGGAACAAACCTCCATCAGAACCAGAAGAAACCTCCATCAGAACTAGGGAAAAAGTTAATCAGAACCAAAACCAGGACAGGATGATATGGGGGACAGAAATACGTTTGATTCAGGGCAGGTTCTGTTCATGGATCCAGTCCTCATCGGGCTGCTTTCTCTTCCAGGTTCTGGTCACCGTCCCGCTGACCCTGCTCCAGAGGGGCCTCCTCCACTTCCACCCCCCCCTTCCTGAGAGGAAGCTGAAGGCCATCCACAGCTTGGGAGCCGGCATCATCGAAAAGGTACCTCCCATCCCCGCCGGCCCGCCTCCAGAGGCTGTCGGTGCCCAGCGGCTAAACCTCAGTCCGAACGTCCCGCAGATCGCTCTGCAGTTCCCGACCCGGTTCTGGGACTCCAAGATCCAGGGAGCCGACTACTTTGGTCACATCCCGCCGGCACCGGAAAAGCGATGCCTGTTCAGCGTCTTCTACGACCTGGACCCTCAGGTGTGTTTTTAAAGCCATGACCAAGGAGGAGCCGACTGGTTCTGGATCAGAGGGTCGGCTCCTCCCCCTCAGGGTCACTGAGGCATCATGGGAGTCTGAGTATCTGCTCCAGATGTGTGTGTTTAGACTGGGAGGAGAATGAAGGACCCAGTCCTGTGAGGTTCTGGGTATCCGATCCCTGAAACCAAGCTCAGACCCTTTGAGGCCCTGGCTGATGTAACTGTGTCCAACAGGGGAAGCAGGCGGTGTTGATGTCGGTCATCTCTGGCGACGCCGTTCCTGCTGTCTGCGAGCTGGAGGACCAGGAGGTGGTGGGAGAGTGCCTGAAGGTCCTGAGGGAGCTTTTCCCCGAGCAGGTGAGCACCGGTCAGGGGTCCGGTCGGCCTCAGCATAGAGCAGGGGTGGCGAACACGCGGCTCTCGAGCCGCATGCGGCTCTCGACCAATAAGAATGCGGCTCTTTGCCTGTTACCATCTTTTCTATATACTGTGGCTCTTTCCTCGTTTCATGTTTCTTTTCTTCTTTTTTTTATATCTTAAACACACTAAAATCCATCAGGGGTTATTAAAAACAAATAATAATATTTTAAAATTAATAAATTAATTTGACAGATTGGGTGTTTTTTATGAGACGTAAGACGTAAGAGACGTAAGTGACCGCCAATCATATGCGCGGATTACGTCTCATGCCGGGAAATTAGGTACCGGTAAACATTTTTCATTTTCTTTGTAAAAATGGCAAAATGCAAAGCT